GATGCCGAGAAAGTGTTCCTGAGCGAAGCTGTCGATATGAACTCTTCCTCCAGGGCGAATCACAAAACTTCACAAGTCTTCCTTTGTCGAATTCTTGCATTGAAACCATTCCTGATTCAGCAGAGTTGCTCGCACTAAGCTGCAGATACCTATCTTGAGGAACCGCACACAACGAACTTCTCTCATGACGCCAGTTCTTTTCCTGGGGGCTTATAAACATCGAGATCCTCCTCAAAGACTCGATTCAATCTTTCTCCGTATCCTTACCGGAAGTGGCAACATCAATGTTGACGGCGGTAGGGTCATGTGGGCTGTCCAACACTTGTACGACCTCATCACCGAACAGCGCGCCGATCTTTTCCAAGGACAACCCTTTGGTCTGAGAGGAGTCAGCACAAGATCTCTTCGATGATGAATTGCAACCGAAAAGGGGGAAAGCATACCTCCGGCCACCAAATGGCAAAGATGAAAATCGAGACCACGGTTACCGAGAAGAAGACCATGTAGTACTTCCAACCAATGCTCGCAAACGCGTCCGATGCCGCTGATAGTAATATCAGTGAGCCGACAAACAGACCCGATGTTGAAAGTGCCGTTCCTTTGGCGCGAATGTGAGTTGGCCAGATCTCGGAGGCGTAGACGTAGGTCGAGGCGTCGAGCGTCGATCCGTACCTTGCAGTTTGTTAGTATGAATGATGCAACCCTTCCATTGCAACGACAACACTTACCAACTGATATGCCAGAACAAGAAGAAGACGGCGGCGGCAATTCCAGCTTTGTTGTTTGTGCCTTCGAAAAGTGCAACTGTTACAGCTTCGCCCAATACGGCTGACGATGTWCCACAAAGACCCGCAATCATGAGCCACTTCCTCCCAACACGATCGAGCAGGATTGCGTTGAGAACGTTGGCTGGGATTCCCAAGGTGATCCAGCCGGCTTGGATCAGCAATAGTCTCTTTGTATCAAAGCCCAGGGATTTGTAAAGCGTGCTTCCATAGTCTGCAAATGAGCAATTAGCTGATGATGAGTGGCAATGATAGGACGTGCAATGGAACATACTATTGATGACCAGGGTTCCGGTGCACTGCGCGGCAAACATGGTGRAGAAACCTATGAGGGCGCGTTTCCGATACGACGGGACTTGTATCATGGAAACCCAGCTTGAAGGGAGTACACTGTCCGCCATGATTTGCACAACCATCTCTTCGTACTCGCGTTCGGCAAAGGTGTGTATACCATTTCCTTCCGTGTCTGCTTCGTTGTCGGCACCATGAAGTCTTAGTACAATGTCCTTGGCCTCGGCGTGTCTCCCATTCTCGATGACTATGATACGCCGGACGTCAGCTATGTGGACTTCAAAGGAGTTGGAAAAGGGGAACACTCACGCCAACGTGGAGACTCGGGTAATCTCATCACACCAGCGGCGAGAAGAAGTGGAGGAATGGTCTGGAAGGCGAGTGGGATGCGCCATTGTGCACCATTTGCATTCACAAAAAAGAATCCTGCTCCTATCCAGCTGGCTAGAGAGTATCCGGTGAGAATGAAAACGCCTAGACACGTCAGTAAAGAGCCATGCGATGGAATTCTGATCGTGCTGACCATGAAGTCCGACGGAGAAGCCACGCGTGGCAGGAGAGGCGACTTCACCCTGCCATAGGGGGATCAAAGTTACCAGACAGCCTGATGATGAGTCAGTCAAGAGGCCAGTGATCGATCGCTTCTCGTCAAGTACCCACCAATTCCAAGTCCTGTGATCAAACGTGCGACGATAAACATGGCTGCATTCACCGATGCAGTCTGAAGGACTCCACCGATAATGCTCACCAATGCTCCCAGAAAGATTGCCTTCCTACGCCCGAGAGCATCGGATGTCCAACTTGTGGAGATTGTTCCGAGAAGTCCGCCGGCTTGATATATTCCATTGATGGCTCCTATCAAAACTGTCGCACGCTTGGAGTTCTCTAGGTGCATATATTGCAGAAAACTGGGCTGTCCGAGGGTCGTGGAAATGATTGAACTGCAGTAGCCATATGTGAGAGAGCCGAGGGTTGCGAAGAGAATGACCTGTCATGTATGTGTAAGCCGAGTGAAAGATTGTTGGGGTTGTTTTCAATGATAGTCACCCTAGTGTTGAAGGCCGTCTGATGTGAAGTTCCTCCCATCGTTGCTGAWCGATCGAGTGACTGGTCTCTGATTTTCCTTCAAAAGGTCTCCCTGTCGTTCATTTTAACGTGGAGATGATATGTTATATGGCAAAGCCCCGGTCCCCCAACCTGATGACATGCTTCGATCAGCTCCCATGTTCCTGGCTGATTCGAGACCACGCCAAGATACGAGGGAGGGCTCTATCGCCGAAGCTCGATTAGATAGGATACTGGTCATCCATGTAGGACAATCTGTGGAGAACTTCYTTGACAGCCACGAGCCCCTGGTATTGGCTCCAGATTCCATTGGTCCAATCGTGTTATCCCCGCGACAGGACAAACCCGACAGATGGTCTCGGCGCTAGGCGATACACTCACAACATTACCTTAGTATTTTCATCCGACGATAACACGAATGCGATCTAACTTTTTGGGAAATCTGGGGCTTGGCAAGGCAGGTAGTGTGAAGAGAGAAAGCCGGATAAGCAGTACCCACCCAAGCTTCCCGGATGAACATTATCCACACTCGAAAGCTTGACTGAACTTTCCACTCTCATCACATTTTCCAACATTCTGGATTATTCCCGAAAAGACGTTTCTTATCAATTCATAAAACTTTGAGGGCCATATCTCAATCAATATGTCGTCCCCGCACGCCGCCCAGCAGGCCAAATCAATCACCCTCATCATATCACCCTTCCACGTCGGCATCGCCAATCATCGTGTCGGCAACGGTCCCAACAGGATTCTTCAGAGAGCCATTGTTTCGGAGCTCGAAAAGCTCAATGTGGCAGTGACCGTCAAGAAACTCGAGCCCGTCGATTCTTTCGAGGGGGAAATCGGCCGCAGCTTCGCACTCCTGGCCCAGACTTCCAAAGCCGTCACGGATGCCGTCAACGCTGGATCTTTCCCGTTGATTCTTTCTGGAAATTGCCATGCTACAATCGCTGCTGCTTCCGGGCTGAATCTCACTCATATCGGCGAGTCTTCAGAGTTGGGATTCGTCTACTTTGATGCCCATGATGATTTGGAGTCWCCTTCAACAAACACCAATGGCTACTTTGACGCGATGGGGATGAATATCCTCAAGGGCGAGAGTTGGCATGCACTGTCGGAGACGATCCCGGGATTCAAGCCATATGATCTGAAGAAGCTCGTCTACTGTGGTCTGCGAGACATTCAGGACTGCCAGAGGCAAATGGTCAAGGACATGGGTCTTGATGTGGTATGGGGATCGACTGAGAAGCACGTGGAGTACGAGGCAGATTTGAGCGCGATTTTGGAGCGGAGAAGATTGGGAAGTGTGTGTGTACATTTGGATTTGGATGTTCTGGACGATACTCTCGGACCCGTCAACGAGTACCCATCACCTGGAGGAATGCTGGAATCGGATGTTTTGTCGTGTTTGAAGATGGTTCCGAATAAGTGTTCGCCTGCCAGTCTCACGGTCTGTTCTTTCAATCCCGATGCTGGAGATGGAGATAAGATTGCGGATATTGCTGTCAAGGCTGTTGTTGGATTTGTCGGCTCTTTGGTGGAAACAGGAGCACTATCACGGAAGCTATAAATCGATTGGATCGAACGAGATCGAAGGTTAGCCAAAAAAGGCATTTGCCATGGGGACGTGGCTTTGATGAACGCTATTGAGAGCCCCTTCAATTATGGAAAAGCGAGTCTGTTGCTGGGCTGGACGGAACAGGCTGTTCAGAGCTCTGTCTTGATTACATGTAGCTCTTGTTGCTTGGGGTGAGAAACGAAAGAGCATGAAGTCAGGGCTTACGACATGATTCAATCTCTGCAACGACTGAATTTGGGCGAATGAATCAACCGATTCTCATGGTATTTGTGACGGCTGCGGCTTCCTCCTCAAGTCGGTGTCTTGTATTTGGTCTTTACTGGAGCTCCATGACCCAGAGAGACCCTTCAGACGTTGTGTGATTGGTATTGCTCATCCATTTGTAAGATAACGTACAGTAATAGRGCGGATCGATCTCCTTGACAGGCGAATCATGAAACGTCACTTTGGGCTTGGTCTTCCAGGCCAGCATTGAGCTGACGCAAAAACGGAGACTATGAGGGTACCTGGTCACACTTTGCGGGGGCCAGACAGCCGCGTTTTCCGGATCGGGACTTTATCTGTTTGAATCCGGCTAATGCTCACCCGCATGCTAAATGGTCAAGATAGCCCCAAGGTAGCATCGTCGATCATGGGTAGGGAAGAAGAAGACTACAGAATGATTACCACTGATCATGTGTTTCTGCTGCTACTGCTTAGCAAACACAAGTTTGCAACGATCTTCAAAAAGACCCTTCGACAGGTGTTGAGCAGTATACGATCCAGAGACAACAGCAAAAATGGCAGAGATACACAGAGGCATGATATATGACAACCCAGGGACGTTGTCAGTAAAGCCAGTAGATCTTCCTACTCCCATCCCGGGTATCGGAGAAGTATTGGTTCGAGTGCAAGTATTAGCGATTCTAGATTTTTGGAATAGCTCTAACTTATCTGTAGAACGCACTCGGGTGTTTGCCACAGTGATTATGGAGTTATGACCGCGGCAGTAAGTGCTTGTTCAAAGAATCAGAATGATGGAAATCAGACTGATCATTCATCCCGTGTAGTGGAGTTGGATGAAACCTCGACCGTGTCTTCCTACCCAAGTAGGGGGTCATGAAGGTGTCGGCCATGTTGTGAAAATCGGACCTGGCGTCAAGACAGACGCGATAAAACTTGGAGATCGTAGGTACATCAGCGTGGTTGATTGTTATATGTGCTGACTTTATCCGTGAATAGGGGTTGGCATCAAATGGATCTCAAACATCTGTCGCTCCTGTCCGGCTTGTCTGGTGGGCGCTGATGGATGTTGTCTGAACATCAAGATATCTGGATACTACGTTCCCGGAACTTTCCAACAATACACTCTCGCACCAGCAGACTACGTGACCTTGATTCCGGAGAGTATTCCATCCGCCCTTGCCGCGCCTCTTCTATGCGGAGGAATCACAGCATATGCAGCTTTGAGAAAGACAAATGCCAAGCCTGGAGACTGGATTGTTATCTCTGGAGCTGGCGGTGGAGTAGGTCACCTAGCCTGTCAAATTGCTAGCAAGGCAATGGGGTGTCGTGTGATTGRCATAGATTCCAGTAGTAAGAGGGATATGGTCATGGACTGTGGAGCCAATGAGTTCATCTCCATTGAGGACTTTGCAGCAAGCGAAGAAGGAAGTCTGRCCATCACGCAGACAATCAAGACCATTGCCGGTGGTCTGGGTGCTACTGCTGTTGTAGTATGCAATAGCTCAGACGTTGCATACTCGCAAGCGATGACCTTTCTCCGCTTCAACGGGACTTTGGTAGCTGTAGGCTGCCAGGAAGGTCCGGCTAGACCGATTGCAAGTGCTACGCCTAACAATTTGTTATTCACCCAGCTCAATATTGTGGGATCGGCTGTGGGGAATCAGGAAGATGCAAATCGAACGTTTGATCTCGCGGCGAGGGGTGTGATACAAGCCAGAATTCAGGTTGAGAAGTTGGATAATCTATCCCAAGTGTTTGAGAGGATGCATTCGGGCGAATCACAGGGGAAAACTGTTTTGGAAATCGAGTAAATTAAGCAAGGCTCAAAGATCGTTCCAATTCATCGACCACGATTCGGACGAAGGGGGGCCATGGCAGTGAGATAGCCTCCCAGCACTCGACTGTCCCTTGACCCGTACTTCTGTATGCATGTCGATCAAGGACATCCCCCACACCCGAAAGGCGAATGGCGGGCCGTGTAGATCCTGTGTGTTGGCCGGCAGATGTGACAGATAGGGTATTGCGTAGCCGTGCCGTGGCGGCTACGCATTATCCGCCGTCAGCGACGCACATGTCCCAGCGTCGCAACGATCGACGGTGGAGTCGATGGGGATACACAATGCTTTTTGTGTTTGGAAGAAACCCCACAAGTGATCTATATAGTTGTKACATTCTTTCGTAGCAGTATAATCAACAAACATTCTCCTTCATCGTACAGCGTCCCTGGTAACCCTAGCGACCACGATCTCATCTCCTTCAAACAACATGTCTATCAGACAATTCAAAGTCGCCGTCTCACAGGCTGAGCCCTGCTGGTTTGATCTAGCGGCTGGAGTCAAGAAGACGCTCAAGTTGATCGAAGAGGCTGCGACCAATGGAGCTTCCCTCGTTGCCTTTTCCGAAGTCTGGCTCCCAGGATATCCCAACTTTGTGTGGAGTGGAACATATACCGAGAACATCCCTCTCGTCCAGAAATACATGCTGAACAGTATGAGTGCTCACGGCCCAGAGATGCTGCAGATTCGTCAAGCGGCAGCAAAGCACAACATTTACGTCTGTCTCGGATTCAGCGAGAGGGATAACGGAAGCCTATACCTCGCAAACGTCCTCATCGATTCAAAGGGCAAGGTCCTTCTCCACCGACGGAAAATCAAGCCGACGCATTTGGAAAGGACCATATTCGGGGATTCCACGGGCGACTCTCTTAACAATGTCGTTGACACACCGCTAGGCAAGATTGGAGTACTCAACTGTTGGGAACATTTCCAGCCTCTGCTGAAATACAACACATATGCTCAAGGCGAGCAGGTTCATATCGCAGCATGGCCATTCAATGGTCCACACACTGATGGCGCTGCGCCGTGGTCGGTGTGTAATGAAGCGAATGAGGTCACCGCGAGTCGAATGTACGCATTGGAAGGCCAGGCGTTTGTTCTCGTCACCAACCAGCCTCTTTCAGCCGCTGGAGGCAAGAAGAACACAGAGGGTCAGCTCAGCGCAGGTGCGGGAAGCTTCATGTTCAGCGAAGGGGGTGGTGGCGGTAATGCTGGCGTGTTTGGACCGGATGGCAAGAAGTTGACAGAGCAGACTGATCCCTTGTTTGACGGACTGGTTTATTGCGATATTGACCTTGACGCCATCTACCTGGCCAAAGCGATCGCTGATCCAGTGGGCCACTACTCGCGACCTGACTTGTTACGCCTGGTCCGCGATGACGAGCCCAAACACTATAGCAGCAAGGCGGGATCAAAGCCAGCGACTTTGGTGTCCATGTTCAAGAACCTCGAGGAGACCGTAGCGGACCTGGAGCCGAAGGAGTAGTTGGATGGCATGATTTCGATCGCTCGTTGTTCTGTCGTATATATCTGTAGTCAAAAAGGGTTGAACTCATGCTGAACGACCGAGCATCCCAAGACATATAGGGCGGTGGGAAAAAAGGGGTCTTTCCAAAATGTCAGCGTTGTGAAATCACCGAATAGCCACAACTTCAAACTTACCTCTAAGTAAGCCGTAGGGTATCCCAGCATTGTCTTGATGCGGTTCGGTTCGTCTATATGAGATGCACTGGAGACCTGCTCCCCGCATCTCTCTGGTCAGATCGCTATCCTGCCTGACGTACGTCAGACTCGTCGATAGCGCCAGAAGATCTTTGAACGACCATCTGCGTAGACGGAACAAAGGAGCTCATGCTGGGCGACTTAAGATTCGATCAAACCTCGAATCGATACCGATGAGGTGGCGTCTTCCCCTGTAGGCTGCGAGGTCCTAAACTCGCATTCAGTGTGCAGCACAGCCTATAGGCTTTCGTGTATTTCCCAAGCCATGAGCGCCTGATGAGTGGTCGAGGGAGACAGAACTCATCTCACTGACTGGAAGTCTGTCTCCGCAAGACCGGGAAGAAAGGCGACGCTATTTGTGGTGTCGTTTATGGAACAAATTGTGTGGAGATGGAAGATGGAGTTTTCGCAGAGTAGTAGTACATCGTCGTCAATGGCGATGTATAAATGCGTAAACTACCGGGAGCTTCTTCCGATAATGGCGCAAGACATTCACTTGGTGCAATTGCTGACAACTGTCGGGTAGGTCTTGAATGCATAATAAACCTTTGCCYAGTGCAACCGGATCTCGGTTTAACGCGCTTCCGATTTGATCCGTCCCATGCTTATACAGTAGCTTCAAATCACATGTCAATCAGCCTCGCGGGTGCACACGGATAAAATTCCACTACGCTGGAATGCCATTCTATCAGACACATCCCCCATAGCCATTGTTGCACAAAATACTTTTGACGGGGCGAAATAGGATATGGTGGCCGATGTCAGGCCGACGAGGGAACCGCTGTGTCTTTCAACCCCTGACTACCTTACGACTTTGAATACTCTACTTGCATTCGATTGAGGGGAATGAAAAATATCGAAAGCAGACAAACGGACCTAGGAGAGGATTATTGGGTCGTTGATACCTGGAACAATGCATATCGTCGATATAATCGACGATACCTGTCCGTCAGACAACTAAAGGCATATGAGTGTGCCATGGAATGTATGAAAGCTTTCCTTTGCTCAGATGTAGCGAACAAACTGTTGACAAATTCAGGAACATTCAATTGGGACCTAGGATTCACTGCCTTGATTCGTAATATGAAATATTGTAGCAACTGAGCTAGGAGATATGCATGGAGGCTTCGCATTGAGATTTGTAATGTGAATGGAGGCTTCGTATAAAGATTCATAATATGAAATCTCCCAGCAACTGAGCGAGGAGATTATATATGGAGGCTTCGCAACCACTGATTAGATAGTCAAGCAAAGCATCAAGTCAGTTTCACAACTCAAACATTGTCAGAGGTACAACATGGCCGATCTCAGCCAGTTCACAGTACAGAACCTCTTCAACATCAAGGGCTGGGTAGCCGTAGTAACAGGAGGAGGTAGATGACCGAATCCCAAGCTTTACACACTTACTAACAACAATGCATAGGCACCGGATTAGGACTCATCACCGCCCAAGCTCTCGCAGCTAACGGAGCAAAAGTCTACATCACAGGCCGACGAGCAGAGAAGCTCAAGGAAGCCGAACTTGACGATGCTACAAGTGGCGGCTCGATCAGAGGGATTCAAATGGACTGCACCGACAAGCAAAGTATCCAAGAAGGCGTCAAAGCTATCCAGGAGAAATTCGTCAACCTTCTCGTTAACAACGCAGGCCGAACCTCTGGGAACTACGGACCTAAAGGCTTTCCTACTGGAGACATCAATTCAATTTCAGAGGAGTTACTAAACAATCATACCTTTGAAAACTGGCTCGAGATCTACAAGATCAATGTCGCTAGCTGTTACTTCACCTCAGCAGCTTTCTTGCCTCTCCTAGTAGCAGCCCGAGACAACGGCTACTCCGAAGCAGGCTCGATATTAAATATCAGCAGCATCGCAGGTCTTACGAAAGATTCCCTAAATGGACAATTCAGCTACAACGCCTCCAAAGCCGCCACAATCTCTTTAACGAAGCAGCTTGCGGTGGACTTCAAACGCCCTGGGATTGAAGTGCGTGTTAATACCCTTGCCCCAGGGTTTTTCCCGTCGGAGATGAATCCGATTGCTAGGGATGATGGACAGCAAAAGGATTTTTTTCGAAATGAATGGGGAATTCCTTTCGGTCGAGCTGGGGAGGCTGCTGAATACGCTCAGGCGGTTTTGAATTTTGCCAAGAATGGATATATCACCGGTAGGTTATTATTATTGAAGGGCAGGCAGGCAGGCAGGCGTACAAGGCAGTCTTGCGCTAGGGCTCTGTCCATACCCGAAAGTACCTATTTCCCTCAACATCGCTAACCCCCTTTCGCTTTCTTAGGCTCGACTTTGGCTATTGATGGGGGTTGGCTGTTGGCGCATGCTTGAAGGGGGTCTTTGGCCGTGATCTTGGCACGACTCGCTAGAATATTTCAGCTCAAAGCGACGCACAAAGAGCGTTTTTGGACGGCGTCAGATCAAGAAAGCCCTGTCCAGTCTTCCAACGCAGCGCGGCACTCGTGTCGATATACATATATATATATATTGACACCACCGAGATACACCATCATCTGCTTTTGGCTTTTCTCGGAATATTGGCTCTCATGTACCAAGAATCAGCAGTCGGGTATAAGCGTTGCGTTGCGTTGCGTTGGCCACATCTCTCACTTCTTCTGCTGTCCAGTCTCCGACCGTCTGGGTGAGTTGTGGTCTTCATTTCAGCAATATTTTCAGAACGACACATCGTGAGATTGTGTTCCGCCTTAATGTCCACTTGAGAGTCTCAATAATCGGAAGAAAAAAGGACGTCGGTGCTTACGGACCATATTTCATCCACACATGTTGGGCATATGCGGAACCATGATTCCAAAGTACCTTACGAGCGAATTCCTGATTTTTCCACTTTTTCGCGCAATGATGTGTGGTTTCTATCCTCCAAGCCTTGATATATCAAAGAGACTGCCGGTGAGGGCATCATTTTTCCCGTCGCTAGTAAGATCATGTCCAACTTCGTGCAGTCCATCTGATGTGGCGATACCCCCCCCTTTTTTTTTTCTCGAACGATTGAATCGGAGTGGCAGTAAGTAAGTTTGACGCTTGAGCGGTTAAATCACATCGTAGTAGTCTTGCTCCAAGCCAGGCCTTTTGGTTGCGAAGTTGTGCTTCTGTGGTATAGGTGCAAGAATATGCGCCTTCTTTGGATCCGATATACGCTGTCGCGCACTTTCTTGGCCTAGATATTGTAAAAGACTTGGTTCAATTCTGGGTCTTTGAACACTACTACCACGCCGACCTCGCTCTTGGAAGGTCCTCTAAATTGCCTCTCCTATCTACGACTCCAAACCAGCCACGATATCCGCCACCGTTCCCCTACCATCGTCGCGCGCAACATTCGCTACGGCACCAATCAAGCGGCAGAATTGCGACAGCACCGCGCGAGAGGTTTCCAACGTCAAAATGTCCGTGGTGGTGTCCATTCTCACCTGCAGCTCCCCTGTACTAACGAGCTCAGTTTCGATATGGATCTCCTCCGTTGGTCGTGCCCACTTAAACGAGGCCGTCACCTGAGCCTGTGCATCTCCCCACGCAAACGGGAGATCCGGATCGAGGTTCTGATGAACCAGCGCACTCTGATAACTTGTTTGCGCCGGCCACGATGTCGACCGTTGTACGATATCGCGGGAATCAAGCAGTTCGTGCGTCAGACTTTCGTGATGCTGGGTCTGTAGACTTTGGAGTAGCTCGGAGATGAGGCGTTCCGGCGGACAGTCACTTCGCACGGGAATGTAATTCAGACACATGCCAACCACTTCATGCGAGCCATGTGTCCTTCCAGTTGAACCTTGGCCGAAGACTGCACACTCCACTCCTGTGAGTTTGGCTAGCAGTATTGCCCATGCGGCTTTGATGATCGTGGCCGTTGTGATGCCACGCTTGGAAGCGTCACGTGGGAGCCAAAAGACCTGGTCGATTGAGACCAATGAATCATGATCGTCATCATCAACCACCCGACATGCTGGAGCGTTGACATGCCTACCGTGGCTTGCATCTTCGAGGAGGTGCTGGAGGAGGTTGTTGTCGATTCGGGATGGAACAGCGTCTTGTAACGTCTTCCGCCAGAAATCAAAGGCCTCGTCGGTACGGCTAAGAGCCCATTGACGCAGGTGAAGCGAGTATGGCGTGGCGTCTGGAAGGCCGACACCCTCGTAGAGATTCTTGAGATCGCGCCACAAGATCCCAAGACTAAAACCATCATACTGTGCATGGCTGAGCCGCAGAACGAGCGCCTGATCGATTTCGCTTCGCTGTATCATTATGAATCGAGTGACGGGAGTGTTTAGTGGCGGAATAATGATATCGTCATTGCGACGATACTCATCTACAAACTCTGCCACGGGAGGAGAAGTTGTGCAGTATTCGAAGCTGGTATCGAGCTCGTTGAGAACAAGTTGGAAGTGTTGTTGGTGCTGATGTGTGAAGACCGACCGAAGAACGTAATGGCGCCGTACGAGTGCCGTGCAGGCAATTTGGAGTCGATTTGTGTCCAGCGTGCCCTGAAAGTTGATTATGAAATATCGCGGCCGCTCGTAGAGATACCTTTCAGCGGCCTGGGTGACAGGAAGGACGAGTTCCACACTCTGTGAGTTGTAGCCACGGCTTTCCCAAGACTGAATGGCCACATTCACCTCCGCAGGGTCCACCAGCTCAAAGGTTTGCGCATGATCACGGACGTCGCTGACCGTTTGCACACCTGGTCCATTGACAGCGTCGGAATGGAAACGAGCAAGCGCTGATAGCGCCGGAGTACGGAAGATATCTGTCACGCGGAACGTGAAGCCTCGCACGCGAGCTCGATCCATTAGCCGCATTGCAACAATCGAGTCGCCACCGATGGTGAAGAAGTTGTCGTCCATACCAAACTCGTCAGCCGAGTCGAACTTGAGGACTTCCATTACCACCTGGGCAAGTCTGTGCTCCAAGGCTGTCTCTGGTAATCGCCGACCTTCAGCTCCAGCTCTAGTCCCGTACTGGTATGCCTGGAACTCGCTCTTCTTCAACCCCGCTAGAGTATCACGCAGCAGTCGACGATTAATTTTACCGTTGACCGTTATTGGAGTCCGAGAGACAGGGATCCAAAGATCGGGAATCATGTATTTCGGCAGGCGCTCTTGGAGACGTGATGTCACCTGGAGCGCCTCTGCAGTTGTCCTTGAGTCGGGCTGAAGGAACAGGCTATCATCGGCCGTACTGACGTCCTGTGAATGATGCACGAAGACGGCCAAGCGTGGCTCTGTCTGTTCATATCGGACGACCTCGGCGACGACGTCCAGTATAGAGCTCGAGCCAAAGTCCCGAATGTAGTGCTCCAGTTCTCCAAGCTCGACCCGCTGGCCTCTGATCTTGACCTGCGTGTCCTTTCTCCCAACAAAGCGGAGCGTGCCATCGGGGTTGTAGCTCACGAGGTCGCCCGTCTTGTAAAGCCTTGAGTGTGGGCGTAGCTTTTTGAGCCATGCGGGAGCAGTTTCGATGAAAGCTGCTGCTGTTTTCTCTGGCTCACCAAGGTATCCGCGAGCCAATGTATGGCCTTCCAAGACAAGCTCACCCACCACTCCAATAGGGACAAGCGAATCATGATTTTCTGCGTCTACTATCCACGATACCGCGCCTAGATTGATGATTAGCTGTGTTTCCAACACACCGATGCGGCCGAGAAGACTCTTCATGCCCTTCGCTCTTCAGCCACTTACCATATGTGTGTCCGATCGTCGCAGGATCAGAGTCAACATGCAACTCAATTTCAACACAACCGCACGAGGCCTCGCTAGGGCCATAACCATTCACAAGCCGCACCCGGCCCGCCACACTCGCCCACTGCGAAATGTCGCTTTGCGATATGGCCTCCCCTCCAAGTACCATAGTCTGTACAGTCGGAATGTCCTCGTAGCGGATCGTACGGGCAATTGAAGATGTCAGATCGAGGCGGTTGATCTTCAACTCGTTTATCATGCCGACAAGGTCATCGCGAAGCATTTGCTGAGGAGCTACACAGACGCAGCCGCCAGCTAAGAAAGTCCACAGATAGTCTGATATGGCGACATCGAACATGTGCGAGGCGAACTGAAGCTGCCGTGCTTCCGCGACATAGTGGAGAGGCGCGAGCTGTGCAAGTGCGCTTGTGTAGAGTGCCGAGTGGCTGGTGATGATGCCCTTCGGCTGGCCGGTGGAGCCAGAGGTGTAGATGACGTATAGCATATTATCAGGACTGACACCGACCGCTTGTAGAGTGCGGGAGCTCGGTTGTGTGAACAAGTCTTCTTCCACGACCACAACTGCCTCTTTCCCCGTAAGCTGTCGAGCAATATGTGCACTCGTCTTGGTTGATAAGATTATCCGAGAGCCGGCGCTCACGCAGATAGACTGGAGTCGCTGCAATGGGATGTCGGGGTCGAGGAGTACGATCACTCCACCGGCTTTCATAACACCCAAGAGTGCAATCGCCACCCACTTGGTCTTTTCCATCACTATAGGAACGAGTACCTCCGGACCAACACCTCGAACTTGTAGTTCAGCGGCTAGTTGAGWCGAAAGCTTGTCCAGACACCTATACGTCAAATTGCCGTCCCACGCGCAGACCGCTGCTGCATCAGGCGAACGGAGGATCTGATCTGCAATTCCCTCGTGGTAGCAGCGTCTGACAGGCGGGGGAAGAGGGGTGTTCCATTGCTGAAGCTCAGCCCACGATGAAGGGGCAATGGGATCGAGCTCTGCGATGGTAGTGGTGTTGGCTACAGTATAGATCTGGTGGATGTTGTGAATGAATTGTGCCAACATTCGCTTGGCGGATCGCTTGTCGAGGACGTGAGAGTCAAAGTCAAAGCTGATGCGTATCTCGTTGGGTGCCATCTCGCATGTGACTTCCAGCGCGTATGTGCTGAAGTTCCCGGCGTTGCCAGATTCTTCCACTGGCGTCATGATAGCGGATGTGGAAGAGTCGTTCGCTGGCTGTATCAGCAACAAATTTTGAAATTGGCAGGCTGCATCGGCATCAGCGCTCAGCCGTCGAATGTTCTGGAGGCCAATACTCTAGAACGCGGACAGCCCAGACATGTCATGTTGCAGTTGCTTCAGCTTCTCCGTTACAATCTGAGCCTTGCCAACTTGGACTCGCACGGGCACAGTCGCGATTGTCGGCATCGTCGTCGCCTCGATTCCGATGAGGTCAGCATCGCGGCCAGATAGGACCATACCGAACACGACATCGTCCGTGTCGGAGAACCGAGATACAGTCAGGGCCCACGCAAGCTCCAATACTGTTGCCAAGGTGGAAGTCCGGGAGCCTTGTTGTGCCAATGGCAGAGTTTCCTCTATCGATACATCCGGTTGAGGTTTATAGGTGTCGGATGGRAGTGCAGGGAATACTGCGACGCTTATACCTGACAGTTCCGTCCTCCAGTAGTCACGAGAGGAGCTCTGGCTGTTGATGACGAAGTCAACGAAGCCATTACAGGGGCGAAATTCGAGTGGTTGCTGATGATCATAGGCTTGTTGGAGCTGGTTGAAAAGTAAGGGCAGAGAATGCGCGTCGTAGAGGCTGTGGTGGATGACCATCATAAGTTCGGTGGGGGTCTCCCCTGTGCTCGATTCGTTCATCACGAGCTCAAACAGCCTCTGTCCGAACTGCGCCGGCTGTGCAAAAAGCGCAGAAGCATACCCTTCTAACGTCATCGCATCCGGCACGGTTATCCAAGGGACCTGCTCATCCACAACGACTTGGTATAGGGCGGAATTTTGAATGATTCGGGTTCGCAAGATGGGGTTTGCTTGAAGGGTCAATTCCCATGCATGTTTGAATCGAGGGACATCGAGATCTGCGCCCAATTTGAATCTGAGGGACGCGAAGAAGGCTCCCGCATCGCGCATCGACAGTGCGAAGAGCGCCTCCTGAAGTGGGGTAAGGGGGTAGATGTCCAGAATCGAATCCCGTTGAATGGAGCAAAGACTCTCGGCGGTGGACAGCAACTCGTCGCTCTTTCGGACCAGTGTAAAGGGCTCTATGGCCGTAGCTTTCGCGGAGACTCCGTCCTTCATAGGCCCTATGGATGCTGCCATGTCGGAGAGACGCGGATTCGCGAAAACACCCGCCACAGTCGACTGATATTTCCTTTGGCGAAGGGCCGCCACTAAACGCATCGCTAGGATGGAGTCTCCGCCTAGATGAAAGAAGTTGTCGCTCGAACTGATCGCGTCGACTGGCCGACTTAGGAAGTTGGCCCAAAGATCAGCGAGCATGGTTTCGACCTCGTTAGCAGGAACAGATCTTGCGGTTTCAGCATTCGACAGAGCCAGGAAGTCTTGCTCTTGGAGCGAGCTTGCCATCTGTAACAAGTAGCGACGGTTTATTTTTCCAGTTGAAGTCATAGGGACGCACTTCAGTTGCAGGAATGTGGTAGGAATCATATAGCGAGGCAGGCGTTCCGTCAGTTTCTGCTCTGCAGTGCGACATAGCTCGACGAATACCCGGTCAGGTTTGGTAAATGCGGTCTGATCTGGTGGTTGCATTGTGGCGGTCGGGTCTCCCGGCTGTATGAAGGCGAATAGTTGCGGTCGAGCGTCCCCAGACTGGCGGACGACACAATCGACAACAACACAAGCCTGGCTTGGTAGGAATTGCCTCAGAGTACTTTCAATCTCTTCCACCTCGATACGCTGGCCATTGAGCTTGACCTGTCGATCTTTGCGAGACACGTAGCGAATTCGCCCGTCGCTGGTATATTGAACTAGATCGCCGCTCCGATACAGCCGACTCGAACTTTGCCCGCGGATGGGTCTCAGCCACGTTGGGCATGGAATGAAACTCGCAGCGGTGGTTTCCGGATCGTTGATGTACTCTCGTGCGAGGGTGGGGCCTTCTATCAGCAGCTCCCCGACAGCTCCCCAAGCGCAAAGCTGCTCAGGGTCGGATGGATTGACGATCCACCCGAGCCCATTCACAAAAGGCCCTATGAGACCCGGCGTCCATTCTAGAGGATCAATAAGCGCCGCGGCACATACAAAGGTGGCTTCCGCTGGGCCGTAAACGTTGACGACATCAACGTCTTTCCGCACCGACCATTGTTTGACGATTCCAGAAGTCATTGGCTCGCCACCGAAGATAAGCGTCTTCAGCGACGGCGTGATGAGCGGGTCGATGAGTTCGGCAGCGGAAGGCACCATAAAGGCCCAAGTGACCCTTTGATCTGATATAAAGCCTGTCAAATTGGACCACCGATCCTCCTGGGAGGGAATGCACAGGCAAGAGCCAAACATCAACGGCGTCAAGATTTCAAAGATGCTCGCATCGAATGCCAGAGAGGCGAAATGCAGCACCCTCGAGTCTTCACGGACACGGAAACACTGGCGCAAATCTCTCATTCCCGTCGCGATGCTTGCATGCTCCAGGACGATTCCTTTCGGTTGACCAGTGCTGCCCGAAGTAAAAATAACAAAGGCCGGACTGTCAGGACTGATAGCCCAAGTCATGACRAAAGGAGGCGCTGGAGTGTCGTATATGAACGGTGGAGACACAGTGACGACGGTCGCAGCCCCAGTGGCTGCAGCTTTAGCAGCGCTTTGCGTTGCCGGAGATGATATGACAAAAGCCGCACCGGTCTGCTTGATTACCTGCGACATCCTTGCGGCTGGCTGGGAGACATCCAACATTGCGCAAGCAGAGCCAGCTTTGAGGATCGATAACACAGCAACCACCGTCCATCGCGACCTCTCCATCCAAACTACAGTGACTGAGCTGGAGCCGATTCCAAGAGACAAGAACAGCGACGTCAGCCTGGTGATTGCATCATGTAGTTCTCCGTATGTCAACGAGCCATCCCAAGAGCAGATGGCCTCTGAGTTGGATTTAAGAAGGCATCGCTCAAGAACCAGTTCATGAACCAGGCTATCTTCTCTCACAGGTACAGATGTATTCTGTTCCATGATTTGTGCTACATCGCGGCGGCTGGCCACTTTGATATCTTTGACTGGAGTTTTGACATCCTGGACAATCTGCTGGACAACGTGGTCTATCTGTTGAGCCAGACGCTGAACTTCATTCGCTTCCAGGCATGAAGGATCGCAACTCGCCGTTAGTCGTGCGGAAATCTTGTCGGCTGACAAGGCAAAGTTCAGGACAAGCGGTGACGTTGCAAATTGAGCGAGATCCCCATCGTTGGCYGGTGGCTCACGGAAGATTGTGTTCGATGTGCTCGTCTCCGTCGGCTGAATGATCAAGTGAGATCGAAAGCGGCACGCTGCAGCACACTCGGGGTTAATCAACCCAATATCGCGAAGGCCCATCTGATCGTGAGGCGCAATGGTCGCCAGATGTTCCTGGATATCTTTCAAAAGATCCTCGATGGTCAGGGACTGCGAAATGCGCACTCGAAACGGTATGGCTGTTATGGTCGGTCCAACGACCTTCTCCATTCCTCGCATCGGGAAGTCCCTCCCTGAGAGCGTCAGTCCATATACCACCTCCTCGCTCAAAGTGTAATGCCCCAGTGTGATCGCACAAGCGGCGTGGATGATCGATGCCATGGTGAAGCCCGTACCAGAGATGTCACCGATTGTCATGGTATGAGACACCACCTCCGGGCGAGTTGATACCGCTTGGGATCGTGCGGAGGGGAAAGCGTGAACCTCCAAGTCTGCAAACTCACGCATCCAAAATGTCTCGCTCTTCACGCGGTCGAGCTTCGCCACACACGCAACGAACGTGTTGAAGGGACGCAAAGACAGAGGCTTCCAGTGATAGGCAGCTTCGACTTGCTCAAAGATGCTCTGTAGTGAAGGGCCATCGTATAATGCGTGATGGAGCCAGAGATGTAGAAGCCAGATGCCATCGACTTGAGAAAGCGACGTCTTGAGCAACACGCCTCCGTCGTGAACGTGCAAAGGATCTCTGTTCGAGGACCATAGATCGGCCTCCCGAAGAACGACTTGCCGAGAGTGACCTTCACATGCAGCGGACGAGATGATACGAGTGCGCAGAATCGAATTTTCTCGGCAAACCGACTGCCATGCGGTCTTGACGCGGGCGACATCTACGCCACGGGGAAGCGAGCAGGTCATTTCCATGACATATTGTCCCTGCTGCCTCAGGGTCAAAGCAAACAGGGCTTCTTGGATCGGGGTGCAAGGGTAAATATCTTCAATCTCGTGGATCGAAACACCGCACTGGCTCGCAGCGTTACGAATGGCCTCAAGGCGATCTTCTTCGTTCAAACTTGAAAATGGCGGATTGTTTTCCAGGGCCTCGCGTTTCTCGTTGTCTGCTGCTATTACAGCGGCGAGATCTTCCAAACAAGGGTGGCGGAAGAAGTCAGCCACCGCGAGCGAGAAACCACTCTCTGCAAGTAAAGCGGCGACTTTCATGCTGGATATGGAATCTCCACCTAGATGGAAGAAATGTTCATTCAGGCCCACCTCATCCACCGGCAACTGGAGTGCGGCGGAGACTGCGGTCTGCAATGCAGCCTCATTTGGCGTGAGCGGTGCTCGCTTATACAAGGTCTRCTGAGCGCTGTATCTACTCAGGTCTCTTCTCGACCATGCAGATGCTGTTTCACGCAGCAATCTACGATCAGTTTTGCCGCTAGCTGTACTTGGTACTTCGGTAAGGGGCACAAATGCGGTGGGAATCATAGCGTGCGGCACCCTATCGCGCAGGAGAATATTGCCAGAGCGGAGCTGTTCCTGGCCATGGGAATTCAAAGAGGTGATGAAGCCATGACTCTGTGGAGTGGTAAGCTGCATGCCGAGCAAGATGAACGCCACGAGCATAGGTTGGGCGCCCGGATCCGATGGCTTCACAATTTCAACAACAACCTCTCTCGCCGATGGCAAACACTCGCGCAAGCTATGCTCGATTTCGCCCAGCTCAATCCTCTGACCACGCAGTTTGACTTGATTATCTTTTCGCCCAAGGTATACAATGGACCCGTCTCCGCGTGGACTGTATTTCGCCAAATCTCCTGTCGAGTAGATCCGAGTAGGTTTGCCCTGCCTGACACCACTGAGCCACTCAGGATTTTCGATGAAGACCGCATCAGTCAGACCGCTGTTCTTGAGGTAGCCTTGAGCGAGGATTGGTCCCTCAAGGGCAAGCTCACCTCTGGCGCCCAGAGACGCGAGTCTGTTGTGGTCTTCCGGATCAACTATCCATGTCACTGTAGCTGCTCCCCATCCGATGTTTGATGCCTCGTTCTCAGCTGATACTTCAAGCTGCATCGTGGCGTGAACGGTGGCCTCGCTTGGTCCATACATATTCACGAGACGAACATGACCGTCCCACATTCCAATATCTGTTTGCGCGAGTGCCTCACCGGCAAGTGCGAGCACACGAAGGGTCTTGATCTTCGATGGGTCCAGGGCCCTAGCCATTGTAGGTGTGAGCCCGGCCCAGTCCACGCAGAAGTGGTTGATTGCGTCTTCTAGATTGCTGCGACTTCTTTCGTCCGATGGAATGCATACACACCCGCCCAGCACTAGGGTGTAGAATACTTCTGCAATGGAGACATCGAATGAGAAAGAAGCCACGTGCAGTACCCGGCTAGTCTTGCTGATCAAACTCATAGGGCCATTGATCGTCGCTGCCGTGGCGAAGGCACAATGCCGAATGACGATGCCCTTTGGGGTTCCGGACGAGCCGCTGGTAAAGATAGAATAGAAGGGATCATCGGATGACACTTTCGGTTTGATGAAGTGAGAGTACTTCTCATCAGCGGCGCCTGCCAACATCCATCGCATACCAAGGCTCTTAGCACTGTCAGCGTACTTCTCACAAGAAATGATGAGCGATTCTTCGGTAGTGTCACAGATCTGCTGTAGTCTCAAGGGAGGTGTGGAAGGATCGATCAAGACCATTGCCCCGCCTGCTTTGATGACGGCCAGCATTGTGACCACCGCGCGGAGAGACCTATCCATCATGATCATGACGTATTTGCCCACTCGCACATCAAGTGCCCGTAGGGTTGCAGCAAGCGTAGAGGCCTGTTTTTCGAGCTCTCCGTAAGTCAAGGTACCATCCCATGCATCTACCGCAATGCGATCTGGCTGTTCCGCGCAGTGCTGAACGACAAGATCGTGGACTGTATGTTCCACAACTTGCGGCAAGTCACGATTCCATTCACAGAGCGAGTCCCACCCGGAATCGCTAATCAACCTCAACTCGTTCAGCCTCTTGAGTGGATACTGGGTTGCGTTTTTCAAATTGTGTTCGAATTGTTCCAGAATCTGTTTGATCAACCAATCGTTGACAATGCAAGGATCGTATACGGCTTTGATGCCGACTGCAGCGGTATTGAAAGCTGGAAGTGTCGCCTGGATTGAAATGGCATAATCATCTTCGAATTCGACGGTATCTCCATTGGCAAAGATTTTCAGCTCCTTGTTGTCCACGGGCAGCTGAACCACCAGATGATTCTGAAAACGACAAGCCGCTGCAGCTTCCGGCCCACATGATGCAATCTGCCGGATACCGACGTGTTGGAATGGGATCATATCGGCAGATTGATCTTGCAGAGAGATCAAGCAATCCTCAATAGTGTGGAGACCATTGATCTTGATCCTCCGAGGAACGGTGCTGATGGTCGGACCCAGTATCTGATCGATGTTCAAGAGAGGCGCAGATCTTCCCGCCAGTGTGATGCCATAACAAACGTCGTTGGAGCCAGTAAACTGTGAGATGGTCATCGCCCAAGCCAGCTCAATGGCTGTGGATAGGAGAGTCTGTGAGCTGCTGGAATTGGGCAAAGAGACAGACTGTCTCAAAGTTTTGAAGCACGAGGGTCGATAGCTCGGCTTCCCGGCTGGAAACACTGGAGCAGAGTATCCGCTCAGGTATCTCTCCCAGAAAGTATTTGTCTGATCTTGACTGGTGGAAGACTGAATGTACTCAATGAAGGGCGTGAAAGGGACTGCCTCTTCTACCACTTCACCATAATAGGCAGCCTCGACTTGCTGAAGGATGCGCGGCCAAGACCAGCCGTCAAACAGGGAGTGGTGAATACTAATGGCCAGCGTATTTCGCTGCGCGGATCAGCACAGTAAGAGTCGCATGAGTGGTCTGCCATATTCAATGGACCATTGCTCGCATTTGCCGCGTAACTCTTCCAGGTCCTCAGCCATCTCCCAGATGGAAGTAGCGCGCTCTCCGACCACGACTTGCAACATGCCTATGCTAGACACCTGCACGATCTGTGTGCGCAAGATGGGGTTGAGTGAAATCACCTTGTTCCACGCCTGTTGAAGCTTCTCGACATCGATCTCCAGAGCCAAGTCATGGACTGAGTGCATGACATAAGTAGGCTTGATTTGGTGCACGGATAGGGCCATGAGGCTTTCCTGCAAAGGAGTGCAAGGGTAGATGTCATCCAGTTCGTCCAAAGATGCTACGTTGCAGGAATCCATGGCTGCACGAATGATTCGCTCCTTGGAGGGATCGTCTGGAAGCAGTTGGAACTGCGGTACTTTACCTTCGATCCTGCCAATGGGGCTCATCGAATGTGCCAGGTCTGAGAGCGACGAAGCTCGCAAGACGTTCTCAGTGGTAATGAATATTCCAGCATCCTTGGCTTGACGTGTCAATTCCATGATTCGTAACGAGTCCCCGCCGAGTCTGAAGAAATTGTCATTCATCCCAACATCCTGGATTTGTAAGACCTCCTCGACTAATTGACAAATTGTCCTTTCAGCTGGCGTCTCGGGAAGACGTCGTTCAACAGCTTCGTGCATAAAGCCATGGATTTCTTCAAGGCTCAGCTGCGACGCCAAGTGTTGGATTTCTTTGCGGTTGGTCTTGCCAGTATGTGTGCTTGGGATCGTGTGTAGCGGTAGTATAGATGAGGGCACCATGTAACTTGGTAGACAAGCCGTCAAATGTGCAACTAAGCGTGCAGCCTCAGCTCGAGACTTTTGGCTTGGAGCTGCGAATATGCCGCCATCCTCATCCTTGAAGGTAATCTGGTCCGGACCTCTCACAAAACCAATCAGTATGGATGTCGCGTCGCCTTTTGGCGTGATGAGTTCAGCAATCACATCTGTTCCCGGCGGAAGTTTCTCACGCATACGACACTCAACTTCGCCGAGTTCCATGCGTTGGCCTCTCAACTTCACCTGGAAATCAGCGCGACCAATGTATCGCATTGCGCCTCCATCCACATACTGAACGAGATCCCCTGTGCAGTACCATCGGCTTTCGCAGTCACTAGGGAACTGGGATCGCCAGCTCGGAGCCTTGATGAAGCGCTCCTTGGTCTGCTTCAGATCCCCGGCGTAACCCCTTCCAACAATTGGACCCTCGATCAAAAGTTCTCCAATGGCGCCGATTGGCACAAGCTTCTCGCGATCATTTGGGTCTACAATCCAGTAAAGCGCAGTCTTGGAAGGGCCAATGATATTTTGTTCCGTCATCTGCTCATATGACTGTACGCTGGASAGAGCGCTACACTCAGCGGGTCCATATGTGTTGAACAGGCGAACGTGGGGTTTCCAAGTCTGGATATCACGATCAATGAAGGGCTCTCCTACCAGACCAAGTACCTCGAGAGAAGGAAGATCTGAAGGGCGAAGGAGACGGGCCAAGGTCGGAGTGATGATGGCAAAGTTGACGTGCATCCGCGTGATTATCTCACGAAAATTGGGGGCTTGGGACAGTCTTGGTGGTATGCAAAGACAAGAGCCTGACATCATAGCATTCAGGTGGTCCTGGATGCAAATATCGAAGCCAGCGGCGGAAAATTGCAAGACCCTGCCTCCAGGACGATAGTTCATAACTTTGAGTATTTCGAGGTTTGCAGAGCAGTATGAATAGTGGTCGATGATTGCGGCTTTGGGAACTCCTGTACTACCACTGGTGAAGGCTGCATAGACGGCATTTTGTGGCTTAGTCGGAGTTGGTGGATCACCAGCAGAGATGGCTTGAGTTTGAAGCAAGAGCATTTGCTCCTCATCGATGACAATTGTATGCGTGATTATCGTTGCTGCTTGCTCGGCGAGTACTGGTGAAGTCACAATGAGATGAGAGTCCAATTTTTGGCTCATCTGGCGCAATCGCTCAACAGGGAAGGCAACGTCCATGAAGTAGAATGCACCTCCCGCTTTCAAGATTGCAAGGATAACGACTGATATCCAACGACTTTTGWCGAGGTAGATGGCCACGAAGACCTCGGGCCCAACTCCACTCGCAGTGAGTTGTCTGCTCAGCAATGAAGACAGATGGTCCAATTCGCCATATGTGATTTCTCCATCCCACGCGCAGACGGCGAGACTACTCGGATTGTCGCGGCAGTGACGGAAAACATGATCCTGGACACAAGACTGGGAGATTACCGGCAGATTGGCATTCCAGAGTGACAGCTGGACTATGGTTTGTTTTGAGCACATGTTGGGGGAGTTGGAGCCGGAGTCGCTGACAAGGTCCGCCAGAGTATGCGAGACGAGATCCGCGAGCTGAATGGCATGTTCTTCCGCAAGCATAGACATTTGATATTTGAACTGGACCTTCCAATAAGGTCCATCGTCTTGTGCGTGAATGCTGATGGGTAGATTGCATTGAAGCTGTGCGGGAGAATCCCATAATACGGCAGTATTGAGGTGGTACATCCGCTCCACATCATCAACTCCCGATGTCTCCAGATACGCCAGTGTTTGGAGAGAATGGATGGCATCAGGCTCCTCGGGCTGCTTGGTGAAGTCGATACTTCGCACCCGGAAGCATGTTTCGCGGTCAATGCACAAGAATCGAGGCGTTTCGGAGCGCGTATAGGCTCTCAAAATCTTCGCCCAGCAGATGTGCAGGAGATCCGAGGGATCGACTCCATGCTTCTGAGCAAAGCTGGCCAGGGAGGCGGAAGGCGATGGCAGCCAGATGGGGATCGCAGCTTGGCCAGGCCCTGTTTTGGTGGTCTGAAGTACTGGGAATAAGGAGCGATCGCTGTTAGAACGGTCATGGGTATTCATTTCGTGATGGGTGGAGGATGCAAAATCGGGAGACGTGAGCGAAATCAACGCTCGTGTCGTCAGGTCACTACAATGCCATGCCATTGGTAAATAGATCACACATGGTCATGCGTGGACCCGCCTTTGATGCTTCCTTCTACAGCACCATCATGCATCGGAGAAGATCCTCATCATGTTGCTGCCCTGCAATAGCCAGATTAGATGTGGCAGTCTCAAACCACCGCAGCTAATTGGCGTAATCGAGCATCTGAATGGTTTTCCACGCGACATACGGCAGGCTTTGGAGTGGAAGTACTGTGGGGATTTCATCCCGATGCGCTGTCGCGTGAAGGCGCTGTGCTATACAGCTGCAGCCTCTGGCCGCATCGGAGGTGAAGGCGGCGCTGGATCGTGTACGCCGGCGGTGAAGACATGGTGCATGTCTACTTGTCAACTTTGGGTTAATACAGTATGTTTTGCACTGTCATACTGCACCACGATGGGCAAATACACGTGCAGACGAGGCCAGGGTTCGGTGGGTGTTTGGCGAGGCGAGAAGGTCTGGACGAAAGCTCGCCTCCGAGGGGAGTACGCTCCAGCCGAATGCTCCACTTTTATTCTGCGGTAGATTTGATCACGTCTGCGTACAAATCCATGTCTGGGGACTTTGGCAGGGGCGGGAACTGTAGCACTGTGACTGTGCATCGACGAATCAAGAAACGAAAACAATACATACCTGATGCAGCTGCTCGTTGTTCGATGGCATGCTTCGAGGATAAAAGGCAGCAGGTCTCCGTGATGGACTCTTCATCTGTTCAGGCTGGCTGCGGTCTGATATCCAGCATCAAGTACCCTGCCTCAGACATACTCCCGTGCCTGGTTCACAATGCCTTCTCCACCGACCTCACGATCCGTCTTTGCTGATGATGAATGGTCCCCTCTGAGGGCCGTCATCGTCGGAACCGCCGGTCGTGCCTGCTTCCCAGCAGCTCCGCCGGCAATGATTGAAGCGACGATGCCTTCCGAGCACCTTCACCGCTTCACTCCGAGGTCACCCTTCCTAGACGACATCATCGAGAAAGCGGAGGCAGAGCTCGATTGCTTAGCCGCCATTCTTCGCGGCGAGGGCGTTCGAGTATATCGCCCACCTCGTGGCATCGACTGGCAAGCTGTAGGTGGCTATACAGGAGCAATGCCGCGTGACGGACTCATCTCCATCAACAACACGCTGATTGAGGCTTGTTTTGCTTGGTCTTGCCGAGATGGTGAGATTGAGTTGGCTTATGGAGACATCCTCAAGGAGCTCGCTCTGGAAGATCCGACTGCTCGTATCATTCGCCGGCCGGAATCAGCCTTTGCGGATACCTTGCTAGAAGGCAACGGCCCGCATGATGGAAACCCTTGGGTCATCAACAACAGTCGCCCAGCTTTCGATGCGGCGGACTTCATGCGGTTCGGAAAGGTCATTCTTGGGCAGTATAGCCACGTTACCAACCAAGCCGGGGTGGACTACATCCAACAGCATCTGCCGGAGGGGTACCGCATCGAGATGTTGACCGTGGACGACCCTAATGCGATGCATATCGATGCTACGATTCTGCCTCTTCGCCAAGGCCTTTTAGTCTACAATCCAAAGAAGGTTACAGAGGAAGATTTGCGGGCGCATGCCATCCTAGCAGACTGGAAGYTGGTTGCTTTTCCTTTTGTACCCGAGGCTCCCAAAGACACGCCGCTGTACATGACAAGCCCATGGCTTTCACTTAATGCCCTGGTACTGGACGGAAAGAGAGTCATTGTGGAAGCTAGCGATGAGCGGACGGCCGCTTTCTACGAGCAATTGGGGATGAGCTGTATTCGATGTCCATTTAAGCATGTGAACAGTATTGGTGGCTCTTTCCACTGCGCTACAGTGGATTTGGTTAGAAACTAGTCTCAGCAGATGTCAGATCGTATAACTATCAGGACTGCGGCTGTAGAAGCTCTGCTACATACAGCCAAATCGCCGAGTGAATGTGTTTATCCTGCCAAAAAGGATAGATCACTGTACCGATCTTGGTAATGTGTTCCCAATTTGAAATTGAATCAGCTAGCAGAGAATGCAGAGCTGTCGATATGAGGATTGTTCGGTGGAACAAGACATCCTCAGTTATCCTCAAAATGTCAAAAGGCCACGCTCTCTGCAGGCTAGACGAATCTAGACCTGCTAGAGCCCTTCCTACTAGCAGAGTGGCCCATTGATCGACTGAGAGAGCAGTCCAGGGCGCTGTTATTTTTGACGATTTCTCATATCGTCGACAGAGCTGTCGATATGAGGATTTTTCGTTGGAACAAGACATCCTCAGTCAACCTCACAACTTTAAAAGGCCTCGCTCTCTGTAGGCTGGACGAATCTAGACCTGCTAGAATCCTTACTACTAGCAGAGTAGCCCGTTAATCGACCGAGAGAGCAGTTCAGGGCGCTGCGCTTTCTGACGATTTCTTATATCGACAGCTCTGTCGATATGAGGATTTCCATCGAGACAAGACACTTCCATTCGTCTGCATGACACCTTAAGGCCTTGCTCTCCGCAGAAACGACGATTCTAGAGCTGCCAGAACCTTTATCACTAGCAGAGTGCCCCGTTATTCAACGGAGAGAGCCATCCATGTTATAGTCCGCACTTGTCGACTTCATAGCCCAGAAGTAGAAGAAAAACATAGCCTCGAGGGCAAGGAAGGCAGGGCGGACGACGGGAAATTTGGCGGCAGAAGGCATTGGGCACCAGGCCAAAACGCCGATGTGCTGAAGAACGTAGCCGCTGTCAATCGCATCGACGTAGTATCGAGAAAGGTTGGTGCGCCTGAAGTTCTCGTATTCATTCGCACGCGCGGACAGGCCGGTCATTGCCCGTGTGGCGCTTCCGATGTACAACAGAGGGACACATCCTGACTTGAGGAGGACAGCGGCGTGGATCGGCCAAACATGCCGTCCGTCCGCTGCCCGTCACGTAAATGCGGAAAGAAGGTCCAGGAACCAGTCGATAGCGGGTGGTGTAGCAGCATCGAGAACTTCGAGCAGACCTGGGAAAATCGAAAGTGACGCGGCGGAGAGAGTTTCAGCAAAGACACTGTCGTCGGTGGATTTTTGTCTGAGGCTTGAGGTTGGATGGTTTGAGACGCACAATCAAGTCCAGGTGAGGAGAGTGACGAGCGCAAAGAGCGGCGCCCCGGTGTCCATATTGGACGACGTCCGAAATGACAGGAAACGATCTATCGTTAGGCCTGGGGAGTAAAGATGAGAGGCGTCCATGACGTCTCTCTTCGTCGACAACCGTGGTGGTGGAATGCTCGATGAGGCGCCTTTCGCGGGAGTATTCTGTGTCACGAGATCAGCCTTGAATACATCGTTGAAGCATGGCGCTGTGGAGAGTGACTTACGGGGCGGCCTGGCTGACAAGGAGGAGAAACTTCCATAGCGGATCTTCTCTTCGACAACGGTGGTGAGATTGATGAAGGTGTGCTCCTGCAAGGGCGGTGTGCTGTCCTGTATAAGCGAATAGGGACGAGAATTTGCAGGTGGAGGTAGGTGGAGGTAGAGGTAAGGTAATACAGAGGTCAAGGTAATATGTGTAATAGATGAACCTTGAAGTGTCTAGGCAGCACCTGTCGGAGAGGAAAGACCGATGTTCAGAAGTCGGGCAGGTACAGCTAGCGCATCGGAAGGGTTATGCCCTGCCAGATGCGTAGAAGTAGGCAGGTACGACACAACCCGTTATTGACAGATCTAACCAGATGGGACTCACGCCGCTGCATCACCCACATCCTCACTGCGGATCCCACATTCCCATTCCCATGGCGCAGCGATCTTCGTCCTTGCACTGCTCYCCTTCTCACAGCATTCCACGTACCCAAGCAACCTCTAGTTCTACATCGCGCTGCATGCCCATCACTCGAGACGCCACGCCATCATAGATAGATACGACCTGCGGCGGCGTATGATATCGCTATTGTCCTTGGCTAGCCGGAGCTATTCCAAGACGTGATGGGTGAAAGCCTTATCAAATTGAGAACGAGAATTTGRTGAAGCCGGCACTCATTATGCCAACTACGGCTGTGGCTTTTGGTGCGGGGAGTCCTACTTCAATGGAGACCAGGAGAAATTGCTGGGCCTGAGGAGAGAAGTCGTAGACTGGGGAATATTCCTGGTTCACTCAATGGTCTTGATCCTAGATTGCCGATTCCGCAAGACTGGCCACATCCATACTCAAGCCCTACATATCATAAGATTCATATCTCCACCGCCGATGGTTTTCCTGCAGCCACCACTCCGCAATATCAGCCGCTTCAGCCAGCCACTCAGCAGGCAAAGTCGTATTATACAACGCCGCGCGACTCGTCAAAGTTTCGGGATTCATCGCACGCAGCGGCTTCAGCTCCCAAGGGTCGTGAGCTAGATCTACGAATCGCCAAGGCTCTTCCGGAATAAGCGGGACGGCTAAACGCCAGGAAGGTCTCCTTGCGTCGTGGACGGATACGGTGGTTCCTCCTGGATTGGTGATGTGGAAGTGCCAGTATCCGGTCTCGTTGCCTGGGTGTACTCTCAGTAGTGACTGGCCTTCGGAATTGTGGAGGAGATCATGTGCTGCTTTGCTTTGCTCATCGGAAAGCGAGTCGGTTTCGATTAAGAGGTCCAGAATCGTAGGCAGAATCTGAAGGGATGTGACGGTTTCGGTGATGTCGATGTTGGGGAGTCCGGGCAGCGAGATTACAAGCGGGACATGTAACGTTGCGATGTGTGGATCTTCAAAGGCGGTATGGTGGCCGTGTTCTGCGAGTGCTAGGCCGTGATCGCCAACTGCGATGACTAGTGTCTCGTTGAAGACACCCTCTTCCTGTAAGATTGTCATGATCCTCCCGAGCCAGCCATCGACATAACCGATTGCGTTGAGATAATTGGAGAGCTCGCTAGAACGAGGCAAGCCTGGCTGGGGAGCAAACTTTGTTACTTCCGGTATGCCAAATCCATGATGGGTCGTGCTGGTTAGATGGGATAGAAATAAATTCTCGCCCTTCTCCCGCGCTGTGATGAATGCATCGCGGATGTAATCCTCGAGAACCTCTTCAGGCATACCAAAGTAGTTGACGTCTTCGTTATGAGCTGGTCCGAACTTGTGTTTTTCCTTTAGATATTCTCCGCCGATTATGTCGTCGAATCCCATTTTTGGGAGCAGTCTGTCTTGTTTGTCGTATGATAGAGTGGTGGACTGCATATACTTCGACTCCCACCGCCGAGATGCGTTGAGATTGTTGAGTGTTGACATTATATGTGGGAGGCATGGCTGATAGATGTTGTGTGAGTATTCCTCATTAAAGTCCGCTGCGAGGGGCGTGATACCACAGACAGTGCCTGTCAAACTTTTTAGGGTGTATGTGCTGGTCGTAAAGGCTTGTTCGGCGTTGATCCGCCCTCGGGCAGGCCACCTGGTATCCTCGCTTTGGCCTACGAAGTATTTGGCAAAAGGGTCAAGCGATGCAAGGCCCTCGCTGACATGGAGCGGAATGACCTTTCCCTCAAATGTACCTGCTAGACTGTTTGCAATACTGCCACTGGAGTTGAAAGGAAAGGCATCTTTTCTTGTGCTTTCCAGCGTGAGGAGGAGCACATTCCGGATTGAAAGTCGCTTCAGATTTGCTTCCTGCAGTGCTGGCAAAAGCTTGAGATCAAGACTCGGTACTCTGAGAACGTCCTTTTCGGCGGTATAGTGCTCCATATCTGTGTTGTACCAGTCCGAGAACCCAGCCTGCGGATGTTCCGGCAACCATGTAAACGGAACTGGTCTTGCCAGTGCTGTTTTGTAGATTGGGTGGGCGTGGTGAGTGGCCTGTGGAACGAACAGATGCGCAAGGGCCAGAACTGGCAGACTCCATGACAAGCTACTACTGAGCTGTGTGCAAGAGTGAAGAACCGTGCAAACCAACTGCCACACCAAAATTATGCATGCGAGTCGATGGAGAAGTCTTGTCAGCCTCCCCTGACCAGCGCTAAAGTCGTAGGCTTCGTTCTTCTCCTCCAAGTCTTCAGCTTGGGGTCGAATGAGCGAGATCAGCTTTCCAAACACGCCGTAAGAGACCTCCGCATAAGCATGGCATGCTGACTGCAGAATGAAGGCCAGGGCGAGCAGCGCAACAGCACTCGTTACTAACATCGTGGACATTGACATCATCATCTTCCAAGATCCCGGATCGGTGGCAAGCTTGTAATTTCTCCATTGTATTTCGGCTCCGGTGGAGAAGTAGAAAGATGTTGCAATCGATGCTAGAAACAGCATCACAGCAGCAAAACCATGCACGAGTTGGGGAGCTGCCTCAGCTACGCCGTGTAAGACCAGCAATATGACCGTTTCTTGGACCACGAGAAGGGGCCACCAGACCAAAAGTTGAAGCGGAGATATTGCGTCCAGGTGGGCGTAGATGTGGAGACATTTGGTGCACAAAAGGCATGCTGCAGTAAGAGCATTCGCGTATCGCCATCTTGTAGAGCGTGTCAGCATCATGATGGTGTCACGATGCTCTCGATTGAAAAGAAGTCTCAAGGAATGCTATGGCAGGATATTTTGTTACACGAGACGTCCGATATTAAGCCGCTGCCTGGAGTCTCATCAATCTTAGTCAAAGTGAGTCTTGAATCATCATCCTTCGAATGAACGAAGGAAGTGGCGGAGTAATGGGAACACATTCCCATCGGAAACGAAACGGGTAACGAAACGCAATGTCGGCGACGATCGAGACTTGTCTGTTTGTATTCTCCACGGCTCCTTGTGGCGTGTGACCGGGCGCCATCGCCCCGTTGCAGGTATGGAGAGTGAAGAGCACGCGAGCGCCGATCAGGAGATCTTTGGACTATCCCTTTTGAGACGACGATTGACCGGGGACCCGGTCCTGGGCGGTCAAGCTTAAATTGTTTACCATGATGCTGGAGTGGTAAGGCAGGGGAGTGAACCGACAAACTAACTTTACGTGAGTGAAACGCGTACGCTTTGTAGATCGGCATGCATGCAGCCCCTGTGCCAAGGCTCGTATTGTGTCAACTCCTCTTTTGGTCCGAATTAGGGTTAGCGTTAGCGTTAGCGTAGAGGACAGGTCGACGGTCGTAGTGGCATGCCTCAAACATACATACCATAGATACAGTCACATCCGTTACTGAGCCCGGTAGCCAAATGGTTCTCGCGGGCACAATGAGCCCTGGATGGGGGTAGTTTTTCGCGGAATCAGAAACGACTCTCGATAAGATACCATCATTTGCAAGACGGGTATGTGCCATATCTACTGGCCTGATTGAGCTCTGTGTGTGTAGGGACGACAGGTATCGCCCAACGTCGGTCGGAAATGTAGGTCCAGCGTATTCATATAAGTATTGCATAGCAGCAGACACTGCTTCATTCGTTCTCAAACTGCTCAGACCTCTACTTCCATCAATCTGCTCAACTACTTCATTTCACTTCATTCGCTATGCAATTCATCGCTGTTATGGTGCTGGCGGGCAGTGTCATGGTAGCAGCTCGAAGAAATATCACCCAAAACTTTGGTATTACCCCAGAGAATGCTGCTTGTCGGCACCCCGCAGCTTCGAGCGCTGCAGGTTTTCTGCCATCACCGAGTGGTTTTGCGAAGAACATTTGCACCGTTTGCCCGTCGCCTAAATTCGGCTATCCACTTTGCTGCAAAGGAGAACTCGATTGCAAGAACCGTGAGCGGAAATCGGTCGAATCCTGTTGCATGCGATGCTGACAATTGCACAGCCCGATACGACCCATTGGATAAGCTTGACTTTCAGATGCTCTGCGAAGAAGCCAACAGTAAGGCTCGTTGCTGCAACAAAAAGAAGGTGAGTTGTTCTGCTTTCCGGTCACTCTTCCCAAGCCTAATCACAAGCGTGTATAGGGTGGATCGAACGTCAAATGCGAAGGGATGTCCATGACGGTTGACGTGGCTGCTGCCGAGTCTGTAGGACTCCAGTTATCTTAGTCGAGGGCTAGTGAACCAGTCGACTGGCTTGTGACAGCCAATTCAAGTGAATATATCAAACTACAACTTTCACAACGGCTATGTAGTAGTCCCAGCAGATCTTACTACCCTTACAGATAGCCATATTATAATTAAGACGTCCCTTCACTTGCAAGGCGACTTTGCAGAATAGAGAGGGTTCCAGAAGCTCCAAAATCGATGACTCGCCTTTGAGCGAGGACTCCAAGTGTCATTTCAATCTTGATTCCAATCGTTCCAATATGTGAATTTGCACCTTGGATGGCCGCCTATTTCCGCTCAACCCCCGGCGAAGTAAACGAGTCGAACAATTCCCAGAGCTGTCGATATGAGAGATCATCAACAAGAGCAGCGCCCTGAACTGATCTCTCGGTTGATTAACGGCCACCCTGCTAGTAGCAGGGATTCTAATAGGCTCCAAATCATCGAGCCTGTAGAGAGCGACGCCTGGGGACATTAATGGACATAACTGAGGATGCCTTGTCCTGAAGCACAATCCTCATATCGACAGCTCTGATGTCAATTCCACAGCTCGCAAATGGCCCTTTTCAGCCGCCACACTCCTCGCAGTAAATCCACGACCGTCTCTCGAGTCTTTACTCGCCCCTCGTTCCAGAAGTAGCTTCAAAGTCTCCAAACGATTATACTCAGCCGCTTGATGTAAGGGAGTCATTCCCGATTGAGTAGCGTGATTGACATCCGCCTTGCACTCATCAATCAGGAATGTCGCCACTTTCAGATGCCCTTCCTTAACCGCGAAATGCAGCGGCGTGAGTCCCATGTGGTTGGATCGGTCAACAACGGCACCGCGCTGAATCAGTTCTTTAACCAGACCGAGAAATCCGCGCTGAGCGGCTTCGTGGAGAGGGGTCTCGTCTATGTAGTCCACGCTGTCGGCATCTACTCCCTCGGTTTTGAGAAGGAGCATGGCAACTTCAATCCTAGAATCCCATATAGCTAAGCGGAGGGGAGACCACTTTCGTTCCTCGAGAGGATCAGGATCCGCTCCATAGTTTAGGAGCTGTTTGACGATTTCAAGCCCCCCTCTGGCTGCTGCTTCATGTATTGGCGTCCATTTATGGCTCTCGCGTACATTCGGATCGGCTCCGGCTTCGAGTAGAATGCTCACGAGAGCGGGGTTGGGTATTTGTGCTGCTCGATGTAGCGGAGTGTAGTTCCAATTGTGGCCTCGCACTTCGAGATTGGGCTTTCTCAAAAGAAGTTGTTTCGTGGTGTCGACCCTGCCCCTATCTACAGCATAGCATATCGCAGTCGTCCCCTCTTCATCCCCCGCCTCGATGTTTGCTTTTCCAAGGTTCAGCAGGAGGTCCACAATAGATGTATGGCCTGCCGCGGCCGCTCCAATGAGAGGTGTCTGATGATGACCTCCCGCATCAAACCATTCTTCAACATTCACTCCTCGCGAGAGAAGTAGCTCTACAACATCAGCACGATTGTGCTGACTTGCTTCGCCAAGAGGAGTCCGGTTTGTGTTTGGTGTTCTGTGATTCACATCGTCTCCCATCTCGAGCAGCTGCTGGACTATTGAGATGTGGCCAAGTCTACAAGCTTGATGAATGGGCCCGTCAGTATTCTGATTGTAAATGTCGAATCGTGCTTCTCTTCGTATTAGCATCAGTGCCATTTCAATATGACCATGCTCACAGCATTCATGCAGTGCAGAATAGCCGTGCTGGTTGACCGCATCGATGCTTGCTCCCCAATTCAGAAGCACCTCTCCGATCCTGGTGTGGCCATGCCAGCCCGCCTGGCACAACACACTATCGTTGCGGGAGTTGCGTGGAGTGATGTCAGCTCCTTTCGTGAGGAAAAATTCGAGCATCTCCTTGTGGTCCTGCTTCGCGGCTTCAAACAGTGGCGTATGTTTGTCTGGACCTTTGACATTGATGTCAGCTCCTAGTTCCAGCAGCGTGCGAACTGCAGTCATATCGCGGCGGCGTGCGAATAGACAAAGTGCCGGCCATCCATCTGCGTTTTGGAGTTGCAGGTTGGGTCCATTGTCGAGAAACCAAGCCATCAAGGACGACGACGAATTGCACAGATCGCGAGCACTCAACCCTCGATCATCCTTTGCAGTCTTGTCGGCGCCTCGATACACCAAGGCGCGGACAACCGAGGCACTGCAAGAAATGACTGCGTAGTGCAGTGGAAGCCTACCATAGTCATCCTCGGCGTTGATTTCTGCGTCGTTCCGTATCAGGAACTCAACCATGCTGACATTGCCTTGCTCTGCAGCAAGATGCAACGCCGTCTGGTTGGACTCGTTTCTTGCCAAGATAGCTGCTTTCGGATTCTCCTGCACAAGCCGCTTCAGCTTTGGCATGCTGCGTTCGTTCACGGTCGAGAATATAGTTTGCTCGGACATCTCCTTTTCTAGGATCGCTCGACGAAGTCGCTCCTTTGCGCCATAATATTTTTCTCCGTAATTGACGCCGGGTGTAACTCCGCAGATACCGTAGAGAGCATAGAACATGTCTTCTTCGCGAGTAGTCTCGCGTCCATCCATCCATTTCCTCTTCTCGTCGATACTCAAGCTGGAACTGGAGTCATATGACTGGAGTACTCCTTCTGGTATATTTGTGATGGTCGCAATCCTGCCCTCCAGTCCCGGGCCACAATCGATTTCGGAAAGAGGATGGTTGGAAGCTCCTTTGTTTCCAATGACGTCCCAAGTTTTCGTTGTGAAGACAACTACCGGTGGAGCCAGCAGCTCTTGTAAAGTCCAGCCTCTAGTAAACCACTCACTCGTCTCCAGGTCTTTAACAGACCCGACATCAGCAAGCCATGCGATACACAGCGATGCATCCTTGTAGTAGTCAAACATGAGATTGATAGCCTCGCCAAGCTCTGGCATCGAATTTTGATTGATGCAGACGGTATCGATCCAGAGCCACTCAACTGATGGCACGTTGTCTTGAACGTACTTTGCAAAAGCCTCTACCTTCTTGTATCCTTGAGTATCGCAATTATTCTTGATCCTCAAGTCCTGGAAGCTTGCTTCATCGTCGCACCATCTGTGTGACGCGATAACGTACTTTGGGCGGTCTTGAGGCCTGTTGAATACCTTGAACCGCAGGTCCCCGACATTGAGGAGCCTCATGGTGTCACGGCTTCGGTCGTAGGTGCTGCAGGCGAATAATAAGACCAAAGTTCGTCGGAGTGTCCAAGGGCCGCCGAAATTGAAGATTGCCGCCTCTCCTTGTAGTAAGTCGACGACAACGCTCATGAACAGGTGGGTATAAGCACAAAAAGCAGCAGCCTTACGGAGAGTTAAGTACCGATGGTCGAATGCCTCGTCGAATAATGAATGTCTTCTTAATCGTACCGTCGTTGTTGCAGAAAACACAAGACTGTTGCTTTCTTCGGCCCTTGGTCGAAGTTTACGCTTCGCTGTTCTTTGCGACTTAGTGGTTGTAATCCCTGCTCTAGAAGGATTCTCAGCTCAGCGTCCTTAGACGTGCTTAGCTGCAGGAGCTGAATGTTAGCGTAAGCCTCGTCAACTCTAGTGGGTCAGAACGCGGGATGTTTAAACGGATCAACGTACCTTACCTGGTATGAGAATATCGGTATATCCTGCCTTTTTAATAATATTCCTCAAATCACAAAGGGCTGTTTCCAGAACTTGCCCTATCGCCAAGTCACACAGATGCCTCGCTGCCAATGCTTCAAAAAACGCCTCTCAATCGTTCCCATCCTCATTATTCCGACCTTTCCAACAAGTTTCCCTCTCACGCTTCCCGGATCTTCTTCGCCCTTCCACCACCCTCTTCACCACCGGGAAGCACACTCCTCTTCGTGCCAGGCATGCTCCCCGTCCCAATCTCATTTTCACTACTGACTTTTCGCGCCGGATACGCCTTTTCCAATCCCTCAAAACAGTTCCAAAGGCTCTCTTTCCCACCTCCCGCCTCGGAAAAGTACTTGCATGCCAAAGCCTCCTCTGCAGTCCACCTCTTGAGCGGATCATAGATGAACAATCCTCTCAACAACTCCTCTGCACTACTGTCCGGCGGTCCCRCCTTCCCGTAAACATTCCCTCCAACTGTATTCCTCCACCACTTCTCCAAGCCTACAGGTCGAGCAACACCAGGAAATTGACTCTGGATACTCGCGAGATGCGAAAACTCCGGCATGGCAGACAATAAAGGCCATTCAGATTTCTTCGGTAGACCCAGCACCTCCCCAATCTTTCCCATCTGATTCCTCTGAAAGGGTATTGCTTTCTTGGAGTCCTGCTTCGCTTCCTCGCCCTTAAAGATCGGTCTCAGACTCAAAAGTTCAGCAAATATGCACCCCACAGCCCAGAGATCAATCGCAGGAGTGTAATGTCGACTCCCCAACAGTAACTCCGGCGCCCGATACCATATTGTCACGACGACCTTGTCACCGGCGAAGAGCGCATGGAGAGGTTTGAAGAATAGACGTGCCAGTCCTAGGTCTCCAATCTTGATTGATCCTGAAGATGTGACCATGWTGTTGGCGGGTTTTAGGTCTCGATGAACGACCCAATTGCGGTGAAGATAGAGCAGACCGGAGAAGATCTGGTACATGCAACTTCTCAATGTACTCGCTGGGATTGGCGTCCGAGGGAGGAGACTGTGATGATGGATGATTTGAAGGAGATCATGTTCTGCATATTCAAAGACCATGAATATACACTTTGACTCGAGTATGATTTCCACCAAATGAATCAATGCGGGGTGGGAAAGTTCCGTGCAGAGTGCCATTTCTCGAATGGCCGATTGCGATATTCCAGTGTATTGCAATTCGCCTTCTTTGTCGGGCTTAAACTTCTTAATGGCAAATGCGGAGATTGGGCGGCCTGAAGGGTGGGTTGGAGGAGGTTGTGTTGTGCGTTTGGACACGGCTTTGTATACCCGCCCGTAGGTACCGGACGAGATGAAGCCGACGATGTCATAGTTATCATTGATATGTCGTTGAGGGGCGTAGGGTGTTGTGCCGCTCATACTTGGCGTGGTGGGCGGTTCTGCGACGCATGTAGCATGAGTAATGTGAGATGGAAACGCTGTGGCTCCATATGAGCGAATGCATGTACGATTAAGTGCTCTGACCGTATTGAACGCGTCAACAGCCGGCAAAGCCGAGAAATAGACGTAACCCGATCATGGTATTGTTTTTCTTTTGATGATGATGGTGATGATGATGATGATGATGATGATGATGATGATGATGGAGGCGGAAACCGAAGATTTTGACACACTTACCCTCAAAAGCAGCCTGAACACTCCTCTTCAGATTCGATTGAGCAGGACCAACGGTGTGAGGAGCAGGATTACGATACGAAGAAGGATTTGAAGCCATGGCTTCCTTGTCGCCGTCGATCCTGACTGTGCTGATCCGTGGGCTAGGCCAGCAAGAAAGGGGAGGTGGAGACGGGACATGGAGAACGGAAGGCGGCACGTGGCTTCCCGAGCTCGCCGACGGCTGAAAGTCGCCGGGAGGTACAGAACAGGGCAGCATGTGACAAAGGTAGTGTCCCGACAGCTCCAGGGCGTTTGATCAAGGTAAGGTAGTTCCTAGGAAGATACGCAGAACAGATCCGACAGGGACCACCCGATTATGATGATACAATTCTAAGAACCTCTTCTATGATAACAACAAAGCATGCACCGCCCGTCGCTATGCCACAGAAAACCCGATCTCTTCCCTGCGATCATCGATGACCCTACCGTATTCCAACAATAACCTAAAGAACCACACTTCAAAGTCCTCGTTCCTCAGCGCTTTCCCCGCCCATTCTCTCCCCGTCTCTGCAATCCCCACCCCGAGAGGTTTGCCCTCCTCTTCCGCATCGAAGTACCTCACGGCCTCCAATGCCTCCTCGCCCTGCAGCGTCAACGGCACATAGTGAACCCAAGGTTTGATCCATTCTTCATGCCATTCTCGAAACACCGCCATCTTGAATGTCAGACTATGGCTCTTCAGAAACGCATAGAAGCGTCCCGAAAAGGCGTTGCCGTCGATGTCGAGGAGGTACTTATACTTCCACGCTTCCTGCTGTTCAGCCGGCTCGACTACTTTGAAAAACTCCCTCTGCGCATCACAGTCGCCCGGATCACATTGCCCGACATGGGWGAAGTATACGTCCATGATTTCCTTGTAGTCCTGTCGTGGGACTTGTTTCGTAATCCAGCTGGACTGCTGTGTTGCGTCCGTAACGGCAGAATTACTGCTGGAGAGAATCCTGGCCTTGTCAAGAGCGTTCACTGTGCGGACGAACTGCTGTCGATGCTGTCGCTTCCATCCTCCATTCCGACTGAAGCCTCCAGTCGTGCTTCCTCGCCACCAGAGTTTATTGATTTTTGCTGACCAGCTTATGTCCGCGGATTCCTTGTATTGGACTTTTCCATACCAGTACCATGGACTGGGATACACAATGTCCTGGAAACTTGACATCTTGCTCTGGCTGAAGACCGGGAAGAGGTCATGGACGACATTGAAGGAATTTGGTCTTTCAAAGAAGCCGTGCGAATGGCCGAAGGAAGGCGAGTTGCAGACATCGGAGAAGGCGGTGTGGTTGTAGATGAAGCCCAACTCTCCCAAAGCATACGCCGTGAGATTGTCCTGCTCAAGCGACTCTTCCAACGCACGTGCTGGGCTGTGCGGAGGGCATGACATTCGGGATGGGATCCACGTCGGTTGATGCGCATAGACGTTGAAGCGTGTAGTTTTCACCTCGGCCAGCCGCTTACCATGACTGACCACGTCGTTGGGCCTGCGTGAAAAGGCGTTGCTTGGCGATTGTTGGGCTGCAGCTGCAGGCATGTTTGTCTTTAGAGCGATTTCCACCAGTTGGGAAAGCCGATCATGTGGCACCACAACGCGTGGCTCGTCGTGGATGTTGAACGGTAGATCCATGTCGGGCAGGTAGTCGATGAATTGCTCCATCATGCCTACTGCAGCCTGCTGTAACCATTCCTGACCACCTTCGACGTGGGAGACTTTACCTTCACGAATGAGCAAACCCATGAGGTTGTTATCGCCGAACCCAAGAGATTCTCTCGCTCGCGATCTGATGGTCTTCGGGGATAATGCCCAGAATGGTAGAAGCGAGTGGTAGATGGTGTCATACTCATCAATAAGCTGCACGCCTTTCCGGTGAGCAAATTGGTACCACTTATCAAAATGTGGCGGTGGAGGGATGCCGTATCGTCGTCTGTATTCCGCAACGGCAGCTTCGAGGGTCTGGGATTGAGATCGCAATTTGACCTCCCACGCCGATTGTGCGTCTTCCACAAGGCTCTTGATGGGGTGCACATGGTTGTTCTTGTACTGTAGGGGAGCAAGCGACGCGACCGGTGGCGCAACGTCGTCTCCGTCTGTCAGCCGGATTCCCGGCAGGGTGTTGGTGTGAGATCTTTGAGTGGGTCGGCTGAAGTAGTAAAATGCAAGCACGACTAGAGACAGTGACGCCGCCAGGGTCGTGATGCGATGGAGGCGGGCCCTCATCCTGGTCTTGGTGGCGGCCTGGTCGTCAACGGAGAAGAAGATGGCGGCAAAGCATAGCGCTGCGAACCAGAGTCGAGCCGGGGTAAAGTCGAGGATAAGCTGCGAGCAGATAGCGGCAAAAAGAAGAGCAAAGCTGGTGAGGAAAGCGGCCTGTCGATGAATCTACAATGGGAGATCAGCCAATGTTCTTGCCGTTTAGATCCGCGATAGACAGCAAGGAGGAAGGTGCTGGATCGAGGGCCAGTGAAATTGAAGATTGCCGCCTCTCCTTGTGGTGAATCGACGACAACGCTCACGAACAGGTAGCTATAAGCATAGAGAGCAGCAGCCTTGCGGAGAGTCAAATAAGGAGGATCGAATATCTCGTGGGATAATCGTGCTGTCGTTGTTGCAGAACATACGAATTCTGCCCGCTATAGGTAGGGCGGCGACCATCAATTTCACCGTCCCTTGAATGTAGTGGTGTACATTTGAAGGAATACGCGGGCGGGACGAACGGGTCAGTTCACAATGGGAGCGCGACTTACCATGAGTACAAGAGCACCAAACAGCGCTATGCGCGCAAGAACGGCACCCAGCGCGTAGAACGAGGCCAATATGGCTTGGCGAAAGATCCAATCATCGCCCATTGCTTGACCCAGCCGACCGTAGTATTGCAGACCACCGAAGTGTGAGCTCTCAAGAGATAAAGCTGCGACGACCGTGGCCGTTGTCGCCGCTGTTGCAACGTCCCTCAGCACCGAGAGCCATTGCTCCCCATTCGACATGGTGCTCTGGCACAGCAAGCCATCCACATCGTCTCCATTCTGTCCAGCTCCGCATGCACGCTCAATGAGTTGTAAGGCGAGCACCTGGAGGATTGCATGCGATAGTCCCAGGGCACTGACGGTGATGGAGCCCGTGCTCACATACAATGCGGCCGCACCGCATGTAGTGAGGACTGCAAGGCTGGTCCCGGGCACGCTGGAGGTGGAGGAAGCAGAAGGTCTTGATTTGGTGGGAGTTCCGGGCGGGCCGTTCGTAGCAGAAGCGGTACTGTCGAACACACCAGCTCGCACAGAGGCGTGAAGCAGTACAGGTAGAAGCGCCTGTTGTATTCATTCAAGTCTCAGCCAGCGCTCCATGTCGTATCGTATGGTCGTCGTGGGGAAATCACCTTCGTCCACCACAATCCTCTGCCATCCACCGCCCGCTCACAGACTTGCGCCAACACCACCAACACCCCCGCTGTCCATGCCAACCGCTGCGGGGCGTGCGCGTCCACCAGTGATTTTGCGCCCACGCGAGACGTCGCCCATGCGCAGAGCAAAAGCCAGGCGGCAGCGCTGGCGAAAAGGGAGTGTTTGGCGGGATATGTCAAGGTAAAGGTCAAAGTCGAGGCGGCGACGAGGGCCAGCGGCAGGGTCACGGTGGAGAGCACGGCGGCATCGTGCTGGGAGCGCGACAGCAACGATGGCATCGGATCGGATTCTCGTGGCTCATCGCGTGAGATATCGCGGAGAATTCATTTATTTTAATGTTGTAGAACTTGAGATCGGAACTGGGTTTCGGACTATGACGATTGCCCCCTTGCTAGGAAGGTCCAAGGGCCGATGAAAGCGAAGGTTGCCGGCTCTCCTTGTAGTGAATCGAGGACAATGCTCGCTAAAAGGTAGCTATAAGCACAGAAAGAAGTAACCTTGCGGAAAGTGCAGTGTCTTATATAATATGTCTTCTTGTTTGTGCTACTCTCGTTGCAGGAGGCAGAAGATCTTTCATGAAGTTCTCCTTGCACCACAGGCATCCAAGTCATGTAGCACATCGATGAAAAGTATGCATACAGAAAGTTCTGCAAGGGCTGTAAGGCGAGGAGCAAGAGTGGTTCTCCTTGACTGTACCGCCTTTTGTTAGGAACATACACGATCCTTTGCCTCACTTCATGGTCGGCGGCTTCGTAAATGGTATATGTTTCAAGGGCATTTGTTCACGGAAACATCCATCACGTTTATTTTACTCGACTACCAGCTTGCTCAATTATAAGGCAGTGATCTCCCTGCCTCAATATCAGTTCCATTGGGAAGATGCACGGCGCGCATGACGATATTGGTCAGTTTTACCTGAGCCATCGCTACCCCAACCCTAACCCTACTGCCGATTACCTTCTAGAGAGGGCCGCGACCGCTCACGTAGTAGCATTGCCAACTTGACGAGGTGTTGATTAGTTTGAAGCAAAGGTGTATATCCGAGTAGCTGACAGGACTTTGATGCAATGTGGGTATCTTCGCAAACGCCAAACTCCGCATCACGCCAAATCACACGGAATAGTGCAACGAACAATCTCAATGCTTGACCCGACCGCCGGAAGCTTCAAGCACCTTCTGAGTATCTTCGCGAATCTCTGGAATTCCCTGCATCATAGCCTCACCCAGGATGTCTCGAAATTGGGCATAAGCATCAGCCCGACCCTTTTGCTGCTGATTGTACCGCATGACCAGCTCGACGAACTCTCGCGTGTAAATGTCTGGATTACGAGAATTCTCCACGTATTGAATGATCTCTAGGGGAATATGGGTGGGTAATCTTCGAGCTGTTTGGCTTAGAGATTGGAGGTTTTGTAGAAGGTTCTTGCTGAGAGAGGTCAGTTTGTGGTATGTGAGCGGATAAAGATCCTTTTACATCTCCGTGCCCATAGCCTGCTGAGTAGCTTGGCCTTGGTAATCATGCGCTTGCACGATTAACATATACAAGTTGCTGATGATTCCGCGGAGATGTGCTGTGATTTCTATTGTCAGTCTTGTTGAAGGAAGGGAGCGGAGAACGTACTGTCCACCTCATCAAGAGTTGCTGTGGCCATGATGACCCTGATTCAATTCTATCAGTTGAAGTTGTTGTAACTTGGAAGTGCTCTTCAACGTGATGTCTAGATCCAAGTTAGGTCTAGATGTCTCGATGTTCAGACGGAGGAGGATGCCGGCCCGGGGCTGATCCGTGCGCGACGTCGAACTCTCCTTCACGGAAAGCATCCAATACACCAACAGCATCGTATTCACCAGATTTCAATGCAGGCTCGCGATTGCCCTCTGATATGGCCCATAGCGGCCAACGACATACGGAGYGTCGTACGTCAAATGTCGGCGTGCTCCAGCGACAGCGAAGCGGTCTCCAAAACGATCCACAGCAAAAGGCGACCATAGCATACATCAAGCGAGTCCTTTGCTCCAAGCCTCGCAGCCAAGATGCTTCGAGTGCCTTTGTCGTGAACGATACCAAGCCACTGGAGGATTTGTTACCACCGCTCACTAGCTCCAATGCCATTGACATTGAACTATACGCTCTGATTGCTGTGATCCTAAGCAACTTTGTCCAGGCTTGGTACAACCGCATCACCCCTGATCAAGAATTTGTGGGAGAGATTGTCCAGATTATTGCTCATTGCACAAGAGGACTCGAACAGCGTCTTAGAAAGGTGGATCTGGAGAGCCTCGTGCTAGACGAGCTACCTGGTCTTTTGCTTGACCACATAAATGGTATGCCGCGCTCGCAACCACATCTACGAATGAGGCTGATTAGAACAAGCGGTACGAGTTTCTCGATCGTCACGAGGTGGCAGACTGCCTCAACATGATCAGCGATCGCGATATTTGGCCCTCCGTCCCCACACCGCCCTGGAGCCGATACCAGGTGATGTCGGGTCGTCACTCGAGCAACAAGAGAATGAAGTCGCGTGGTGTCTCCTCCTTGTGAACCGAGTGCTTCCTTTGGTCCTACCTCCGGAGGATCTTCTCAATCCGTGTCTGGACGTACTCGTGTCGGAGATATTCTCCGAAATGATATTCCACAACGGCATCTGTGGCAAAGCATGTGAATCGTGGCTGCTCTGGGATGGCATCACGAAAGTGTTGCAGTCATTAAGACCCGAGAGTCGTAGGCCGCTGAATGTCCAAAGCGCATCGGCGAACAGCCTTGAGGAATCTGGGCTCCTTACGCCCGCAAGCGCCTCGAAGAGCACCGACCGGCAAAGATCGCTGCGTGGGCGCTTCGATGCAGCCATACAATTATTCTGGCTCACAACTCAAGGTGTGATGACTCTATGGTTCCTGCTACGATCATTCGCCATGGCTTTTATGCAGGCATCATCTATACCGCCTCGCACAAGCAAGTCATCACACCGACCGAAGACGATTGAGAAAAATCTCAACAGGTCGGAAACCAGGAACCGGCTACCGACGCCGAAGTTGGAAACACGATCCATCACCAGTATGAACTTCTGGGAACTAATGTCCCAACTTCTCCGACTGGACAAACGCATGCCCTGGTTGACAGGCATGCTTTCTTTATTGCAGTGGACCGCGTTACATGGACCAGGACAGCTGTGTCGCACGAACAGCACCCTAGACAGGTAAGCCATTGTTTTCTTCCGCTTCTTTCTTCCTCTTAGCCCAGTCGCTTGCGCGAAAGGGATCCGAATAAATCCCATCGCTCGATTGGGAATCTTCGGCTCCCGCCCTTCTGGGATGCTATCGAATGCTCCACATACCCGCAGAAGCGAGAAGCACTATCCAGGATGCACATCTCCCTGCGATCATCTGACTAGCATTTCCACCAATGTCGTTGTCTGGGACCGCTATCGTTTCGCCGTTGGGCTAGCTGACAAGGTWTCGGACCTGTCGCCTTACACCCTCACCTTGACACTGGCATACACACTACTCGGACGACACCCGATCCTGATACATCCGCAATAAAAGTGGTTCCCGTCGTTCCCGGCTATATTCCATCGTTTGCCCGAGCTGCGGACCATTCCCACGAAACTCGACGTCACTTGGGCGGTCGAGCAAATTCTGGAGACTCGATTGCCGGCACATTTGCACCAAGCAGTCTCCACAGACCCGCTGGCAGTTCATGATGGGTTGGGGCCCGGGCCTCGACGGACGGGCCTGCATGATGCATCAAGGCATATGCCGTGTGTGCGAAACAACCAACACCAACACCTAACCGCCAAGCACGTTCAAGGTCGACCAGTAACACGACGAGAAAGCCTTCTCCATCAACGATTCGTCAAAGCCAACGAAGCCATACCGGAAGCTTCGTCACATTCACTCTTTTCTTGCCTACCCCTGTTCAAACACGAATGAGGACATGCACATGCACACCATCCCCCACGTGGTCTCTCCACCACGCAGCGATATCGCGCACGTGTTTGCTGCAACATCACCTACTGACGGAATTGTCTTGACAGATTAGCGTCCTCCCACATCAACAACATCCTGCTAAACAGTAAATCCCTCCCCATTCTCCTCCGATCAGCGCGTACAGCCTTGTTTCCGAACAACGTCCTCGGTCCCGCACGCATCCCACCCAAGGAACATGAAATTGCCGGCATCAAACGCGATTGCGCCATCGCTATAGTCGACGCAATTCCCGAGATTGTGCGGAATCGATTCTTCGCGACTAGCGATATGGAGCGGATGATCCAGGACGTGGGGGAGAGTCTAGAATTGCTTGAAGATCCCTATGTCAATAAACATCTCGTCTTTGGAATTGTGGATCTCATCGCTGTGCGATTGTTCCCCGAAATCACGGAGGAGGAAGAGGATGTGTTCGATCAAAGAGATGGCATTTGAGGCGCAACGCACTCTCTCAGCAGTACAGCACCCCGACGCATCGGAGTGGAATGCGCAGCCTGGAGGACAACAGCTTAGCAAGCCCTTCGACCAATCCACCCGAGAGCAACTTGCAAAGGGCGTCTCGTCGCTTTCGAGTCGATTCCATTCCGATGCGTGAAGAGGTCGTAGAAGACTGCTGCTGCAATGCAAAAATATCCAAGTATGCACAACGCATTTGCCGCGCGAGCGGTCTGTTCGATCTCCCTCGTACAATGTTCCCGTGTCCTCAAAGACACACTCCGTATTCTATCAACATGACCTTTCACTGTACAATTTTTGACTCCAATGCATGACGGGAAAAAAGTAAAAGATAAAAACAAGTCGGGGTATCTATCAATGTTCATCAACTGCTACTGCCTCGAGAGCGCAGTTTGAGTTTCTCCATGAGTTTGCCAATCGTGACACTTTCATTCAAATCAAGGAAACCATTCGGCTGTTGTTCGAAAAAGCTCAGAACGACTTGGAGAGCTTGTCGTGCTTCGTCTGGAGTGGTCGTGGCATTGTGGAGTATGGAAGAAGTGGAGTCTCGCCTGAAATCTTGCTGTAGATGTGCCGGTAATGGCGGTGGTCGCATCATTTCCGAGGGAGTGACGGTGTGCGGCCGGTCGGCTGACGGGTGGCCGACTGAGACGGCTTGATTGAGACTGGCGAGTGGGTCCGGTTGTTCTTCCATGGGGGAGTCTAGGACTGCGTCGTTGCTGTATTTAGGTGTCATTGCGTCTCCGTTTGGAGGCATCCCTAAGTCCAACTGTGGAAAGGTCTGACTTCGTGGTCGATGTGAGTTGGCGTGTGGTAAGGCAGGTAGAAGTGGCCTCCCAGCAGATGTCGGCACGAAAGGTGATGGAGCAGTGCCTGAGTCGGGTGTGAAGAATGGTGATGTTGGGCTTATTGGGCCARGCGAGAAGCTTGAAGGTGCTGTGTCGGTGAATGCACTGTGCAGGGAGCTTGTACTTTGCGAATGGTATGGTACGTGTCTGCTGCCGAAGTTGAGATAGTCGTCTGGACTTTCATGCTTTAGACTCTCGCGGCTTTGAATACAGTGTAGCTCCACCGGCGAAGGAGAAGCGGCGCCTGAAGGTGATAAGGGGGAGGTTCCATCGCGGGGAGAATGCGAAGATGAAGCGAGATTGGAGCTAGAGTCGAAGTCGTCTGTTGCAAGTGATGCTTTTCGCGATCGCGCTCCCATGAGATTGTTCTTCAGCTTGAACTTCTCGATCCAGCTGGAGCTCAATGTCACCTCTGGACATGTTGTCGTGGTCGAAAAGGCGCGGGCCTGTCTGCGGATCAGCTCATCAGTGAGCGGATTGCCCTTCTTCTCCTAATATTCWTCATGAGCATGATTTCCAGCAGATGCCAGCTATAATTGCATACCTGATTCTTAGCCCAATTGGCGAGCGCCCGCTCAATGTCGGGCGAGCGTCCTTTCGGTCGCTTTGCGGGAGACCGACTGCCGTCTTCTTGTTGAAGGAGGTATTTCTCCTTTTGTCGCAGCACCTTGGAGACCGTGCTTTACACTCAGTCAGTACATGGGTGGAAAGTGCCGAATGTTCAAACAAGCCTCACCTTCGTTCGACCCCAAAGATTGCTATCAACGAGTCAGCCATGCTCTCAACCGATATAGAGGCCTCGACTTACTGCCAATTTCTGTTTGCTTGCTGTTGGGATGCTCCTCTGCGTACTGGCACATTCGCTTCCGGTCCAAGTCGGTCAGTGTTTTCCGCGGCGTTGTCGCAGATCTTGTTGATGTCGCAGAGACTGGGGTGTGGAGTTGGCCGGCAGACATGGGTTGAATCGGTTGAGCAGATTGAACAGGCTGCGCATACATGGGTTGGTAAGTTGAAGGAGCTTGAGTCCCCAACATGGACGGCCATTGCGGCATCACCAGAGGTTGCAGATGTTGATGCATTGGTCGTTGCTGTGCGTTGTTGCTGAATGCGCTAGGCTCCATGGCCATTTGAGGTGAAGCAAAGTTGAAGCCCTGGTATTCCTGTGCGGGCGTGCCATGATGTGAATGAGAATAGATCCGCGGGCTCTGGGTCCAGTGACTCGAAGGCGAGGAGCGAAACGCGGTATTGCGGTCATCGTCCGCCATGGCATCGACGTGCCAGGTGCGAAAGAAGGCCACCAGACCAGTAAACAGCGGTAGCGGGAMCGTGAGCTATGCTTTTGACTGCCACGATGTCTACATGCAGTGGATTGACGTTCTGCAGCGGCGGGATGGCGTTTAGGTGTTGCGGTTCGTTCGGCATCCACACGTCGACTGCGTACCAAAGCCCAGGCCGGATAGTCTCAGACACGGCGACAGCAACGGGAGGCCAAGGGACATAGTGCGCTATCGCAACAGCGGTAACCACGGTTCGATATATGCAGGTCCGGCGAGCTCTGGTGAAGCGCTCGGAAGGCACAGGTCGCAAGCGGGTTGCAGATCGAGAAGCCAAAGCAGTTAATTGCGGAGTCGACGTGGATATCAAGGTTCCTCACATGCCAGGGCGGAATGACGGTTCGGCCCTGGGATGGTTTTATTAGGACGACTTGGAGAGAAGGAGCACAGAGCAGAGGTGCAGCACAGCACAGCACAGCACAGGTCGACAACGACAACGGCCGGACATGGATGGCACTGCCTTGAAGAGAATCCCTGCGTTTCGGGATCGCCCCTAGGTCTTGCCAGAAAAGCAGCCCGACCCGCTTCCACCCACCCACCCTGTCAATTATTCTCGACGGGACTCGCTGCACTGGATTATGCATTTATGATTGATTGTCCATGTCCCGAGGCGCGTGGGCCGCGGCCGGTGGCGTGGGATGGGGTGAAGCACCCTCCCTGAGACGCTGGCCTGAGCTGAGCAGAGACCATGGGCGGCCGGCCGTCTGCCGTTCTCCTCGCCCACACACGCTCATCGCCCTCGATTCCTCCTCAGCATTATTCGCAGCAGCGTGGAGTCGGGACTGCCTAGGTAGTTTCGAGGTAGAGTGAAAACGGACTAGCGAATCCTGCCTGCATCTGGACGGTGATCCACACCTCTCCGCTAGGGGCACTCATCGCCAGCAGCCGGGAGTGAAACATGCTGGCAGTCCAGCCGGTAGCACCAAATGCTGCTTGGGCCGCAGAAACGGCCGCAGGCTTCTCGCACCACTCAAACCCGTTGGCGATCAAGCCCGTCTGCAGGCGCTGGACTAGCGTGGCGCTTCCCTGCACAACACTTCCAATGGCCGTGTGGAAGAGCCTCTTCAGTCGTTTTATTGCTCGGACTGCTGGGTTCTTCGCCATCAGCACTGCTGCGCCTGGCCCAAAGCAAACCCTCCAGGCAGCCAGGTCACAGATATGGGTCGGTCCCAGCGTCCATCTCCCTCGTGCTGCCATCGCCTGCTCGGCACCAAGAGTGCCTGCCACGATATCATTCGGCGGACCCGCTAACCATCCGGCTCGTCCCAAAGGCGCTGATGAGACCACGCTTTGCCTTTCAAGAACTCGACTCGCCGTTCGTCAAAGCTTAGTCGTCTAGTTCCAGTATGGCGAAGTCGTTTGTACAGAGTTTGGGGCGGGGAAAGAGAGCAGACGTGGCCCACGCACGCCATTGGCTGAAAGGCCACGCTCATTCTGCCAATCAGCATTTTACTTGCTGTCGCCTTTCTCGTCCACCCTTTCGCCTCGCGTCAACGACTCGGCAGCATCGAGTGGCCTGCAATATCCCTCCAACCTCGTTCGCATTATTCACAGAAGCACACGTCTAGGCTCTACGACCATGGCATGCAGACCTCGCTCCATCACAAACTACCTCGGAGTTGCTCGCCGGCTGCGGGAGAAACGCAGATCCGCAACGGCAGCGGCGAGCGGCAGCGCCATGATCGTTTCATCTAGATTGAACCGACGAGAGAAGGCTATTCGAACCTCGCCTTCAATTTCCTTGCGACGCTGATGACATGTCGAGGGTAGCATCTGCGATCTGGCAGTTTTACGGAGATTCTGGACAGTCTATTACGCTTTTGCGCCCAGTCGTCTTCCTGCGACAAGTGCAATCTTGCGAGATTGAACAATCGGATCCACTTCGACTTGGCCCGTGCAGCCAATACGGAATGAGATCTGTTTCTGGGGTTTGGTGGGTGGTTTGTGCATGAGCATAGGACGGCCAGCCTACTTGGCCGATCGAAGAGTCATGTTTGATTTCGTTGAGCCAACAAAGCGGTGAGCATCCGTTGCTAGCGACGGTCGATTTTTACGATGCATCATCGTGTATGTCAGAGAACAGCGGTCCGACTTCTGGCCAACCTCGACACAGCTGAGGGTCAACGTGGACTGACCGAAGTCGTCTACGCAGTGAAAGTATAGGACTGTTACGCCGAATGCCAACAGTGGCCTTCACTGTCAAATGCCTACATATTCTCTCCTACTTGGCAAAGAATGAGATGTCAGTGGGAGTATGCAATTGGAAACGAAGTCGATACTGTCGGCTAGCTGATCAGATCAAATCCTGCGTAAGCTACCCATCGCTGGCCCTGACCAAGGCCTGGAAAGATTGAAGGTCGCCGCTCTACCTGCAACGATCAAAGATGTCGTACCTTCTGCAACAACAGTGACGCGACTATTAGGAGATCATCTAAGTGAACACTTCACTTTCCACGAGACAGCTCATTTTCGTTGGCATATCTGCCCGTTCACGAGCGTAGTCATCGATTTACTAGGAGGAGAGCCGGCAATCTACAATTCCTCCGTCCCTCGCACATTACACGACACGAACATTGGTGTGTCTCTCCCAGACTATATCTTCGGCAGTCTTTCCTCCCTCATCGAGAACATGCATATGGCCTGATTGTCCTATCAGCTGAAGCCACAACATTTCAACGCAATACTTACAGATCATCCATTTACCTCCCGCGCGATTGTTACACTGCCACCATACCAACTCCGGATCATCTCTCTTGAGTTTATTAGCCGTCGCCTTCTGTCTGGTCGTCATGCCCCAAGCTCCGATAAACCACGCTCCACTCCGCATCTCCTCGATTCCCTCAGCATTCGGCACAGGAACAATAACCCTCTCAATCTTCGTTCTTTCAGGATCAAATCGGAGATGTATGGTATCAGGATAACCATTATTGATCTCCCACCCATCACTAAACCACGTCGCACACCACGAAGCCCCAAGAAGCCGGAAACAATCCGCCATAGTCCTTGATGCATCTTCAGCCTTCAAGGCTTGCACTCTAGGCTCAATAGGAGTCCTAGCATCGAGTAGCCATGCTCCGCCCTCGGATCGAGATGCGTCTGGACAATGGGCGTGACTGCAATCACTGGGTCTTTCGAAACGCTCAAAGAAGGTCTCGTCCCATATAGCTCCTATGAGTTCGAAACACTCCGCGGTTGTTCGGGAGGGATCTTCGGTCTTTACTTCTTCTGTTAGGGAGTGGAAGTCTTGATTACCGTCAAAAATCCAGGCACCGCTGGGTGAGCGTGTTGGGTCTACGCAGTGGACTTTGTTGGACCAGAGGCTTGTGTTGAATGTCATTGTAGGGAGGAAATAGATGAGATAAAGGTAGGTAGTAGGAGTAGCTTAATGTTGATTGATAAAGTCAGATTGAACACCTTCTCTAAGAACTTGAGACGTCGTTAGGTAGAGATATGTGTACGACTCTTTGAAGGATCAAGTGGCGCAGTTATATCACACGACGCAGATAAGCGCCTCGACCCTTGCATTTAAGCAATGATCACGCTCGCGGATCTACGACTTTCAAAACATGCAGTGTTAGGGAGAGCTAAATGCTTTGTTAAATAATATGTTCTAAATTGTCCAACGCTCAACGTAACTGGGCACCCGTCTGGCAATACTTGTCAGAAAATTCGCAGGTATGAATACCGGGACATCTGAAACTCTTGCCATCACGGCATGGTAATCAAGTATGTAAAAGATTCTCACAAGAATGAGCTTGTTGCGAAGAGCGCTGGCGTAACTTGAAAGATGCTGAGATCGCAATTTAAACATGGCCGATATGCACAATCAAGCAAGGCCTCTAACTATCCCATCCCATGGAAGAACGCCTTGTGAACCCACCCACGAAGGAACGCCAGGTCATATTCCTCTACACGTTGATTCTTTCACATCTTCACGCCAAGCTCCGAGTAGAAGTGGCACTGAGCGACATGTGTCTTCTTTCCAGTCTGCTGGTCGAAAATATGGCAGCCWTGCTTTGCAGCATTGGGAGGCTGTATGCGTTAGCACCTTCCTTTGCAGCAAATTACAAGTAGACTCACAGTATACAGATGCAAGCTGATAGCGAGCTCACTGTCGCTTGGGTTGCAGATACGGTGCAGTCCAAGTCGATCACTCATATAAGTCACACCTTCTTGCGGATAAGTCGTTTCCTTTATGATCTGTAGTTCCGATGGTCCTGAGAGACCATCTCGAGAGCAAGTATGCTCGGTGCTTGGGTAGCAGGATGTCGAAGCGGTAGCACAATGGGCAGGATTGTCTACATCCTGACATGGCCAGCCATAGACGGTCTCCCTCAAAGAACCCTTGAGGATTTTCATCACACAATGAGCGTTGGCATGGTCATGAATGGGAGAGCCTTTGCCAGGAGTCCAGACCAGAATGAGCTGTAGGGCGGAATGTGGTTAGCTTGGCATTTCCGTGCATCCAATTATAGCGGCTGTCGATGGTGCAATTCGCGCTAAACTGTATTGAGAGGGGGCATCTCAGAGAGCGACTCACCAAGTTTGCTTTTCCATTCCCCGAGTCTACCAAGTTCCTTGTGTATGCTCTGCTTGTGTCTGCGAAGGCGTACTTGGACCACTCTTTCTCGCGGGATTCGTACGAAGCCATGAGCCTCTTGAGCTCCTCCACGTCGACGCCGGAACTGTCGATGCCGTTGCTCGGACCCAGGATGGTGTTGATATCTGGATGAGGTCAGCGGAAGCTCCGGACGACTCGAGATGGAGAGGAAGACATACCCTCGACAAGCTGCTGGAAACAATCGCCTGTCTCCCAAGGCTCTGGGGAGCCGCGGGCGCTGTCATGGAGCGACGCCGCCTTGCGGTCCGGAGATTGCTCCTGGAGTGTGGTGCTGGTCGATACGTTCATGTTGATGGTGTGAGTTGGTTTGCGTCGTAGCGATAGACTTGGGTCAAGAATGTTGGAGAGGGCACGGCGGTGTGTGGGTGTCCTTTGGCGAAGCTGCAAAAGCAAGATACTGGTACCAGCCAAGCTAGGTGGGGACTTGGACCGACTCTTATGCTGGACGACCTGCACGAAGTTTGCTGCGATAAAGCAATGATTGTGGTTCAGAGGTATGCAAGTGTGTTGGCAGCATGCAGGACGGAGGTCCGAATGCTCTCCGCTGGTAGGTAGCCGTTATCCTTTGGTAGGGGGGAACGAGCAAGACAGCAGCAAGCAGTTATCAGCCGACGAGCCGGTGCTTCACGCCATACTTATCGCTCAGCTTCAACGAGTCGAGCTGCGACGGGGGATATCGTGCCAATTCCGAGAGCGCGAGGAGCTTTTTCGGAAGCACGCCCTGCAACTATGCAGCCGACGAGCCGGCGTGAGAGCTGCACAGTTGAAACCCGTGGGAAAACACTCGCATGAGACTTGCCAGCGACTCGCGATGGTTTTCGATTGATCGATAGATGTCGATTTCAGTTTATAGCCCTCTGTAGATTTGTGGATCGCACAACAATAGCCATATCGTTACAGATCTTGTTCGTCCGCCATCCCGCGTCCACAATTTTTGCGAAGTCAGCAATCGCACCAAGATTGTGCACGGACTCGAGACGTCACACTTTTCTACATTGCACATCACATTTGGAGACCACAGGACGCGCCTATATCGCCCACGAATTCACGAGCAGGAGCAGAGTGTGCTCGAAGATAACCACGGACCGTTCATAATACGCAAGCGTCGTAGTCCGCCAACCAACATCCTTTCTTCAACGCCGAYACCAACGCACATCGAGAACCCCGCTGAGGCGAGCCCACCGACAAGATGACGACCGTAGAGAAGATCTCGGCGATTGAGGCCGAAATGGCCAAGACGCAGAAGAACAAGGTGGGTGATTTAAACGTGGTATAAGTGTGCGGTGCGGCCGTGCTGATTGTATATATCCAGGCCACATCCTTCCATCTGGGACAACTGAAGGCGAAATTGGCGAAGCTGAAGAAAGAGCTACTCACACCAACATCGAGCGGTGGCGGCGGCGGAGTGGGTTTCGATGTCGCGCGAACTGGTGTGGCGTCTGTTGGCTTCATAGGCTTCCCATCGGTGGGCAAGTCAACACTCATGTCAAGACTTACTGGCCAGCACTCCGAAGCGGCTGCATACGAATTCACAACGCTCACAACTGTACCTGGACAAGTCATGTACAACGGTGCCAAGATTCAGATGCTGGATTTGCCTGGTATCATCCAGGGTGCCAAGGACGGTAAAGGTCGTGGTCGACAGGTCATTGCTGTTGCGAAGACTTGCCATTTGATCTTCATCGTCCTCGACGTCAACAAGCCTCTCACGGATAAGCGAATCATCGAGACTGAATTGGAAGGCTTCGGGATCAGAGTGAACAAGCAGCCGCCAAACATCAAGATTACGAAGAAGGACAAGGGAGGAATCTCAATCACTTCCACCGTGCCACTTTCGCACATCGAYAATGACGAGGTCAAGGCCGTTATGAATGAATATCGCATGGCCAATTGCGACATTGCCATTCGATGTGACGCTACAATCGACGACCTGATCGATGTTATTGAAGCCAAGAGCAGAGCATACATTCCTGTCATCTACGCCCTCAACAAGATCGACGCCATCAGTATCGAAGAGCTGGACCTGCTATACAGAATTCCAAATGCCTGCCCAATCTCCTCAGAGCATGGTTGGAACGTCGATGAGCTCATGGAGCAAATGTGGGAGAAGCTCAACCTGCGTCGTGTCTACACGAAGCCCAAGGGAAAGCAGCCCGATTACTCGGCCCCTGTTGTGTTGAGAAGTACGGCTTGCACAGTCGAGGACTTCTGTAATGCTATTCACAAGACCATTGTGGATGACTTCCGAGTTGCTATTGTGTACGGACGAAGTGTAAAGCATCAGCCTCAAAGAGTTGGCCTCACCCATGAATTGGGAGATGAGGATATCATCACATTGGTCAAGAAATGAAGGACTTTGCCGAGAAGTCCTAAAAGAGCACGGGAAAGCTCCGGGCTGAAAGGGCCTACCAGCTCGGTAGCCGGAAGGTGTGGAAATAGAGTGGAAAGACGATATGTGAGGTGGGAATGCTTGCAGATGAGGCCCAAGCATCGACTTTGCATCGTCCTGCGCAAGGAGCGCATGTGGGCGTTGGCTTTAAGCGCCAGACCCAGCTTACCGCTGCAGCTGTGGAAGTGCGAGAATGGTCGATCCGCCTTGGGTAATGCATCAAAGAAGGCATTGGCACGATTTGGACAGCCACCAAAGAAGGGATTTCGAAGGCTTTTGACCACACTATGGAGTTTCCTGCCTACTCGGCCCGAGCCATGGCAGCAGAGTCCTGAAAAACGGTCAGCGATATTACAGCAATGAAAGGGAAGATCTCACGAACCAGATAGACCTGATAGAAATCCATCTTCAACGACCCTCCGTCCTCTACAAAGTGTGCTCGAGCAGCCCAGTCCACAGTCGTACTCTTCCCATCCTTGAGCTCATACCCAACGGTGCCATAGAGCATGACATCGTTGGAGTTGGCACCAAAGGAGAAGATCTTGGTGGGGTTATGGGATCGTTTGGCTACTTTCTCCCACATTGCATGTCTCAATTTAATGATTGCTAGAGATTGTCAGCTCTGTTCAAGATGCGAGTTTATGGTAGATTGGATAGCTTACCTTCCCGACCGCTCACTTCATTCAAACCCATGATTAATTTGGCATCCTTGGTGAATGCATCGGCATATTGTTCATGGCCGGTGGGACTGTCTGATGTTTGGTAGAATTGTTCAAAGAAGGAGGCTATGGCGGGTTTGACTTGGTTGTCGCTGGGGACTGAGGCGGAGTATTGACTCATTGTGAATGCTTTCAGAGGATGTGATTGGGTGAATGATGTAGGAAGAATGAAGTGTTGTGCTTGTCTTGTTGCCAAAGATCGTTTTGATGACGGTAGGTGGGGGTGGGGGTGTTGTCGGCTCGGATACGGTGCGCTTTTAGCGACAACTCTGCAACAATCTTTTTTTAGTAGAACTAAGGTACACTACTTACGCCACCTCGGAACATAACCGTTCCGAGAGGTTAGCGGTGATTTTTAGTTATTATACGGGCGCTTCCGATATAGCCTCTTTATCTAGTATATAGATATAGTCCTAATCGATAGATTAATCGTAGAAGTAAAGTTGTCTAAAGCTTATATCTATAACTATATATTAGGCACTCCCTTTATATAGTAAATAGATCGAGAAGTAGATATACGCCCGTATAATACGTTTACGACTATTAAAGTAGTACTATATAGATATTTATTAAAGGAACGAACGAAATTACTAAAAATAACTCCTCTCTAAACTTACGAAGTACCTACTATTTTTATTCTTATCGCAACCTTTTAGATTAACGACGCTTCGACCGATTACGCGTATAATTTGCGAGTAGTTTACTTATATTTTTAGATAATTACGAAACCTTCGAGATCGTCCGCTTATAGCTTAAACCTTCTAGGGTAGGATATTATTACTCTACTTCCTCGGTTCTTAGCTCTCCTTTAATTTCTAGCTCTCCCTTAATCTATAATCGAGTAAGTAGCTATCTTTACGATTATATAGGCTAGAAACGTATAAATATCTTACTAAACGAAGGTAGCGACTCGTCGTTACTATTATTAGTAGCGTTATACTTTATAGTAGTATTAACCTACTCTTTACTCTTCTATCGAATTTAGTATTAGACTTTATCTACTAACGTTTATATAGAAAGATAGTATATATACTTCTAAGGTCGGCTCTACTTTAATTACTAGCTTTAACTCTACCTTAACTTCTTATTTTACCTTCTTCTTCTTCTTCTAAGAGCCCTTACTTTTTAGAGTAGTAGTAGCCTTAGTAAGATTTGCATTAACCTCGGCCTCGTATAATAGGTTATCCGTAGGCTACGATATAGAACGTCTCTTAAAGATAAGGAATATCTTATATTACTTTCGAGATAGCTAGCCCTTTATATTAATATCGTTTAGAAAGATACGACTTAGCTTCCTATCTTTAAAGTCTATATCTAGAGGTTAAATAGGCCTATCTCGGTTATTATACGACTRCGTAATATATATATAGGTATTATCCGGATATTCTATCTCCTTAGTAATATGCGGTTTATTATCGAAGCTACGAATAGCAGCTGCTATATCTTTAATATTATAATCCGGTACCGCGATATCCTTAGGCGTACCTATATCCTATTAGCGATTAATTATACGGCGGTATAGATAAATGCAATAATAGTATATAATATATATAGTATACTTAGAGAATCCCTTATCTTTCTTTAACCTACTCTACTTTAGTATCTTATCTAGATTATCTAGGGCAATATAGTATCTCGTAATAACAATTATAATAATAAACCTAACTTATATAGTTACTATTATAGAAATAGCCTTTATAATACTATCCTTCGACCGTTAGCTAGGGGGTAGATTACCTATATAGTACTTATACTTCGGTAGATTTATTACCGCTTCCTTTTCGATCTTAATCTATCGTATATAGGTTGCCTTTATACTAGTAAGCTACGCTTTATCTAGGAGGCTCCTACTAATATGTCTATTAAGAACCTCGTCGTCTAATATCTCGCTTTTATTAGAGTTAATAATAATTAGTATAGTACTTAAGGATAGCGTATTCGTCCGTAGCGGTATTAGTATCGCCCGTATAATCGGTTTATTCGAAGGTACCGGCGGTATTAGGTTATAATCGCTATAGAAGTAATATTTCTTATTATCTAGTATATACTTTATATAGTCGAATTAGGGCCGAGTAGGGTATATACGCTTCTACACTTTCTTTACTTGCTTCTTAGAACCTATCGGTATAAAGCAGACTCGTAGATATAGCGTCGTATATATTCGTATAAAGGAAGGAATATCGTTTATAGGAAGGGGGTTAGAGGAGGATTTTAGTAAAGGGGCAACCTTTTATCGCTTTATAGGTATAACTACGTAAAGACGGGGGATAGAGCGTACGCTGCTTAATAAGTATTATATAGATAGATATATAGGCGCATAAATTTATTATATAGTTATTATAGAGTTCTTATAGAGATTATAGCCGGGGCCGCTAATACTAGTAGGGATAGAAGCATATTAGCTATATATCCCCGGTATATATAGTCCTATTAGAGTATTAGAACGCAACGTAATCCTATTATACCGATAATCTATTCCGACTTATCCGACTAATAATTAACCTCCGATATATCGCTATTACTACTTTTCGAGTTATCCTCTTTTAAAAGCTCTCTATTAATTAAACCCTCTAGTGCCTTCTTAAGCTCTTTATACGAGCGGTTATTATCGTACTAATCGCGAAACGCCTATATAATATCTTCCGAGTCGACCTAAAATCCTTCCTACTTCCTACCGCTACGGGGAATTAATATCTTATATAGTATATCCTTAGGAACCTTACGTAGCTCTTCTACGAGGTTCTCGTATACGATCTAGTACTATAGCTTTTATACGCTTAGTATAAACTTATACGAGCTTAGTCGACCGAGCGGAAAGCCCTTTATCTTTAGAATACTTAAGTAGAGCTTAAGCATCTCCTATAGAATATACTCCTTAGAATCTATATATATTAGCAAATAATTTAAGATCTATTATATGCGTTCGCTAGTATAAACGTACCCTACTTTGCGTAAGCTTCTATAAGACTATTAAAGTAGGCCTTATCGATTAGATACCTAATACTTAGCTTTCCCTCCTTCTCTGCCTAGTTATAGCGATAGCTTAGTATACTACCCCTTACGTACGGTCTATTAGATTGTCTTCGTACGGGGTGCTTATTCTATATATATACGAACGAGGCTAGTTCTTTCCGCATAATAGGTATATAGATATACTTTATAATAATACGGTTAGCCTTCTTTGCTTTATAAAACTACCCCTTCTTCTTTAATATTATAAARAAGCCCTATAATATTAAGATTAATTAGCCTAACCCGTATAATTAGATTCGGATATAACGGGAGCGTTRCTAAAGYATATATAGATAATATGCTYTATATACTTATATACTATRCCTTAAACCTTCCTCGTATAAGCTAGCCCTACTATRCCTCGATACGGAYATTAGTAGTRCTTATTCTAAATATAAAGTAGCGGCGAAAGCGTACTTTACGCCTACGAATAATYCTTACGTATTAGTATTAAGCCTACGCTATAAGGAGTRTCTCTTTACCCTTATCTATCCGAATAATAYRAGGTACTCTYRTAAGCTTTTTATAAGCTTTCGYAAAGTTAGATAGTATAGAYACTATTATACGGGTAGAGGGTCTAAGATAGGTATATAGAATAAACCGTATATCTGCATTAATAGTAGTATAGATCTAAAAGCTATAGTCCTTAAGTTTATAGTATATATCTATACTCTAGACTATATTAGGGCTAGGCGTAATATACTTCCTACGGYRACGTATAAACTTCGTAGCCCTATTATACGRGCTAGCGGGATAGACCTCGCGGGCTATCTYRTATAGTCGCTTCYTACGATGTAGTAGTATATTAGTAAACCCCTTTCTACCCTATAGATATATATCGTATAAATATACTAACCTACTAAGCGYAAGCCGCGTACGATCGGTTATACGGAAGTRTRTTTATARTAATATTATTCTATATACTCTAAGGTTCGAGCGATTAATCTCCTTCTTTATAATCTTTTTATATTCCTYTTAAMGCTTAAGGAACTCTCCTTCTCTTAGTYGTTTCTTAATRCCTATACTCCGCCGAAGCTATATAAAGGTATAGTACTTAATCGYAAATCCCTYCTCGTTTAATTTATCTAYRATATACGTATCTAGTAGAGCTTYRAGGTAGAAGAGTTCGGYTATTCGRATACGAAGRAGRGGATTATYRTAAARACTRTTCTTTAACGAYTATYRGGGTTCGCTACCGTTCTCTACGACGATTAYACGGATAGTCCGTTCGRAGRTATATAGCTATTATAAATAGAGGAAGGTTTAAATRTCGGTAATACTCGTATTATTATTCTAGAGTTTAACGACTTTTAGATAAAGATTAGGGGGGATAGAAGGGAAGCGGCCTATTATATAGAATATACGTATAATAGGGTAGAGGGTAGACGGGAAAGGAATTAGCGTAGTAAGAGGTTATAAACCTTAGCGAAAACTTTGCTAAAAACTATAGGGTTAGGGTTAGAGTAGTATATTTCTTTAATATAGAGCGATAGTAATATAAATCGTAGGATATTTATAGGGACAAATTATACGAACGTATAAAGTAAGGAGGAGTTATATTTTAGRTATAGAAGTAAGTAATTATAAAATAGAAAATATWTTTTAAAAGTAGTTTTTAAGTGCTATAATTAAGGCCCTCGTAACCTATTAGAAACTCCTAACGCTTAAAGCTGCTAGTATAAAGAACTTAAAAGAGATTCCCTCCTCCTCTAGATACTCTTAACGCCCTAATTACCTCTTTAAAAACTACCCTCTACTCTAATTAAGCCCTATTACTAGTACTCTACTATCCCTATTCTCTAGCGACTACTAGTACGCCTAGACCTCGTTACCTACGATATACTACGCTTTAGCCGTACCTAATCTCTATCCTAGCGATTAAGTAAGTCCCTACGGTCGTAGCTATAAGCCTAATAATAAAACTTATAGTTACTATAGACATTATAGAAGTTCTTCTTCTAGATTATATAGCTCTATTCCCGTTAGTATCGCATACCTTTATATAGGTAAGAAACATACCTAGAAGTTCTTATCGCTATTCTAATACCGCTCGTACCTCTTATCCGTTCCTATTTCTTCTTTATTACTATCTACTACTCTCTCGTCGGGGTATACCGTTCTACTACGATATTATTAGCCGGTATACTTCGATAATTCTCTAATAAGATTATATAGACCGGCTCTAAATTAATAAAGCGTTAACGTAGGAGTAACGGTTATAGATTTTAATAGCTAGATCGAATATTAGATCTTAAGTTAGGAAGCGACGGCTAGCTTTTAACTCTATTAGCTCCTTCTACTTCTTATTAATAGTAAATCCTACTTACTCGAGCTATTATACGGGTTAGTATTACTCTTAGAATATTAAATTCCTAGCTCCTACTCTATCTACCCTTACGTCGATAATTCTTCTTCCTCTAATAGGACCTCTATCGATTAAAAGTAGGTTAAAGGCCGGTTTAGTAGTTATCCTCGCGGTCGTTAAGGTAGTAGGTATTTATACGGGGGAGTAGGAGGAGAGAGGAGGATATAGGTAGGTAGTAAAGGGGTAGTATAGTAGTAGGAGTAGTAGGTATTAATATTAGTATTTAGGTATTAATAAGAGTCGCTAAAAGAGTAGTAGGTATTTATCCTACTACTCTTTTAGAGATCTTACTTACCTATATAGAGAGTTATATAGCTACCTACGTACCTACCTTATTACGCTTTTACTTTTATTATACCTTACTCTTTAGTACCTCTCCTTTATATATATTTAGATAAGAGTCGCTTAAAGAGTAGTAGGTATTTATCCTACTATAAAAGTAGCTAGTATAATAGTCCGCGAGTAGAGTAGATAATAGAATATATAATTTAATAAAAAGAGTAGAAACTTTCCTATTTAGGAAGGAACTATAATATTACTATAATATTATACTAAGCTCCTATTRCGAACTCGTAATAGCTAAAATCGAGATTATATAGAAGAAAGAAGAGCACTAATTCTTTATACCTTATTCCTTCCGACCCTAAGACTTACTTTAAGACCTACGAGACTACTTATCCTTTCCTAAACGCAGACCCTTTAACTAATTATCCGTAGCTATACTTATAATTATTCCGCACTTAGGTCGTTAGTATATATTCTCTAGTCTGCTATTATACGCTTTTAGCCTCTCCTAATAAGCTCTCTTACTAGCTATCCTATCGCTATACTAGTAGGTACTCTTAGTTCCCCGCTAGATATAGTTACTATAGGCTAAGTTTAAATATCTACGCTAGATTATATAGCGCTATTCTCGTTAGCGTCGAATACCTTTATACGGGTAGGAAATATACTAGAAATAGCCCTAGGCCTTTAATTATATTACTATCGTAGTCCTTCTGCTTCTTATAATCTCTATAATACTTCTCCTTAGTTAATATTATTCTACTACGATATTATTAGCTATTATACTTTAATAATTCTCTAATAGGATTATATAAACCGGCTCGTAATTAGAAAGGCGTCGACGTAGTTCGGACGGTCTCGGATATTATTAATCCTATTAGTAAAGCTATTATAGATCTCGACGTGCTTAATAGTAGGCTTAGCTATTATCTTCCTCTACTCGTAGTTAAGGGAGAATCCTATTTTCTTAAGCTATTATACGGGTTAGCGCTACTCTTAAAATATTAAATTCCTAGCTTATACTCTTATAAAGTTCTACTTAAAATATCCGTATTCGCTATTATTATCCGGATTCTTAGAGAAAGTTCTAGCCCTCTAGTATTTCGTAGTATCGATATAATCTAGCTATAGGTATAGTAACTTAGGCTTCTTCGCCTTCTTAGGCTTTTATATAGGTAGTATAGAGGAGGGAGGAGGATATAGGTAAGTAGTAAAGGGGTAGTATAGTAGTAGGAGTAGTAGATATTAATATTAGTATTTAGGTATTAATAAGAGTCGCTAAAAGAGTAGTAGGTCTTTATCCTATTACTCTTTTAGAGATCTTACTTACTTATATAGAGAGTTATATAGCTACTCGCGTAATACTATTATACCTTTACTTTATCCTTACTATTATTACTTAAGTATCGTAGACTTAAATAAAATTACTTTAAAGAAGGAAAGCGAGGACATTAYACGCGCATATTAAATTACGCTACTTGTTACTTATTATACGGAATACACCTTTAATTACCGAGGTTCTAATACCCTATAATGCTAGCGTCGCACTATCGCCTAAAAGGATTGTTGCAGAGTTGTTCTTAAAAACGCGCCGTACTCGGATGCTGCGCTTTCGCCTTCGGGCAGCTTTCACGCCAAGGTGCCGCTCATCCAGAGATGGTCTCACGACTGCTCCTCCTTACTTTCGACCATCAGGCAAAAATCTTTCGATTGGACCATGAATACATCGGAAAGGAGTGGCCAGAGGCACAAAGTACTCAATGCAGCACTGTCCCATCCTGGCCACTCTCGAAAGACTCTATGCTTGATGGACAAAGCCGGGCATGGACTCCGGCCGCATCCAGCAGGACCATGAATCACAAAGGACGAATCGCATTATGGAGAGGGACGACCACTATCATTTATACAGCTAGTAATTCCATGATGTCTTCGATTTCAAGCCCACAAGCATAAAACACGTAGCATGCGTCCYCGCTATGAGCCGCTAGATGGAACCTCTGGTTGCAAGATACGGCCAGTCAACCTTATGACGGCCAGCGAGGTACAGAGGTCCCGTACGAGCAAGAAGTTAGGATACTCACTGGGCTCTGGACTATCCCATTCAAGGCTCTCGGTTGCCTAGCAGGCAACTACCATCTCGATGGGTATGCTCTCGGGTCCTGGTTGTGCGGAATAAGCACCTCGCCCAGCAGGCTCGTTATGCTAAGGCATGCCCGTGGACGATGACATTGAGTTCATACTGCCAGTTCGAGAAGTACTGTACGTTGCTCAGCTCTGAGGATGGGATTCAAGAACGTCCGAATGGATCTGGCTCATGAGACTCCTGGGAACCTGTTCTTGCTGCCAGGTGTGGCTCTGCTCGTCCGACCAGAGCTGTCGATATGAGGATTATTCATCGGGATACGACATCCTCAGTCATGCCCATGGTGTCCCAAAACCTCACTCTCTGCAGAGTCGACAATTCTAGACTTGCTAGAACTATTGCTGCTAGCAGAGTGGCCGGTTAATCAATCGAGAGAGTTGTTCAGGGCGCTTTTATTGATCATGACTTCTCCTATCGACACTCTGCATCTGGCCAACTTGTTCTGGTGAATTGCACTGAGCTATGCTGGACGCTCCTAGCCGTATAGATTCAGGCCGCCCTGGCTGCGTCTACATCTATGCCACTGACACTTCACCACGGAGTCCTGATGCTAGAGTGGGCTATTTGTATGATGTCTTTGAAGTCCATTCTTCCAGGTCCAGCCCTGCAAGTATCGATGCTGGCGGGATCCTTAAGACGCTTCCTGGCCGATTTCGTGGCCACGGCGCTCACACAAGGTCTCCTCGATAGTTCAATCAAGGTCTTGGAGCGTCGTAAGCAGATTCAAGAAACACGGCAGATATTGTAATGTTTGCCGGACGACGCGCAAGAATTGGTGGCATCCTCTCGGTATGCTCTGAACTTGTACGGCTCTGTCGAATGGAGCCGGATTACCGGTCCTTGCGCGTCCTCTCCAGTAGTGTGCGCCTCGACATGGTGGCTCATGCCGCGGGGGTCGTCAATTGCCGCCTAGGTTTACCGTTTGGAAGGATAGGTTGCCAGCATACCTCAAAGCCTCTTCTTGTGCTCAGCAAGCAAGCGACTTTGCAGGCAGACTGTCCATGGAGTCCGCTTCTGGGTTCTTGATATGAGCAACGAGATTGTTAGAAAAAGAGGTGTGGTTCCAGGGACCTGAAGGTGAGAGCATTCGTGAACCACGGCGAGCTTTCCCTGCCAATTCCCTGCTTCAACGAACCGCGGGTCCGCGCAATGGACATCTCGTAAAACAAAGAGTTGGTGTTGTGCGAGTCTTGTTCTCAGTAATGGTGGAACCTTTGTTGGTGCATCTTCATCCAGTAAGTGTTGGCCTCTGCGTCGCTCGCGGGAAAGCTGAGCCGTGTCATTCACTTACCAAAGTTACCCCACTTTTCCATTCTCAATGCCAGAAGTCTTGACCGCTAGCCTGCCCAGAGACACACAACTTGTCTCCAAAGCCCGCGCACAAACACTCGACACAACATCACCGCCAATTCATCAACATTGGCCGCCATGTGGTCTCACAAGTGCATCAAAGCTGTGCTCGTCCTGCTGGGCGCCTACTGTGCGAGGGGTCCCGTCACCGACCTCGTCACCGASCTCAACAACATCAATGCGTTCACACCCGGCGACTACGCATCGCCACAACACATCATCATCGAACCGGCTTCCTTCGCGACCGCTCTCTCCGCGTCCGCGCCTCCTCCCTCCGCTCTCTCCCTCGGCTTCTCGTCAGCCAGCGGTAACCATGTTGGCAACATCACCGGCATGGACCTCGAGCAGTGCGCTGCTGTAGAGTCGCTGGCCGAGACTTCTCCCTGGGCGGCGCATATTCACCGCGTCATCCTCTTCTTCCTTCTTGCGCGCGCTGCCATAATCACAGCAAAGCGCTCTACCTACGCGCGCGCTCTTCTTGCCCGCTGCTCTCTCGTCCTGCGCTATGTCGGCCCCGTCTTTACAGTGGCTCTCGCCATGACGACAGCAACGGGCGATGCCCGATCCCTGGTGGAGCTCCTCCCCCAGTGGTCGCAGCACCACCTCGCGCCATGGACCGGACACCTTGCCGCCCTCTTGGTCTTCTTGCAAATCCTCTATCAGTGCTCCCTTCTCGGCGCTGATGGAGCTCTCGTCGCTCGCATTCGGGAAGCTATCGACAACAAGCGCGAGCTCCGCAAGGAGCGCTTGAGCCATGCATCCAGCCTTGCCCACATCAAGGCGCTTGAGAAAATTGTGGATTGCGCACTCACGCGCGGTCTTCAACTCGAGAGGCAGGTCGATTCGCAAGCCCAGGAGTTCCAGGCTAGGCTCCACAGGGCAAATTTGCGACAGCACAGCCAGGTCGTCTACAATGTTCGACGTTTGAGGTCTTCTGCGCAGGAGCAGGTCGACAGCATTCCCGAGCGCAAGCGCGTACCGCGCGCTGTAAAGGCCGGGACGCCGTGGAAGGGAGCATGGAAGGACGAGTCGGACGAATCTTCGGAAGATGAGTCTGAAATCGAGACTGTGGCCGTGATCAAAGACAAAAAAGTCGAAGAAGAGCCCAGAAAGGAGCTGGAAGTCAAGACTCAAAACGGGATTGACGAAGTCAAGGTCGAAGAAGAAGACAGCAAAGTCGGCCATGAACATACTCACGTCCAGACTCCAGAACAGGAGCCGGAACCCCTTCTCCCATCCTCCTTTGGCGACAGATCCGGCGGCGCCGACAAGCCCGTTCACGGGTTGGGCTCGTTTGGCAGCAGCTTTGGAAACTATCGCCAGACTTCTTGTGAATCGGAAGAAGATTCCGACGATGATATTGATGAGAGCTTGGTCAGCAGCTCTGGAAATTATCGCCAGGCTACTTGCGAATCAGAAGAACAGTCCGGTGATGATGTTGACGAGAGCTTGGTCCATAGCTCTGGAAATCAAGACCGAGCTCATTGCGAATCTGCAGAGGAATATGGCGATAGTGGCGACAACGATCCTACTCAAAAGTCGCACTCGAGCGCGGCCTCAGCATCTTCCGATGAATGGGAAGATCAGAGTGGAGACGAAGGTGGAGACGAAGATGAGGAGGATGAGGAAGATGAAGAAGAAGTGAGTGGTGACGAGGAATGGAGTGATGACGAGGAAGGAGATGATGATGAGAACGTCCAGAATGAAGGCGATGCTGTACAGTCCGTCACTGGCAACGCTCCAGATGATCAGCCGAATATCATCCTCACCTCCTTCTTCCCCGACAGACCAGGTGGCGCCAACGACCCAATCCACCGGGCCAAGTCTAGCGGCATCTTCGATAACCTGCCTAAGAAGGACACATCCAACATCGTCTTCAGCTCCGCAGACCTGTCGCGGGTGTTCCGAAAGGAAGATGATAGCGAGAGCGATAGCGACGTCGAGGGCGGTAAAGTTGAGGTTGCCAAAGTGCACCGTGGGAACAAGAAGGGAAGTGTCGCTCCAGATACTCTCAAGCCCACACCTAGCACYGTCGCGGTCGACCAAAATGGCCACGATCGCCAGACCACAGGCGGCAACACGCCTGTAGCCGAGAGTTGGACAGCCGAGGGCAGTAAGGTGCTTGGCGACAAGAATGAGCAGAGTGCTGCTCTCGATATTGTCCAGCCCAAGGCCAGCAGCGTCACTGTGAGCCAGCATGACCATGCAGGTCAGCTYGAGAGCAGTGAACTGACTGGCGAGAAAGCCGAGGGCAGCAAATCGAAATGCGGGAAGAGCGTACGGTTTGCTGCTGACCATATTGGCATTCCTGGCCCTAGCAGCGTCGTCTCCGGTCAAGATGACCACACCGACCATTCCACAGGAGACGCTATGCACGGCATCCAGGGCGGCAAAGACGAGGAGAGCCTTGGAGTGCATGGCGGGAACGTTGGGAGCAGCGGAGTGGTCCGCGGGGAGAATGCGGAGAGCACCGCTCTCAATGCCGTGAATCCTGGGCCTAGCGTCGTCGTCGTGGACCAGTCAGTTCACGACAACCAGTTCACAGGAGACGCTATGGTTGGGGTTGAGGCGGGAGAGCAGCCGGTGATCCAGGTCCACCCGAGTGTAACTCCTGCACAGGAGGATTCTACACCCGAGGATGCAATGGACATGGAATCGACCGCACCTGTTGATGGAATGGACCTCGATGCCGAAGATTACGGCATTCTTGCGGACATTGACGGGACGAAAGACGATTCCGACAGTGACAGTGATATGGAGGACCATGAATGGCAAGACGACGAYGAAGAAATGGCAGAGGACGCCGATCTATCGAGAATGTCGCAGAGACCATCTCTAGCTCAAGCATCGTCGTTCCAAACTCCGCTTCCAGGCCTCTTCTTGTCTCCATCACGGAACAATACCCTATCGATTGCACCGAGCAACCCCTCTGCATTTACGCCCGACTTCGATATGGTCGATACCGGTCTGAAAGTACCTGCATTCAACTCGAATCGGTCGAACCCGACTCCTCCTACACCTGCGCCTACAACCAGCGCCAAGCTCCCAGCTCTACGCCAACCTGGGTCTGCCTTCGATTTCAATCTTCCGGACGCGGCTCTCCCTGTACCTGCATTTGGATCTAATCTGTTCAATCCAGCTCCATTTGCACCTCAGCTTGGGCCTGCATCCAATGCCAATCTTTTGGTTCCAGATCTGGTTCCACCCACGCATGTGCCTGCATCCAACATCAATGTTGTGGATCCAGCTTTATTTGCTCCTACACCTACGCCCACGCCCGCATTCGACACCAATTTCGTGGATCCAGCTCTATTTGCCCCCATACCCACGCCTGACACCAATGTTATGGATCCAGCTCTTTTTGCACCCATACCCACGCCTGCATTCGACACCAATCTTTTGGATCCAGCCTTATTTGCCCCCATGCCTGAGCTTGTATCCAATACCAATACTGTGGATCCAGCTCTATTCGCACCCATCCCCACGCCTGCATTCGACACCAATCTTTTGGATCCAGCCTTATTTGCCCCCATGCCTGAGCTTGTATCCAATACCAATACTGTGAATCCAGCTCTATCTGTACCCACACCTCAGGCCACGTTTGACACCAACCCATTGATTCCAGCTCCAGGCGGCACGGGCAATAACACCGTGCAAGAGCGGCCAGACAACGACACTGTGCCAGAAGCGACAGAGGATGATTATTGGGTCGTGAAGGAAGAGGACCGAGCACAGATCGTCCCCGAGAACGTCGCGAAATGTCGCAAAATCGCCTCCATGAAGAAGAACTTGGTGCAAGATGATATCGCGGCACGATTGATGAGTGCGATGGATCCAGATGGTGTTGATGACCCTGTATTGCAGGACAGAATTGTAAACAACAGGGACTGCTTCTACCAACCGCACTCCGGAGACAAGTACTTCCGCTGCAAACGCTCATTTGAAAAGGGCCAGCGGTATTGCTGTGGTGATCCAAAGCGATATGACGATGCTGGAAACCTCACGAACGCGTACATCCACGAGGACAGGGTCAAGGCCGCGGATTTGAAGCTTTGCGTCGAGTGTCATTTCGAAGACCATGTCCGGGATGCCACACAAGAGGAGCCTGCTCCAGCTCCTACCACAGGCCAGAAGCGCAGCCGCAATGTCTTCAAGAATATTGAGTCAACGAACGCCCCTTCAAAAGCGAGTGCTCCTTCAACAGCGAGTGCTCCTTCAACGGCGAGTGCTCCTTCACCAGCAGCTATTCGCGCAAAGGGCCTTTTCTCACCCAAGAAACCCACCGGATCGAGGCGCCCTGCCAATCATGAGCCTTTGCAACCTCCTCCACCACCCGTCCGGGGTGATGGAGTCTGCTATTGGAGAAAACATGATGGCGATGCCAAATTCCCATGCAAGCGTACGGAAAACCCCCGCGAGCCTTGTGTGGGGGATCCGCAGATTTACAATCCTCGGGGTGGACGGATAACATCTGTTGGAGAGTCTCATGCTGATATGAAAATGGCTTACAGGTCGAAGATTTGCATTGAGTGTGAGTTGGAGGAGCAGGACCTTGATCAGATGGCGAGAGATAGGAATTGATGGGGTGGAGGGAAAGAGGGAGTTGGAAGGGAGGAAGGCTTGAGATATCAGTGGTTTGATCGATCAAAGTTACAATCGGGACTTTGATCTCGCTGCTGATATTCTCGCCACATTGTACTTTGGGAAGGGTGGAGGAAATGGGAAGGGAAGGAAGGTTTGAGATATCAGTGGTTTGATCGATCAAAGTTACAACCGGGACTTTGATCTCGCTGCTGATATTCTCGCCGCATTGTACTTTGGGAAGGATGGAGGAGAGGGGAAGGGGRGGAAGGTTTGAGATATCAGTGGTTTGATCGATCAAAGTTACAACCGGGACTTTGATCTCGCTGCTGATATTCTCGCCGCACAACACATTGATCAGGCTGGAGGAATAGGGAAGGAAAGGGAAAAGGGTTGCTTGGAATTGGCAGAGATACCAATAGCTCGCGCTGTTGTTGAACTCGCCCGTATGGCACCATTGGAGGACTTGCTGGCTCAGGCGAAAAGCTAGAGAGGAGCTGTTACGATAGACCGTGCTACAGAATTGAAGACTTTTACCGCATTGACTTCGTTCCCTTCGTTGGCAATGCTATTGACAAGAGCTGTTTGATTACCACGTACCTATCCAATGGGTCCTTTCGAAGCTCTTGACTGTTCGTAAGACTGGCTGAGAGCATGACATATTTCCGCCGTAGCTGCTTGCTGACACACTAATGTCAGACTATTACTGGATGTTGGAAAGAGAGCAGAATCATTCGGAGCCTACACACTCCATCGTAGTCGCTTTAGATACACTATGAGAGTGTTAAGCCGTCGCCATTTGGGCGCAGCCGAATATGTCTTTCCATATCCACACCGTCGTCGTCGAGTCCAACCCACCCGCGGCTAGACGGCCATACCTCTCCCCCTCCACTAGATCCATTMATCTTACACCCTCCCTGCACCTCTCTACTTGGACAGCTTAGCTTCCACCTTGGCCTCAGCCTTCTCCACCGCGTGCYCAAAGTCCTTTCCTTCGCCCTTGATCGCATCAATCACACCGTCGGTACCCTTCAAGCTGTTCTGGTAGGTCAACACCCGCGTGACCTGTGTGGTTCCCACACAAAACAGCAAAAAGTTAACACTGGCCAAGAACATGTTCTGCGGCCTGATAACAAAGCACCATCTCGTCCAGATCAATCCCGTGGCCATGAGAGCAGCGTTTTGCGAGAGCGAAATGTCCTTTGCTGGTCGAGCGAAATCTGCGGCGCCGGCGAGGACGAGACCCCACTTTGTTCAGCAGTTAGTTTTTGGGATGTGAGAGTGGAGACGAGTGTTGTCAATGGATGTACCTTCATGATGGGTGCCCAGAAATGGACCGTCTTGGGGCCTACGGGGGAGTTCCATAGCTTTGCGAAGCCTTTCTGCTCAACAGCGGCATCTTTCACGACTTGGGCGTTTGTGCCTGCTGCGGGGGAGGGCGGTGCGGTTGATGCGAGGCGGCGCTGCGTGAGATTGCGGAGGTTGAAGGCGGATTGGCGGAATGCGGTTTGCGCAGTGCGCATACCGAATTGAGAGGCCATGGTGGATTGTGGTTGTGTGTGAGAGGTGAGGTGAGGAGAGAGAGGGTTCCAAACAGTGTTTGGTGGTTCGTGTGAGGGTTGAAGGTTGAAGCTCAATCGGAGTGGAGTCGGACAGGCGGGAAGCATCCGAAACCACAAAGTGAGGTTGGAGTAAGCAAGGCAAGCAAGCATTGGAGACCGCATCGCCTGTCAAGTTACTGTTCACGATACACGGCCAGACCCCTCTACTCCCTCCTACATCACCCAACATGGCAGCGAAATACGCCTTCTCAAAGTCCATCAAGGAGCTGCGCTTCCTACACTGCCAGACCAGCGAGCACTCCAATGCCGTCCGGTACGAATTGAGATCCCCTCTAATTCACATGCGCTGGATCGCATACGATATGCTGCGGCATTGAGAGCAGATTGCTGATAGGGCCTCCCTCCACAGCTCATTCCTCACACGCGCCTACCCGACAATGAAGAAGAACAACCCATATACGCCCATCATGATCCGAGAAGCCATGAACACCGAGCCGAGAGTCTACGCCCGCTACGAGTTTGGCGTGGAGAAGGTTGCTGATTTGAAGGGTGAGGCGAATGGGAAAACATCAGTGGCGCAGTGGGCACTAACGTGGAGATACAGGACTGGACGACAAGGCGATAGAGGCAAAAGTCACAGGTCTGGTGCAGGAAGGACAATAGCGGATCTGAATGCTTTGGGAGTTGGAGTTTGGGAGCAAGCAAGAAGCTGTACATATGTACAAGTATGCAAACCGCGGAAATCGACGGACACTGATACCCACATGCTGAAGACTGAGACTCCTGGGAACACTGTGATGGTGCTATGGTAGGACAACTGACTAGGACGCCGGAGCACCGACCTCGCCGAAACGAAATTGAGCCCAGCTCATACTGCCTTCCGGTAGCGTAAAAATCCGAGTGGCCTTCTCGTCACTCGCAGCTCCTGCGCCGACATAGATGGGCATCAAATGATCCGCGGACGGATGAGCCTTCTTAAAGTCCGGTCTCGACAACAGCTGCGTCATGGCCTCTTCGCGACTACTCGGATCCTGTTCCACGGCTTCTCGTAGAGCCTCATCAAAAGATAATGTGTAGTCCAGGGCACCTACCGAAAGACAGTCAACTTCGAAGCTTTCGGAATTGAACAGGAAGGCTCACCAGGCTGGCCCCACATCCTCCCCATGTCTCTCAAATTGTGAACCGCCATACCACTGACGATGATCTGCACGCCCTCTTCTCTCAGCGAAGCAATGGCTTTCCCCAACTTGAAGTGCAAATCCGCCTTGAAGTAGTCGAAAAGCGAGACTTGCACGATGGGAATGTCTAGAGGATTGGTCTTTGGGTCGAACAAGCACATGAACGACGCCCAAACGCCTATAAGTGAAGGATAARAGGGTTAGCTATGTCTCGGGCATTTTCCGATGTGGTCAGAGAGACATGGCGTCGCGAGGAAGAAGCATCTTAACTACCCTCTATGCCTTCTGCCCTGCAGGATCTTACCATGATCAAGCCCACCTAAACATTATAACGAGTCAGCATGGTWCTTTGCTACGGCTGACATTCTAGGGGAGTTGTCTCTTCAGGCCCTTTGCCAGTTATCTCGTTGGGGAATTCTTACGACGAACGCCTTCGGCTTTGATACCTGCGGTCTGCAGCATTCCCAGGATCTTCTCTGCCAATTCGGGAGAGCCTTTGTTGGGATACTTGTACTCATAATAGTGCGCCTAGACGTCAAAGGTAAGTATACGGCCTCGCTCTTTCTGTATCAATTCATGAATGAGACCTACAGGAAAGCCGTAGAAATCGTAGATCAGTGGACTTGATTCCATAGTGTTGACTTCTATGGTATCTTGGAATCCCTGCCAGTGACCTGAGAAAACTACAATGGCTTTGGGCTTCACTTTGCCCGTGATTTCGTGACCGATTTCTTGAAGTTTGGCATATGCGGGATGTTTGGTGTCTTCCATGATGTTGGGACCGCCGTGGGAGAGGAAGTAGACTGGGGTGCGAGTCGTCATGTTTGCGGTTGCTACCAGCGGATGTTTCTGGACTGTGGTTTTGAAAGTGATGCTGGCTCGGCTCAGCGTCGTTCTCAATATTTGTCCTGCCGTAGTGGATTGTTGGAGAACGATTGCGAGTAATAATGTCAATATTGCAACAAGTAGCAATGTGGTCAGAGATACGACACGAGGCATGAGAGAGTCTTAAATGCACACAAACACAGCTTTCCGAGTCTAGAAGCTCTCTCAAGTTATAAATGTCGTGTTGATCACTTGCCGCAAGTTTGTCATCGGTACAGAGACACGGCGGATCACTTCCGCGTCGCGCGTCTCGCTCTCGCTCTGAAACAGCACACCAACATCACCTTTGGAAGAAAGTCAACTTAACAAAAATCACACACCAAAACGAAATCATGTCAGGTCTACCGGCAATTGTTGTCCCTGCGCTTAAGCGCCACACGTCGACCATCATCGTTGCTCACGGTCTCGGAGATTCAGGTGCTGGATGGTAAGTACGAGAGCCATCCATGGATTGCTTGGTGGCCATTTGACGACTCCCAACATACTCACATCAATCACAGGAACTTCCTCGCCGACGAGTTCCGCCGCAAAAACTTGTTTCCCGAAACCAAGTTCATTTTCCCCAATGCGCCTCAGATTCCCATCACGCTCAATATGGGAATGAGGATGCCAGGCTGGTGAGTTTAAGCCCAATTTCACCTCATTTGCGAGACTTGTTGACATTTGCAAAGGTACGATATCGCCAGCTTGGGCGATCTAGACAACCGCTCCGAAGACGAGGCAGGGATTCTTCGCTCGCAGAAAGTCTTCCATTCTCTCATTGAAGATGAGATCAAAGCTGGAATCCCCAGCGAGAGGATCGTATTGGGAGGTTTCTCGCAGGGAGGTGCCATGAGCTTGATGGCGGGAATCACTAACCCTTCGAAATTGGGAGGCATCTTTGGACTTTCTTGCTACCTCCTGTTGCAAAGCAAGTTGCGGGATCTCGTTCCTGCGGATTCTCCCAACAAAGAGACACCTATCGTGAGTTTTTCAGTTCTCGTCTAGAAGGTGCGAAATTGTGCTGACTTGATCTCTTGTAGTTCATGGGCYACGGAGACGCCGACCCAGTCGTCCAATACAAATGGGGCCAAGCAACGGCCTCCACACTCAAGCAATGGGGATGGGAGGTCGACTTCAAGACTTACAAGGGTCTACCACACAGTGCCGCGCCAGAGGAACTCGAGGATCTGAAGAATTACTTGCAGAAGCGCATTCCAGACCTTGGCGACAAGAAGCTTTGACTACAGCAAGTCGGTACAGGTGACAGGGATGTGACGACCAAGGCACCGTATGATGCAGGAGAGATCAAGATGGTTTTTGGTCTCGTTGGGCTTTGTAYTGCTTGGATCTGCATTGTGGCGATCTGGAAGCGATGCAAGACATCGAGTGCCGCAAGCGTTGAGAAAGTAGATTGACTTTTTGCGTGCGATTGTCTGGCCATCCAGAGCAACTTCTCAAGCTGTCTGCACAAGACGAAATCATGATTATGACAACCCTGGTTGGAAATGTTTTCGACAGTATTTGCATTTGCTTCGTTGTAGTTCCGTAGCAGTCTATCAAGTCAGCCGAAGAGCTCGCCAACTCTCAACGCCCCTATACCACTCTATCAGGTAAATCCGGTACGCCATGGCATGACAAAGACGTTCCATCCATCAACCAATTCATCGAGCAAAGTTCTGAGGCGCCTGCGGAGCTGGACCCTCGGGCGTGACATACGCCTTGGTCATACCTCCATCAACCACAAAGTCGCTTCCATTAACAAAGCTGCTCTCATCGCTAGCCAAGAACAGCACAGCCTGTGCCTGCTCAATAGCCTCACCAAAGCGTCCAGAAGGGAAGTGTACCTCGCGACGGTGACGTTTCTCTTTGTCGTCACCGAGCCAGTCCWGCAGGAGAGGAGTGTTGAGGGGAGCAGGGCAAAGAGAATTGAAGCGGAAGTTCTCGCGAGCGTGCACAATGGCCAACTCCCGGGTCATGGCAAGCACAGCGCCCTTGGAGGCAGTGTAGGCGAGCTGAGGAGTTGCGGATCCGACGAGAGCGACGACGGATGCGGTGTTGATGATGCTGCCGCGAGTCTTCTTGTGGCGGCGGAGTGCGAGGACGGCATGCTTGCTGCCGAACCAAACTCCTTTGACGTTGATGTTTTGGGTCAGGTCCCAGATTTTCTCCGAGGTTTCAACGGCATCTAGGTGGGTATCATCAGTACATGAATGTCTCGGTATAAGTGTGGGTGATGGACATACCGGCATCGTCTCCGTGCATGATTCCAGCGTTGTTGAAGATAACATCTAGGCCGCCCCAGGCATCCAGCTTCTCGACGGCGGCTTGTACGTCTGCTTCCTTGGAGACGTCGACCTTTACGGTCTCAACTTTGCCAACTGCGTTGGGAGCGTGCTCCTTTGCTTTGGCGATGGCTTTCTCAAGGGCAGGCTCCGAGATATCAGACATCAACACATTCGCCCCCTCGCGGAGGAAGAGAATGGTTGTCTCCAAGCCAATACCACTGCAAGATATGTTAGCCGTTGAAGTTTCGTCGATCCAGTCATGTTGGAGACGATTACAGCATAAGCCATTGCCACTCAAAGCCCATACATATCGTTTGCCTCGCCTGATGGAATGAAGAGGACTTACCCGGCAGCTCCGGTGATGAGAGCATTCTTGCCTGCGAGACGACCGCGTGGAACCTGATCGTTGGAAGCCCTGCCACTATCAGTCACGTTCAAAGTCATCACCAATTTCAACTCACATGATGTTGTTGTAGTTGACTTTTCTAATCGAAATTCACAAGATTGACTTGTAGGCTTCCCAATCGGGTAAAACTTTCCCTCCCGCAGCTGATGGATGTGTTGAGTGCTACACGACTTGCCTTGAAGCGATGTGGAAGTAAGGTGTTGGGTTCAATGACTCTTCAGATGAGTCGTAGCAAAACGAACTTGTAGCGATGTCGCAGGCCAAGTTCACTGAAATCTTGTGGAGTCGTGTGATACAATCACTTTTGCTCATATGAGGGAGAGCCGCGATAAGATTAGGTTGCCGGAAAAGTCCCAGTGCGCCGCTCATTCCATTACATGAGCGGTGACGACACCGACGCCGGCCGGCTGTACGACAGTCGGCATCGTATGTAACGTCAAGCACCTCAGTCAGCCGAACGGTTGGTGTGTATCTCTTTGTAGGGCCGGTCGAGACGACGGACAGGAAGTTCTTTGTCGAAAGGTTCGGCTTGCCAAAGTTCATCGAGTCCGCATTGATGATAGGTAGCCCTAGAAAAACTTATGCTTTCATCACGCACACGTGCTCATGCGAATCGTTCCCAAAGATGGAGCTCTTGAGGTTCATCATCAAGCGATCCTTCCACGCGTATAAAATCCCGTGTGCCGCCGCTAAAACGCTGTGCCTTGAACGATAGGAAGGGCAACGTTACTGGCGATCTACGCCGCGACGCCCACAGCCACAGCCTTATTACTTGACAGACCCCAGCAATAAGCCGATAAGCAATCTCAAAGCTCCAGAACGATCCGAGAAGTCTTCAACACTGCCGCTCTTTCGTTGTGCTCAACACGACAACGACCAGCTCTCATACCGCGACAATGGCCATCACCGACGATCCCTCCAAGCTCACGCATGAGGACTTGCCCGAGCTGCTTAAAGATGACACGAGCGTCAAAGTCGCCGGCGTGGATATTGATGGTCAGCTGCGAGGGAAGCTCATGTCAAAGAAGAAGTTCCTCTCAATCGCAAAGGAGGGTTTTGGTTTCTGCTCTGTGATCTTCGGCTGGGACATGCATGATCAGACCTACTTCAAAGAGCTTAAAATCAGCAACAAGGAGAATGGATACAGAGACATGGTGGCAGAGGTGGATCTCAGCAGCTTCAGACGTATGCCATGGGAGAACAATGTTGCCTTCTTCCTTTGCAGCTTTCGCGAGCCTGAAGGACAGAGCTTGAGTGCTTGTCCTCGAAGCTTGTTGGAGAGAGCTGTACAGAAGATTCAAGCAAAGGGGATGGGGGCTCTAGCTGGCGGTTAGTCGGAGATATTCCCATGCGCAAGACCAATACTAACAGCAGCTTCCAATAGCGGAGTACGAGTTCTACACGTTCCGCGCACCAGAGGCTTCGCATATATCGCCATCTGACGGTGCGAGAAACTCCAGCGCTACTGCAACGTTCTTGCAGAACAACCCGGTAAACAGTCTGCCTAGTCTGGAATCCGGCATGTTTGGGTACTCCATAACGCGACCAGTCCACAACCAGGATTGGTATTACGGAATCTACGATGCGTGCCGAAAGTTCAGATGCGATATTGAAGGCTGGCATACCGAGAGTGGACCGGGAGTTTACGAAGCTGCACTGGAGTACGGCGAGATCAGGCAGATGGCGGATCGGGCGGCCCTCTTCAAGCTGACAGTAAAGAACATGAGCTCAAACTATGGTATAACACCATGCTTCATGGCGAAGCCCAGAGAGGGTCTTCCAGGTAACAGTGGGCACATGCACATCTCGTTGAAGGACAACAAGACTGGGGCGAATTTGTTCGTCAGAGAAGAGGCGGACCCCAACCCACCTTACCCCGATCTGGTACACGTGTCAGACATTGGTCGACAATTCCTTGCCGGCCTACTCGACGGTCTACCAGATATCATGCCGCTTGTTGCACCCACTGTCAACAGCTATAAGCGTCTTGTGGAGAACTTCTGGGCTCCTGTCACTGTGTCTTGGGGTCTAGAGCATCGCGCTGCTTCGATTCGATTGATCGCACCACCGACATCACCGCCGAAGGGAACCAGATTTGAGATTCGTGTTCCCGGTGCTGACACCAATGCCTACCTCGTGCTCTCCGCCATCTTGGCTCTGGGCTACCGTGGGATTGAGAAGAAGATGGAGATTCCAATTCCACCACTCGGAAAGGGAGAGGATGTTGGTGGTGAAGCTGACAAGGGAAAGAGGCTCGCGAAGAGCTTGAAAGATGCCACGGCGCAGTTCGCTCGGAAAGAAAGCGTGGCCCGGGAGGTATTTGGAGATGACTTTGTTGACCATTTCGCGGGAACCAGGGAGCACGAGATCAGGCTGTGGGACGAAGCCGTGACTGATTGGTAAGTCTGAGTCGTTTTTGGGCGTCTAGAACATGTTGCTAACATACTTGCAGGGAGGTCAGGAGGTATATTGRGACAGTATAAGCGGTGGAAGAGACATTGGCAACGAGCACGCAAAGTAGTCACTCTGAGTTCTGCTGTTCTGGACCTTTTGCTGCAGACACCTATCTTTACTGCCGTGGAGCATACTCAGATAGATTGTTTTCATATCCACCCGTGGGCGGGGAGGAACATGTAACCTGATGTAAAAAATATGTTGGTGGCAGGCAGCCAGGCGATCGAATTGCAGGACTCTGTGGCGTCGACTCCATTCGCGTTTATTGGTCTGAAACCGTACGCGATTCTTTGATGTTACAGACCAGTCAGCACCCGACAGGTCATTATTGACGGGTGTAGCCTCGAGGGCGCATTGTTCCTGCCTTCACTGCTTCGTTCTTGTCACGCCCGTCGCCATAGCAAAATACGAACGATCGGGCTTGAAAAGTCACTAGTTTCAAGGTTCTCAGCCTCCAYCACCACGCCACGCCAAGGTCGAAGCCATCCAGCCAGCCGCTTTGCTGTCTTACGTCGTCTTACGAGTCCCCGGCAACCACCACCTCAACATCCACATCCACATCCGCTTTCGAACTTCCAACAACCACTCACGTACAACATCGAACTCGGATATTTGCGAAACCTCCAACGACCACTTCACGACTGCCTATTCCGTCGCAATCGCAATCGAACGTCCGCCAAACTCCTGACATCTCCGCGCAACAATGGCGAGCAGCAACAATGACGGCGGTCTCTATGACCCCTATGTCAAGCGTGGCGCCGAAGAAGGCGATGCAGGCAATGCGCGCACACAGGGTCTTCAACGTGTAAGTTCCGCGCACATCCTGCGGTCGCAGGCGCAATGAAGGCGATGCTGCCTGGAGAGCGACAAGGGCGGCAGCTGATGAGTGATGGTGGTTATTAGGAAATCGACGGCGCTGTCCAAACGATGCAGAACAACATTCACAAGATTTCCGAGCGTGGAGAGAGGTTGGATAACCTGCAAGACAAGACCGATCACCTCTCGACGCAGGCCAACAGCTTCCGCCGCGGCGCCAACCGGGTGAGGAAGCAAATGTGGTGGAAGGACATGAAAATGCGGATGTGCATCATCATTGGTATCATCATTCTTTTGGTGGTTATCATTGTGCCTTCTGGTGAGTTGCTCGCATGTGGGAATGAAGGCTGGACGCACGTGCTAACTTTGGGTAGCGATCTATGGCAGCAAGTAAAGTAAATGAGCTTCCGACACACGATTAATGTACCCCGATACGGAAGCGGACCTGTCAGGCAAAAGAACCACAAGACTGCTGAGAGCGGCAGACACCTCCCCATCCACCTCTCTACACACATACCCAACCCCGGAAACCCGACACCGACGATACCTGTTGATTAGCATTGCCTTATGATGAATGGATACGGAGCAATGGAAGTCCGTAATCGTTTGCAACTTGCGTACGTAGCATTGAATGTAAACTACAACTCATGAACAAGTGCTGGTGAGATCAAAGCTTGCCGGCTCTCCGTGTAGTGAATTGACGACAACGCCGCCGAACAGCTAGCTTTAGGCATAAAAAGAAGCTGTCTCGCGGAGAGTGGAGTATCTTGTCGAAGGCGGTCCTCCTGATCGTGTTATCGTTTTTTCCACCGCTGCAAGTATGCCGGCAATGCTCAATGTCACCGGGCCTTGGAAATGTTGCACCATATTGGAGAAGCGGACTTGGAATTACTGCTGGCTTTCTCGAACACAAACAGCTTCATTAAAATTCGCTCCTGATAAACAACAAGTCGCATGCATCATGGGTATCACTGCTCCGCATCATCAAAGTTGGCGTGAAGACACGCTCTCCCTAGTCACGCGCGCGTACGCGTCCTGCATTCCTCAAACTCATACCCGGCTTCGTGGTATCAATCAATCCCGTATCCCCAATCTGTTGTCGATATCGCCGGCCCGTTCTTCCTGTCATGTGTGGTTTTATACATGGCTCGTACGCGCTTTGCTTCGCTTGCCGGCCTGGCGGAGGTTAGTATCGATGATGGAAAGGTTGAGGACGGGAAATGGCGCATACCTTGCCACAAGTGAGGCAGGATACCAATGCCGAGAACAAAGAAACAATTCCGCCTGCGATAATTTTTACCACTGAAACAATGGCGTTAACAACAGCCATCTGTGTTCTTCTGTATTAGCGACTGATCGTATTGACATTTCTTCTGCGAAGTGGAACATACGAAGCAGCTGGTGATCGCATTGACCAAAGTGTTGAAGCACGAGGCTACGGCACCCATCTTGATGGTTTTGAGAGTGGTATTTGGGGTAGTTGCTGTGTGTTGAAGGTGATTTGAATTGAAACTGATCTTCTGGGGCGTGGATTGTTGATGTGAAAGAGTATGTGAACGAGAGGGAGCAGGTTCGTTTGTATAAAACGCGCCTTGCGTTAAGAGCTTGGACGTTTTTCTTGCCTCGCAAGGCAAGAAACACCGTCACCTGTGCATGGATTGTTTCATGGTAGGCTAGTCCATGCAGTACACTGCGGTTGTGCGACAACCCCCGTCGACTGCATCATTGTCAGGAAGCTTGTTCGCCCGTTCGGTGCAGTTTCTGCACAGTGTGGATCTGGTGATGTGGTGATGATACTGTTTTGTTATCGCTAGCGCGGAGAAAGTTGGAAAACTGGGATGCCCTGGACAAGGATCTACGAAAAAGGTGTGCCATCTGGAGATTTTTCTTGCAAACAGAAGTTCCGATTGATCCAATCACATCGGTGGTGTCACCGCCACTTTGTGAATCTTCCGATCTGTGGCTGGTATGTACTTCTCGTGGAGGCTATGGCGCAGTCAACCACATGAACGAGAAGCGACGTCCACTGGAGTGTGAGCCACTGATCTACAGCAAGTCATCGGCGTACGCTCCACGACTTCAAACTCAGTATCCGCACACGAGGCCTGAGATCCACTTGCAACTCCGGAGCCACTTCCACCTCGGAGTCAGACGTCCTGCTCCGAAAAGTATATCGATTGCAGAAGGAAGCTCGAAGCAGAGTCACGACGAACTAGTCCTCTGACCGCCTATCACAACCATCACTGGAATAGAGTTTGATATGGGAGCTTGCTGGACGAAGTTCGCATGCGTCAACGCCACATCATCCGAGGTGGCAGCGGAAGCCCTATCTTCGTTTCAGCTGACCATTACTCTTGAGGGACATGCAGGACCAAGCTCTTGGGAATCTGCGATCTTCTTGTTCGAAGGGATCCTTCACTCGTGGCTCATCGGGTGCCAAGGGGTGTCGTATGTCTACCTTGGTACCTTTGGAGGACAGCAAGTTTTCAGCTGTGCAGCCATCAGTTCCACGTGGGTCTCTCCCAGAAGGATGATGATCAAAGGCTTGGGGTGAAGTTCGACCTGCCATATATTTAGGTTCCCGGCAATGGAGTTCTACGGGTGGCGGTTGCGAAGGTTTGACCGACTCCTTTCGCAAACGTCCAATGTTGTCGCGACACGCGGAACGCAGATCGCCATCGAAGAGCACCACGCTCACAATCTACAGATCCTTCACGCTCCTTGACGCTTCAGATGAGAATTACCAAAGAGAGCGTGGATCCGAGGCGCTTTTCAAATTCATCTCGACTGAGTTGGCTAATGACCCCGCTGACGTGTAATCATCCCGTCCGCAGGAGTCCACTCTGGAGCACGGAGAAGTTGTAATAAGGAACTTCAGATGTGTGGGACAACATTTCATCTACTCGGAACAGACAGGATGCACTTGTGGCATTGCCCTGCAATCCTTGCAACTAGATGCATATCAGCCACACAGCAAGCCTTGGTCGATGGCAAGGCAGCATGTCCCTATGGTCCATCTTCACTAGACACCTGATTGAGGGTGTCGGTGTCGCTAGGAAAAGGCGCCAGGAATATTTGTTGACTTGTTCTGTTCATCTGCCGACGTTTCGTGTACTGACATGCTTTGGGGCAACTCAAACTCCCACGGTCTCGTCTATCGCCAGTATAATGTTCGGCGCGTCGGAATATTTTCAATCTAAGTTGAATACTGGAAATAAGTAACAAACTTCGGCAGCCCCGATACGCATCCAGCGAGGACTTGATTTGCGATCAGAGAAGATTATCAGATCTCTAGAGAGTGCCCCTTGGAATCTCCTCGGATCAGCAGATACAGACTTCCCCATCCGATCGGTAACTGAAGCAGCAGGCCAGTCCAGTACGCTGTAATCTGCTCGCGCTCATCTGGATACCAGAGGCACAAACCACATAGGAGGAACATTTCAACCAAAATCCCACCAACTATCTGAGTCGTGACCAGCTTTCTGCGTTCCGTAATTCCTCGAAGGGAAATGAAGATGACTTCCGAGATATCCGGATTTTTTATAAAGATCGTAAGCGTTTTGGCACGATGCCGCAAGATCATGAGAGTACCATATGGGGAAAAACAACAACTCCATGTCCATTTCCAAGTCGGCGGTTCCAGCAAGCCATCATGTCTTTCTCAAAGCGATGGGGCAATCAAGGCTATGAACTCTCGCAAGAGGACTGGTGCCCATCCTTGGTGAGCCTTCCGGGTTTGCGCAAACGATCTTAGTAAACAATAAGTCGAATTGTTTGTGATTCTAGTGATATTGATCGAAATATCTCAATGCTGGCCCTCGAAGAAATTGCTACAGCGGACGTGTTATGCGTGCCAGAACACTCGATTCCACGACCTCGGGTTCACAGGATGAGAGGCATATTATTAGCATTGCGTCTCTGGGCTTGGCTACCAATCTAGAGGGAACGACGAAAGCAACACGAAAGTGACAAGTTACTCACTTTTTGCTCGGCAGAAGGTGATATCCTCATGCCGATGAGAAGTACGTGGATGCTGCAGAGTCCAGCGGACATGTAGAGGAGAGAAGAGCCTACTACACCGTCCGACTACCCGGCCTTTATACGCTCTTCGATCCGAAGACTTGTCATCTCGAACATTCGTGCCAGCGAATACGGATCGACTCAAAAATGGGAGGAGTAATTCTCAATCCGGAAATAAGTCATTCCTCTGAAAATGCCAACATGGAACAGAAGCGAAAGTCTGTGATTGTACACGTGGTCTGAGTCTCAAGCTCGCCTTGCACAGGAAATGCAGCCTTCTTTCGGCATTCCTAGTTAACGTCCTGGTCAATAGCGCGCTCTCGAGACCCCAGAGTCCAAGGAAGGGGAAATTGATGCTCGACGACTCTTCTCATAGCAAATCGACGACAACGTTTGCGGATAGGTAGCGGYAAGCACAAAACGAAGCAGCCTTACGGAGATTCAAATGTTTCGTTCAACGGTGTCCTTTCAAACGTGTTATCGTTTTTGCAGAAAGTATAGCATCTTCAACTGCTGCAGGCAGGCCGGCAACTTTGAATCTCACCAGGCATGTTGTTGCAGGCGGGTTTCCGTTTCAGGCAATCCGGCAAACCCCACAAACTCCATGGTGGGGCATCTCAGTTGGCCAGCTAGGAGGTACCACGCGTGATGACACGACCAAAGACTGCAGATCCGCGGCCGTGTTGTTGCTCGTCAATGGCTAAATGCTAGCTCGTAGCACGGCAGTCCATCATTGTGCTTTGGTACTAAAGAAAGCCTCTCCCATGAATCTGTCCCGCCGCTGCTCCTTCATTCCCTCGACCTAATCATGTCTGTTTTTCAGCGCGTAGCTTCACGATCGCTACGAACGGCTACTGCGTTTCCCCGTACTCTTCCAATCATCCGATGTCAGTTCCAGCATGATGTAAAGAATCCTCCGCAAGGCAACCCYCCAGTAGCAGGCAGAGGACCACCCGACGCACCCAAAGAGGAGGCCGCGGCACTCAAGGATAATTCCAAAGCAGGAAGCTATTTGGGAACGACTAAGCGGTTGCCCGAATTCAATCTCAACGACAATAAGTCTCGACCAAAAAGCGTGCAAGCTCTTTAAGCTGACTTGTGTCTATACAGGTCGTTCTTGTCACAGGAGCTGCAAGAGGGCTCGGTCTAGTGCAAGCAGAAGCGCTTCTCGAAGCTGGTGCCACCGTCTACGCGCTTGACCGATTACCAGAGCCATCTCCCGATTTCTACCGCGTGCAAAAGCGCGCAGCCGAAGAACTCGGTGTGTGACATAGCACATGTCCAGGACGGACGGCAAAAACTGACAGCGCACCAGGGACCACCTTGCATTATCGACAGATCGATGTTCGCGATGTACCACAACTTAACGAGATCATTCGTAATATCTCCGAGACTCAGGGCAAGCTTGACGGCTTAATCGCTGCAGCAGGAATACAGCAGGAAACGACCGCCTTGGATTACACCGCGAAGGATGCGAACACCATGTTTGAAGTGAACATTACGGGAGTGTTCATGACTGCGCAGGCAGTGGCCAAGGAGATGATCAGACATGGACGAGGTGGATCCATTGCAATGATTGCATCGATGAGCGGCACAGTTGCGAACCGGGTATATATCGATGTCTCGTGAAAGGCCAATGCTCTTGCTGACTTTCAGTTTAGGGTCTCATCTGTCCGGCGTACAACGCCTCCAAGGCTGGCGTGATCCAGCTCGCGCGCAATCTCGCCATGGAGTGGGGAACACACGGTATCCGCGTGAATACCATCTCTCCAGGCTACATTGTAACCGCAATGGTCGAGGCTCTTTTTGAACAGTATCCCGAGAGGAGAAGGGATTGGCCAACGCAAAACATGCTGGGGAGGTTATCGGCTCCAGAAGAATACAGAGGCGCCGCAGTTTTCCTGGTCAGCGATGCCAGCTCTTTCATGACCGGCTCGGATCTGAGGATAGACGGAGGGCATGCGGCTTGGTAGTCTGATTGTGAACACATCCGAAGCGTTGAATCTGCTTGCGTACACACATCGAAGCGTTGTAGCTCGGCGTTGATAGACCACTTTCGAATGGTATTCCGGCATTATGATCCCATCTTTCTTTCATGGTCGTCCATGTCCCATCACATTCAAACCCCATTCTCAACAGACTTTTGCGCAATGACCGGTCGCTTCTTCTGTCCTTTCCCATTGAATCGTCGTTGATACAGCTCGTACGTCAAATACAGCATAATCGGCGTAGCACAAATCAAAGCAGTAACTCGCGTCGCCGCCGCTTTATATCGTGGGTCCAGCACACCCTCGCGCACAACCCGTTGAGAAGCTTCCACTCCACGCGTGGGATTGTGCTCGCCCAAGTAAACCGGCTCTGCGGATTTGAAAGGCCACATGCGTGCGAACACGCCCTTGGGTTTTGGCTTGGGTGCCGGTGTGCGCGGCTCGACGTCTGCGGGATGCTTCGATATTCTCTCTTCCGCGCGCGGAGCTTTGAATGAACGCGGCTCTGGCGGCGGCGCGACGGAGACTTTCCCAGTGGTGGGAAGGCCCGCGACTGGTGTATTTGACTGCATCATATACGCAAGACGGGAAAGGAGTGTATTTGATGTTGTGCAGTAAATGGAATGGTCGTGGAGCTATGACTTTGATGACTTTGGCTGAATATACGCTAATGCTAAACGGATCCATTCGACAAAAGATCTCCTCTGTATCAGCAGATAACATTTCCATAGGTAGGTACCGCAAGAGTCGATACGGAAGCACATGGGACTACAACAATCGAAAGGAAGTGGATAGATCGGATGAAAGAGTCATTTCTCATGCTTGCGAGTATGCAACCTGCATCTCAATGTCCATGTTGGGAGATTCATAACTACATAGTATGTTAAAGATGCTTGGAGCTGTGAGTCTCCTGACCGCACGAGGAACTCATATCATACGCAACGCCATCATCCTGCGTCTTCTCGTCGGCCTCTGCCTATCCAATGCAGGTTTCACTTAAAGCGGCCGCTGCCATGTTTTGAATTGACAGTCATTCCTTACTCCAACTTCGGCTCATCCCATCCGTGCTGTCTCCCCAGATGGACTGTAACGGACTCAGGAATGTCTCTGAGACCCTTTTAGATTGTCGTTTCGTCGTTTCGTTCCCGTCCACACCCATTCAGCCCCCTGCCTCATACTTGGCCAAATGCGACGGCAGTCCATGCAGATTACCCATGTTGTAGACTGGCGACGGTACAGATGAAGGCGGGTTGTGGATGGCAGGCGCATTGTATATCGGCGACGGTGCAGAAGCCGACGGAAGTCCGTGATAGCCCGCCGAAGTCACATTCATATCAGGATATCCGCTACCAGGGTACATTTGAATGCCAGCGCTGAGCGGGCTTCCAAGAGGGCTTCCAAACGCCGGTGTAGAGTCTCCACTCGTGGGAGCGCTACTATGGTTTCCATCGTAAATCTCCTCAGGCCTGAGGCTGGGAGGAATGGCGGGAATCATATAGGCCGGAGTGTTTGGCATGGTGTCGGTGATCTTCTGCATGAGCAGGGGAAGGTAGCGTTGTTGGCCTCCGCGAAGATTCGAGATGATGTTCATCAGCTGGCTGAGGTAGTCGCGAGGGCCAAGCCCGTAGGCGTACTGATCCTGAGGGATCACAGACAAGACGTCTGTCAGAGTGCAGGCCACGTCGAAGAGCTTCTCGATGAGACCGATGCCGTGCACTTCCATGGACTCCTTTGAAAATTGTGACGCTGACTGTACGAGATCTCGGGAGATCTCAATCGGAAAGTTGAAGCTCATGGCATTGTCTGCAGCCGCTGACGAGAGGAAGCCGTGGCTGATTGAGAGCTGCCAGACCATGCACCTGAGCCATTGTTGCGAGCATCTCAAATCCACTGCTTGGGTTTCTGTGCATTGCAAATATGTTGGAAGCGCATCGGAGAGCTGCTGTTGCAGCCGTGCCAGCCACTCGGTCGTACATCCCACTCGAGCTTTGTTCCAAAGTCCGACAAAAGTATCATCAAAAGGCCTGAATAGCTGGACGAGATGAATGAATCCGTTGAGCTCTGCTGTTTCTGCTGGGTCTTCTTCCAGTGTTGGGAGGTTGATCGTAGCGTGTAGTGTGAGAGGCTTGTGCTGCTGCAGAGCGTATGCTCGCTCGGTGACAAACAAAAGCCAGTACAGTCGTCGCATTCGTGAGTTCTCGACAACGTCCGGTGTTTGGTAGGTCGTCTCATCGTTCATCCCCATGATCTGTGCCAGTGTCGTTGCTTCGCGTAGATGAAACCAAGCTGTGTTGTGTCGGTCAAGGCAAAAGTAGCTGCCGAACAGAAAGAACGAAGTGATGACAGACCATACTGTAGGGTTTTCGACGTAGTTGTAGCCCCTTCGTACCCGCAGAACCTCTGATAACAACAGCTGGCCCACATGAATACTCGGCTGTGGTGGGATCTCAAGACCATCGAAGGCTCCTGGAGACAGTACCATGTTTGGCTGAATCATCATGTATGCACACAGCGACAGTGTCAAACAATATGCCTCAGTGTTTGTGTCCATTTGGCCAATTGTTTCCCCAACCTTTTGGCGATGCAGGATTGGTTGTGTTGGATATAGGTTGGCGAAAAAGTAGTCGACGCAAGTTGTGATCATCTCCATTGAAAGCAGGCCCTGTCTCCTAACGTTCGCAGGTGGTTGATTTTCGTTCTCAAACTCCGCATGGTGTCGTTTGGCCACCAGCTGAGACTGACGCTGCGTTTCCCTCAGTTCGGAGATGACCTTGGCCCGACTTCCCTTGGGCCCTTTCTTCTGTGGTATAGCGTTGTAGGTACATGTCAGGCCGGCCGACGTGCAGTTCTTGCAAGGACGCGTGCCATCGCCAATACACTTGACCTTTCTTCTATGGCAACCATCGCAGGCTCGCTTCACGGTCGGTGGAGTCGGTGATGTTGAGTCGGCCATCTTGCGAGCACTGTCCAGCCCACGCGAGGCAGAAGGAACCTCTACTGGGCCTGATAAGGTAGAGATCAGCATCAGAGATGCTGAGGCCGGACAATATGGAGCCAGAGAGGATTTCTAACGACCAGGTGATGCCCGATTCTTCTCCAGACCCACGTATATGGTCACGCCTTTAGCCACGTATGTGGTCAAGTCTTCAGTAGATGTGATCGACGCTCTAGGATTGGTAATAGATGGAATGAGAAGAAGGAAAAGCGCGTGGGGGAGGCAGAATGGTGATGAGGTTGAGACTCAGCTTGGAAGATGGGTCCGTGAGTGGATTCTCGAGAATAATGTGTGCAGAATAAGCACTCCCAACGGAGACCTTACCGTATTGCGTTGTACGCTGGTCGACCAGAGAAGCTCAACACAACCTTCGAGAACGGCAGGGGCCAGGTACAAGTCCTGGCGCCATGACGGAGTGAAAGCATGGCGATAGCGTACATGGTGGCGCGAGCGATGTGCAGAGACTTTTCCCTCGCTTCAGACGGGCCAGGCCGTTTTGCTGGGCTTGAAGCCCGTCGGCGAACCACAATGGGTGATAGCTGGCGAGATTTGCGGCCAAGAGAAGCAGTTAGAAGCGTGTCTTTAGTTGCCGTCTTTATCCGGTGGATCCCGCCCACGATTAGCGGACGGCTACTGTAAGGCTGCATCACTAGTGTCGCAGGATGCAGTCTTTCGGACCGAAGACGACGTGTCGGCGTCGCGATCGCTGAAACACACGACGTGCTGCCTGACAGCTGCCAAGCTCGAGCGTGCGCGATCACGTTACAAGACGTCTCCGCCGGGAAGTGAAGGCGATTGACGCTTTGGTTGCTCGTATTTCAATCCTTGCGATGACAGAGCATGACGCCCTCATCAACCTTCGAGTGGACACCAACAGCACCAGTGAGCCTTGAGGAATGGAGGGATGGATGAATGGATGGATGCCGTCAGCCGTTTCGTTGAGCTCCTGTCGAGCGGGCCCTCTGATGAGCTGGCCGTTGGCGAGAATTTAGAAGGGCAGAGGAAGTGGAGTGCGGCTGGCCACGGCTGGCGCGATTTCTTCGGCGTGTCTGGATCAAGAGACAAGTGCAGGCTGTCCGTCTGTCGTTTGTGATGTCGTGGAAACGTGAGAAAGCAGATAAAATGTTCAAGACTTGGGAGTCGCTTGTTATATGTGTCCCTGCAGCGCCCATAGAATAAAAGGCCCGTCGCACAAGGCATCTCGCCGTACGCTACACCGAACGCCTCGGTGCTGTCGCGGGATAAATGGTCATTTGTGTGGGTGGAAGAACCACGGCGGCTGTCCACATTCGGGTTCTGCGAGAACGCCTAGCTACGGTATGTGGAGGAGCCGACTGTAGAGTATATCAACATTCATCGTTTAGCCTGTTCTAGGCTTCGCAAAGCGATCGGGTATTCTCTTATCCTGCATGGCCGTGACGTTACATCTTAGTACTACCTCCTACAATTGTTGTGTTTCTCAAGACGGTTCGGCCAATACGTTGCCTCCCTCGACTAACACAACCTCATCGATGCGTTTCTTCGTGTCCTCACCGCAGCACTCCACCCGTTTCCAGGTCTCCAAGCGCCCAGCGTTAGTGTCGACCTCCCAGACCCTCACTCGCCGATGGAATCCCCCATAACCGGCGTATCCACCAAACCCTGATCCGCCCGCATAGCACATCCATGGACCCAAGCGGTTCTTCCTTCCCTGGTGGTGTGTCTCTGGCGCATCTGCGGGAGCATCACGCGCTGTTGGTTTTTGAGGACGTAGAGCACAATAGTCATTGACGTGGTCGTGACCACATCCTACCGCGACCACTCCCTCCTCCACGAGGGCATCATAGAAGTGGCTATTGTACGAGGGAGCTGTGACTCGCTCCTTCCACTCGCCGCCTGCGATGGTGTTCTCCTTCTCTGCATACTCGGGCAGGGGAATATGGATAAATGCTAAATCCAAGTGGATATGGCTATACTTGCTGTGGGTATGGCTTTTTTTCAGGGTCTGCGAAGTGGTGCGGAACCACTCAATCTGGCTCGGTTTCAGCCAGTCGTACCCTTTGTAGTGTTTTTCGTCCGGCGTGAGGGAGTGAGTGTCCAGCATATACAATGTCAGCGCCGAGTGCTCGGAGTTTGGAGCCAGAATTTCAACATAGTAGTTGCCAGTGCCTTCAACTTCTTCGGCACCTGCATGGCTCAGGCTGAAAGGTAGAGTCTCCATTAACTCCATCTGCGAGGAACGTCGCAAAGAGCGGCCACCTTCGTCGTCGTGGTTGCCGAATATGGCAGCATATGGTATGGATCGTTCAATCAACGGTGCTGTGATTTTGAAGATTGCGCTCTGCGTATCAGGAGCGGTGGGTCCTTCAACCTGATCCCCAGACAGGACGACGAAGTCGGGCTTCTCATCATCGAGTATGGCCTCTATAAATTCCAGCGTCCGAGGGTCAGCCTCGCAATGCGTGCTGGGCCTGTCTCCTTCTCCAATGGCGTCCCTACAGACGCCCGTGCCCGTAGATAGATGTGCATCAGACACCTGTAAGATCTTGAACTTTCCATCCTTGCGGACACGCGGTACGGGAATGCTCCTATGCTCCGACTTGGGCCTACCACGTCGTAAGCTGAGCCTCGCAGCGCGGTTACTGTTGGAACCATCCAAGAGAAGTGGAACCTGAGCCAGCTCCCAGTTGTGTCTAGGATCGACTGCGTCCGAGCCAAACAAGACATCCACAGCAGTGATGGCCTTGTCAGAGTCACTGTCATGGCGTTTGCTGCTACGCAGGATGTGAATTCCACCAGGTCTACTCTCCCACGATGCCCCATGCTCTTTGTCTCCGACCTCTGGCGCAAGCCTCCCAATTTTAATGTCCATGATGACTCTGTCATCCACGGTAAGCTCTTCTTCTTTCTTGCGCTGCACGTGCACGTAGGCACTGCTCAACCAGCCGCTCCCCAAGTAGAGATCTTTTTCGATGCGACTCCATTTTGCAGGATCCAGGCGGCAGGTCGATAGGGGATTGACCGACGAGCAAGTCGCGATGGTCACGTCCGTGATCACATTGCCAGCATGATGGGAGGGAAGTGCCGAGTGGATCGAGTCAGGTAATACCCTGTAGCGCGAATCGGCTAGGAAGACCAGCACGCAGACGAGCACGAAAAAGGCGCCAATCTGAGTGAGGGTGCGGACGATGCGGCGGGCCATGATAGCAACGGTGAAGCAGCGTGCAATGTCAAGGAGGTCGCTGCACGGCCAACGCCATGTTCTGCTGGAGCCAAACACGCAGACGGTCAAATTCCGATTCGGTTCGAAGGAGCTAGTCGTGCGGCGGGAGAGGCCGTAGCTACAATTGTAGTATGTCGACGGAAGTGTGATGGGTGAGATGTACTCGGTGTTGGAGAAAGCAAGGATGGAGGAAGTAAGGTAGGACCCTTTGTCGATCACCTGGGCAGTAGTGACAGGGGTCCCGGAAAATATATCAAGACGAGACGAGACAAAGAAGAAGGTACAGTATGACACTCGAATGAGCTCCGATATCGCCTTTCTCTCCCACCTGGCCTGATCCTCATGAGCCTACTGCTCCGCCGGCCGAAGCCTGTAAAGGTATGCTGCGCTCCTCTCCGCCGTCAATGGATCTCCAAGGACTGCCGCGCCTTTGTCGCCGGCGATCTCGTGCTTCTCAGGCAAGCTCAGGATCGCTCTGCGCCTCCAGTCCTATCCCGTCCGTTGAAGCCAGGCAAACGCATTGAAAGCCACAAGGGTGTGATCCAACACGACGACATCATTGGAAAACGAGTCCGTGATATTGTTCAAGCCAAGACGACAAGATCTGAACGACCGTCAGTCGACTATCGAATTCACGATGTGACTCTTGATGAATATGTCCGTCTGACTAAAAGACTCGTCACGCCCATCTATCCGGCCGATGCGAATCTTATTGTGCAGCTGCTGGATTTACATCCAGACACCAGGTCTTCGGTTGAGAGCGGCGAGGAGACCGCGCCGCTTGAGATTCTAGAAGCTGGGACTGGTCATGGGTCATTGACGCTGCATTTGAGCCGCGCAATACACGCTGCCAACGCTGGCGTTTCGCAATCAGGGGGCATAGCTGAAGGCGATGCTCGACGTGCAATTCTTCACACAATCGATGTGAATGGGAAGTTCTCAGCGCATGCAAAGGATGTGGTGGATGGGTTTAAGCATGGCCTCTACTCAAACAACGTTGACTTTCACATTGGGGATGTCAGCGACTGGCTCAAGACTAAGTATGCCACCCGTGGTCCAGATCCATTCTTATCGCACGCGTTTCTCGACCTGCCCTCTGCAGACACACACCTCCAAACCGTGGCGGACGCTCTCAAAACAGACGGGACTTTGATTGTGTTCAACCCTTCCATTACTCAAATCAACGATTGCGCGATCAAAATCAAAGGAGAAAAGATCCAGCTCGACCTAGAAAGGATAGTAGAGCTGGGCGTCAATGGGGGGTCGGGCGGACGGGAGWGGGATGTGCGGTTCGTACGACCGCGAGCTTTACAAAAGACTGAAGCCGAAACGGTGGCCACTGCAAGTGAGGTATCAATAGAGCCTGACGAGAGTGAAGGCAACACTCCGCCGGTCTCTGACTCGGAGGTCGCAAAAGACAAACCATGGTCCATGGTCTGCCGCCCCAAGGTCGGGGAAAGGATAACAGGCGGCGGATTCCTCGGTGTATTCAAGAAAACGCGCGACACAAAAGCCGGCGAAGTTGCCGCTGTCGATTAAAGCCACTACATTTTAGTTACCACCACTTCTCGCAGAGGACCCGGTCTTCGGACATCCCTGGCTGACTCTTCAAGAGCTTCACGAAATGATCCGTCATCTGAGGCGGACCGCAGACGTAGCTCAATGTCGATGCACGGTGGCCTTCGACATCAGCTGGTCGCGATTTGTACCCATCGATCGCTCTTACGACATCCTCTTCAGCGATTCGTCGGCCAAAAGTCCGATTTGGCAGTTTCCCATGCTCAATGGCTCCTTCTGAGTCGGTGCCTGTTACGAACAGGCTCAACGTGACATTGGAATCTTCCGCCATAGAAACGATGTCCATGAGTCGGGGCAAGAACAGGATCTTTTGAGGATCAAGGTCCGGTTCGGATTTCGTTGCATACAGAAAGTGAACTTCCTTTGGTCTGCTGGAACTTCTCATGAGGTGCGTGAAGATCGAGATGAGAGGGCTGCACTTCGTCAGCATTATCGTCATGAAGGGGTTGTAATCCGATGTACTTGATACCAACGCCCCCAGCGATGAGTACTAATCTATCGATCTTCTGGACATCGAGATGGGGAGGCGGCCAAGTGAAGCTGCCACCAACTCTGACGACCTAGTTCGGAGTTAGGTGCCGTCCTGAAATTCGATCACCTGACGATACATGAGTCGAGCTTACAATTTGACTGCCAATAATGTCTTCGCTGGGTTGCCAGAGCCATTTGCTGGGTGGATTTCTTGACTTTTGAACTGCAAGCTCTAGGTAAGGAGGTGATGTGTCGGAGGCTACAGCTTGTTGTGGAATTGACGTAAGAGTAAACCCTCCTGCGCTTGGTATTCCTGGAACGAAAGTGTCCACCCATTGACCAGGTGTGAACTGTGCTGTATAAGTTTGGGATTCGTAGATGATGGCTCGGGAAGTCTAATACCTTGATTGTACGGTTGATGACTGGAAACAGCCTCAACAATCGAACCTGTCAAAACCGATCAACTTTAAGTCTGATATCATTTATGGTCTAGAACACCCACGTTGTCATTGACTTCCTTGATGTTCGCTACAATCACGGCATGCAAGCCTTGTTCTCGGGGCTCCTCTGCTGTGCGAAACTCATGCGTCGGTCCAACCGTCGCCATGTTTCGACCTCTTGGTGTACAACCTTGCACAGTCTGCTTCAAGCTTTGACCCAAACGAAATTGAATTCTCCTTGCAATCATCGCGAAGGTGTATGGCAATGTTGATGTTGCGACCACAAAGGTGACGTTCACCAAACACTCTCATGGAGCTAACGATTCTTGGCGCAAGTGATGTGCACCTTCCAGATCAGCGTTGGTAATTGACAGGATATTCACCTCGTTAGATGTACAGAAGACATCATCATCCTGCGTCACGTCTGCAGCAATCACCAGTGCATCTCCAATTTTACATGAGAAGCAGCTGTCTGCCTTGTTGATCCGAGACAGCATCTGAGTGTCTGCAGCAGCGTCTAATCACAACGCGACTTACAATACCCCAGGAAAACTCCCAAGAAGAATGGCTCTTGCAACAGTAGCGATCCACTCAATTGGTGACATGGGCGCTGGCATCGCTCGCTTACTTCTTGCGAATGACTTTCATGTCATAGCCAATGTATCTGACAGGAGGTATAGCACTTCAGAGGTTGTCTTCATTGAGCTACGCTAATTGAACAGTCAAGCGACGCAGGAACGAGCTGCCAAATGTAAGATCGAGCTCGTGGGCTCCGATGCAGAGTTGTGCAAGACTTCCGACTACATCTTGAGCATTGTCCCTCCTCGAGACGCAATAGCAACAGCACAACGCGTTGTCGGTGCCATGTCTGGTCGAGTTCGTCCTCTTTACTACATTGATCTCAATGCTATCAGTCCACGCTCAGCCCGAGAGATTCACGATATATTCCTGAAGACTTCTCCAAATGTCAGGTACATCGACGGGGGTATAATTGGCAACCCTCCAATGCAGCAAGCAGATGGGACTTTCAAGAGACCAAGCATTCCTCTATCTGGACCGCACAGCCTCGTTGACGCGGTTCCGAGTGGAGACAAACTTCGACAGGTGCTCAATGTTCGACATATCAACGAAGTGATCGGAACTGCCACTGGTTTGAAAATGTGCTTTGCATCGCTTACAAAGGGCTTTACTGCACTGGCGATCCAGTCGTACACCACGGCTCAGAATCTCGGTGTCTTGGACGAGCTGAAGACAGAATTGGATCTCTTCTCGCCGGATACTCGAACGCGAGCCGAGAAGGGCCTGGTCAGCATGCCTCCGAAAGCATACCGGTGGATCAACGAAATGGAGCAGATAGCAGAGACCCACGAAGCAGACGGCGGATTTCTTGCTGTTGAATCCACGTTCAGAAGTATTGCAAGGGTATACGATCTAGTAAAGGAATCGGAGCTTGGTAACGAGTTTACTGAGCATCGAGTCCGTGGCCAGACCGCACAGGATGTTGCAGCGCTCATGGTAGAGGCCACTGATCGACGAAAACTGAAGAAAGACTAATCGGTTACACACGCCCCATGGATCCTTTGCAGGCTCTTCCGTGCCACGGTGGTGGGAAGGCGAGAGAAAGAATAAGATCATCACATCGCAGCCCTCGCATACTTGAGATGATCTTACACTCCAGCTTCTTGACTACTCGCTTTGGCCCCGCTACTACATCTCGACCAAAAATCGGATATCGTATCACAAGGCGCTTCGCCACAACACATAAAATGTATGGCTTGAAATGGCATTTGTGTCAGATTGYCGCTACTGCTTTGTCATTTACCATAAACTTGAACAAGTCTGCCTCCTTCTCAAGGCTTGGAGGTAAGGTTTGTAAAGTGTTAGGGTTGGGGTTGGTGTAGTCTTCTATTCAAAAACGACGAGGGAACAGGTACAATGCTACGGATCAAGTGTGGAGGGCTGAACGTTCGATATCATATGTTTTGGCGCGCGTGTGAATTTCTTTACCCTTGGCTTCCATTACTAAGAGTACCTCATCAAAGCGCTCAATGGAACTATGCTGGGTTCACTTAGCCATCACCAAAGGTTTGTTCTAGATGACGGTCAGTGAAACGATCCGATGTTCACAATACCAAGCTGGACTTACGGAGAGGAGTAATGAGGCAATGAGCGCAACAGCACCGGCGAAGATGATCATTATAAATCTATCACCAGGTCAGCTCAAAGGTCAGCAAGAAATTGGGGTTCCTGCTGGAACTCACGTCTGATCAATGGCCTCTACAATGGCGGTAAGGGCACGCATCTTCAATGACTCGTTCAGACTGTCAAGAAAACCGCCCGAGAGACCAGAGAGGGCCGACTCCAGCTGCTTGGACGAAACATCCGGTAACAAGGGCCCGAGTCCACCAAGGGCTGTGTTGACGAAGACGGCGCCTCCTACCGAAAGTCCGAGGGTGATGCCCAGCAATTGAGCGAAGAGCACAAACGCGACACCATAAGCCATATCGGCTGGTTCCAGCACCCCTTGGATGACGGCATACCCTGCTTGAGTATAGCAACCTATGCCAACACCAAGGACGATCTCCATACCAAAGACAAACCAGTCTCGGTCGTTAATTGTAAGCTGAGATAGCACAGCGCCCCCAGCAWGGATCAGTGCGGACCCAACGACGTACCAGGGCTTGTAGTGACCGAAAGCCGATACCAGAGCGCCTTGAAGCAAAACAAAGACCGTGACCGAAATAATCAGGGGTAGAAGCTGTACTCCAGAATCCAGAGCTCCAGATCCGCGTGTAAATTGGAAGTATAGCGGTATGTAGTACTGCAGTTGCGATCAGTTCATGCGGAAGCTGGGGAAGGCAGTCGACGAATTACCATGGATACCATGTTTGCGGCATTGTTAGCCGCCATGGTGACGAATAGCAGCACGGGTTCCTTTTTGAAGATAAGCTGTACAGGGAGAAGGCGTCCCTCAAAGCTTGTCAGCCAGCAATAAGCTTGCTGCAACCCGAAGACGATGAGAAGGAGGCCGGCGACAATAAAGAGTGCAATTGTTTGGCCAGAGTTCCAAGGATAGAGAGTGCCTCCAAAGTTTATAGCCATAACTGCACAAAGGAAGCCCGCAACCGAGAGAACTGTCCCAACAGTATCGTATAACTTGAAGCGGTCGCTAAGACTCATACCAGGTCGCGGATCGAAGCTGGGCAGCATGAACAGGTAGATCGGAGCGAACGCTGCCTAACAGTAAAGGACACAAGGGTTAGCAATATCTCAGACAATACCGTAGATACTGGCCCAGCGCTTTCCGAGACTTGCTGAGTTTACGATCGGACAAATACGTTGTCTTTGGCATCGTCTTCCACAATTGGCCTCGGATGCCTGTCTCTCTTCTTTTACTTACCATGACGACCAGGTTAATATAGAAGCCCCACCTCCAGGTGGCCGACGAACTCGCAAAAGCGCCACCGACAATAGGCCCGATGACATTACCAAGCCCATATGTCACGCCACTATAACATATCAGCGCCATTGTGAGCTCTTAACGATATGCGAAGCTTATCCTGACATCAGACTTAGGTACGCCGGTCGCTCGCGGTCGGTCGTATTGGCAGAAAGGAGTGTCAGAACTCCTACGTACATGCCGTTCCCACCAATACCAGCAAATATACGACCGATGATCATGCAAGCCATTTGGGGCGCCGCACCGCACATCGCAGAGCCAAGGCAGAACAGTACAGTGCACATGATGTAAAGCCATTTTGCGTTGAAAAGACCATACAGCTTGCCCGATGGAAGTGCCGCGACGAGTGCTCCGATCATGTACCCCACAGAAAGCCAGGGAAGTTGGGCTGCGTCGTCGAGAGAATCGATGATTGCAGGTACGATGTTGGCAACAATCTGGAAATCATCAGCTCGAGTGAAATTGTAGAAGCCTACATTGGATGTACAGTGTTATCCATTGCGTGGAATAGAATGCTGGATAGAATGGAGATGACCACGAGCACCCATTTCGCACCGTGCAACTCACGCGGCGATGCTGGTACCTCTCTCCAAACGTTGCTCGGATCAGCATCACCCTTTTCATGCTCGATTGCATCCATTGCGATAGTGTGGCAATTTTTAGTACCTGGGGTGGATGTTTGTGATGTCGAAGTGAGCGTCCGCTTTGGCGAGTTTGCTGAGCGCTGCCGCGGGTGTCCCCAACTAGCGCCAAACCTTATCGTTGCGTGAATCTCATTAAAATTGGTCCACGATTTTGCCGGCATGGCGAACGCGATCCTAGTATGTGACATTATTCTACCTATGGACCATGAATGACTTCGGTCGTCACACGTTCCTCCACTTTCAGCGAAGAATACCGGTTAACGTCTATCTCGACGCATCGGTGCAGAACGCGCCGCCAGGTGGACCACAGCTTAGCGAGGTTCTCGCCAACCCCAGTCCAGTGCAAAATTCGGCGCGACTTATACCGACTTCAGGGATATTGAACCCGATGCGTGAGCGAGCTGTAACTGCCATACTCAAGCAGTACGTCCAGATGTTCGCTATGTGTAGAGCTGCGCATATGTATTTGCTGGATGTTCCTCCTTCGGGAAGTACTTGGCCATGGTCGTGAGGGTATCTGCTCTGTTTCTCCAGCAGTAGCACGATTTGACTCAAGGATCTGTCTCACATTGGTCGAAAGTGGCAGAGAAAACGTCCTTCGTCATCAGGAGGTAATTGCCGTTGCCGAATCGCTGCGGTATAGCTTCCCAATACCTGACGGCGGTATGGGGAGTTCAGCTTTCATACTATGACGGGCCATCGGTTAGAAAGGGCTCAAATGCAAAGAGCAAATGGCGTGCAATGTACGATATCGCAGACAGCTTTGACGGGACCACGCTGCGTGTTGTCTCACTCTAACTTCTGCGAAGCATCGTGACGAGTGCGACATGAGTAGAGAAGGCAATGTTCTACGACGCAAATATGTATTCAGGAGCTATTTCGTCCATAGCCTGCAATCAGAAGGCGTCGGTCAGCCGACTTCCGGGATATTGAAGGGAGCCAGGGAATACGTACCCATCTGCGAATAGGCTGCACCTCCAGCGAAGTGCGGTAACCGGCCTGCCACATTTCAATTGCGGCCCATGCTATCATCAAAGCGTTATCTGTGCAGAGGCTGATGGGAGGAATCTCAATGCGGATATCTGCGAAGCCTTGGGCATCCAGAGTTGAGCGCAGAACATGTCGGAGGAAGCTGTTCGATGCGACCTGCAGAAAATTGTTAGCACAAATGGCCGACGTAGGAAGGAATCTAAAAGTTGCGAGCGTACGCCGCCTGATACGACAATGGTCTTGACATTGTCACCTGCACCAGTGAGATGCAAAAGTATACGCGAGGTGAGGTGTTCGAATGCCTGAAGAGTAGAGTCAGATCGTGTCTCGTAGCCCAAATTTCCAGCGGACGTACCACTCGTTGCACTTCGCGGGCCATTTCCTGCCGCTCTTCGATACTGATCTCCTCTGGATTACGTGCGTCCATGGTAGAACGACCATCAGGGTTTATTGCTCGAGTCATGAAGCGCTCGACGTTATTGAGTAAGCCGCTGAATGAGAAACACATTCTCCGTGAAGTCTTCTCGCCGCTTTTGGAAGCAGACAGCGGCGGAGTGAGGGCCCAGTTCCATTGGGTCTTCCTAGGACGCAGCTCTTCCTGTCGTCGAGATGGCGGCGTATACCCATACTCAGGATCACTGCCGTCAAACGCGAACTGCTCCAGAGCTCTGCCGTAGGGAGCTTGTAGCAGCCTGGGCGGCAGAATGGTACGAGCGGCTTTGTCCAAACAATCTCCGAGTGCAATATCCTGAGTGGACGCGAGAATGGTATGCGCGACAAGACTCATTGAGCTGATCAGTAGGGTGTGCCCGCCGCTAGCCAGCACTGTCAGAAATGGAAACGCTGGTCCCGTCGATCCGTTCATGGCTCCAACCAGTCTCGGAGTAAGAGCATGAGCTTGCATGTGGTGGACTCCAATAAATGGCTTGTCCAAGGCAACGGCAAGGCCTTTTGCTGTGTCAAGCCCGACTGATAGATTGCTCCGCATACCAGGACCGCGAGTCACCGCGATAAGATCCGGTTTGGGACATATCTTCAAAGCCCTCTGGAGAAGAGGAGCAAGACTTTTGCGGTGGGAGTGAAGCGCCACCAGGGGATGGATGCCATTGTAATCAGCATTGTCCGCTGTGATGGTTTCGTGAAAGTGGACTTTCAGTTGAGATGMAGTTCCCGGTAGAAATTCTGCGACTGCCACCGATGTATCGTCACACGAAGTTTCGATTGCGATGGTAGAGACGTGCCGCCATCCGTATCGGTTCACATACTTTCGGCCAGTGCCTACCACGCCGTTGCGCAGGAGTGGCAGCAYGTATTGGGAAGTTGAAGGTTGTAGCAGTCAAAGTCGTCCTTTGTTGCTGGCAGGCGGAGCTTACCGCGAATTCGGGAGCGGATCGGCGGATCGACGTCGGGTTGAATAGTGGGGACCGTGTCATTCACCTGAAGGTCATGCTACTCTACTTGCACCTCACTGTCGTGATACCTAGGAACTAGCGTTCGTTACGAGATGGAATAGCCGATCACAGCTGCGTCGCCGTGCGACTGCATCTGAAACATAACACCATGGACAAGGACAAGAAGACAGACGGACCTAGTGTCAACTCCGCTGAGGCATACGATTACCGCCTGCTTCCCGACTTCGACAATGACTTTTACGCMGACGACGACATCCTCGCATTTGCATCTGCGCTCGCAGCGCCTGAGACATTGACGGCTTCGCCTTCGGAGGAGGATTTGTCAAGCCTCAAGCGGCAAAACACCGAATTCATCACCGCCCTTAACGACTGGCGGCCGGTCCGCCAACGCAAGGTTCGTCGCCCCGGAGAGCTCGCATCTGGCAAGAAGCGCAAGAGTGCTGGAAAGTCTCGAAGGGGCAAAGATGAGACGCGTGAAGGCTACACATACTCTTTCGCCAAGTACCCGCTGCTATTATTCGTCTTCGGGTGGATATCCCTGTTGGGTGTGTGCTACCTGTTCACCCGCTTCTACATATACCTATATGAACAATACGTGACATGGCGTGGATTGCGGGACAAATTGCGAAAGGAGCTCAGGCGACAGGACAACTACGAAGATTGGGTGGAGGCAGCCAAGAATCTGGACCGCCACTTGGGCAACGACGATTGGAAAGCGGAAGATGAGGGGTCCTATTACGATTGGAAGGTCATACGCCAGGTGGTGCGGCAATTGAGGAGGCTGCGTGTCCAAGCAGAAGAAGATGAGCGAGATGATGATCGTCGGACCGGACGAGGCGGGCGTCGACCCATGGACGAACTTCGGGAGGTCCTTCAAAGCTGCGTGAAAGACAACTTCGGTGGCATCCAAAATCCGCGTCTATACTCGGAGACGTACTACGGAACGAAAGACCTGCTGCAGACGTATGTGAACGAAACAGCGGAATCTCTGAAATTCGTATTCTCTAGCAACCAGCTCTCACACGCGGAAAAGCGACAGCTCTCGAAGCACCTGTCTGCAAATTTTGGACGCACTGCACTTTGTCTTAGTGGAGGTGCGACTTTTGCATATTACCATGTCGGTATCGCCAAGGCGCTGCTTGATGCAGGTCTGCTGCCCAACATCATTACTGGAACATCAGGAGGCGCGCTGGTGGCTGCTTTATTAGCCACACGATCTGATGAAGAGCTCAAGAAACTACTCGTTCCTGCTCTGGCGTTTAGGATAACTGCTTGCCACGATCCTTTCAGAGTTTGGTTCATGCGGTGGTGGCGCACGGGCGCACGCTTCGATTCCGTAGATTGGGCCAGGAGGTGCAGCTGGTTCTGCAGAGGGAGTCTGACCTTTCTCGAAGCATATCAGCGCACCGGACGAATCTTGAACGTCTCTTGTGTGCCCAGTGATCCGCACTCGCCTACTATCTTGGCGAACTACCTGACGGCTCCAGATTGCGTTATTTGGTCTGCTGTGCTTGCCTCGGCTGCCGTGCCTGGTATCCTAAACCCAGTTGTACTCATGAGGAAACGATCAGATGGCGCACTTGAGCCATACAGCTTCGGGCATAAGTGGAAAGACGGCAGTCTTCGCACGGACATCCCTTTGAAGAGCCTGAACCTTCACTTCGGCGTCAACTTCAGTATTGTCGCCCAGGTGAATCCCCATGTTTCGTTGTGGTTCTTCTCCTCACGGGGAACCGTAGGTCGTCCGGTAACCCATCGTCGTGGCCGGGGCTGGAGAGGTGGCTTTCTGGGATCTGTGATCGAGCAATTTATCAAACTCGACCTCCAGAAATGGTTGAAAGTATTACGCCACTTGGAGCTACTTCCTCGCCCAATGGGACAAGATTGGAGCGAGGTTTTCCTGCAACGCTTCAGCGGAAGCATCACCATTACACCCAAAACTAAAGTCTCTGATTTCCCCAACATCTTGTCCGACCCTACCATGCCGCGCCTCGCAGCCATGATCAAAGCCGGACAGATGGCCGCCTGGCCCAAACTCAAGTTCATCTCCAATCGCATGACGGTTGAGAAGATCATAGAAGAAGCCAGAGAGGCAACGAGACCTGCCGAGCTTCCCTTCCCCACCCCACTACCCCAGGAGAAAGAACTTCTCGGATCTCAGCTGAGTGAAGAGGATCTCGTAGGACTCCTGGAGAAAGCGCGGGCGGGTGTCAATCGCCCACTTCCGGAGAGGCAGGACTCACCGTCATTCACCAAGCGCATGTCCAACTTTTGGAGTAGAACACAGGAACCCACCCCTCGTACAAGCTCCGAGACTGCACGACCGACTGTGAAAGAGCTACAGGCTGCAACGCCCACATCTCACACGCGGTCCAACAGTCGCAAGGGCAGCGGCGTGATGGACGAGCTGGTTCGTCAGAGTAGAGTATTCTTTGACGATTTCGACGAGTCGGAAGCAGATCTAAGTGCTGTTGAAGATCCGGAGCTTGACCATGAGGATACCGGAGAGGATGAGCATTCAGAAAACGGCCTCTCCATCTGAGCAATGCAGCAAGCTTTTGGGTGCAGGATGGACGCACAGAGATAGGCCTTGACTCGGACTAGGTAGACCTTGGGGGGGATGCGACGAGGAGAGAGTTGCTTGAAGCTTTGAGCATTTATGGAGTTTTTGACTGAATGGGCAATAACTAGATCGAATACCGATAGAACGATAAAGAAGCGATGAGGAGCCGCTTGAAAGACTTGGGGCAGGGTGTTCCGGCGCCGAGGTCGTGCAGTTTTAGACGAGGCTCTTTGCATGAATACCTGGATATGCCGTCAGAAATTAGACAACGGCCGTGGAAGATGCTTGTAAGACAGCAAGCTTCATGACTGATAAGATCACAACTCCGAAGAACGTGTTCTGCCCCGTCATTCCGCGCCTTCGGGTGCAAAGCTTCAAGTCAATGGAAGCGCAAGTTCAGGTGGCGAAGCTTCTCCCGGACATGTACGGATAGCCCGGTTGGGTATACGCCTTGCCTCAGTCCGATGTGCCGAACGTCAGTCTCTAGAGTCCGAGGAGGTTGTTCAGACCTACTGAGTCATTTGGAGCATCATAGCGCTGGCGCGGTCGGCAGTGACTCGATTCGTCCAAAATTACAGCGAAAGCGGATCTTTAGCTGTTAAGAACAACTTCCGACGCACAGAGACGCTGTATGAGCCTAGAGTTGCGACGGCTTCGGTGGTACCACTCCTTGTCAGCCGTACACGCCCTTCCATGCATTCTTCCCGGCCTGTTCGCACGGAAGTTCTACTTGTTATGGCTTCGAGATTTTAATCAAGATGAAACGAAGATTCTCAAGGCGGAATTTGCTCGGATCGCCTGAGCTATGTCGGAGAAAAGAGTAACTCACTAGATGGCGAACCGCTACCCGAACGAATTGTTAACATTCGCTTGGTGCATCGAGCTACGATGGAATGAAGCAGCCTGCCAAGGTGGAATACATAATTGCAACAGACTGACGCTCCCACTTCGACTCACGTTATGAAGAGGGCCGCAGCTTGATGTGAGCGATATGGTGACGATGGTCGCGAAGGTAATGTAATACAAGAAGGCAGCTGTACGGTTTTGGTTGCAGCGCAGGAGACTGGTGGTACATGCACTGTCTGGGATCTAGGTCTGAGGCGCTGGGCCGRAGGCGGAATCTTGTCCTGGCTTCTCTAGGATTGGCGCAGAGAAACGGCACAAATGATGAGATGACAGGAACAGTGTGTACTATTTATGAWATGCGTGGCAAGTCAATTAGTAGTTATCCAATTAATAGGCATCCAGAGGGTTCTATCCGTACTCCGTCCAGGACAGTGAGCGTCGTCTCGAGTCTGCTGTATTCTTCCACGAGTCGCACAGTCTGTTGTCATGATCCATAGCACGCAAGGAATAACTTAGTAGCAGTCCGGTATGAAGAGCGAGTGCTTGGCCCACTGCGGTTCGGAAAACCCCATGAGTGCAAATGTTCCGGTAGCACAGGCTACGGCTGCGTACAGTCAATTGCCGGTCGCGTCACTCGCGTGGCTGCTGAAACCGGGGTTGTTGAGCCTGGGCCATCGAATCTCGATAGCACAGTCTTGCGGTGCGGAGAGGAGCGAGAGGCGATGCCAGAGGTTCATGCCGTGCTCTTCGAAACCAGCTTCCACGGCTGGAGTTGTCTTGGAACCACTCAAAGGGAGTCAGGCGTCAGCAATATTATTCGTTGTCCGACGCTTGCTGCTCATGATGATTATTAGGTATTCTCGAAGCGCTGTGGAAGGGCTGGCGAGCTGGGCACTTCCCTGTCAAAGCGTTACAGGGTAGAACGTGAGCTTGCGTTGATGATGAGGCTAGGTACTGGGCTTCGAGCGGCGGAGTCTTACGACGGATAGTAGCGTGAACAGGCATACCTGCAGGATCTTATCCGCATACAGGAATATCCACCCAGCGCGCTTTTAACTCCTTGAGCGTGTGAGCATGAATCGGACTTCATACATCTTCAGCCATCTGAATGGCCCGTCATCTTTGTATGAGGATGAGAAAAGGAGTGGAAGGCTGTCCAGACCACTCTAGCGATCGTGAAAACACGAAGTGCCCTGTGTTGGGACTTCGGAATATCCTCGCGTGCAGATTACAATGTCGCGTCCCGCACTAGCTTTGACCCTTGCGAAACAATACACGCCTTCGAATGCTTCTAGAAGCTGGTGAAGGATGAGGGACTCGGATTAGTGATGTGACCCATGCGACTTGCTGTTGCGGTTGATCACCACGCCGTCCGTTGCAATTCCGCTCTCTACCAGCACCCGGACACTACGTAACGCCTCTGGGCGACTGCGATGGACAGGCATATCCGCTGAACGAGGCTTGTAACCGGCACCCGGGGGGCATTACCCATTCCTCACGCAAATTGCATCTGCAGACTGCAGACTAGTAGCGACGGTACTACATACCAACCGCTGCGGTGTTGTCGTTCGCTGTTGCCGCACCGCACTGCACCTCCATGTCTCCTGCTCTATAGATACGCCTTGCGCATTCCTGCTTGCCGCCACCATTCACTCCCGCGATTTCGTCGACTACTGCCACCACCACCACACCACAACCACCACCACGATCGCCGCGCTGTGCAACCTGCACTCACCACATTTCGTGCGGCCGCGACGGCGTCCCCGATCCGCAACGCCTTGGGCACCACTCTCCGTCGAGTGTCGTGCATGCGACCGTCTATTGCGCAGGTGTTTCGCAAATGGAAGAAGCCGATGACGGGCAGTGTAGTGTCGTCTACTTCTGCCCAGGGACCGACCATGAGATATCAGCCCTCTACCATGGCTCCAATCCGCCAGCTCTAGCGGCGCGCGACCGTGTGCAGTACCCGTCGCGAGCGGATGTATACRATAATGTGCGCCGGCTGTTGGACGTCGACCAGGGCAGCTTTCGGCAAGGTGGGAGCTTGTCCATGCCTGTTTTGCTCTCCATATTGACAGTGTACAGTATTTGTCAGTTCGCGATCTGCAGAGTGTGCCGACAAATTATCCACATTTGCAAGCAAAGGCAACACTGTCGTCTTGGTGGAGTTCAACGATGGAGGTGCGAATGCGCAAAACTCGGAGGCATTACTATTCCTGCGCAGCCTCGTCGCCGATGTGGAGAAAGGACGGCATCCACAGCGCGTTGCAGCCTTTGTGCTCGTGAGCAGCGACGCTCAGAACGAATCGGAGGAATCCTGTGAAAGTCCTTACCTGGAGTCTGGCGCCATTGATACCATGCGGAGTCCCCTCTGCTCCGATGCCATGGATCGATTAGTGGGGCATGTCAAAGAGGTCACCAGGAWGCCTGCGCGACATCTTGCCTCCGATATGGCGCGCAATTTAATCATCAGCATCGCAAGTAATGTCGAGCCTCGCGTTGCGACCCATCGACCGGATGAGCTCCTTTCTTCGCAGCGTAGAGCCGCAGTTGAAGACGCAGTCGCGAAGTGGCACTTCCCTGCTCATGAGTTCGACATGGACGAGTTGGCATACGCCGCTTTGGTCATGCTGGAGCATATCTTGCGCCATCCAGCACTTAGGCAGTACGGCCTTGCAAGGCCTGAGCTCATGACTTTTATTCTTGCCGCAAGACGACAATACAAGCATGAGCGAGAGGTGCATTATCACAATTGGCGGCATGCTGTTGACGTGACTCAGTCACTGTATTGTTTCCTGTGCGACGTGCGACTCTGTCTACCGTCAGACCCTGCTGCTGCCCCAAAGAAGGAACTCAGCGCATTGGAGCAATTGTTGACGCCCTTCGACGCGTTGATCTTGCTCGTCTCGGCTGTGGGACACGATGTTGGCCATCCGGGTGTCAACAATGCGTTTCTCGTGGCGAGCGGCAACCAGCTGGMCCACGTATACAACGATAAATCTGTCCTGGAGAACTACCACTGTGCCGCCTACTCGCAGCTCATCCGTCGGCACTGGCCTATCTTGGGTAACATTGCGCTATTCCGATCGACCATKATCACTACCATATTGGCTACGGATATGCAGCGTCATTTTGAGTACATGGGGTACCTTCGTGAACTCAAGCAGAAAGTGGCGAAGAGCGACATGCATCTGGTCGATTGGAATGAGAAAGATCGAGAACATGCACGAGAGCTGGWAATGGCGTTGCTCATAAAGGCAGCGGATATCTCAAATGTCGCACGACCTTTCGAGATATCCGCTCAATGGGCCAAGATCCTGATGAATGAATTTTCGCGACAGGGCGAGCTGGAACAAGAATTGCAGATTCCTACATGTCTGTTCGGTGGTCCACCGAACAAAGAGGATGCCCTGGCCGCAGCGCAAAGTCAGAAAGGCTTCATGAATCTTTTTGGTCTACCACTTTTCCATGGGATTTCCGAGGTCATGCYCAACCTTTCTTGTACTTTGCCGGAGCTGGAAAAGAACAATGACGTGTGGGAGAAACGGATTGCCGAAGAGACGAGGCGGCAGGAAGCTCATATCCAACGCGGCAGCTCTCTGCTGACGTATGGCTCCGTATCATCCGAAACGGTCGATGAAGCCCGAACACGACAGCGCCAGGGCGAATCGCAAGCGGCTTCAACTGTTGTCCCACAGACACCCACATCGCCCACCAGGAGACAGGCACTTGGTGAAACACATGGGTCGTCATCCAGGAACACCACGGGCGAACACCGTCAGCGTGCAAGTTTGGGGGTGCCAACGAGCGAGCAAAAGCGAGCATCCACGCCCGTGCTGTGGCCCAGTGTGTTGCAGCTCTCTCCAACTGGAGGGTCTAGCAGACGTTCGAGTAAAGATGTTGCCCTCAACCACATGCATGAAATCACCTACGCTCAACACAATATGGCTGCAGCTGCTGCCGTCGCCGCAGCAGGATCAAGGAGAGGATCGGCAGATACCAGTTGGCAGATTAATCAAAATTATCCCGGATCTAGACGTGGCAGCAAAGACGACAGCTTAACAACAATTCTGGTCACGAGTCAGGGTAGTCCAGGCTCTCGCAGTCCGCCCTCCTCGCCAGGTAGAAATAGCAAGCCTGAGTCCCCGAGTAGAGCTGCCGCAACGGTTGCTACAGCGGTTGCTACAGCCATACAGAGGAGGAGCTCGACCTCCAACCAGAACCCTGCTCTGCCGCGGCCTTCCGTTCAGTCATCAGGATCCAGAACGACAACTTCAGCGACCGCCACGACTGAACAACAACCGTCCTCAACTCAGGCATCGTCTCTCGCGCCCATAGACCGCGATAGCATAAAAGCAGCCGATCGTCATAAAGGTTCAAGCGATGGATCTCCCGACACCTGGCAACATGGAGGCAACAGTATACATCACGATTCTGCCACTTCCGCCTTGCCAAGTACTACGGCTCCGGAAGGTCTCGCCTCGTCCAAGCCTGACTCGCCACGCGCCATAGCACGCGTAGCTAGTGGAGACTCGGAGATTTCTAGCAGTGATGCTCGCAAGTCCGTCCCACCCTTGCGCGAAAGTCGCAGTCGCAGTCGGCTCCGCGGTCTCAAGTTCTGGAAGAGGCGCAGGGGCGATACGACAGGCCTCGAGTCTGGGGAGAGTACCCCTTAGCTTGTACTACTCAAAGTATCGTTGCGCCGTGATATTAGGGGTTCTGACAGCATTAGCGAGGAGCGTTTGTGGCAAGGTAGTGAAAGCGGTCGGGTTCATCGTCAACAGCACAGGAAGCCCGGACCAGGCGCAGGCGCATTCGACGTGGCGACAGTGTGGTGATACACGAAACATGATTACGACCGGGATGATAGAGGCAAAGTTTGATGTACGAGTAGATACAATGCCTGTATGAGTTGCGGTTGTTGATTCGTTCCAACGATCTATCGAAGAAGACGGGAGGGTTGTCTTTTGTTGATGTCGGATCTCTGGCACCCTGATGTAGGTACCGTCCCGTCTCGATCGGAGACCCACGGACCTAGCCGTGCGCTAATGCAGGTGCGCTCCTAGCGTACATACTTTATTAAGTATTCGGGCACCTCCCTATGACATACAATCAAACTCCACTTGCTAGTGTCGACAACGACCTGCATCCCATCCACAACCCACGCACGCCATGGAGAGGGCACCATCACCGCCGTTGACGCCGATTCGCTCGTACATGTCACCGATCGAAACGTCAACGTCACCCAGCTCACAGTATCGCGAGCATCTGCGGCGCCGGACAAGCAGCTTTTCCTCTAACAACGATCGGAGTCCCACCACACCGCGCGATCGCCACCGCTTTTCAAATGCCTCGCAGCTTTCCGCAGACTTTGGTATGGCCGGCGATGAAGAGCCAGGCGGTGGAAATTTGGGCAATCTGGCCGATGAACTTGATCAGTTGAGCGATGAAGAGTACGAAGAAGGCGTGACAGAGGAGGGCGGCGACGGGATGGAGGATCCGAGCAAGGAGGAGATATCGCGAGACTCGGGCATCGATGTCTCGTATGCCAATTCATCACAAAGTGGGTCCTCACACCACGTTCGCAACTTCTCAAAACCCTTTGGCGGCAACGGCGACAAGCCGCCCGATGGCCACCATGAGCCCGAGGCTGATCGGGACGAGGAGTCTGCCAAATTTTCATCTGACCTGGAGGATTTCATGACCACCATCGCGCGAATGACTTCGTACACCACCACTTCCGAGGATCCTCTCATCCCACGCACAATTGCGCAGCTACAAGATCTGGGCAACCAAACGAGTCTGGAGGCTGCTGCGCAGAGACTCACCACCTCGACCAATAGCACAACTTCACACCTCAACGCCCAAAGCAAAAGCCTACAGACTCTGGCCCAGAGTCTATATCCCATGTTTGCATTCTCAGCTCCACTCGATCCTGGCATCGCCGAGGAAACCATTCCGATGGTAGAGTCATTACAAGAGCACGTCCCGCACCCTGATTTGCTTACCGTGCAGAAACTTCAGAGGCTTGACCGTGAGACGGCAGACGTTCTGCATGCGCTGTCCCAGATTACAGACACCCTTCAAATGGGCAAGCAAATCACTACAACGGCTGCTCGTAATCTGCGTCAAACTCAGACTATGGTCATTGAACTACGGAGGGAGCAGGAGCGCGCGGAGCTCGCGAGGCACGAACTTGCAAAGAGTGATTGGGACGAGAAGCTGCAGAGTCGATGGTGCGGCACTGAGTGCAAAGACATCATTTCGGGATTCGAGGATCAATGCAAGATGCTGAGGGGGCGCTTGGAAGAATCAATGGAAGCTGGCGCGTGATTGATTATGAATGATACCCCTTTTGTTTACTTTTCTCTGATGATGGGAGCTTCGAGGTCGCCGTGGTTGAGAAGGAATGGTGGAGGTAGCAGTCGCAGAAGGGCTGTACGCTCTGACGCCAACCAAATTTTAGCGAACATTCCGGACTTCTCTGTCCACCTCTGTCCATTGCCATGAATAATTTCCCGCGTTCTGCATGAGACTGCATCCATTCAGATGCTGTTAACAACGGCGCCGTCGGCCGACCTACATGGTGAGTAGTTCTCAACAACCTTGGAACAGATGGCCCGATGGCGTTTGAAAAAAATGTGAGGGGTCGATTGCGGCATGTACGATCCAAGAGCAGACCGGTAGGTCCCCCTTCATTGACTGCTCTGTCAACGGAGGCGTCTTCGCCGGCGTCTACAAGTCTAGATTCAGGACGGTCCATACATGTGAGGTAGTAACAGAAGCTCAATGAAGCATGTAAGTGCTTCGTTGCGCGTCAAGCAAGCCGCTGCACCTCCAAGTGACAGTGCGCTCCAAACGGGGCGATTACATGTGGCTACCAAGCTGGCCACCAATGCAAAGCTCTTGTTGAATAGTTGTGATGAAGCATTTCGCTGCACAAAGCAAATGTGAACCTTGTGGGATCCTTGCATCTTTGTGGTCTGCTCGCCATTCACCAGTCGAACCTTAAATCCCACAACTCCACTCACGGACCTGGCGCCAAAGCTCGCAACCTCACTGGCTGCTCCAGGCTCTGAGGTGACAGAACCAGCATGCAAGGCAGTGTGCCGACCTGCGTGATGTGCCACTGGCGGCGCATGGGTTCGTGCGATGTCCTACATGTAAGTATGGAGGCTTTGATTCTCCCTTGCACTTCAGCCCCCTCGCGTACTTAATTCTCGATGTAAAGTGTACCGTCGCGACGGTTCGAAAGAGAAGCAGACAACGGAGACGGAGACCAACACATCTGAGACTGTCCTGCACCGGCAGCCCGCGCCAGTGCGCCTACGCAGCGCCCCCAAATCGCCCTACGCATCCAGATCCGACACTACCTCTGCCCTGCGCGAAGGCGGCCGCAGGAGTCGCCGAAGTAGCGTTGCCAGTATGAGGATGATGCTCGCGCACCGGTGGAGAGTGCCCAAGATTTTCATCGGACTCATGATGATCGAGTTCGCGTTGACGGTCGCCAACCTAACGCTCGTCGGAGTGGCACATCCGAATACCTACCGGACCAAGCTCTGGCAGAATGGATTCGACAAAGGCTTCAACAGCGCGCCGAGCTCAATACTATACGATTTGGCAAATTGGAGGCCGGCGCATGTTCCTGAGATATGGAGTAGCTAGTACGTGCATGGAGAGACAACTTCGAGTACGGCAAGAGAATGCTAACATAAGTGTAGTATGACCACCTTCAACATGGTGATATCCGTCGTGAGCATGTTCATCCTGCTCGTCAAAAGTGCGATGTTTGTGCTCCACGTTTTCATACCAGTTATCAGTGTATTTGCGCATGCGCTGCTGGTCGCTCTGTATTCGGTCAGCATATACAACCAGTCCAGGCCAGACACCAGCGATCCAGATTTACGCTCGGGAAGCTTGCCATGGTATCTCAGTAAAGGTTGCAGCTATGCCGACGCAGCGAACAAGGGGTACTGCTTACAGGCGCGGGCTACCTTCGCGGTGGCTATTGTGATGACGTGAGTGACAAAACGACCTGTGATGAATAATGACTCTGACCATGAAACATAGTCTCCTTTTTGCGCTGTATCTAGGCTACTCCATCTGGAGTCTATTTCCCACGCAGGGGGAGAGGGTAGAGCGAGAGGCAGATTATCAATCTGACCTGGAGATGAAGAAACTCTCCATGTATGGCATGGATGATGATCTGAGCCGGGAGCAGAGAAGAGAACAGAACAGGGCGATTTTCCTCAACCTTCCCAAAACTCCGACATTTGCTCCTCCCTTCACCCCTCGAACCACTGCTTTCCAACAGCTCTCCGGTGGGCAGGTTGGTGGATATGGAAACCGCGGGGGCGCGGGACCGACGACCCCTCTTCCATTCAGGGAGCAATATGGCAAAACGGATGCGCGATGAGTGGATGTTGATGAAGGCTCAGTACATGTCTATAACGAGCAATGAACAGAATAATACACTTGCATGTGGTTGTGCAGTATGACTTCACTCATCTTTCAGATTGCACGTGCCTCTTCCATTCTTAGTCTGGCGGTGGGGTAAGTTTTGATATCGAACTTCGTCAAAGGGCACACTGTTTTTGTTCCCCTCTCATCACACTTACTGCCACCACACAATCGAACCGGCTTGTCAAACTCGTGTCCAAATCTTCGATCAAGGCACAACTAGCCAACAGTCGCTCCTTGCTTGACTCACCGCCGAGCTAAACGACCATAACGAACCGCCCTCTCCCAAACCCCATCTACACGCACATTGCCAGCATGGAGCAATAGGCTGGCTTTCGCTGCGCCTAGCATGCTTGTCATAGTCTGATTGGAATTACCACTCGCCTGCGAGCCACCGGAAGAGACCAGCACGAACACGATTGAGTACAATTTTACGAGCATGGAGACACAGGTCGAACAAGCTATCGAGCTTGCCTTTGACCCTAGCACCGACCAAAACACCAAGATACAGGCATATGACTTCCTCACTCGCCTACGCGAGGACGCCAATGCCTGGCAGATATGCCTAGTGCTGTTCACGCGCCATCCCACGCCGTCCGAAGTTGTGCGACTGGTGTGCCTGGAAATCGTCAACAATGCCGTACAGACACAGCKACTGGACCAGTCCGCCCTGAACGACGTACGCCATCGGCTCATGGACTATGTGCGGCGGCGGTATGGGGCCGGAACGGAGGAAGTGGACACACCCACTATACAAAACAAACTCACCCAGACCATCACATACCTTTTCACGTCCCTATACGCGGCCGACTGGCCCGACTTCTTCGACGAGTTTATTGCATTGGCCGGCTCTCACGCTGCTGCCAGTCCAGCACACACGGCTGCCACAATCATGCTTCTGCGCATCCTAAGCTCCATCCATGATGAGATTGCCGATGTCATGATCCCACGCACCGCAGATGAGCAACGTCGCAGCACTGAACTGAAGGATCTGGTTAGGACAAGACATGTGAACAAGATCTCCGAGGTATGGCAGGGAATCTTGTCGAATTGGACGCAGCTGGACCTGAGCCTGGTCGAGATGTGCCTAAGGACTGTCGCAAAGTGGGTCAGCTGGATTGATATATGGCTGGTGATAAATGAGAGAATTCAAACGGCCCTACTCGATATTGCGGGCCAGCAAGGAACACTCAACTCTGAGAGTAAAGAGGCCAAGGCAAGGGACGCAGCCATCGACACTTTCACAGAGACTGTGGGGAAGAAGATGGCCCCCAATGACAAGGTCGAGCTCATCAACTATCTCAACCTTCCCACCATCATTGGCCAACTCGTAGCGAGCCCAGCGCTCGCAGAACTACGAAGTACGCCAGATTACGACACCGACTTGGCTKAGACGGTCGCGAAACTTGTAAACAATGCAGTTTTCGACGTTGTCAAGGTCCTCGACAGTGATACCATTGACGATCAGACTCGAGCGAGGGCGGATCAGCTGCTCCAGTCCTTCGTGCCGCACTTGCTTCGTTTCTTCTCAGACGAATACGATGAAATCTGCTCTGCAGTGATCCCATCCTTGACGGATCTTCTCACCATGTTCCGAAAGTTGAAAAAGTCAAAAGGCAACTTGCCCAGTCACTATTCCAGCATGCTTCAACCGATCCTGAACGCCATCATCGCCAAAATGAAATACGATGAGACAGCATCATGGGGTGATGAAGATGATCAGACCGACGAGGCCGAGTTTCAGGAGTTGCGTAAGCGCCTCCACGTGCTACAGCAGACTGTGGCGGCGATAGATGAAGTGCTTTACACTGAGACCCTGAGCCAGGCAGTAGCCAGCACGTTAGGACGATTAGGGTCAGCAGATCGGCCGAACTGGCGCGACCTTGATCTCGCCCTGCTGGAGATGCATCACTTTGGTGAGCTCGCAACGAAGAATGGTGGCCTTTACAACAAGACCAAGCCTACTTCAGAGGCCGCTTCTCGTCTGGTGGAGATGATGTCGACCCTCGTCGGTTCTGACCTTGCTTCGTACCCGCATCCGGCTGTTCAGCTCCAGTACATGGAGATCTGTGTACGATATGTGCAGTACTTCGAGCAGAATACGGCCTCGATTCCCAGGGTCATGGAAAACTTTGTTTCCTTTGTTCACAGTGATCACAACAAGATACGCTTGCGATCATGGTACCTCTYCCAAAGGTTTGTTCGACACCTGCGGGCACAACTTGGTGAATATGCTCAGACTGTCGTGCACGCCATTTCCGACCTTTTGAACATCAAGGCGGAAGTGCCTGCCGATAGAGACGATGACGACGTCTCGTCAGAAGACAACACGCAATCTTCTGATGCGACCTTTCAAAATCAACTATATCTCTTTGAGGCTATCGGTCTCGTGTCCTCGACCCAAAGCGTTCCAACAGCGACGAAAGTTGCCATAGCAAAGTCGGTAACAGGGCCTTTGGCGGCAGACCTCGCCAACCACTTGCAAGCTGCGGTCCAGGGTGATGAGCGATCGGTTCTACAGTCACATCACGTTGTAATGGCACTGGGATCTCTGGCTTACGGTTTCTCTGATTGGACTCCGGGTGTCACAAGCGGAGCACCTCCTCCAACTGAGGTGTCGCAGGAGTTCGTCACTGCGAGCGATAGTGTGCTCATAGCATTGGAAAACCTCAAGCGCCACTCCGACATTCGTGCCGCAGCTCGCAGCGCTTTTTCGCGATTCCTCGGCGTGCTCGCTTCACATGTGTTACCACAACTGCCACGCTGGATCGACGGACTTTTGTCGTCGGCTTCGTCAAACGACGAGATGGCAATGTTCCTCCGCACACTAGGGCAAGTCGTGTACGGATACAAAGCTGAGATATCCGGTATTCTCGACCAGCTGCTCTCGCCACTCTTCTCACGCGTGTTCACTGGCTTGTCTCAACCGGCCGCCGGCACAGATGACGAGATCCAGCTCAGGGAACTCAAGCGCGAATACCTGAACTTCGTCTTGGTTATCCTGAACAATGAACTTGGCGCCGTTCTTGTGAGTGCGTCGAACCAAGGCATCTTTGACACCTTCATCGCATCGGTGACACGCTTCTCCTGCGATCCAGCTGATCCACAAAGCGCACGATTGGCCTTCTCAGTTGTGACAAAGATGACTGTCATCTGGGGTGGTCCCGATATTGCACTAGGTGCGGACACTATTCCCCAGCCGACCCTGCCTGGCTTTGATGGATTCATCCTCTCCCAATTTGCCCCTCTTCCGTGGACACTAGTTTCTACCGACAAGGTCAGTGCGGGCGATGCGCAAATGCGCAGCGTTCTGCAGGAAGCTGCCAGTTTACAGTGGACCATCCTGCGAAAGAATGGTGCCGGTTATCAGAATCAACTGCAAGCAGAACTACGAACCCTTGGGGTGGGCGATGAGGGCATTCAATCCTACTGCCAGAGCATCGCCGGTGACATATTTGCTTTCCGGAAGTTCTTCGTGTCGTTTCTACAGCAGGCGAAGCGGTAGCCGAGCGAGCAAATACGCAGGTAGCTTCTTCAGTGACCAGCCGCGGTGGACTTTGCGAGGACATGGAGGGTGACTTTGGTTTGATGATACCCAAGCATAGTGCATGTAGTGACGTTCCAATCAAAGCTCATCTTGCTGCATATTGTCGCACATTTGACCGAGAGCGAAAGATAGGTCGGCCGCGCCACACTACAAGCGTTTAGCTACGAGGTGAGAAATGTAATTCTGCACTGTCACTTGAAATTCCTTGATCTCGACGACAGCTTACGGCGTTCAACAATGTTCGGCAGTAACCGTCGTCCATGAATATCTTTGTCTTTTTTGCGATCTCCGCTGAAGTTGCTACCCCAACCATCTATTGCTACTGATATCAATGATAATGGCCGACTCAGAAACGTTGTACGCATCCATCGTGCTGATGTACATATGACAACTGCTCTGTCTAACTCAACCCTACGCAATCCAACGGCGATAGACGAGGGACACTCACTATGACTTGACATCTATCATCTTTTTTGCCTTGCAGAAGCGCTGGCAGAAGGACTTGAGGTTACCGTACTTATTCAATCAAGCAGCCTTCCAACGACCGATTCTTCGGTCGACAACTTCCAGAGGAGGCTGCTGATTGCAGGGCATGTGATGAAAGTCACCATTGTTCCGTTCTGATGTCAGAGAGTCTCCACTTCTGCTTCGGTGTGACAAGAACGATGACTTTGGTCGCATACAGTGGCGCTGCAAGGAGCGAGACTACCACATGGCGCCCAGAAGCGTTGCAAGGTTGTGGTCTAGATCCTGCGCATGCCACATGGCGCCTGGAGGCGTTCACTTGTGAATGTAGATCTCGACCACGCACACTTAATGGCTTGTCGATCGAAGGAAGTAGATTAGCTGATTCCTAACCGACGTGCCCACCGATGCGCCCTGGATTCGGACATTCGAAAGAGATTTGCAAACTTGACGCATCAGAGCAAAGCGCCGACTGAGCAACAATCCGGAGCACCGTCTGTTCGAATGGAACTCCAGTGACACCCGACCCGAATAAGCGAATGCCTACCGTTTACTCTGGTAGCGGTTGAGGCTATCGTTAAAACGTTACCCTCGAAGCGGACTCCTGAGGGGATCATACGCAGTGATGTGACGTGACGTCCATGTGACTCCGCTTGGTATGTTGTCGACGAGTGGTTCGCCAATTCTACGCAGGGTTCGTCTGTAACGGGCCAGCTTGATGATTGTATCTTTTTCTTCTCCATAGATATGCGGGCCAGTGAGACCAGCCGCACACTCGGCTGTATTTTCAGGGGCTGTCTTGTGGGAGCCTGAGAGCTGAGCTGCTAGCCGACATTACTTGCCGAATCCCTCGAACCGCTGCTGGCTGCGAATGATCTTGCAGTCCATCATTCAAGGACTCAAATTGCGTCAATGCAACGATGTAGTTCTCTGAGCTCTCCGAGAAGTGGGCATGCAAGATAAGGTCTCCATAGGCGAAATGAGATAGATTGTTGGTCGTCCATGCACCGACGGAGCATTTCGAGTGTAAAACGGTGTCTAATGATGGTCCGCTCTGCACTCGTGAGTCCTCCTTCGCTCTCTGTGTTGCGGGGCACCCCTTTGGCGAGGTGGTCGGTCCAGCTGGAAAGGTGCGTTCTTGAACACCTGCGTTACACGATTCATGCCCGATACAGCTGTCAAAGAGCGACCGCGATCCTCGAAGTGAGCTTCGAAGCTCCAGGCTATTCATTATTCGAACTTGAAGATGACTTCATACCATCTAAGTTGGACAGACTTGTGCAAATAGCCGGGCAGATCATCCACATTTTGCCGCGCGCGGAACCTTATGCAAACAGACAAGGGGCCTTGGTGCCAAGCAGGTAGCCAAGTGGAGCCCGTGGGCCGCGACAAGACCGATCACCATGCCGCCCATCACCCCGACTGTGACCGACGACAATGCCGCGGCGGACAGTAAACGGGGGTCCCGTGGAGGCAAAAGCCGTTCCAAATGCAACAAATGCCACAGTGGTCGATCTCGATTAGTGACAAGTGACAACAAGGGAGATCGTCATGAGGTGAAGCAGGCGTGGCCCAGACTGCGTTGGCATCACTGTCTTTGGTATGCAGTAGTGCGATMTGCCGACCCGCCTGCAGTTTGGATGTGGATCGCCGCGTGGGAAGATTGTCGTCAGCGCCACCGAGTGGGCCATGGGCCACTAAGCAGAGCTACCATGGACACGAGTACCGAAGTAGATTAATGCCATGCCATGCCACACGCGTGTGTACCACATGGCGCCTGCATTCGATAGAAAACCCTCTTCCGACACGAGGGAGAACCCAGGAAATTGACACGAGCCCAGCTTCACGTTCTCGTTGCACGGAAGCTATCCGTGCCAATCTCTCGACCAGACCCACTGGTGTCGGAGGTTAGCAGGACATTTCGCACTCGGGGTGGTTTCTCCTCGGCGTGCTAGAAATTTGCACAGTAGGCGCTGACCTGGCTGATCTGCAGCCATGCTCGAAGACTGAGTCGATCTTGCGATGATCATCTCTCTGATGGGCGAACGCGACACCTCCTCCCCGTGATTTACGGACTGTCTGAGAGGTGGCGCGGGCGAGACTTTTGCTCGCTTAGCAGCACGATGTGGCTCGGATGCACGAATGTGCTGTTTGTAACAACTATGCCCATGACCCTGGATGCGCGAAGGCGTCCTTGTGCTGTGCCACAGTCTCCTGGCACTGGTTTATGCGTTTCGTCGGACATTATCTGAGCTCGGGCCGGAGTAGCGGTGTTTGCACAAGTGAGGGTGTTATTACTCGCTTTCAATCAATCGATGGCAGACCATACGCAATCGAGTGCAAGGAGCCCGACTTGCCGCGGTGAAGACGTTGTTTTCGGAGCCACATTGATGATGGTCGATGACAGCCCGTAGCCAGAAAGAAGCGTATGACAGTCCCCTCAGGTCGCGGGACACGAGTGATGATCCCTGCAAACCACGTTTCGATCTAGGTTAAGCGAAGATCACCAACTTCCGAAGGTCCGAAGGTCCGAGGCCAAGACTCCACACATTCTGACTCTGCTTCGGATGCACCATCGGGCGCGGTGGTCGCTGTTGTGCGTCGCCGTGGCCCGTTGGCATTGTTCAAACTTCGGTCAATAGGGATGGCACGCATCCCTTGCTATCGACCGGAGCGGGGGTACTGATGACGCCAAAGACGATGATCGCTCGCCATGCTGGAATCGGAGAGCTAGCGCATCGGCACGGTGCAGTTGCATGTACGCCAATGACACGCTGGGTGCAAACGGAGGGGCAGAGCGGCTCTCGACATCTCGTCTGCGATGATGAGCTTGCGGCGTTGGCGCAGAAGCGTGCATTGGGTCTGTAGGTGGGTGCGGTGGCAGGGGCGCAGCGGCACGAGACGGCCTCTCACAGCCAGAGGAGAACAGCCCGCGCCGCAATGATGCGAGTTAGTTCGTTCGCACCCATACCGCTTGGCCCGTGTGCTCAGTTGCAAACCCTGCCATGTTCAAGCTCGTCCAAGATAGGTGAATTGACCGCGGTGGTTTTGCACGACCCTGGCCGCCTCGATTGTTGCAAATTGACAGCGCCGCCGCATCTGTGACAGACAGCCCATCCGTCCTACTCGCATCGGTAGAGCGACCTGCAGGGCGGGCTTGGAAAGGGAACCTGAAGCACCACAACAACAGCCCGCTGCGCACCTTTGTTGTCGGTGCCGAGAAAGACCACATCAAACTCACGCACTGAGCACCAGATCTTCTCGCACGCGAGAAAGATCTCCATGAGGCGTCCGTCAGATCAATTGCCAAGTGGACTTTAGCCCTACGTGCGAGCGCGTCGTTTTCCTTCCATCGAAGTCTCACTGGCCGTAAACGGTCCATCTCCCGAACCCGCCAACGATTAGCACTAGGATCCGCCGCCGTCAGCACTAGACTTGCGCTACGCAGCGGCGCCCACGCGATCAGAGTGGTCACTTTGTTGCCGCCGGCCAGCACAGGGCATCCGCCTTGGTGTATCTCCTGCAGAGCTAGAGGGTGTGCCGCCCTTCTATGCTGGACCTCCCGGTACGTTCAATTTACCAGTGCTGTGTGCTACTGTGCCTCCAATTCGCGTCCGGCGCCCGTCTGCTTCGCCAACTCCCCTGCTCACCGAACTGTCCACGCAGATATCAAAGACCCCTCCCTCTCCATCCTCGCCACCCACACAGTCTCAGGCCGTTGTTACTGTATTGCTTCAAATCGAATTCCTCCGGTCCGCTGGTTCTGATTACTTCACTCCGGAAGCCTTCTCGACCAAACAAACGCTTGAATGGCAGCCGTTGGTATGATGGCATACCCAGCCCGCGAGACTTTCAACGGCTATCCCCAGCAATACGCCATGTATCCGACACGAGTACAACAGATGCACCCTGAAATCGCCGCATCTAACAATGCCAATCCATATGCAAGCTACACATCAACGCCGCAGCCCCAACAGCAGCAACAGCAGCAGCAGCACCAATACCATCATGCTGCGACCCGTTCGCCACAGTCTTCTGGTTCTCCCGTATCAGACGATGGCCTCAAGCCGTCCTTGCCCTCCATCTCGAACCTACTTGGAATCGCAGACCGACCAACGCTCGAATCAGGTCCGTAACTCCTCCACGCGTAACCTGCGTAAGACGCTACGTTACCCGCCCAGAATGCTAACTCAGTACGCAGCCTCTCAACACGCGCAAACGTCGACGCAATTGCTCGRGCAGGCACAGCAACGACAGCCATCGCCACAGCAGTATCAAACAGACKCCAGATCACGAGCTCAGGAGCAAGCGACCAGTCCGCGGACAGCCGTTCATACATCGGCACCTTTGCGTAAGTTCATGATTGAAGTCCGAAAAACACCTCCCATGCAGTTTCTGTCTTGTACAGAGGCCGCAAGATCCTGGGCTGTTCTCGTGGATTTCTGGGAGACTGTCCCGGATGATCATGTATCCATCAAGCCACAATCACCATGCCACCTTCTGACACCTTCATTGAGACATTGCTAAAGGTTGTTTTCCTTCTAGGTACCGATTCCGTGTTAGAGGGTACCCAAAGTCCGTCTGCAAGCAATTTGTCCGGTCCACCGTATTTTGTGGGCTCAGCCATCAACAACACCGACCCAGCCGATCAACGCACACTCCAACTCATGACGAAGCGCGACTCTGTACCGTCTCAGCCAAACATGTCTCCATACGGCTCTGCGCGATACACATCATCACCCTACGCAAATTCACCTGGCGCAGGTTCAACAAGTTCCTACTTCTCTCCCACAGAGCCCAGCTACCCAGTTCCACACAACATGTATCAGCAGCGCCCCTTGCCCTCGAATTTCCCACCCCAGGCGGTACAGCAACCGCCTCATATGCCGACTAGCAATCCTTGGGAACATCACCATTACATAAGTCCTTCTTCGCAGGCGACCTTCCCGCAATCACAGGATCGATACATTTGCACGACGTGCAACAAGGCGTTCAGTCGACCATCCAGCCTGAAGATTCACACCAACAGTCACACAGGGGAGAAGCCTTTCAAATGCCCACAAGCTGGCTGCGGGAAGGCATTCTCAGTGCGTAGCAACATGAAGCGCCATCATCGCGGTTGCCATTCCGCCGGCGTGAGCCACATGCCACCCCAACATCCTCACATGATGGTTTGAGACTTTTCGCCGATTTTTTCAGAACCTTGCAGTTGGGAGGCGTGCGGCTCCCCTTCATGTGACCACTGCGCCGAGAGATTGACTCAGGCCAACCCGGCAAATAATGCATGAGCGCTGAGAGAGATCTCACATGGCCGGCCTAGCCTGTATCATACGGCAAGGCAGCTTCTCAGGTCACCAGCAGAATCGACGATTGCCGCCGTGTCACAGACGATAGGACAGCGCGACACCGAAAAGAAGTGTCGCTGGGAGGAATTCGGCAGACAGACATACAGGAGCAGCAATGCATACTAGTGGTAGTAGACTCCACGTAGCGGAGGTGGCTTGCATCAGCTGCAACGTAGGAAACCAGCATCAATTGCAAATTGACATGAGAGCTACGAGAACTTCCCGAATCGAGTTCATAATTGCGGACTGGCGCGGACTATTTCCACATGGGCTTTGGCAAACACAAGGGCAACAGGCAGGTAGTGTCCATGCAATACTAGCTCAAAGCATGTCCGTATCGTCATTGCAGAGTGCATCGTTCAATCGAGGTCAGAATGACGCAAAATGTTGGCCTATCCCAAAAGAGAGCGGATGCACTTGTATGGCAATTTCGCTGCTTCGATCGCGTCTATCGTAAGCACCAGGCGCTTGTATAGTCAGTGGCCCTTCGGACCAACGTACGCTCACCGAGCGTTCCTTTGGCTACCGGCGTATTCTCGCCATATCGGGACACACGAGTCGTGACGAGACCGCGATGTGGTGCAGACGAATCGGTTAGTTAGGGCATCGGATCCTATCATCTGTTAATGACCGACATCTGGGTCCGATCACTGTTGTCGGAGCGATTGACAGCAAGGGACATCGGGATGGACAAATTTGGTTACTGGGGAAGTGCATGCAGGGGGAAGTATGACAGGCGGCTCGCGATGAAACGCAAGCTCGAGTRTCCGGTTGATGCGAGGATGCCGGTCGAGAATCTGCCATGGTCACGTTATCTAGCGTGGCATAAGCTGCGGCCTGCCTAGCACCAGCAGGCAGTGCATGAATGCATAATGCATTCCGAGTTGAAACACCCAGGATCTTGGCAACCAGCCATGTCAAAAGCAACTGCTGCTTACGGAGTGAATCTCTGATGCATGGGGAGGGAGCTAGAGGTAAATGCAAGCGGTCGGATATTGTCGCGGATCATGAACGGTGTTCAACAAGCTTATATACACAGTGGACTCTATGAAAGTGTGGCTGTGCCGTAGACGCCTATATCGCAGAGAGGTTGCCGAATTTCTCCTATTGACTTTATCAGCATTCGAACAACTTCCACGACCAATGTTGTGACCTACCTGGTAGCCTGGAACGGACCAGCGACCCTTTGATACCAGCTGCTCAACGCGCTTGTCAATGTCTGGGCGAGCTGTGACCACGTCGTCCTAGCATGATGTTTAGCCAATGTTATCACGTGACTTTGACACACGGCATGCTGGCTCTGCCGGATACATACCACGGTGAGCTGGTCGAATGGCCGAGCAGACTCAATGTTGGTCAAAGTCTTCTCCAAGTCCTTCAGCTCAGCATCGACCTTKCCCTTGGTCTCCTCGGCGCTCTTGACAGCCTGTGCCTCAAAGGCCTCAATAGCCTTGATCTGTCGCTGCACATCGTACTTCTTGGGCTGGAAAGCGTTGAACTGCTTCTCGATGTCGTTGATGACGTCCTGGTTCTTCAGGATGCTGCGGTACTGCGCGAAGTCGACGGTCTGGGACTCCTGAGAAAGGACCTGGACGCGGCGGCGCGCATCGTCGTTGCGCTTCTTGAAGTTGGCGAGCGCGGCGGCAGTGTTGCCTCTGAGACCAAGTTTGGAGCCAAGGTTGGCCCAGTCGACTTTGAGGGCTGCAGAACGCTGCGGAGATATGCCTGTTAGCTGGCGTCGTGAAAATGCTGTCTTTCCCGCGGCGACAGCGACAGCGATGTATGCAGAGGTGCTTTATTTAGCAGAGCCAATGGCTCAACAATTAACACCTGTGACTGCACGCAGATTTGACATACCGTAGCCGCCATTGTGAGAGATGTTGCTGGGTGAGGAGTGGTGTGGTGTGAGGCTAGTTGAGCGAGGTGATGTTGCAGGGCCGGTAAAAGCGTCTCCAAACCGAGCAAGCATTTGGAAGATCTCACCCTCCGACGCCTACAGCCCTCGAGCTTCACTTCAGACCCATAACACAAAACCTCTTGCTACGCAGTTCAATCGAGACAGATTCGTGAAGGAGTCGCAATTCCGGATTCTGCGTCCCTTACGCTTGAAAGGCTGGCAAATTTGACACGCAATGCAAAACTATTCACCCGGCGCTTTCGATTCGAGGTAGGAACTTTGGCAGAACCACGATCTGACAGGATGTAACAATCTCTACGAAACCTTTTGAGATGCGAAGCGTGATGGATAAGGAGCGATTGCCTCACTCCGACCATCCAATCCCTTGGTCTGCAAAACATAATTGCAGGCACTCGTCTTTCACCGGCAACGGGGGCAACGCAAACGGTGCACGTGGGAAGGGCCCATCTCGAACATGCAAAGAGTGGCGGGTCAAAAAGAATCTCCGAGAGCAAATTTTGAGCGATTTTCTGAAGTTGTAATGTCTCGCCCCATCGCTGAGGAAGCCCAGCGGCTACTGGCGACGAAGCGTGACAGATCTCAGTCGCAGTCATCACATGTCAGATCTTGCCATGACCAGGTGTTACTTGCTGGAAAAGGCAGCCTGACATCGTCTAATCCTCCGTTCCACCTATATGCTCAATGCCATGATACTGTTGACAATATCATTGTCGTTCTCCTTGAGTGCCTTGACGGCCTTCTTCCGGCTAACGCTGGCCTGGGCCATGACGAGCTCAATGTCCTTGGCCTCAAGCCCAGTGTCATCGACCTCCTCACCGTCATCCTCCTCCTCCTCAGCAGGCTTGCTGGCACCCTCCTCAATGGTCTTGCCCTTGTCAGCGCCGTCGGCGGAGTGGTCGTGGGAAGCCTCGTTGGCGGATTGTGCTGCAAGCTGCTGGGCCGCGGAAGCCTGAGCCTGCACGTTGAGGTCCTCGATCTTAGCCTCGCCAAAGATGCTGTTTCCTGATTAGCCATTGTGCGCGACCATGACCCAATGCCAATCCTCTTACATCCAGGTGTTGCTGTTGGGGGACTTGTAGACATCTGGGTTGCTGATGACGAAGAGGATGTTCTTTGGTCTCCGAAGAGTGACGCGAGTGATGCCGTCAATGTGCTTCAGCCCAAGCTTTGAAATTGCCTTGCGCGCCTTCTTCTCGTTCCTGCTGTGCACAGCAACCTGAGCACCAGCGGGAATGTTGGCATCACCACCTTCCTCGTCTGAGTCCGAGGAGTCCTCCTCCACATCCTGCACCTTCTCCGGCTCGTCGACAACTTCCTCAATGCGTGGGTTGGCCATTTTTGCGGGTGTTTCGGTTTAGAGATTCAAAGCTCAGATGCTGATGTACAAGCTGGAAGTGGGTTTACTGCCAAGAGTGCCCGCACAGAATTTATACACGTGATCAGGGGACTGCGATTACTCTACAGACGGCAATGACAAAGAATTACACGCTGGACAGTGTGAGAGACGAGAGCAGTATATTTGGAAAAGTTGACGTTGAAGCCCTCAGCGAGGCCATGCATTTGAAGCGCTACCAAAAGCCTTGAAGACAGCCATTTCATTCCCCGATTCGCCAGCCTATCCGCCAGACAGTCGGTCTGGACCATCTGGATCCCAGCATAATGCTTTTCGGACGTTTCGAAGTTCCGTGATGTGTGTGATATGCAGAAGCGCACTGTGCACTACGTTGGAGCTTATGCGCTGGCCTTGGCCGAGGCAATGGCCTTGCGAACCTCGAAGCGAGCCTGTTCATAGAGTCAGCTGTGTGTGCAACAACAAAAGTGCGCCGCAGCAGAGAGTCCGTCCAGCATTGCAATGCCGCACAACGGCGAACACTGAGAGCCTCRCGATCTGCTTCCTGCCAATCTCTCCAACATACCTGCTTCCTCAAACGCATGACCTTGAAGCGCTCAAAGTCGTTCAGCTGCTTTCTCCGCGATGCTTGCTCCATCTTCTTCGCGTAGGAGCTTCCAGTCCACTTRGCATCGACGTCAGCGGCCTCCCACTGCTTCTTGAGGGCTGCGGAACCAGCGGCTCTTGGGAGCTTGGGGATGACGATGTTGGTGAGGGACAGGCTCTTGAGAGGAGCAGCGTGACGTGGAACGGCGAGCTCCTCAACCGATGATGGGCCATCTACGAGGACCTGTAAAAGTGTGAGTTCCCGTGTCCTCCAATTTCATAGTTGCTCCTCCTCAGACAAGTCGCTCGGGATACCACGTACGCGCTTGTGGTCGATGATCTGGACAATGGCAGCGGTCCTGCCGGCGAATGGACCGGTGGCGAAGAGCACGACACGGCCGACCTCGACGAGTCTCCAGTTGCTGGCGGTCCTGCACGCGGAGTGTGTTAGCCACGACCTCAACTGCATTTGCGCATCGTTCGTAGCACGTACACTTCTGCGTCTCCCATTTTGGCGGTTAGTAGTGGGTCGGTGGTGAAGTTCGATGTCGCTGGCTAGACAAGAGCTCACAGCGTGGTGAAGTTACATTCGAAATTCCGTGTGTGTCAAAAGTCGTGTTACTCGGATCGGGAGCGCGGCCGCTAGTAATTTTGGGTGTCTTCTTCTCCGAACTTTTTCACTTCCAAGTTCTCACCAAACCACATCCCCATCACCTTCCCGCCAACCACCTGCGCGACATCGCGTCTCATCATGAGAACCGCCCGAGCGACYCATCTACGATGGTAAGATCCCCAATCTCTTCTGCACGTTCGCCGAGCCCGCGCTCCACTCTATTTCCTGATGATATAATTTGCGATTGATGGCTGCCGCTGGAGTTACACGCCTGTTTCTCAGACAGCACAGTCAACGTGATATTCAATTCTTACATATACTGATCTCCCAAACCCGCATCCTGCTCGCTCATTCTGCTGTGATGTCGAATTACAAAAGCTGACTGGAATGCAGAGCACAACGAACATTTTTCACACTTGAGCTACCTGAGCTCTCCTGCTCGCGTCAAGGTACGTTACCAACCATCCCTATTCGCACCACGCAAATTCATATGAAGACAACACGCACTAGATAGTAATTGACCTTCGGGCATGATACTTCTCTAACCAAGATCTCTGACACTCAACCCTTCCCTCACCATCTCGCATCAAACCTACTGCTGGTCGTCATCAGCTAACCATGGATTATAGCTGTTGCAGTCTCACAACTAAATGCTGGAATCGAGCTTTCCCACTCAAGAGCATGGCGTCGTCTCGTGACACCGTCACGGCACCAGTACGAGTTCGTGGCAAACGCAAGGCAGGCCCAGAAGAGAAGTGGAACTTCGGCAAACGGCGAGATCCCAAACTTCAGAAGCGGCGACCCAATACTGCCATCTATGGCCGCCAGCCACMCTCGACAACTTCTGCTGATGCAGCTTTCTCGCCCGCAACAGCACGACCGAGAAAGCGACGACGTCGTCTCGTCCCACAGTCTCCACTCGAAGAGCTTCCTCCTGAAGTCTTGCAGACGATATTTGCATATTCTGCAAACATCATGCTTCCACTGACCTCCACCCAGCTTGCTTCCAAACTTTGCAACAGTACGCATTTGCGTCATAATCTTAGTGATCGTCTGTTAGGCCCTGTACTTGGATGCGATGTCGCTACCCGCGCTTCTGCGACGGACCTTGCATCTGCAACCCGACTGCTCAACAGCAGGTTCATGGACTTTGCCTTCTTCAAGACATGGCTTCGTAGGTCTCGCGACGAGGTTCCGGTATCAGATCAGTCGAGTGACCTCGCGGATGAGCTCGACTGGAAGGGAATGTGGTTAGCATGCCAACCATCTTCAAGCTTGCTCCCTCCGCGGAAACTCTTCTCTGCTCCTTTCTCACAAGAAAACACTGCGTTTCTCTCGATTCTTGCTCAACCCATTGACAACATTACATCTCTCAATCCTTCTTATGGCGAACTTGCTTACGACGGACTGTCCGCTGCTGTGTCATCAGGATATGCCGAGCTTGCTTCAGTGCTACTCGGCATGGGCATTACTGTCACTACGGAACTGTTGCGTGCTGCCGTCATCGATGCTGGTTGCGACGAACCTCTTGTTCGGCAACTCTTGGACGCCTATCGTAGCACCGATGATGACATGGATCTACTTGACCCGATAATTTGGTCCTGGGCCGAACAGGCTCGCGATACTGGCGATCCAAAGGGAATATGGCTGATGGAGGTTATGCGAGAGTCGCACCGGCTGCGTGCTTGAGTTTCGTAGTAATGTATACAACAAGATTTCACAAAGATTTATTCAGCTCGCGTTCCACTTGGTCATCAAATTTCAGCAGTGATTGCAAATTAATGGCGAGTGGGTGGTAACAGTAAGTKCCCATCATATTAAGTGTTTAAATAATGACTTCTTTGAATCATAAGACCGAAACCAATTCAATCTATGGATATTCGGAAAAGTGAGGTATTCAAATATAGGGTTAGGGTTGGTGTGGAAGAGTATGCATATAGCTTACGGKCAACCTATACATTCAGTGATGTCGAAGTCGATGAATTCCTGGCTAACATACAGCCCCTCCTGTATACGGGAAGACGAGCGGGAATCCCGAATCAATCCCCGTCGATTGTCCACAGAGTAGAGTGCGAAGCTTGGACGAAAATCTCCCTGTTTCTTCAACTTGCTTCGGTGCTCAAGCTCTATGGTGTCAATGCATTGTTATATCGATGAGCTGCGCGATAATGAAAGGTGTGCAAGAGTCGGTGAAAGCGGATGATCGTAACGAGACATCGGCGACGATAGACAATTCAGTCGTCTTTGCAAATTTTATTCTGCGTACTCATGACTGCCACAATCATATCGACGCCACGCTATGGTATGCCTATCAACGCCCAGCACCGGACAATTTTGATACAGAGTTTTGATGCAAACCAGCTTCAACTACGCTCACTTCCCCGGAGACGAACGACCTGGCCATACTTCTGTAGCTTCGTGATAAGCTGGTCGCCCTGCTTGACCACATCGTTGTATCTGCGATGTTGTGTTAGTGCTTGCATGGAGCGGGATGGGCCGTTTGCACTCACTGCTTGTTCTTGTCGTCCGCTCTCTGGGTTGTGATCACGCCCTTGACCCGGTCAATTGTGCAGGGTAATCTCTGACTTGCAATGAACGGTGCGAGATCCCTGTCCAGCCAATCCACGCTCACACCGAAGCTCTTTGCCATGCTCTCCAGACCCACCACCTTGTACGACTGCAGCAATTGAGCATACGCCCGAAGTCGCATTTCGCGCACAAACCAGCTTCGGTGCTCGTAAAGGTACCGATCTGTGGAAAGGAAGTTGCTCTCGACCGCGGCCAAGCTGGAGAAGAATGTGCTGTAGTCTCCAGAGTAGAGAGACTGGATCATCTTCGCGAGGGATTGAAAGTCAATCTTGGGCTCCGCCTTTGCCTGTGCCTCGGCCGATGCGGACCCCATCGCAAGAGTGGTCAAATTGACAGCAGCTGGCTTGGGCGTGGCAGATTGCTCGTCGACGGCCATCTTCTCCTCGTCTCCAGCTCCCGGTCCAGCTGATGCAGCGCCGCCAATCGCGGCGAGGCGATCGGCATCAGACTCGCTACCAAAGACAGCTCGAACCTCGGGAGCGTCAACTACCTTGGTCTTGTAATCGCGGCGAGGCAGGCTGACGGAACCGGCTAGAGTTGCGTAAACGACCAATGAACTGTATGGGCAAAGCTCGGTAGATGTGAATGTAGAGAGCGAGTCGAGGAGAAGAGGAGCAGCCAGGTTGTATGCGCGGATGGTCAGAAGGTGTAGACCCTGATATGCCTTGAGGCGATTGCGACGGTCCCAATCGCCTCCACTCTCGACAAGCTGGCTTGCTCGGGCGACGTTCTTCTTGACTAGCAGCTTGTCGTCAAAGAACAGGCCAAGGCGGATGATGGCGAGCACAATGTCAATCTTGGTGCCCAAAATGCCAGTCTTCTCTAGCAGCTTCTCAAACTCCTCCAGCGCACGGTCCTTGTCGCCCACACGTGCATAGAACTCGGCGCGTTTGCCACGAGCGGTCTGCACCTCAGTCTCGCCCGAGTTCTCAAGGGCATCGTCTTCTTCTTTTTGAATAGCGGCTAGCTCAGCCTCGTTCTCTTTCTGTAGCTTGGTATACAGCGACTCGTCCCACGGAAGCTCCACGCTGGAGTCAGTCTTGCCGCCGAGAACACCTACGATTGAAGGCGCATTGATACTGCTCGTACGTCGTAGAGTGTGGCCAGGTGACGGAGCGCTGCCCTGGCTGTGGCTGGCTGCTGAAGCGCGGCCAAGAGTGGGTGACATGGCGCCACTGCCCTCACCTGCCTTATTCAGACGACCAGATTGTGGGTGAGCAAGGTAGGCGTACAGCGGCGCCATCTGGTGCGTACGGATGTCATCTTGGATTGCCTGTAGAGCGACATTCTTGGCAGAGGGAGACGTCGACGGCGATGCGATGGCGAATACGTTCTGGGCGAGGGACAACGTCGGGAAACGGAGGTATTGGGGGTCTCCCATGGCGGGCAGTGACTGTAGGGACTTTCGCGGACGGCTTGGAGTTACAGCTGAAGATTGACGGCGGCGGAGTTGGTATCGGTCGTGCTGTTGTAAGTTGGAAGATTGTGAGAAGCGTTGATGATGATGGTGAAGTCGCTGCATCGATTCACATGCCAGATCAAGCTATGGCACTAGCGTGTTCGGAGCTTTGAACTTCGAACATCTGTTCTGGCGATGCTCCTCCTTCTGCTGAACATGATTCCCGACATCAACATCACACAACAGCACCATTGTCGTGAAATCTATCGTTTCTCACCATCATGCCTACAGAGGAACCACCGTCGGAGAATGGCATTGGCACCCGACGTGTAGCACCAAAGCGGAAACGCGAGACTCCAGCCTCGAAGCTCGCTGCTGCTCGATCCAGCACATCAAACACGCCGAACGCATATGCTCGTCGCAGCCCGCCGAGAGATGCTCCGCGCCCTGGTAATATCAACGCCAGCTCCGACAGAGCACGCGACACTTCCCCTGGCAGGCATGGAGATCGAAATGATGAGAATGGCGACAACTCCCCGCCTCGCAAGCTGAAGCGCCCCGGAGGTGGCTCTCGTATAGCACAAGCGAACCGCGAAGCCGCAGAAAAGGTACGCAAGGAGCACGAGGCTGCAGCCAAAGCGTCGGTCCTGGGGCGACCCACAGCCAGCGCCGACATCGTCGCCGATCACTACAATGCAGTTCCTGAGCGAGGCCGTGAATGGAGGTCCAACGAGAGCAGAATCAAAGGTCTCCGCAGTCTCAACAACTGGATCAAATCTACACTGATTCAAAAATTCTCACTCCCCGAGAACCCAGTGCAGAGTCTCAAGGTCTTGGACATGGCGTGTGGTAAAGGGGGTGATTTAGGCAAATGGCGCAAGGCGCCGCAGGTGCCAGCTCTCTATGTGGGATGCGACATTGCGAGCAAGTCAATCGAGCAGGCGCAGGATCGTTACAAAGAGGACAACTCTCGTGGCCCCCGATTCCAACGTGGACCACAGATGCACGCGGAGTTCTACGTTCACGATACCTTCGGCAAATCTCTACACGACATCAAGATTCTTCGAGAAGTCGGATTTGATCCAAATGCCGGCCCAGGACCTAATGTGATTCAAGGGGGTATGATGACGGGTGGGTTTGATGTAGTCAGCATGATGTTCGCCTTGCACTACTCGTTCGAGACGGAGAMGCTGGCGAGGGGAATGTTGAGCAACGTTTCTGGCGCTTTGGTCAAAGGCGGTCACTTCATTGGCGTTATGCCTAACAGCGATGTGATCTCTGCAAACGTCAAGGCTTTGCTGTCAGGCGAGGATGCTGGGAAGGACCCAATCGATGCCGCCACTGGCACGAGTGCTGCTGACGATGACGACTGGGATCCTGAAAAGCCGGCCGATGCCTCTGATGATGACTGGGACCCTGAGAAGCCCGCTGACGGACCAGCATCCGATGATGATTGGGATCCCGAGAAGCCTTCAGAAGCATCTCAAATACCCACCGAGACAGCACCAGAAGCCGCGTCAAATGGCGACTCTACCTCACCAGCCAGTACCACTCTTCCAGATCTAGAGTGGGGCAACGACATCTACAAGGTCAAGTTCCCGAGAACGCAGCCTCTGACCGGCAAGCCTCTTCCAAAGGACGGCATCTTCCGACCCGCATATGGCTGGCGTTATCACTACAGTCTAGAGGAAGCCGTAGACGCAGCGGAATTTGTCGTCCCATGGGAGGCCTTCCGTGCGCTGGCCGAAGAGTATGGGCTGGAGCYGCAGTACCGAAAGGGCTTCAGGGGTGTGCTGGACGACGAGTGCGAAGACCCTGAGCTGGGGAAGTTGGCGGAGAGGATGAGGGTCATGAGTCGAGATAGGACTCAGGGTGACAACGGCTTGCTCGTGAGCAAAATGGAGCGGGAGGCGGCCTTCTTCTACCATGCCTTTTGCTTCCGAAAGGTTTGAGATTGTTGGCGGCAGGCGACCTTAAGGCGTGCTAGCAGCATTCACATTGGCGCCATATGGCCATTCCTCGTCGGGCAGGTAAACGGTGCACTCACGTTGAGATATGAAGCTGAATGATCCAAGACTCGCGGGTTCCAGTCCTATCACAAAATTCAATGTACCAACACGTCGTTCATTTCGTGTCCGCAAAATAAAGTGCATCATTGTCCCGCACGTACAACACCAGCGTGTGACTGTTCTGGTATYGCACGTCTGCCTTCTTCCCGGCTGCGACTTTCCTGGTCCATTCCCCAAGCATGCCATCGATTCCAGCGTTCTTAACAGACTAAACACTCAACATGCGCAGCCCTCCTTGGGTCCAGCGTCTCCACCTGCATTCAAATTGACCCTGCTGTTATCTTGACCGGCATTGATCGCCGCCTGTGTCCCAGCACCAGCACCACCTCCTCGTGGACCCTTTAGGCTCGTCTCGGGAATAGCATTCGCAATGGCAGTGAATACCTCGCTGACATTGTGCCCAGATTTGGCGCTCGTCTCGAAGAACAGCAGATTCTCTTCATCGGCATAATTCTTGCCTTCCTGGCTGCTGACTTTCCGCACTGTGCCCGTCTCCTCGCCCTCTTCCTGCTCCTCTCCCTCTTGTGGCTCCGCATCGGGGTTATCGTCCTCGCAGAGATCGAGCTTGTTACCAACCAAAGCGATTACGATTCCAGGTGAGGCTTGTCGTTGTAGTTCCGCAACCCAGTGCTTTGCTTTGATAAGACTGCTCGCTTTGGTGATGTCGTACACAACCAGGGCCGATTGCGCATTGCGATAGTACATGGGTGCCAGACTGGCGAAGCGTTCCTGGCCGGCGGTATCCCAAATCTCGAATTTTATCGTCCGGGACGGAAGCTGACATTTCTGCGTGAGGAAGGCGGCGCCGATGGTGGGCTCCTTGTTGGGCTGGAAGTCGTCGTTTACGAAGCGCAGTACGAGCGAAGACTGGTGGCACGCGGTCAGTAACGGCTCGAGAAAAGTTGGACCATCGACAACCAACGCGATCGCGCAAATTTGGTGCTCACCTTCCCTACGGCAGCTTCACCAAGCAGCACGAGCTTGACGCTGCTGCTTGGTTTTGGCGCTGTGGTGCCCGCCGAGTCGCTCATTATGAATTTCCGATTCTTTCCTGTCTTATGATATTTGTGGCAGTGATTGCGAGACGAWTTCAAGTCGGATATGTTGGAGTTGTGCAGGTCTGCTGTGGTTGTGTGATAGACTTCGCCGAGAGACTGATGTAACAAGTGCTGGCGACCCGTGATGATGTCTTGCTAGCGCAAACTCAAAAAAGGCTACGTGCCGCAACATGGCACCCAGCGACGATGTCTTTCRGAAGAGCTAACCCAGCGCTGGTCAGTGAACAGTATAAGTGTTGAGATAAGACGTTTTCTACAAACATTGCGAAACGACCGAACTCTTTGACCATTCCATTGACCACGTCCTTTAGAGCCCGTTCGGTTTCCATTCAGACCCCTGTCGAAAGCAGGTTGGCAACCACACGTCTAATAGCTCAAGCGACATGACCCTAACAGCTAGACGACAATGTCCTCTACCGCTTGACCTTTGCTAGCAGTCCTCACGTGTGCCGCGGCAGCGATCTTCAGGTGGCCGGTCACATCCGAGGACCAGCAGCGAAATCGTCGTCCAGGAGCGAAGCACCTCATAAACAATACCACCTACTGCTGAAACAAATCGGTCGAAAAACTCGCTCACGGATCTCGTGGCTTTAATTCGTCATGCTTGGTGATTTTACAACCATTGTGAGTAGTAGACATGGGTGGATTTAGCCAGTAAGATATTTGGGTGGGCACAGAGCTCACGACCGCGGTTTGTGAATGTCTATTCGCGGAGGCCCAATACGACGACACATCTCACATCGTAAGCGAGTCGCAAGCGTATATGCATCATCTCCTCTTGAATTTGAAATTCCGGGGAAGGTTTTCTTCAATGGAAATGGAGAAGAACGAGAAAATCGAGGAAACTATAAGAAGAAGCCTGGACAGGAGATGGTGTGTTGGTTGAATGGATTCTTCGCGGTTATGCAAGACCCATGCAAGACCCGATTCGACTTTCAAGTTTTAACCACTGGTGATCGAGTCTTCATACTCAATTGAGAGATAGGCTTGCACAAATGGGTATTTTTACCGCAGCAGGCCCAATTTAAAGAGCGTGCTCTATGGTTGCATTCCATCCGTCCAGATCACCGCAAAGACAGGCAAGGTCGTGCTTCGTTGCCAAGCAGGACAACCAATCCGGACACTGGTGGGCGAGCCTCGACTTGTAATCCGAAACGATCTGATGGCTTCACGCGCATAGTCAGCCAGCCCACGTGCCGGGCTCTTAGCTCGCGTTACATGTCCGTACACGCTTTCGATAGAGTAGCAGCCCTATCAGGCAAGAGCAACGGTCACACCAATGCTCATTCGAAACGAAAGAAAACTCCATTGAAGCGCAGTTCGTCCAGTAAAGTCATGGCTGCAGATATGCCGTGTGTCTTTAAGTAGGCAGATGCGGATAGAGTGGCGATCAGTCACTTGTCATCGAGTAGCCAGTAGCTGTGTGTTGCAAGATCTCCAAAGAGTAATTGTGCTTTAGGGCGTTCTGGACTCGTGCTTGCATGAGACCAGGTGCCATGCCATACTTCACTGTTCCGGAAGTGAGCAGGCCCTGAGTTGAGCGCCTTGCTTCTCAGCAGAAAAGGCGGAGGTTCCTCCTCACATGCYGCAACAGAGTTGACACGGATGACACAAGGGTAGGCGGATGCTCGTCCACTTTACTCCCGGCTAGGGAGATTGAGAATATGCCTCTGCTGTGGCCTTGAAAGACAGAGGTGGTATGGCTGGCACTCAGAAACCACGGAGGCTTCTCTCGGGATGACTGCAGAATGCAGTGCGTTCAGCGATAGCCAATGGACTCAATTTCCGCACCCTGACGTGAATCCAGGTAATTTATTTTGAAGTTTCAGCCTGTGGGCACTCGTCATCCCTCGCCTATACACCGGGAATCGGAGACGACGGTCCAGGTCCAGGTGGTTCCTTGTTGGCGGACTGCCGTCACAATTGTGCTGATGGAGATTCGATGCGGGTTTGAGGCCGGGTTATCATGGAACGTAGGCGCGCATCGGCAAGCCAAAGCCTGCAGCGGGTGCATCACCGATAGAGTTCGGTCAATCGAGCGTGGCCAATCTGAGGCTGTCTGCTCCTGACCTAGCGCAGTTTAGACGCCAACGCCATGCAGCGGCCAAACACCATCAGTYTGTCCACTCGTCGTTTCGCCTTGATCGCTTTCTCCACCACCCACACCTTGCGCACGCGGTGCGCATTCTGGCCCTCTGGCGTTTCATTCAATACCACTACCACGACCGCCATCCATCGACATACAGCTGGCATTGAGCTTGCGCTCTCATCACATTCCTTCGAATCGACTCGCGAAAATCAGAGACCACAGCCCAAATAAACACACGACACATCTGTCATTGCAACGCAGGATTGAGCTCACCACTTCACACAACTTACACTCGCTTGGCCTCCTGTATTGTGGAACTATTCACACTGGCACAGCCTGTCCCTTCGACCCTTCGACCCTCGTGCAGGTCACGAAAACAGAGGTCCCATTCCATGCTGTAAGAACAAGCATCACGCTACAAAACCCCGACTGGAGCCCAGAAATAGAAACCCGTCCTGCTAGGACGACATCACAGAACACTTCGCCTTCACCAGCATTCAAGCACGTTCCGAAGCATGCTTTCTCGAACATGGTTGCTGATGGCAGCCGCCGCTCCATTTGTTATGGCTGACGGCGGCGGGCACGACCCAGCCGAGGCAGCAGCTGGTCTCCTCAACGACAAAACAATCAAATACACCGCAGTCACTTGGGCGATCATTATCGCCTGTCTCCTGGTCTATCGATGGACCCTCAATCTCATCCAACACGTACGGCAACTCGCAAACTTGAACCATGGCACGTCAAGCGACGGTAGACAGCGCTACTTTAGCATTCCCGACGAGAAGTGGGCGAGGATCAAGCGCTACTTTATTGTCGCGCCTCTTTTCAACCGCAGACACAACCGAGAGTTCCGCTTGTCTGCTGCGATCAATGTCGGCACTCTGCCTGGCCGAATGCAAACGTTTTGGCTGCTGGGGTACTTCGCTTTGAATATCACATTTACAGTCTGGAACATCGACTGGAGCGATGGCGAGAAGTTTCGCTCGCAAGGACTGGGAAGGACGGGTGTCCTGTCTGTGCTGAACATGATTCCCCTCTTCCTACTTGCTGGCAGGAATAACCCGCTCATCTGGCTTCTCGGCATCTCTTTCGACAACTACAACTTGATTCATCGCTGGTGCGGCCGTATCGTCGTCCTGGAGGCAGTAGCGCATGTGGCATTCTGGATGTCGGGGAAGCTCATCAAAAACGGAGCAGAGAAGGGCTGGCAAATCATTGGAGCCTCAATGGCCGGCAGCACATTCATCTTGACTGGCACTATCGGCTTCGGCGCCTTCTGCGGTCTCCTCCTCCAATCCCCCTCGATTATCCGGCATGCGTTTTACGAGGTCTTCTTGCATGTCCATATTCTACTCGCCATGACCTCCGTGGTGGCGGTGTGGATGCATTTGGACGGCAGGCCCGCCCAGGCCTTGCTTCTTGGAGCTCTTGTTTGCTGGATCTTCGAACGCCTGGCTAGAGTATATCTTATTGTCCGAAACAACTTTGGGAAGCGAGGTATCACAAAGGCCGAGATCGAGGCACTGCCCGGCGATGCTCTTCGCGTCACTCTGCGCACATCTAGGCTCTGGAAGTTCCACCCCGGCCAGCACATCTACCTTTACATCCCTAGTATTGGCATGTGGACTAGTCACCCGTTCTCTATCGCCTGGAGCGAAGAATCAGCCGACTTGGCGAGTGAGAAGTCCCTTCCGATGGCTCGTCAGGACATCTTCGCTGCGCAGACAAAATCGACCTCCCTCATCATTCGTCGTCGTACAGGTTTCACGGACACTCTTTACAAGAAGGCAGAGCAGTCCAAGTCTGGCCCATTGGTCACCAACGCTTACGTGGAAGGACCCTACGGCAATCAAAGTTTCCAATCGTACGGCACCGTCATGCTGTTCGCGGCTGGTGTCGGTATCACACACCAAGTACCACATGTACGAGACTTGGTAGCCGCATACGCAAATGGAACAGCTGCAACCCGGAAGGTTGTCCTGATTTGGATCATTCAGTCACCCGAGCACTTGGAGTGGATCCGTCCATGGATGACACAGATTCTGGGAATGGAGAAGCGTCGCGATATCCTGAAGATCTTGCTGTTTGTAACCCGTCCGCGAAGCACCAAGGAGATTCACTCTCCGAGTGCTAGCGTTCAGATGTTTCCAGGTACGTACCCTCTCCAGTACTTCCCATCCTCAATAAGCTAATCATTCGTGTTCTAATAGGCAAACCTGATGTCGGCGCTCTCATCGCCAAGGAGCAAGAGCACCAAGTAGGTGCCATGGCTATCAGTGTTTGTGGCACTGGAGGATTGAGTGATGATGTAAGAAGAGGCATGAGGGATCGCTGCGAAAATACGGAGATGGATTTCTTCGAGGAGGCTTTCTCATGGTAGAGATTTGGGAAAGTACCCCATCGTAACGACCTGCAACGTGCTCCATGGAGTTGGCTTATACAAGTGCCCCGAGCGCTCTACTTTTCATTTGCATTCTTGATGAATACAAGGAGCAACGCCTCCATTTTCGAACTCAGCCCGAGTGGGCAGAACGACTCCTTCCTTTGTTCCATCCGTCCTACGTCCATGTGTTCAAGTACGGTAGCAACAAGCACTAATCGACATTGATGTGATCCTAATGAAGTAGATACACCAATTCAACACACCGGGGTGGAGTTCAAGATTTAGAGGCCCAGACTAAGCAATGGAATTCATCCTTTTGGATCATGCAGCAGCCAGCAATCCACCCACTCCAGTGCTTTACGGATGGCGTTGCACCAAGCCTACTTCTTAGCATCCGCAGCCATGCCCTGTTGGATCCAAGCCTTGGCCTCGGCTGCCTTTTTCTCCATCTCTGCCTTGTCGGCAAGAAGTTCTTTCATTCGATACGGATCGGGAACATTTGCTGCGCACGGTCAACTACTCGCCTCCCTATGGYCTGCTCAAGATAGAGCCAAGCGACGATGCGCATTTGGACACGTACCTCCTTTCTGCACCGCAGGGCGAGCCCACATGCGTTCCTCCCAAGCCTTGAGGGTCGGAAACTCCTCGATGTCAATACCTGCCCAGCCAGCCGCTGAGATCCATCCCCAGTGCGCGATATCGGCCTGCAAGGGTTAGAAGAGCGTCAACTAAACTGTGATGTTGTAGACTCACGATGGTGCATTTGTTTCCAACGAGGTATTCTGCCTTGTTGTCGCGCAGGTGTTTGTCGAGAACGCCATAAAGTCTTCTTGTCTCATTTTGGTATCTCTTGATTCCGTATGGGATGGTTTCAGGGGCATAACGCGTGAAGTGGTTGGCCTGGCCTTGCCTGTACGAATGAATCAACCCATGTCACGAGCTTCAGATGGCTAAGGCTTGGGTTCAACTTACATTGGGCCAACACCTGCGTTCATAAAGAACATCCAGTTTGTCACCTCGATGTGTTCACGGGTTCCAGGGGGGAAGCTAAGCTTGTGATCTTTGTCGTATCGGTCGACCAAGTACTGTAGTCATGAGATATTTAGCCACGATCTTGCATCACCTGCCCTCATTGCTATTTGTGCACTGGAAGATGACGAGGTCCTGGCAAGAGTTTGACCCTCAGGCCGGTAGTTCTAGCCTCGGGCGGAGGAAAAGAGTAGCTCAAGAATCTTGCGACTGAGACATACCTGCATGATACCTCCGCTCTCAAAGAGGTTGATGGGCTTTCCATCAGTGAAAGTATCAGTGAGAGCTGGAATTCGTCCATTTGGATTGATGGCCAGGAACCAGTCCTCCTTCTGCGTGCTATGGTACGATCCATGAGCATATAGAACCAAGCCATACCAGCATGTTTACTTACTTCTTAGAGATGTCGATCTTGGTATGCTCATAGGGAAGGCTTTGGCAGATCGTCAGCCCAGTACATGCAAAAGAACCGACTACCAATACTCACCCAAGCTCCTCCAGCAGAATGGAGATCTTTATGCCATTGGGCGTCTGAGTAGTGTAAAGGTGGATGTTGGACGACATCGTTGTTCTCGGTGTGTAATGGAGGTGGACAATGGATCTGACAAGGTACCGGTCCGACGTTCAAGAAAACGGAACAGTTACTTACAAGGGCTTGATCTATAAACATCACAACACTGCCCTTAAAAGGTGGGGGAGGAGCTACGAAGCTCTGATGCACAAGCTTCGCCTAACAAAAAAATCGAAAAGTCGCGCCAAACCCAACACCTCACTAGATTCTCAAACAACATGGCCGTAACACAGATGTCGAGCACACAGGTACCTCCACCACTATCAGCGCTGCAGAAATTACTCGATGCCAACCCGGCCCCGGCAGCATCACCTCACGCGCCAGAACTCCATCAGCTCGCGCTGAAGGTCGCGCACAATCTGCGCTACCAGCACTTGTGGACCGACGTCCGACTTCACACGGACTCGACTCTAGCGGATCACTCTCTTACAAGGCCTCTCGTCTCCGGAATCCCGCCTCAGCGCCTGTACGTCCATCCAGACGAGCAAATCGAGCTGCTACAACAGCAAAAGGACAAGGGCAAGACCGGATTGCCCGAGCTACCACGAGAGCGCGAATGGGTTCTCCCAAGCCATTTGCGGGAGAAATGGAGTCTGAAGCGCTTTGGTCAGGCTTTTGATGGCATCGAGGCCGTTCCGTCACATGTGAATGGGCACGCGCTCTTTCCCACGCAGCAGAGAGAGGAAATTGAGGGTTCGCCTAGCAAATGGCGCACAACGCTTCCCAAGAGACTTCTTCTTGGTACATTGGACGATGATAGCACTGTTGTGTATTACATTGTGCACGATGRCATCGTGAAGCCAAGACAGAATTGAGACTTCTCCTCGTCCGACCAAACCATCATCTGGAGACTGGAACTGCAGCATCGCGCATCAAGGATGCCCCTGCAAATCGGGCGATTGTGACTGAGATTGTCAATACTGGCAGCATCTTCAACACAAGGTCGTGAATTCGTGAGGTCATGCTACTGTACATAATGTACATTTGATCATCAGAGTCTGTCTGGAACAAATCTTACATCTGCATACTGTCCAGCCCGGTGTGGCCCACTGGATTTTGCTCACCACCGTTCTCGCCTTCGGGCCGCGGCGTCAACCCCGTGGGCATCCCAGCCAGGTCTCCGAGTCCGCCAAAATTGTTCGACCAATCCATATTTCCGCCAAAGATGTTGTCATCACCAACAACATTCGGAACATTAGCAGGATCCATATTGAAGGGCATGAACCAGGCAGTAGAAGGATCACCCCAGAAGCCATTATTCCCTGCGTCCATGGTATTTCCCCAGGAATTCATGTCAAAATTGTCCAGGCCCGGGTTCCCTGCAAGACTCATCATCGCTGAATCCGCACCCGGTACTTGGTTGGCATTCGCAGCGTAAGAGTTGAAAACCATCTGGCGATCAAGCTGCGACATAAATGGTTGCATGGGCATAACGGCAGGATTGTGCGGCGGTTGGAACCCCTGAGGAAAGGTCGCAGGTTGCTGTGGGAAACCATCCATGTTATTTCGGAATGCTTGTGTGGCTGCCAGGTCATGAACGACATGCTGTGATGCCAAAGGTTGCTGAGCATGATTCTCCCCGCCTGCCACCTGCGCTTGCTGTTGGACAGCCCGCCCAGTCTTATTGCCTTCCGACTTGGAAAGCTGTCGTTTCTTAGCCGTCCTTCTAATCGGCTGCTGTCCGGGAGCGATTCTGTTCGGAGTGCTCAATTTCGAGAAGAACTCCTCGACAGTTTGCAAGTCACTCTTCTGTCCCAGTACCGCATCTGAGCCTAGTTCCTTCTTAACATCTGTACTGGGTTCTTCGTAGTCGGTCCCGCTGACGCCATGAGGGTAGCGATCAAACCAGTCGCCATACTGGAAGATTGCATGGTCAACCTCTTTGCTTGACAAACCCCCTGAACGCGCAGCATCCGCATGTCGGCGATACAAGTCACGGAGGTTCTCGGTCACGAAGTGAAACATTCCCCAGTACTTCTTCATCTTCGTGAGATATTTAACATTCCATGCCAAGTTCTGCTTGCTTGATGCCTCTAGTTTGGCGTTCTTGGAGAAAGCGCCGTGGATGTGTACTGTGCTGCTGAAAAAAGCGCAGTATCCAGCAAAAGGCGCGACCACCAGATGATCCATGGCATCGTGGACGAGAAGAGAGATCTGGTTAGCAGCATCCACTGCTGTGCGTGCTGCATCAGTGATGAATTGTGCGGGCATGTCCGGGGGGTATATTTGCCGTGATCCAGGTGTGGGTAACGCGAAACGGTTCATGAATAGAAGAATCTGGTTGTAGACGATATGCAGGAATAGGAACTGATTTGCGATCCGCTCGGACGCGTGGTTTTGTAGGTTCTCCGTCGTGTGCCGTAGAGATGGTGGCAGAGAGCGTTCCCATTGCTCCGTGGCTTTCTTGATGCTATRGAAATTGGACTCGTCCGACCACATGGGATGTGTGTCCATCTCTTTGCCACCCAGGTTGAGGTAGTTGATCAGCCTGCCCCATATGGACACGAGCCGTATCAGGTGAGCTGCGACCCCCATATTCTGTTTCGCGTCCGCGATGTGTCCAGTTCCGGGCTCGACGGGATTTGGCACATTGCCGTCAAGATCTTCAGTGGGACCACTGATCTCCATCTGGTAGAAAGTCTCTTTGACTGGCAGCTGTGCACGTATATATTGCTCGCCGACGAAAATGGGGCGATCCGTGCCGCTTGAGTTGAAACGGTCCATCAGGAAACATGACCACATTGTTCGCCTTCGAATCTCCCGGTCTGTAGGCGTCAGCTCCGCCTCTTCGTTCTGGGCACGATCTTTCGGATCGCGGTCTAGATCTTTGTGCAATTGCAAAGCATATGCCATGCGTTGTGCCATGCCTCCAAACATCCAGCTTCGACCACCTTGGCATGTTCCAAATTCGTGTAACCCGAGGATCAAGTACACGATTAGAATCGTGATATTTGGAGTGTCATAACGGCGCAAGGCGATGTCGCGCGCCGCGCTTGCCCAATCCTCCCCACGAAGAAAAGCCGGATCTGTTCGCAGAGATGGGTGATTTGAAAAACGTGCGGATATTGCACATACTGCTAGTGTTAGAACGGGCGGGACAGCGCCTTGGGCCAATTTTCGCATGAAGCTTGGTTTGTGAAGAAGATGGTAGCTTTGGCCATACACGTAGTCAAAGAAGACTTCCGCTAGGTGCTCTTGTAGTTCTTTCGCAGGTAGCTTATCCGCACCTTCGAGGAGCAGATTTTGCTCGTCTGATTCCTTCGACTTTGAAGCACTATCTTTCGATGCCGATGGCTTTTGTTTGCTTGCCGGGCCTGCTGCCGTGCCTGCTGCCCACTGCCCAAGCTCATTACCAAAGGCCTGATCTGCTGCGCGTTTCTTAGATGGGCCGGCGGGTTTGAGGGGTGCTGCTGGCAAAGCGGGCTTTAGCACAGCCCGACCAGTACTATTCACAATGCCCTGCTCCTCTTTAGGAATGGTCTTGATCACGCGGTCTTCCATGCGCTTGAGCCTTTTGTCCAACATTGCCATGTAATCTGTCCGAGGGGCAGCCTTTCGCGTGGTGACCTTGTAGACACATGGGATACGGGAGCGCAAACAATGCTTGCAGGCTGGCTTTTCTCCCGAACAGCGAATCTTCTTTCGCCTGCATGCTATACAGGCAAGCGGTAATCTTTTACGCTCCTTTCCAGCCTTTGTCTTCAACTCGCTCCATGCCGGCGAAACTAGGTCTAGCCCCTCTTCCCTTTTTGGGTTGTCATTCGAGAACTGAGCGTTGGTAAGCTCGTGGCTGTCCAGTCCGAATGGATCTCCAATGAGATTCTGCAAGTCTGGACTTGCCAACTCGGATGCACCAAGGCTGTTCTGTCTCGCAAGAGCAGCGACGTTGTTATTGCTGCCGCCACTGATATTTCCTGACTGTCCATTTCCCAGACCCGAAGTGGCATCCGGCATCATACCACTCTGCGCATCAAAGTCCCCGCCCAAGACTTGCAGCGTAGTGTTCGAACTCGCGCCACCATTGACCGCGCTTTCAGATATTCTTTCCAGCCCAAAGTCGCTCACGTTGGACGGGGTCATGGCTGTCGGGTATTGACATGCAGTTCAATCTGCTGCTCCATTCGTCCCCCTCCTCTTCTAAGTTTCTCCCATGAAGCTCCCGTCCCACTTTCGACTTCTTCAGAGCGAGATCGGCGCTGGCGCGGGCGCCCGCAACGCAATAGATGGTCAATTCGTCGTCCGTTGCGAATTAGCGGTAGTAGTTGTCATGAGGTGGGCAAAATATTGCAGCTTCTTTCGAGAGTTGCACAACGCTGCTGCACGAGCACAAGACGTGAATGTTCGGCTAAAGGACATCCATGGATGCTAGCCATCGAAGTGGAGAGCTCCCTGCCACACGGGCATCTATCCCACACGATGACCGACGTCCGGACTCCGAACACCTCATTCGCCAGTCAACATTACAGTATGGTTGTTTGGGAGGTACCATGCATCACTGCAACCTGGAAAAGATGATGATTCTGCCGTCAACCTTTGCGTTTGCACTTGAACTTGCATCTCGCATACTTATTTACATGCGAGAAGACTAGCATCGTCAGGTTGTTCTCTCCGAAAGACTTTGCGCTTGTGTACATGTAGTCTTGGTGGCAGCGGGCCCTCCAAAGACATAGGCAGCATGCCATAGAACGGCAAAGTACTGTCACGACGCTGATGGGGCCTACTCTTCTGCCAATAGATACCTTAGGTATTGCATCGACTTCGGGGTTGCGAGCCACAGCGAGAGGGCACAGCAGAGGGGGTTCATTTGAGCAGCGTGGGCGGAGTAGCCCGTCGTCTTGCGATCGATCGAGTTGCAACTCTCTCAGGCAGGGCAGAAGGTTGATCGAGCCAAGACACAAAGGCAGATCCCGTGTTTTGGCGACTGTTTCGCGTTGAGTGGGAACGAAGTGAGTTCAGCCGGCAATGCTGCCCTCATATGCTTCTGCTTAACATCCAGATGGTTGGACAGGGTGCAGGCGCCGCYGAAGATGCTGACGAGGAGTGCATCGCCTTTTCCAAGAAATTGACCAACTTCTTCGCGTGTTCGTCATTATGCATGTGTCGATCACTCCGACGACGCTAGCTCAAGTTTTATATGACACTTCCCTGCCACTCCGCATTGCACGTTTCCTTCACATCAATCCGCCCTGCAAGACAGGAGAATAAGCCTTGGTACCTGTTTCCAACGCGAATTCGACGCGAACCGTGGAAGTGAACCAATTGATCCTGACAGCTAAGGTACCTTAGCTTTCCAACGCGTCAGTGACGTCTCACTTCTCGTGCGCCTCAACCAACACCCATCTTCACTACCAACCAAGAGTTACCTTGCATCACTTGACACCATTCGCAAACAACAACAACCCACCTACACCACCACGAACTGGCAGCCATGCCGCCAAAGAAAAGCAAGTCACAGGCCAACGCCAGCAGCAGTCAGCCCGCGCCTGCGCCCACTCGTGTCAGCGGACGCAAACGCCGTCTCAGCGATGCCTCCAATGCCTCCGATCGTCCTTCCAGCAGTCACAGCACCGCAACCGCGACCCCTTMCAAGCGTGCTAAACGTGGTAAGGCTGCTGCAGAGCCGCAGTCGGAAATGATTGTCGAAGAGGAGTCGGAGGTCGTCGAGTTTGTGGAGACTGTCCGACCTGCACAGCCATCAGTGGCACCTGCGTGTGATGCCGTAGGCGGAGCGGAGACAATCACCGTCACGAAGCATAAACACRTGMACTTTGGTGGTGCCGCCGAGCACGATTTTGAAGACGAGGAGGAAAACATCGAGAAGACAACTGCAACGCACATCACCCCACATCCGCGCAAGGTGGGCGTCAAACGTCGCACCACTGCCTCTCCCAGCCTGGGTGTAGAAGCTAGCGCAGATGTGGTCGCAGGTGGCAAGCGTGTCAAACGCACGTCAACACGGCACTCTCTGCCGGCAGCCTTGTCTGAGCAGGGTGGTCAGTTGGTATACTATGTCGCGAAGCATGACTACGCTCCTCTCAGTGAAGTCCTCCAGGACCGCATTGAGCGCCGCAAAGAGCAGCACGCCCAGAGACAGGAGCGCATCAGCGCATTGGAAGTCGAGCTAGACGATGAGAAGCACAAGGATAATCGCCAGCGGGTCAAGGAGATCGAGAAGGAACTGCTGGTACTGAGAGATGAACAAAAGACTGCCATGGACACCAAAGTACCGTTAGGCGAGGATTCGCTAGACGAAGATATGCTCGTGCTGGAAAGACAGGAGGAGATTGCTTACCCGGACCTGCCTATCGATCTGATTGACGAGACGACCGTCCGCACCTCAAGCGAGGAAGTCCATGTACGGAGATCATCCTCCTTGCGTGAGTCTAGAAGCAGCGCAACTGAAGCTGCTGACGCCCGATGGGAGGCGGAGCGTCAACGATTCGGCGATGCTCTTCTCGCCCTGTCGAAGGAAGCCAACGACGCCAAGACCAAGCTGCAGGTCTTGGAGATTGAACTGGAAGGCTTGGGTCTACACGATGGCGGGTTTGATTCAAAGGACGTGCTCGTCAGCATCCGCGAGTCCTTCAGCCGTGTCCGCGAGAGCCTTTCCACTGCTTTACCCAACTCCATCCCGGAAGGCGCTTCCAACCATGAACTGATCCAGATCCTTGTGCAGAGCGTTGAGGACTTCTCAGCACGCTTGAGACTCCAGGATAGAGAACTGTTCGACAAGGACGTTGTTGTCACCGACCTCGCAAAACAGGTTCAGGGCTTGCTCGACCATCTTGCTGAGGCGAACATCCGCAAGCAAAAGCTTCAGGAGAGGTGGAGCGAGCTCGACCAGTCGAATGAAATGAAAGAGCGCGACATTGAGGATCTCCAAGAGGAATTTGATGCTACCGTCCAGGAGAGGGATACCATCCAAATTGCGCTCGAGGCTGAGACCGAGAAAGTCAAGGCACTTACTCAAGAGAACGTGGACTTTGCCGAGAACATGAACCGGCTTTCGACATCTCTCCTCAAATATCAAGACGAGGAGACGCGTCTCACTCTGCTGATTACCAAGATGGAAGACGAACATGCCATTGACGTCGCTCAGATGAACCGCGAGAGGGAGGAGATTATTCGTGACTCCGATGTCCGCCTCCAAGAACAGTCCACACTCCGTGAAAAGGCAGAGCACCTGGCGGAAGAACGACAGTCTATGGTTGTCGACCTTCAGTTGCGCATTGAGCAAATCGAAGCTGAGAGAGATTCCACTCGTCGTGACCTCGAACATATGACCTCTCTCCGTGATGAAGAACATGATGCTCGCGACAACGCCGAGGTCGATCTCAAGGAGAAATCTGACGAAGTTGAGGACCTTGCCTCCCGAGTTGATCGGCTGGAAGACGAACTTTCTGACCTCAACATCGAGCTTGATAACCTGCGCCGTGCAAGCGAGAATGAGCGGACTCAGCGTGAAGCGGCGGAAGCTGATCTTGACGAGCGCAACATTGAGGTCGAGGAGCTGCAGGTCAAGGTGCGCGAGCTGGGGAAGCAGGCCAACGAGCTCCGTCAGAAGCTGTTCGAGGTGCAGCAGGAGAATGAGCGCAAAGTCCAGGAACTGGAGCAGCTGGCTTCGGAACGTGACGAGCGTTTCCAAGTTGACATTGCTCGTGAGGTGCAGAGGCGAGAGGCGGCAGATGAACTAGGTCAAGAGCGTGCTGTCAAGATCGAGGAACTCGAACTCCAGCTTGGGGAGGTCGAAGCGGAGATGCGCTCTGTCTTGGCCGAGCGCGATGCTCGCATCGAACAATTGGAATTGGAGGTCACCAACAAAACCGATGAAATCTCCGCCCTTCGCGTGGACCTCAAGAGTGTGGAGGATCTCTTCGAAGATGAGGTTGCGCGGAACGGCAAGCGGAAAGAAGAGTTGGAAGGCAGCCTGGATACTCTGCAAGTCACCATCAATGCCCATGAGGAATCGCTGAACAGGCTGCGGCAAGATGCTATCGATGCTGAAAATCTACACGCCGCCGAGATTGACGACCGTGACACTCGCATTGCAGAGCTCAGTCATCAGATCACTGCAGAGGAGGTCGTCAGTAACGACCTTCGAGCCGAGAAATTGTCTCTGGAAGAACGGGTGGAGAAAGAAGCGGCCGAGATGCTCCTTCTGCAGGCCCACAAGGACGAGGAGATTAACTCCCTGAAGAACGTCATTCGCGACAAACAGGAAAAGATTCTGATCGTTGAAGAGAAAGCGATCAAGTCCGATGAGTGAGTTCATTCGATCTTTGCTGCAACTCACACTGCACATGCTAACTTTTACAACTAGGCAATGGCAAGAACTTCTCAATCAGCGCGATGAGGAGATTTTGACCATGACCACCGAGAGTGAGACCACCTCACACACTGTGGCCACACTCAGAGCCGAGCTTGAAAAGATGGGCTTGAACTTCCGCGATTACATCCGTCGCACTTCCGCAACAATTTCCAACCTGAAGCAGCAAGCCAAGGAACTCAAGTCTGCCGTTGACGATGGTGGTGATGCCATCAAGGCAGACGGTGATCAACTTCTTGAAGATATCGATGGCAGCATGGCGTTCGCTGCTGAGACCACCACCACGACCAAAACTACTACTACTACTCAATCTCGCGAGCAGTCCTCCAGGAAGACGCGCGCCAAGAAGAAGGTCAAGGATAGTGGAATTGGTATGGAGGATGAGTCGATGTTCCATGCTTAGGTAGACGAGGGCATCACCTGTCCGCACACAGAACGGCCTGAGGAGGTTGGATGAGATTCATAGCAGGACATCATCGCTTGTAATATACGAACATACTGGTGGGTCAGGGACGAAAAGATTGGGAATGAAAATAGTATGATTATGTCTTCTTCTTCATCTTGGTGCCGAACCCCATCGTGAGTGTTTCAGGGACATCACTTGCATTCAAATGACGATGACAAGGACAAGCCAGGTAGGTATACAGACAGTTTGTTTCCACWTTTATACATCGCTCCTGACGCTACCACAATCATACGCCACCAAATGGTAGACGATGCAGAAACATCCCAGGGTGACATCGCTGATCCATCCATGCTTATGCGAGAGACTTACACGCTTTTTGCCCCGCCCGYGCACGGGTAATTTCCCTGCTGAATGTAAAGGCAAAGAATAAGGCATCTTCCTAGTCCCAGCAGTAGTAGTACAGTCGCAGGAGAGGTTGTCCTGGGAAAGGCGAGAGAGAAAGGCGATCAAGCTGCCTCTACTGTGCGGGCGCACCACCACGAGCGCCTCTGCCTGGTGCGAAACCACCACGGCCACCTCGTGGGGCGCCCTCGCCCCGCTGGGAAGGGAAGCCTCCACGACCGCCACGTGGAGCGCCCTGACCGCCAGGACCTCCGCGGCCACGTCCACCACCGTACTGGCCTCCGCGCTGCACGTAAGGCGTGGAGCCGGGGCGCATTCGGCGCTCCTCAACGAAGAGGTTCTCACCGCCCAGCTCGAATGGACCAGCGGTAGCCTTCTGGTAGCCCTCGGCGGTCTTGAAGTCGACAAAGGCACAGTTCTGTAAGATACGTTAGTTTCAGCCGTCATGGAGCGTCTCGCGTTCTTGCGTACCTTCTGACGTGCTATGTCAAGATAGAGCACCTCGCCGAACTTCTCCAGAATGGACCTCAGTTCACCAGCGTCGACGTTGTCCGCAACATTCTTGATGTATCCGCGGTGTTGTGGGACATCCTGCTGTGCTGCGTTGTTGTTGGTCTGCTTCGACTGCTGTCTCGTGTGGCCAACAGCAGTCCATTCGTCCTGGGAGTCGGAGCCTGCAGTCTCCTGCTGGCGCTGAGCGGCAGGTGCAGAGGGAGCGGCGGTCGATGGCGTGGCAGGTGCTGGGGTTGCAGCCTTTGCGGCGGCAACAGCGGCACGGGCCGGCGCAGCAGCACCAGTGGAGGAAGGTGCCTGAGTGGGCGCAGCTGGCATCGCGACACGAGCTTGTGTGCTCGCGAGCTGTGCCCACGTCTTTGGTGCCGAGGGAACAGCTGGCTTCGGTGCTGGAGCAGATTGCGGGGCGGCTTGCTTGGGTGGAGAGGCGACAGGTGTTGGCTCCGGGTCCTTTGGTGTCTCCTGCTCAGCCTCTGGTTCAACTGGCGTCTGCTCTGGCTCAGCCTCGACGGCTGGATCAGCTGGCGCCGCAGCCAGTGGGGTGTCCTCGACAGCATCGGCGGTCTCGGTCTTGACCTCGTGCACGCCATTGGTGGTTGGTGCAGAGTTCTCTTGCTCAGTCGGCTTGATGACCTTCTCCTCCAACTCCTGGTCTACCTTGTTCGCTCCTTGCTCAATCGCGACAGGGTCGGCAGAGCTTGTCAGCGTCTGTGTCTCGGCCTCAACAGGTGCCGTCTGCGTCTCGGTGCTGCTCTCTGTGCCGGATACCTGCTGAACGTCTTCGGTGGCTGGCGCGGCGGCCTCGGCCTCGGCCTCCTCTTCCTCCTCGACCAGATAGCGGAAGATGTCGTTGAGCACAAAGTAGCCATTGGTTTGGGTAGCCAGCACAAAAGTCTGGGTGAACTTCTTGTGCGGCTGCGACTTGTTGGAGATCTCGCCAATGACTTGAATGACGATGTTTGAGTCCGATGCCTGCGAGTCAACGTTGGTAACGCGCACCTTGCAGTCCTGGAAGTCGAGCTCGCGAATCTTCTCGTTGATTGCGCGCTGACCGACGCAGACGGCGACCTTGTCAGTCTCCTGGCCGGAGACAAATTGCGAGCGCTTGTTGTAGAATAGGTAAAGCTTTTCGGGACTCCGGCTCAAGGTGGTGTAGTATTGCTCGACAAAGTACCAGCCGACCTCATCCTTGGAGATGTCAGGCTGAGCGGGCGCAGAGGTGTTGTTGGAGCTGGTGGACGCGGTGGCAGCGGGCGGCTGCGCAGCTGCGGCAGGATTGTTGGCGGCGTAGCTGTACGCATTCTGATCCATTCCGCCGTAGCCCTGGTGCGGGGCGTAGCTGCCGTTGGGCATGTGTTCGGTAGCCATGTTTGTGAAGACGGAGATGAGTGCGGAAATGTCAAAGGGCGATGGCGCGGATTTGGCTGGCGGAGCGCGGCGTGCACAGTGCGACGCGGTTGAGTGGAGATGAGGTGGAGGGCTGTTCGATGGGATCGCGTGTGTTCGAGTGAAAAAAGGCCGTACAATTGGAATGTGTAGGTCGGGTCGGTGGTGTCGCCTGGTTGATGGGCTAGCTCTAGTGTCGAATAGAACAGAACTACAAAAAAAAGTGGGACGAGAGAAGTGGTGTGAAGATGCCAAATCACGCTTGATCCTGCGAATTGAGAGCCGCCGATGGGTAGTGAGCCGATTGGAGATGAAGTGTACGCGACTAACAGTGAAGTTGATGTTGGTGGATAAGTTTTCTCATGGCCGCGGCTTTCACATTCAGTAGTCGAGCAATGTCTTTGGACAACAGAACGACTCATGCAGCTGCTGCCAAGCTCGATTGCCGAACAGCGTGCACGTGAAGACAATCACTCATCCTTTGCTCGCGTGGCAATTATCGAACGGAACACGACTTGGTCAACAATACATGCATAGGTAGATTATCTACGGCGGATATGACCTTTTTAAACGCAGTCTTTCTGCGTCGTTCTGCATCAAGGGATTGCCAACACGACTCCTCCTCTGCATTGCTTCTCCGATGTGTGAAGACCTTGTATGCGGATTGTCTTCGGTGTTGCCTGTCTGTATCATGCTTCTACCGGCTCTTTCTCTCGATGGATTGGTCTCAAGCTGTAGCCCAATACAGTCTAATGTCGCACGGCTCCTGATTGCTTTGTGTTCTCGGTAAATGCCGGAATCAGGCGAATCGCGCCGTCGTCGCCAAGAAGCTCGATCGTTGCTGGATAGCTGTTCATACTTCAGTATGTCCCGTTTCAGTTGACAGCTCTGGTTTGTTCAAGGATTGCTCTGCTTTCGTCTTTAATCGGCCAATATCCGCTCGTCTCTTTTCCTTCTGATAAGGATAGTCCACATTGTTGATATGCAAACTACGCCTCGTTAGCCCCAGATCCACATTCGCGTTGGCAGAACATACCTAAACTCCTCGAACGAAATTCCCCTCATCTTCTCCTTCCCGCCTTTCATCTTCTCCATAATGGCTGGCTCAAACGCAATCGAGCTCCATGCTCTCATCAGATTTCTCCAGTAGCAGGAAGTTGCAGCTGGGGATGTGTATCGCTCACGAAACATCTTTCTTGCACGTGTTGCAATCTCCTGCGCCTCGTCGGTGTGATTGTTGTAGTATTCGACCTTTGCTTTCAGATTCGAGAAGTCTCTTTCCACGTGTATACAATTGGCGCCTTCGGCAGAATCGATCTCGGTGTCCAAGAGGTGATAATAGTGGGCGATCCATTCCACGTCATGTACCTAGGAGCAGAGAAAGACAAGGTTAACGATGTCTTCGACATATTGCCACTTCCCAGTTGCATATAACAAGCCGGCTTTGGATCTCTTTTATCTTGACTTACCAAAACCACACCATCGCAATTCAGGAGATGTGTCAATCTTGCACTCCATGCTCTGCCTGTTTAATGTCAATCAACTTGCAAGGCATGAGTGCCGATGTGCCATCCTGTACTTACCCTCTGTATTGACTGCAAACCGATACTTGCAAAAATCTTCCATGGACATGACAGACTTCCGATCATTCCAATCCATACTCTGGATATGGAGTCAGCCATCAAATTGAAAGACAGTGAGTATCGAGGGAGATACATACTACAACATCTGCCCAAGGCTGGCCATTAGTGACTTCAAGCAAAGGTCTCCTGATATCTCGGTTTGTCCACTCGACCCCTCGCCAAACAACCTGAGGAATTTTTTGCTCAATCGGGGAATCATGCTTTCGGGCCTTTGCCTGCTGCGCTGGATATCCCTCTGCTTCTGGTGGAGCTGCATAGAAATGAAAATCCGGTATAACAAAGAGACTGTCGTGTGCAGTTTTCCCGTACGATCTCGTAAAAGCCCACAATGCACTGAGTTTGTCCTTCGGAAGTATAGCAATGTCGTCAACAACAACGGAGAATTCCATGTCTGGGAACGGTTCGTTTGCCCACTCTGCGGCGGTCATGGCTCGCTGTATTTGCTGGAGGACAGCATTGATGCGGTGTCGGAAGTCATCGCGATAGAGGCCTCTTGTCCTAATAACTCGGACCTGTTGATCGTGAATGAGAACTCGCAAGCCACCATGGTTACCGCCAAACAGTTCGATGTCGCTCTCGCTTACGCCGCGATCCTTCCTGCACACAAACGTCAGTTTGAAGCCTCGAAAAAGCATAGTGGCTGTGAGAAAGAAGCGGCCGCCACTCTGGTGGCGCATTTCTAGTGCACACTCACCAATATTCTGTAGCCCTTTCCACTTCCCGAAACAGTTCTGGAAAAGCTGAGTTGCACTGCTCGGTATTAAGGCCGTGGCTGTTACCGTCTCGTTCCCATTCATACGACCACTTTGAGACAGTCGACGCTGGAGGTCCAGTCGGAGAGTTTTGGCATTCAGCCTGGAGTGATAGGTCGTCAACTTCAGACTTGAACAAAGGTCTTCGCCATGCAGACTCTGAGCGCCCAAATTGTTGTACGAGAACGCAGACCAGCAGCGCACCGCTCAGAATCTTCCACACCATCGGGTGCATCGTGGAGACCGCTGACCTGGCCAGCTATGCGCTGCTTCGACTGAATATGTAGCAGAGAAAGCAGTCAAGGTAAAGGCTCGCGAGAGAGAGGTGAAGTCAGAAACAAGTATGTCGGTTCCAGGCTAGGATTCGATAACTTCGCTGATCCATGGCATCGGGCGGGATAGCAAACAAAGATGCAGGAGCGCCTGATGGGGGGAAAGTACTTGGACAGGCTGGCGACGACAACCAAGATTTCATGCTTTCTTGTCTGATAGCGCGCCGCGCGCACGCGGCGATGGCACAGACGTAGTGCGACGTCGTAATCGTGCTTGTGATTCGTTGGAGACGGCACGTTGCGGATATGGCCAGGCMAGATAGAGTTGGATGTAGATCTCCCAGGAGGCTCGATGTTTAAAGGAGCTGAGCTGGGATTGCTGTTGGCCATACAAACTAGCAGGATTGTCCCTGCCGTGGCGATGGCCCCAGTGTCCCATCACACGGTCACTGCCGCACCATTTCAAATGGTTCATGGGTGTGACGCAACAGCTGTGGGACCAAGACATTCAAACAGTCTTTGACGGAAGCCGTTGCGGGCAAGGCTTGATCAGCACAAGCAYGAAACTTATCTTGTACCTTAAATTTCGGGTGATCCCTTCAAAATCTCCCGATTGGCAAGCTTATGCGTACGTTGCTATGTCATACCACGTAAATCTTCACTACATTTCTTCATATTTGACTATGGAGCAGTGATGGTGGGGTGTACCTCCGAGCATCTCGAGATTCATGTTCAATGCCTACCCCAGCCTAGCAGCGGAGCATCAGCAAGCCAGCGCATGAGCAGCCCTTGTTCTCTTGACACTGGCGGAGGCACGGCTGTGGTGACGACCATCTCAGCCGGCGAAGAAAGACCAACAAACTCCAAGACATCCGGCCAAGTCTTCGCAGCAAGGTAAAAGACAGCGCCTACGACGCCGCAGCCTCCCACAACCTGCACCACCCAAAGGCCTCTGTGTCTGAACGCCTGTGCAAAAGCCAGCATACCTAGAGGATCACGAGGATCGATGACTCCAATCTCACCACCCAGGTGCCCACGCGCTGGTCGATACTCACCTTTGGTAGTCATAAGTGCGTGATCAAAGTCGCCCTCGTTGAGTGCCCAGTCTGCTACCGGAAGTTGATAGATCTTTTGATATCTTCGGGACTGGTTCTGCAGACTGTTTTGAAGGTCTCTCGCCCATTTGGCGAGCCGCACTTGACGGTATGGCTCCGTGGGCTGTGCTTGCTCGTTGTATCTCGCCAATGCAGACGTTCCCATGGCTGCCGCTTCAAGACGCGTCAAATGGTCTGGCCCAGCAGGAGAGCCCGGTCTACTAATGCTGGATGCTGGACGCGGTAGTGTTGTCTTGAAAGTGTTTTCTGGGAAGCTGACATCGCTAGCAATATCGGTGGCGTGATACTCAGGCTGCGGAGATAATAGACGCGCTGGCCTCTGCTGCTCGAGAGCAAGTCCCAGGTATTCGGTTCGCCAGGCCAGGACTTTCCAGGAGCTTTCATACCGCATGCGTGCTATTGACTCGGGCTCCAACAGATTCTCGACAAACTGGCCTAGTTCGCTAGAGACCAGAGGCGCCAGGTACTGTGAAGACATCAGTATGCTCGCATCGATCGTGTCGCTGTCATCGCCAGGTAGGGATGAGATTGCTAGAGGTTCCCGAGGTGTGGAGCTGCCAGTCAATCCCGGGTACAGGTACTGCGTGCCTTGAACAAGCCCCATCAACGTGGTTATCTGCTCTTTGCRAAGCTGGAGCGCGTCTGGTGGAACAGTATCGGCTTTTCCGATGACGGGCACGAGGTTGGCATACTTCGAAGCGCGCCTCAGGAAGTCTTGGTGCGCGAGTGACAGTCCTGAAAGGGGTGTTTTCGACAGGATCGGATCACAAAGATAAATGATGGCGGTCACATGGCAGCCACCGTCCCCGCTCAACATGCTGACAATCTCATTATCAGTCATGCTCTCCATGTGCGCACTCCGATGCAGACATGCATGGAAATGATCAAGCACTGCTTTGACAGCTACATCGTCGTCGAGACTTGGGGCTTCGATAAAGGTSAGATTGCGGTCCAACGTGCCTTCGCTTATGCTGAATTTTCTGGGAGATGTTCGCCTTAGATCAGATTGCGCCCCCTGCGATCTCCAGCTCGGCAGCATTCTCGTCGAAGCCAGATACTCTGWAAATTGACGTGATGGCACTTCGTCGGACTCTGTATTGGCATCCGTGTTGTCCGTGCCGCCAGAAGTAGACAACAGATCGGAGCTATCCGTATCGAAGGATGCGTGTGTTGCGATGTGGTCAACATGAACGACATGCTCACTGGACCGTAAAATGTTATTGATCAGAGAGGTACACCCAACACCTCTTCGTTGGCCTACTACCAGGAATCTTGCTCGGCCTATATGCTTTCCCTGTTCCGTGAAGGCACGGCGCGCTGGCATCGTCAGGCTAGGCATGACCAGCTGCGGCATGTGTGCTAGGCTATCGTCGCTACTGGAAGATTGAACAGCTTGGCTGCTATTATCTTCGGCGTTACTCTCCATGTCGCTAAGCTGGAATGACCTTGGAGATCCAGATCGTGGTGTGCTAGGCGCGGCTGATACTCGTTGCGGGCTCATTCTCATTGGCGTCATGTTGATCGGAGATGCTGTCGAGTTTCGACGTAGGYGTGGATTTCGAAAAGGCGAATCCGGAAGTATTGGTAGTGCTGATGCAGCATGTGCAGGCGCACGTTCGCTAGAAATGATCCGCTCGCCAGCTGACCTGAGTAGAATTTAGCGGATAGACACTTGAAGAAGCTGACGAGTGCAAAGATGACGGAAAGTGATGCTGCATAGCCTTTCGCCTCATCTATTCGAGATAGACATGCAACGAGCGTCGGTCCGCTACACCTCGTCTCCACGACTGTACGCGCAAATGATGKCCTATGTCTCATGCGGGAAGAAAGGCTGCGCCAAAGTCTTTCCTACTGCGACAGGAGAGCGCATGACGCCCGCCGTTGCATGTTCGCACTGGAAAGCATTCGTAGAATAGAGCTTGTGAACTCACCGTATTGACGGATGCACTGGATTCCTTGCCCTACGTTTGCCGTTCGCCGGTGATGTCGCATGGGCCACCTCGATGTTGGCTTCGGAAGATCGATCGGTACTGATGCTAGTCGTTCTCGACGCATTTTCTTCGGGCCCGGGCTGCAGCGCGTTCATTGCCTCCTCTAAGTTCTGTACCAATGCCCTGTCGTCGTGAAGCGTATCCTGCGCAGCCGCCTGTGGGACCATCGAGCTCCGCGAAGGCTTCCGTCCTCTCCGCACGCTTCCATCCATCTCACGCTCAGTTTTGAAGAAGAAGGCCTTCGGTGCGCCGGGAACAACCACGGGTGATGGATCTGGCACGAATCCCTTTGCTACTGCTGATCTAGACTCGGTGGTTTCGCTTGGATTCATTGCTGTCGGTCTCGTTCGGGTTGCTTGAGTATATTAATGCCTCTGCCGCAAGCTTAGTTGCCGGTGTGATTCGACTGCAATGCAGAGGTTCCGTRGTGCGCCGRGTGTAGTATCACGTCACGTACATGTACGTTTCCCATCCGATGTTCACGACGGATGCTGATCTGCTTTTGATGTTTCGCGCCGCGATTTGGCACCGTGACTGTACTTGAAGTACTGTAGTGTTATCGTAATCGCGGGGATGCACCCCGGTCGTGTCGCGTCGATCGTTTCGTCTGTTTGGAGCTGCGACGCAAATCACTGGACCATTGAGTGGATGTTGAGGGGAGCGGATAGCCAGGTCTTCGTCTAGATAAAGGGTGCGGTCTTTCGAAATTGGCGTTCCGCAAGAGACGAGATGCCAATATGGTTGGAGCATGTAAAGAGCACGTGCGGGTCATAGCCGCCGTGTCTTGGAACCCAAAGTTCTCCACACCTCGGACAAAGATGGCAAAAGGTACCTGACTAGCTTTGTAAGGTAGCGTCTGTTGTCCCATTGAGGGGCTTGCCAGAAATGTTGTTTGCACAAGACGCATGGCAATGTCATGGAATGCAAAGATGAGATATGAAGTACCGAGCGAACTGTTGTGTCTTTTTGTGACCTTATGATTTGCCCGTGAGATGCCAGTATGAGTGCAGTAGAGATCGCATCCCGGGATACATGTCCCAAGACCTCAGAAGAGCTTCAACGCAAGCTTCTTAGAAGGCTCTTCATCAGCATGTCCCTATGGCTACATATCTGAAGGCCTCGCCGGATCTGGCTTTACTCGATGTCTCAGTTCATCTTCTAGCTCATTTTCGCATTTGAGAAGTCCATCTCGGGGTGCTGTTCCTGGAACTTCCTGTTTATTTATCAGCATAACATATCCACATTCCAGCTGACGCCGACTTTGTTCTCACTTCAGCATGTCCAACTTCTTCTGCTCATCGCTAGAAGGCTGTCCCATCTCCTTTTGCCGCTGATCGTACATCATCTTCTCCACCATTGACCGCGTCTCGCCGTCTAGATCACTGAGCTTGCTGTTCTCGGGCGTGATCTTGCTTGTATCGATCTTGGGCGCGCCAGTCACTACGTGTGCCCACCACTCCATCTTGTTCACCTTTTCCAGGTGTATGCTGAGCTCTTTGCCAGAAGAGGTGGATTCTAATGTCCATGCTGACTCGTCAAGATCGATGGAGTGTGGAAGCGGTCCCTGGCCTGCCATCAGCACTTGTATCGCTATCGCGCGAGCGATGTGTGTACCTCGATGATCGGCTCTTGTCCCTTGATACCAGCTTTCAGGCTCATCTTTGTGATCTTCACGTCAAAGTCCTTGCCCTTGAGGTTGGATGGCACAACGGCGGTAATGTCAACGTCGGCAATTGTCTGTACCCATTTATATGGCAGTTTACTCTGCTCTTCCTCTTCCCGTGCTTTTGCCTCTTTGTCCTGTGCCGCACGCTCTTCTGGCGTCGGGGATGCTGGTCGGTCTGACATTTCGAGTGGTTTCTGCACAGCAGTTCGAGGAAGTCGACGATGATGTTCAAAAATCCAAAACGACCTAGACAAGAATTTCACCTAGCAAGAATTGAAGAGGCCGCACAAGGGAAGAGTTACACAACCGTTTGACAGTTTACATTTCGGGCATGTGCCACAATGAAAGACAGCAAATCATCACAAGCAAACGTGTGGAGCTTTTCAATTTCCTTCCCATTTCAAATGGTTTTGACCTTACAAGTGTTGAAAAGTAGGTTACGACGCATTTACTTTCTCAAAGCGTAAACGGTTCATTGGGCTCTTTCGCAGTGTCATCTTCAATGCGATGGCTTTCCTGCTTGTGGTGCTTCGCGAGCTGGCTGTGCTGTACTCAATAATCAGCATGCTTCGCATATCTCTCGGGTAGAAGGCGCTCGAACTGTGCCGTCACTGCATTTACCCCACCTCACGAGCTGTCACTGTCACTGAACTTGGAAGGAGCTGTGGAGGGTCCGAGGGTCCGGAAGGGCGGGGCATATCGTCAGTTTGAGCAGCTGCCGGAAACACCATATATAGTGTTTGACCTCGACAAACCTCCTCTTGACCAAATCAACAGACCAGCTTCATATCATATCTTTGTAAGCACTGTCAGTTATCTATGATATTGCTCGAAATCTCACCTCAGTCGGTCTTGCAGAATCAAACAAATTTCATCAGTTCCAATGGCCCCAGCAACTGTTACCGTCGTCTACCCAAAGGGAGCGAAGTTCAATATGGACTACTACAAGTCGACACACATGCCTCTTGTCCAGAAGAAGTGGGCTCCAATGGGTCTCACTTCCTGTAAGACGGTGTTCAATCCTCGACACAGAACAATGGCTGACTTCCACAACAGGGAAGGTCATCAAGTTCAGCGATGATGCTGAATACTGTGTGCAAGCCACTTTGGAGTTCAAGGACATCCAAGCGTTCCAGGCTGCGGCGTCCGGCGAGGAGGCAAAGGGTACGTTACATGATCCCTTTCCAATGGAGGCGAGCTCAGCAAGAGCCTGCGAATTGAGCCTACACAACCTCGGTACGGGCTAACATACTATTTACAGAGGTGCTCGGTGATGTGCCAAACTTCTCCGATAAAGAGCCAGTGATCCTCGCTGGCGAGGTTCAATTCACGTCCTAGATAGTGACGATAGCTCGGTCTAGAGTGAATATGAAGACCACTCGACTTGGCGAATAAGGTCATATTCGAACCTAAAGCTTTGACGAACTTTTAGGACCCCCTACCTGGGTCGAGACGAAACTGTCTTCAACCTCTTTCCAAATGGTCGTTTCCTTGGTAATGTCGTTTTCCAAAAGTCCCGAGAGCTTCGTGCTGTTCTCCTTTATAAGTAAACGTCTGCGTGAACCGCGGGCTGCACTTACACGATGTCGGTATGCTCAGGTGCTCTGCTATGCCTCCGTAGGCCATCTGTATCCCGGTACCTTACAAACAGCAACAATTCCTTCGGATTCTTCTTCCGTTCAAAAGCCGCATAGGTGAGCACAAAAGGTTCCTCATCTCTCACGAATCGTATAAAGTCYTCGAGAGCGTGCAGCACGGCAGCCTTGTCCTTGCAAATGAATCGTGTTTGACTAATCAGCGTACCACCACCGAACGGCATCGCATGATCCTTACGGGCTATGAAGCCAGCAGCGAAATAGTAAGCTAGAAGCTCCTCGTTTTTGGAATACAGTCCCTCCTGCTTGACGGTCTCATGAAATGATTGGAAAAATTCTTTGTCGTTGACTTGATCCGCCAGTCCGGCTTTGGAGGTGTATATCTCGAGTCCGCCGATCACTAACTGACCAGAGATGGGTGGAAAGGGAGTATAATAGGACCAAGTGGTACACTTCGCTTTTGGCTGCTGGTAGTAATTCCGTGCGCCATTCGCGAGGAGATCCAGTACCTAAATCGTGTGCGAATGTCAGTGGGAGAATAAATAGGCCTTGTTCCAAGCGTACCCGCTTTTGCTTGTCTTCCGAAGCTGGGAAGAGCGAACATAGCAGAGCAATTCCGTCATCCATTGCGAAATGCTGAAAAACATGCAAGTGTTCTTGGAAGGACAGGAAAGTGTTCATGATACTACCTAATAGTACTTTAGTTACTCATCTCGAGCTTGCCGAGGACCCCGCTTTCGCTCTTCATCTGCTCACCTGCAGCACTTGTCGTCCCAAACGGGCCAACCCCCTTCGCATGAAAAGGAGGTGGTGGTACATCTCGACAAGTAAAAGAACAAGATCATCGATTCGATGCCTTGGCCTGCAGGACCTTCGTACCCGTGTAGAGGTCGAATGTAGTATGTCATAGCATATGCTTTTCCGTGACTAGGAAACATAGGGCAATAAACACCAAGTGAGGCAAGCCAACAGTCAAACGCCACATTCCCAGCCATCTTCCTTGCCTCAACCATTACGCCGTGCGCCCAATCCATGATCCACTGCTGTAATGCGTGGATGAAATGTGAGTCAAACGCTACCTTGAAACTCCGGCCTGCTGTCCACCCGTCCGGTCGTGCTGTCCAACTTTGGGATACATGCTGCTCAATTCGCCTCCACGGCCAGGCTACGCTTCTCTGTGAGCGCCTTCTTGGGCCGAAAGACGGCGTCCTGGCCGACCATTCTCCTCGACAACGCGCGGTCGACTTTTGCACCCAGTGCGATCTTGCTGACTTCCTCGATCTTGTTGCTACTCATAACGAACCGCTGTCTATCGACGCGCTCGTCGTTCATGCGGTCAAGGACAGTGGCGAAGGAGCGAAGGTCGGCTGTCTTGGGATCGTTGGCTGGGAGAGACAGGGAGCTGTTGTTCATGGCGGTGGGATTCGACGTGCCGTAGATGTTGCCTGCGCCCTTCTCCATGATCGTGGGTGCAGCTAGGAAGGCCTGCTCGCTGTAGCGCGAGTTGTACTGGTGAGTGGACGAGCGATTGGGGCTGGTATCGACCGTGGCAGCTAACGACGGTTGTAGCGACGGCGCCCCCGAGTAGGTGCTGAAGCGAGCGTCGTTACGAGTCTGCGTGCGCTGTGTGAGTCTCGGCCAGAGGGACGTCATCTAGTGCAGGAAGTGGTGGTTGATGACAGCAGATGGTGATTGACAAAAGGGACAGCGCTGATCGGCACGCGAGCAGCGAGTCGGGATTGACTTACCATGGCGAATTGAGGCCGCAGTTTCGAGGCAGAAAGAAAGCGCTTAGTCCGTTTTCGTTGCACGGCGCCGAGGAGGGAAATGGGAGTGAACCTTGAGCTTCCACGTGAGTTAGGGCGGCGGCCACGTGTGAGTGTGGCGTGAGCTGTTTGTTGATGGCGACGTTTGCAGCTCGGCGAGGTGTTTGTTCGGTGATTGCTGTTGCCTCGATAATAGCCTGGTCTTTTCGGACGATGGGAAGTCGTTGTTATCCCTTGGCTGCCCTTTCCCAGTGTTTCCTCCCGTAAAGTAAGACAAAGACTGAAACTCGCGTCCCACCGTGCCGATTTGTGGCTTGCAAACTAGGTATGCAGAATGGAGCTAAGCAACGGGGACCCACATCAACGTGCGGCTTACGATGAGTGCGGTGTGCGATAGGAAATCGTTCTGGAGGGATGATCAAACACGAGTGGAATGAGCCGAACTTGAACTCTGGGGAGCTGAGTCTGCACAACGAGACTGGTCACGACGGGAATGAAACAACAGGGTGCTTCCGGTGGGACAGGGATAAATTCAGGGTCGGCTCTTAACCATGCCCGGGCGTCTTCTCATGATGATGCTGCCGCCCTGGTGTTGCCCTCCACGACCTTGTTCAACATTCCCTGCAACGCTCGCCATGTGTCGCGGGCAGGGATCTCGTGCTGTGGCCACATGGGCATAAGGTAAGCATGGACTGGGGTTGGCGTCTCTCGTGATTCCCATCATCCCGACTCTCTCAAGGTGTCATTCCAGATGCAATGATGAGCGGCCTGAAGCAAGACTGGCCTCATGCTCACCGCTGGGTGCAGTCGCTTTGAGGTTTGAAATGTATATCGTCCAGCGTACAGACATGATGGATTGCACGTTGGAGGTTCGCGTGGAGAACGCACGGATAAAGAATACCTTAGCTGCACCGTCTACCTGGTTCGGCGACAAGCCTCGTCGATCACTCCAGCTGCCTTGCCTTTCCTGATATCGCCTCACGCATTCCTCCTGGTACAGTAGCAACCCCCCTTGGCTGAACACTATAGGGTTGTTGAGTTGTAATCCATACCACCATTCTCTTGTAGGCAAATGTACATTCCCGCTTTGTTGGGTGGTTCTTCATTGCAGTCGGACGAACCATGCCGTACATGTACTCACCTTGGCAATTTTCGAAAGCCAAAACAAAGCACTTGCTTTACGAACACAACCCAAGGGATCCATTGAGCGGTGTCGGTATGCAGCTTCGGAGCGACGAAACTACAATTAGCCGATGATTACCATATCTCTTCTGCCTGCGGTGCTTCTTTCAGGTGTACTGGAAGCATCGAGGCCATTGCTGACTACCCCAACCCTAACCCTAGAAACGAGCAAGTCGAGCCGAAATCCGAATTCGCGTCACCTCGAGACGGACCATTGACAGCTCGTGTTTGTGGAGCAACAACACCACCTGTTCTGTGCCGAAACAAACGCAATGCCAGAAGCCATTGCAACCACGAAGAGGCGGTTCTACCAAGCACTCGACGCCCTCAATAAGCCACAGTCATCATCAAAGCAGTCTGTCGTGGACACTCCTTCAACAGCGATCAGCAGCAACGCCAACAAGCGTTCGTCTGCTGTTGCTGCGGCATTCGACGAGGCCCGGGATCGCGCACGAAAACGACTACGACAGAGTACATCCTCCACCTCACTCTCGGCTCCTGATCAGCGTGGCTCGGTCATATCGCTGCCACGTCCCACCCAATCGAAAGACACTCGGCCACTCTCCAACTTCGCCCCCTGGTCGCAGGAGAGCTTCCTTGCTCGACTCAAGACCTTCAGTAGCGTGAGCCGATGGCATCCCAAGCCGGATGCGATCAATGAAGTGGAATGGGCCAAACGAGGATGGGTCTGCGTTGACCTAAACACCGTGGCCTGCAAAGGTGGATGTGGGCGCAGAGTGGTTGTCAGCCTTGATACGACCAAAAGGGTGCATGTGGAACAGGATGACGATGAAGGTTACGATGACGAAAGTGAAGCTGCTGCGCTCGAGGAGGCACTGTCAGAACGATATCGCTCAGAGATTGTGGATGGTCATGCTCCAGCGTGCATGTGGCACAAGGCAGGGTGCAAAGATGATATTTATCGATTGCAAGTTGTACGGCCAGCAGTGTGGCAACCGGAACTTCGAAAGCGCTGTAGTTCCCTGCGAGAAATCAGCAGCTCGATACAGCACCTGAAGACGAAACCCTCGGACCCGTCGACCGAGAAGCTTCWGAAGGGCCTCCCTCGAGACATACTCGATCCTGACCAAAGCATAGACTCGAAAGCTTTCGACATTGCTATGCATGGATGGCGAGGCTCTATCGACGCCGGCACTCAACTTCTGCATTGTGATGCGTGCTTCCAACGTATTGGACTCTGGATGTACCAGCCAGATTACAAGTCTGGACACAGCAGTGTTGAGACTGACGATGAAGATTCGGGAACCATCGATCTTATGGAGATGCATCGCGATCACTGCCCCTGGCGAAGCTCGGAAAGTCAGCAGGCTACAGGTAGTCTCAGTGGCATGAACGCCTCTCAGATCCTGCATCGGGTGGTATCTACGAGTGTCCGTGATCACCGCAGGTGGTCTGATGAGCCCAACTCTGTTGTTTCGGACACGATACAGGACGAGACGGTTGAAGAGACAACCCCGGACTCTMCAACCAAGTTGTCGCGGGAAGAAATCGCTCGACAGGACAAGGAACGCGAATCGAGGCTGCACAAGCTCAAAAGCCTGTTTAGCATCAAGCGCCGGCCAGCGAGCAAGCCGGCCCCAACGACATGAATACGGAAGTGATGATGATTTGATAATAGACTGAAGCGTTCAAGCGGTGAGCATGCATATAATGGAGAAGAGCACGAGAAGGCGCATGTTGACTAGATTTATCAATATGAATGAAATGTTGAGAGAACWAGCAAATGTCCCTAGTGAACTTTCACAACCCTCCTACAAAGAGCACGTACAGGCCGCTACTTGGTAGTGGCGTTTCGCATTGACATCATAGGAACGGCAGAATCGATGTAAAGATACAATTATAGTGGGAGTACAATCTGGCGTAGAAAGCCGTCAACTCAACCTGCCGAAGCTAGGAGTCAAGACAGCTATCATCCGGAGACTCAAACCTCTAACATATCGCAAGATCAAAGACAGCACGCTCGCCATTTCCAACAGACTAATCCTGAACAGATCCCGCAATCCATCAACTCCTCGCCAAGGATACCACGCTTCATAATTTTTCAAGTCTCACAAGGGGGCGTTTTCATCATCTTTCCATACTCCTAATCATCACTTTCCACCTCGCTCAAACCCTCCCAGGGCAACTCGTCGCTCTCGACCCCACTGAATTCATCTTCATCGGCCAGGTCAGCAGGCGCTTTCCTCCCAACTTCAATGCTCTCGTCAATCTCCTGGCTCTCATTCATCTCTTGCTGCTTTTGACCCTCAAGGACATCATAGAGTGCGTAGACTTGGTCACTGCGTTTCTCGATGAGAGCGATCAGTCGACCAAGCTCCGCTTTGACGGCCAGTCTTCTGTGCCTAGACAATGCCGGATCGTGCTGGTTGTAAGCCTGATTTTGGACTTCCTTCTGCATCTTCAGATGCGTGATCTCATCTTCCAGGTTCTTGATTACCGTGGCGAGAGCCTCAGCTGGCGGCTGAGAGGGCCGGATGGTAGCGTTTGTCACATCTTCGAGCTCACGGTCTGAGACGGGAATGGGCTTTGGGATCTCGAATTTTGTGCTGGAGGATGAGCAGACAGTGCAACCTGCAGCGTTGTGCGTTATGCAGACTTTTCCAAGATCCATTCCTTGAGCTCCCTCTATTGTGATGTCCGGGATGATGAAGGCCGATGTCATACCCTCTGTGCTGCTCCGTCGTCGTCGGCGACTGGTGTTGCTCAGCATGGAAGCGTCTTCTATCTCCGTGAACTCTGGCGGCTGGGGTGGAAAGGTGGCATCAGAAGAATGYGGTGACTGTACGCGCACCGTCTTTGCGGTTTTGATAATCTCTTCAATGGTCTTTCCTCCAATGCTGAAGCGACCAGTGCCTTCGTCTGCACCGGCGGTAACGTCTTTCATGGATGATTTGCGGGGCAGCGATTTACGTATCGCCGAACGGCCAGTGTGGTCAAGCTCGATAGCCTGGGTCTGACCTCGCTGGGAGCGTTTCGACCGCCGCTCCTCTTCCAGCTTCTTACGCAGATTAGCAGCGAGGTCGAAGTCCAGCTCGCTTAGCACTGTGATGTCTTGTTCTATCTGGGCTTCTTCGGCAGCACGCTCTTTGCCACGTTTCCAACGAGTTTGAGTGGTCTCCTCTCCACTCGCTGTCATGTCGACATCGCTGGTGATGGTATCTGCAGGGGCCGAAAAGACTCTTCTTGAGACCCTGGAGGTAGTGTGATCAGTATCGTTGGTGCTGCGGCGACGTTGCGATCTCGACCTAGATCTAGCATTCCCAGAACGTTGCGATGGCTTTCCAGTTGGTCGTATGTCACGGGAGCGCGCTTCCTCCCTGAGCCTTTGAATTTCACCTTCGATCCTGGCGGCCATATCTCGCGCCGAAACGCCTTCGTCAGTCTTGCGACGCGTTGTTCGCGATTCGGTGGAGACAGTACGTCCCTCTTTCCGGCTGCGAATGCTGGTCTCACCAGTCGTTAGATTTTCAGTGAAGTGCCACGGCCCACCCGCGATGTCGTCCGCCTCCTCGCCGTCTGTCTTCTTTGAACCTTTGACTTTGCTGGTTGAAGTCTTTTTGTGCAGACTTCCTCTCTCGTTCGAATGCATGTTCTTCATCCGTTCGAGCTGTTCGAGGACGCTCGCATGGTTCTCCCTCAATTCTTTAACGTCCTGCCGTAAGTCTTCATTTTCAGTCACGAGCTGTGCTTGAGTCTCACGGAAAACTTCATTCTCCTCAACCAGCTCCTCGTGCTTTAAATAGGCCTGRCCAATCTGAGTGATCAAAGAGTCGCGCTCCTTGGTAATCCGGTTGACGGCAGCCTCTGACGCGCTGATCTTGCGTTCGTATCGGCTGATGTGGTTCTGCAGGGCTTGTACTGAAGCCTGAAGCTTCGACTGTCCCGGCCCAATAGTGTCATCGTCGGAGCCAACTCCACTGTCCGGTCGAGTCGTGCCGACATTGACTTGACTTCGCAGGTTGATGTTCTCAGCCTCAAACTGTTCTGCACGCTTCTGAGCCTCACCATTCTCCATTTCGAGCTGAGTGAGCCTACCCTTCAACATCTGCAGAGAAGCATAAATGGCCTTTTCGTCGTTCGGGACAGCAACGCCGTCCACGGGTATGTGGGAAAGAGAATGCGGGTTGTAAGATGCGGATGTGAAACGCGAGCGCGACGTGCGCTTGGCCACAGGAGTGCCATCTTTGCGCGCACCCAGGACCAGCTCATTGATGTTGGAGAGGTCGGGTAGCATGAACGATTGGTTCGTCTGGCTGGTGTTGTATGTAGCAGAGATAGCTGTCGCGGTTTGATTGCTGAACTCTAGACCTCCGTAGGACGTGAAGCGCGTAGGCAGGGACGCGGCATGCGCAGATACTTGTCGCGAGCCTGTGAAGCGAGAACCTCGCACGTTAAAGGCGTTCATGGTCACAGTCTGCTGCGGCGATGCTGTTTCTTGCTGGAGTCTGACCCCGTCGGACGCAGCGCGTGCCTTTGCGCCATTTTTGCTTCTCTTATGAACCTCATTCGCTTTGACAGACTCGGTAGCTCGACGAACGGCGGCATCCTTGCGCAGAGAGCCATCGGACTTGCGCTGGCTGGTCCGTGGGCGTGACGGCGGGGTGTCAACAACATCGTACATGCTATTGTCATTGCCAAAGCTGAGCGGAGCATTCGACGATCGGTCGTCTGCAAAGTCGTCCCGCACGCCTCGGTTGATGCCGCGTCCCATCTCAATTGATGATGAATATTCCTGCTCTTGGTCACTGTTATGCATGGATGGCTCGGCGTATCCGTTGAACTGGTCGTAGTTGGCCGGGCCTCGCTGCGGCGTCGAGTGTAGGAAGCTCATCCCGGTTGTGAAAGCGTTGTTTTCGTCCGGCGAGCTTGGACGGCTGCTGTTGATGGTGAGGTCGTGGTTGYTCGAGGGTGGCATTGCAACGCGAAACGCGTCGTCTAGACTGCCGGCGTGTTTCTGCTTGCTGATATTCTACTGTGGTTCTTTAATCCATAAGAACTGGCTCGAGTTGATATGTCCTCTGGTATCGGCAGCAGCAACAGTCGCGTAACGTTAGAATAGATTGGGTTTCGGCGATGTCAACAAAACATTGGCGATGTCAACAGTCGCACACGGCTTGGCCCGAGACCGATCGACATCAGCTTTCTCCTCAGCTCTCTCCCCACTGCCCGGCTTTCTCCCTTTGACAGATATCCATATGCAGTGGGATGCCTACCCGGCTTCGAGAATGACAGGGTTATCGTTGTCCATTCCGCAAAGCCAGCATACACTATCGGCACAATACACATCAGGCGGATCTATCGCCTATCTTCCGGCTCCGTGTCATTCGCTGTTATTGTTGCGACAACTTCATCGACGTTCATTCAATCATGTTCTTCTGGGTCCTATTGAGAGCACTTGAACTCCTGGAGTTGTTCGATCGTTGTCTCTCCGTCCATCCGGCAACTCTCTCATCTCTAAAACTCCATCCTTACCTCCTTCAGCCAGTCCTACTGCTGATACGCTGGAGACCTGCGGCTGCTGGGGGAGCCCTTGCACGGGTGAGATTCGATTTTGCCGGCGACGACCACTTCACGCGTCTTCACGTCGCTCGCAACTCTTCTCCGCTGGTGTTGCCTCATATGCCACCCTGCTTCAGCGTGCAGCGACGTGAGGGCATCGTCTTAACAGCTATCAACGTCGATTTCAGACTTTCCCCCAACGGCCTCATCGCTGTCTACCCCTCTTTTCAGTCCGCAAAAGACGGAGTGGCACAACATGCTTGGTCACTTTGCTGCTCTCCCGTATGTGCTATTGCTTCCTTGGCGTCGATTTCTGTCTCTTCTACACCCTTCCTCAAGAAGAGCTTGGCCTGTAAGTTGGGAGATTTCACATTCGTTCACGTTGTAGTCTGTCCACGGCGTTATGACCTCTGTCTATAAAAAGCTTCTCAATCCTACCGGGAACTTCTCTATGCTTCCCTCACGTCTTCTGTCGTCTTCCTTTCGTGGCCAATGAGCCTGTCCCTACACCTTGGCCATCAGTCTTGTTTGTCCGTTCGCACCTTCTTAGCCCTCGACCACCACTCTCGCAGAAGTCCCCGGTTAGTAGAGCGCCCTCCATTCACACCAAATGCACTGCCACTTTGTCCACGCTGACGTCAATCTCCGTCGCCAGCACTTCCTGTTCCACCACCAACTTCACTTCTGCTTCGGTCACTTTCCAAACACATCCCTCTTCATTGCGCTTTGTGTCGCTCGCCTCATTTCATCCAACGCATCCAACGCGTGACGAAATGGCCGTCGTCAAGCGCGAACCGAATCGCCACACCGCCAAAACGACCGCATCCATCGAGCCAACCCAGCAACGGCCGACACGTCAGTCGCGCCGCGACAGTAGTGTCGCTACCATTGTGGAGGGCYCAATGGTGACTACCCCATCGCTAGAAATCGCCGTAAACATTCCTGACAATTTTGCTCAGCCATATCGCGCCTCAAGCGTGCTCAGTCAGGCTGCTGCGAACGCACCTCCCACACCTGCAGATACCAGCCACGCCTCAAATGGCACCACCACCCCAGCAGACGGCGACGTGGAGATGTTGGAAGATCCCGAGCCAGCTTCCGATGCGATGGAGAAGCTGGGACAGAGAAGCCGCAGCCTCATCCAGATCATTCAGAAGCTGTCGGCTTTCAACATCGATACTACCTTGCCATCACTTCCTAAGATCATCCTAATTGGTGATCAATCTGCTGGCAAGTCTTCTGTCATCGAGGCACTTTGCGACATCAAAATGCCGCGCAGTGAAGGTACTTGCACCAGGTGCCCTTTCCATTTGACGACTACAAGCTCCATTACTGGCTCTTCTGGCTGGGCTTGTAAAATCTCGATCTTGACGAAATTCGCCTTTGTACCCTCTGTGCAAGCTGCTCGTGATGGTGAGCAGTATGACCAGTGGCAAAAGCAGAAGGACAGCTCTACAGCGCAGTTTGCAGTGATCTACCAGAAGGAGCACCTCGACCAAGCGCTCCGTCGCGCTCAGCTAGCTGTTCTCAACCCAGGGCAGGACTACAGCAACTTCATGAACACTTCAGTCGATTCCAGACACAGGACCAAGAATCAGGTGGATTTCTCCCCAAACATCGTTTGCTTGGAAATCGCTAGTCCGAATCTACCGGAGCTTTCCTTCTATGACCTTCCAGGCGCTATCAACTCCATGGGCGATGAGAATGACCAGTACTTGGTCAAGTTCGTGGAGACTCTCTTGAAGAGCTACATCAGAGATGAAAATGCCACAGTGCTGCTGGCATGCGCCGCCAACCAGGACATCGAAACTTCGACCGCTGTGCGCTACCTGAATGAGTGCAGAATTGCTCATGGCAAAGCCCGTGGAGATCGTGCTATAGGCGTGCTCACCAAGCCTGATCTCGTAGACGACAACCCAGAAAAGATTGCTGGAATCAACAAAATCATGCGTGGAAGCGAATTTCGCATGAATCACGGATGGTATGTCACGAAACAGCTTTCACAAAAACAACTCACCCAGGGCATCACACACGAGCAAGCCCGCAGAGCTGAGAGCGAATTTTTCGCTGCTGGTCCGTGGGCCGAAGAAGATTTGGCTGCATACCAGGGCCGGTTTGGCACGTCAAACCTGCAAGCAGCGCTCTCACAAATCCTGACTACCCATATCCTGCACGAGCTTCCTGGAATCGTAGCTCGGGTTAAAGACAGAATCTCTGAGGTTGATCAGGATCTGGCCATGTTCCCTGCTCAGGATGCGGCTCCCACTTTTGCCATCATCCAAGCAATCGATGCACTCAAGTCTTCCATCCTGTCAGAGCTCAATGCCGACGGAGTGTCCGATTTTCGCAAGACATGCCGTCAAGTTAACATGGATATGCCGAAGAGACTGACTGAATGTCGGCCGACTGTTGAGCTGTCGACGCCGGGCTACGTGAAGCAGAGCATCCCTGTGGATTCTTCAGATGAGGAGTCTCCTACCAAGAAGATCAAGGCCAAGCCCAATAACCGCACCAGCGTCGCGCCCGGTCGAACTCCAACTCCATTGTCGACACCAGGCTCTAGCACCAACGATCGTCGCCGGAAGGTGCCCGGTAGCAACACCACAGCTGTCAGACCTGCTTCTACCCGGTTTCAGTTCAAGCTAGATGAAGTTAAGCGCAGCTTCGACTCTGCCCCAGGTGCAGATCTGCCTGGCGGAATTTCCAACATCGTTATTGGGAAGCTCAATCTCGAAACCCTCGGTGGGTGGAAGGTGGTCCTTAACAAAGTCGTGAAGACTGTTAAAGACGCCTTTGAGCGCATGCTCACAGACAGCCTTAACAAGGCTCTTGCGGCCCGTCATGCTACATTGCTCTTCAAGCAGGCCTCCAAAATCGTTCACGCTCTGTTCAACGAAATCTTCACGGAGGAGATGGCAACCATCACCCGTATCCTCGCTAGAGAGACGTACAGAACCATCTCTCAAGCCGCGGAGCCACTGGAGCACAAGAAGATACAACACCAGGCTGAACTGCAGGCTCGTCGCTTGAAGCTTCGCGTGCAGGAGCACTTCGAGGACCTTGAGGGACAAGGCTTCAAGGTCACCGAGGCGGATATTGAGAAGAGATCGAAGGATGCTGCTTGGGCTTTGGAGAATCTCGGTAAGCAGCGAATCTAGGTGTTCGAAGGCTGAGTGATTACTGACATTGAACAGGCCCCGACGTCTACCATCGCGAAGTAGAGCAGCTCGCTACACYACTGGCATACTATGACGTTGCCTCCATGCAGCTATGCGACACTATTRTCCGTGAGCTCGAGTACGGTCTGTTCCACGAATACGAGGTGCGCTTGCACAGCAGACTCCTTGACGAGCTGCGTGCTGGAGATGCGGCGTACTGCGCCGAGCTTCTGGCAGAGGATCCCGCCCGTGAGAGGGAGCGCGTTGCTCTGCTCGTGGAGCAGGACAAGTTGCAGCAGGCTTTGAAGGAGCTGAACAGTCTTCCGGACGCTCATGCTTAAGCGTGGACGCATGCTGGACAAGAAGAGAAGAGGAGAGTATTACCGTAGTCATGCACCGAGAAGCATCTGGAGGGCTTCACAGCCAACCGGATCTCGTGGACAGGAGTTCTCGTTGAGGTGCACAAAGAGCAGGAAGCAAAGCAATTGACACGCATGTCTGTTCCTTAGAGCAAACCGCGAATAGCTAGCTACCTACGATAAGGTACAATGATTCATTCCAGAGCTATTTCTCAATTCTCTTCGTTGTGTGATCGTAATCTGAGCATAAGGTACGGGCGTAATGAAAAGCAGGGCGTGATATGGCCAAAGTGCAGTCAGTCAACGTTCATCATTTCGTAAAACAAACATCGCTACGCAGTCTTGTACAGGGTATCCAAAAACCCAACCGCCAGATCTCTTACAATGCTCTTGTCAGGTATGCTGCCTGCAACACCATACAGCGCCGCAGAGCTGCCCTTTCCATCCTTCGCCTGACCCTTGCAAGCCTCGACCACATCCTCCAAATCCTTGAGCAAGGCGTCCACTGCACTCACGATGGGCAGTGTTACGGCGATGTGGATAGCTGGAGGATCCTGCAACGCATTCAGATGCCAGCCTTTCGCAGACATCGCATCAGCGATATCGTAGATGTCCACTGCTAGTTCAGGTGTTTTTGAATTCGCAGCTGCCCGGAACGCGACCACAGAAACCATGGGCTTTCCAACAACTGTGATACTGTTTCGAAGTTTGTCTGATGTTCGAATTGCCTCTTCGATCTGCTTCGCGGTGCTGACGATTTTCAGACAGGTGTCTAGATAACCATCTTCGCCCATGCGCATGAGACTTGCCCAGCAACCTGCGATCAATGCACCAGGTCTGGAGCCGGCCATGTTGGGAGATCCATATACACCACCAGGCCAAGTTTCTGAAATGTAGTATTGATATCTCCGCAGCTCGGGGGTGCGATACAGGACGACGCTGTTGCCTTTTGGAGCGAAACCGTATTTGTGGGTATCCACGCTGATTGAGGTAACTCCAGGAACTCGGAAGTCAAAGTCGGGTGATGGAAAACCGGCCTTTGAGAGGAATGCGATAACGTAGGAACCGAGACAGCAATCGACATGCAGCGGCAGTCTATACTTGATTGCAAGGCGTGAAAGAGCGGGAATGTCGTCCACGATGCCGTGAGGGAAGTTGGGAGCACTGCCGACGATAAGAATCGTGTTGGAGTTGATGAGACGTTTGACGTGGGGAATGTGAACGCGATAGCTGGGTTCAGGACAGGCCACAAGATGCATCTTGATCTTGAAGTATTCTCCTGCTTTGCGGAAAGCGGTATGAGCGGTGTTTGGTAGAATCATCTCAGGCTCAGTCACGCCGCGTTCTGTGTATGCCTTTTGACGTGCGGAGAGAACAGCCATGAGAATGGACTCTGATCCACCAGAGGTCGTAACTCCAGCGCCTGTCTCGGGAGCATTGAACAGGCTCAATGTCATTGCCACGATCTCGCTCTCCATCTTGCGCACCCCAGGAAAGACATCAGGATGGATGGGGTTGCTCACGCCGAAGCGCTTGAAGGCCTCGCTCTGTAGGTCGCCAAGGTCACTGCCACCGTGGTAGACGGCACCGCTGACTCTCCCATCCTCCCAACGTACGTGTTCCATATCACCCAGCTTCTCCAGCTCGGCGCGAACTTGATCGGGTGTCCATCCCTTCACGGGAAGTGCAGTGAAAGCCGTGTGTCCTGGGCCTGAGGGCACGAGTTTGGATTCGAGTTCGGTGATTGCCTTGGTCACGTCGGCTCTCACTTTGCTCTGAACCGGAGGCAGCTGGAGGAACAAAGCATATGAACGACGATAGACGTCGGCGGAGAATTGTGTAATGGATCCCCAGAGTCCGTATCCTTGCAGCTGCACAAAGGTCTTTCGTACCAGACGGAGGACAAACAGGGCGAGAAGAAGGTTTCGCAGCAGATCGAGGCCGTGGGTGAGGATGAGTTCGCGGAGGGTGGAGTGGCGAAGGTTGTACTGCCTTCGCAGCATCGACGACGAAGATGAAGGCATATTAGATACCGGGTGGGAGACTGGCTGATTTCAGCTTCGGGAGGTCATGGCTATATCATCATCACGGGAGCAAGGTGAGCAGAAACAAGGCAATAAAGTATCGCGGTGTTGCGCGGTTAATAAGCACGTTGCTCACATGAAAGGCGTGGCGGTACGGAATCCGCGGATGCCGAATGCGCGGATGCCGAAAGCCGAAAGCTGGAAATGGCTCCTGGACTACCCTGGAACATCAACCTACGACGGCGACTACGAACATCGAACCATCGTCACCGTGATAGTTCTCGGTCGGCCCGCATTTTCCATTATGACAGCCACAGTCAAGACRAGAGTGCTCATCGTATCAGACACGCATTGCGCTTCGTTGTCGGGAGAAGGACACGATGCTGCTTCGCCGTTCTCATCCCCCTTGCCCGAGTGCGATTTACTCATCCACTGCGGTGACTTAACGCATGAAGGAACGATGGGACAGTATCACCATACGCTCGACATGTTGAAGGAGATTAATGCTCCCGTCAAGCTTGTTATTGCAGGCAACCACGATCTCTCGCTTGACATAGACTATGTCCTCGGCCACAAGAAGAATCAAACCAAGGTCGAGGYAGATCATCAAGTAAAGCAGGCAAGAGACCTTTGGACCGCTCCGTCTGGGCGTGCTAAGCTGGAAGGTATTACCTTTCTCGATGAAGGTGTCCATCACATCCGCTTGGACAACGGAGCGTTCGTCAAACTCTATGCGTCTCCCTACACACCAGAAGTAAGTTTGCACATGTGATTCTTGGCATGCATCGCCAACAATCAGCAGTTCTGTGACTGGGGATTTCCTTATAAGAAGATGGAAGATCGATTCAACTTACCAGCAGATTCACTGTCTGATGCTACCAACATCGCATCTTGTCCCGTTCCCGCCTTTACCTCTGCGGAAGGTCCAATCGATGTGTTGATCACTCATGGACCGCCATATGCTCGCATGGACACGACTGATCGTGGCCAAGCTGCTGGATGCCCTCACCTTCTTCTTGCTACTATGAAGAGTCGACCATTGCTCCATTGCTTTGGACATATTCATGAAGGATGGGGTAGGTGCTCAGAGCGAAACGCCTTTTCATCAGAACTAACGAGCCCGCAGGAGCAGAGAGAGTGGTCTGGTCCCCTCACGCCAACGACGTAGCTGCCAGCTCAACCTCCACCGATGCGTGGAGAAAAGGTGCGTGGAAAGCAGGTGTCGTTGATGAAGGTAAAAGTGTCGCTACTGTCATTCCACACCTCGAGAGCGCTCGCGAGCACCACGCCGTCTTTGTGGACGCGTCAAACGATTCGGGCAATGGTTTGAAGCGTGGAGAGGAGACTCTCATGGTCAATGCTGCCATCATGAACTTACAATATAGCCCGAGCAACGCACCTTTTGTTGTGGATCTCGACCTGCCGAAGGCTTGAGGAGGTTTGATACTCGCATTCCCATTGAGAAGGAGTGCGAACGCGGTGAGATAGCGTCTGGGAGTGCACTTTCTCTCTAGGGGCGCCCACGTAAGCAGTGAATGTAGCTCACAGCTTCAAATCGATCATGGTCGATATTGTTCTTGATGCAAACATCGGTCATACCACTCGTTACCTACGTGTAGCTAATGCGCTCTAGCAAGAGTATACTCCATATTGTACTCTCTCCAGAGGTGCTCACAATTGGATTCTTTCAAAGCTGTCATTGCTTCTGGAATTTCAATAGACCGTCTCAAGCGTATGATCACGGCTGAAATAACGGAAATTTGTTGATTGTGTAAGGTAGCAAGCGTCTCGCTCTACCCTTCACTGCGGGTTCTAGACGCCCCGCCTCTTATAACTCCTCCCGAGTCGGTACTTGACGATCTTCAATGATTGCCTTTGCGCGCTCAAGCCTCACCCCGCACATACATGCAGCCAAGAGCAGAGTCTCTAGCGGGGCTTGCGGGGATTCCCCATAATCTGGCCCAGATCGCATTCGGTGCGTCTATATGGTCGGGACCATAGCCTGGCGGTCGAACTGTTCTCGCGCTTAGGTGACGTAGCAGCAGTGATTGCTTCCTCATAAGCCGTGGTTTGATGGTCCTATATCTCTTGCAATAGAGACCGGATGGTCGGAGCTGCATCAACCTTGATCTCGCAGCCAAAGGAGACACACATATCCGCATAGTGTCAGATGTATTTCGGGATACAGTGCAGCTCACCTCCCATTCCGAAATTGTGAGGGCTTGAGTGAAGGTTGAGGCGAGGGGCTCTCGTTGTGACAGCTTCATGCGACCATCGCGTTGTTTCGCAAGCTGCCCGTAATGCCCGGGCTCTGCAGAATGTTCGCGAACGAGCAGGTAGGTAGTTTTGTTTCAGCGTGTGAAATACTAGTCAGCAGCATTTGCACCTTGTTTCTTGATTGTTCCATCGGAGTCTTCGATTGGCTATTAGGACAAGGTAAGAGGAATGCCACGGTATGAGCAGTGCTTGGGTAGCTAATGCAGTGACTACGCGTATAATGCACGGTAGCCGTATCAGTTGCATCTACGGTCGTGCGGCCGTGGATGTGGGCAGCTTCTGTCGCTTGGACACATGTGAAGATTGATGCACGGGGCGGTAAACGATAATGCTGAAGTACCCCCCAAGGAAGGGACGAGGGAAGCAAGGAAGGAGAAGCCTTGGAGAGCCGAGATGGAGCCGAGATGCGCCGACCTCGCCTCTTCTCCGCTATTGTTCCTTTGCGAAGTGACGCCTACTGTTGTGTCGCTTGACCCAAACACAAGCAAGCACAGGAATCCGATAGCTCACACGAGTTGCAATTGTTGTCTGTAATGTTATTCAACGGTTGCAGAAAAGAGGCAGCTGGCTTGGCGCCTTGCTGATGCATACATTTCCTTGCGACGCGTGCACTGTCATCAACACATTTCCTTTCTTCAACTTCGACACCCCAACCCTGAGCATGCGGATTTACTCGGACGCATGGCCGACCTACCGCCACAATATGCGAGACAGATGTCGCTAATTCCTTACGCTCATGATTCCCACCGCGAGGTTGTCCTGTATGTCAGTGCTCCACCTAGCAAAGACTCCACGCTGACCAGCGAACCAGGCGACGAGGCAGCTCTGTAGTGGTATACGATTCAGACTCGAGACTGCTATCTGTTCGCGATGTATCCGAACAATTTGTCGAGCTAGCGGACTGTCCGTACTGCCAAAGACCACTTCGCGACAGAGATGCCCCGGATGAGGATGAGCGCACCAGCCATAGGTACGGTCCCGATCGGCCTTTCGTGGACCCGGATTACTTCTCAATGCTCGCGGCCAGTCAGAGACCTTCGCCATCAGTATCTGGGGAGTCCACGCCAAGCAGACGTTTCCACCCGGCGCTGAGATCAGGGAGATCCAGAGACGTTAGCGGTTCGACGGGCCCGCCAACTGGAGCAGAGTTTGTGGGTAGCGAGCCAGCATCGTCCACTGGACAGGGAATTAGTGCGTCTGCCTTTTCGCCTGGCTACTTTCAACAGTTCTTCAGAGAAGAACGCGAGCTCGGTCGGGGTGGCAACGGTGTTGTGCTGCTGGTTGAGCATGTCATCGATGGCGTTTCCTTGGGCTCCTTTGCATGTAAGAGGATTCCGGTGGGAAACAGCAAGCAATACTTCGAAAAAGTCATTATTGAGGTCAGACTGCTGCAAAACATTCCGCACAAGCATCTTGTGGCGTATCATTGTATGATTGACAGGATCCCTCTTCACACCTTGTCTGAAAATGCTAACAATGGGCCTAGGGACCTGGTTAGAGGATCATCAGCCTTCCAAGTTCGGGCCCAGCATACCATGTCTCTGGATTCTGCAGGACTACTGTAATGGTGGTGACCTACACCGACACGTTTTGGGTCCCAGACAGAGCCAGTCTGCTACCGAGAAGCTCAAAGAGAAAGTGCGTCGAAGGTCAAAGGGTGATGCCACTCCACCCGTAGATCTGAGAGGCCGCAGTCGACTGTCCTTTGAAGAGATATTCTCATACTTTCGTGACATCACATCTGGCTTGCATCACCTGCACACGAAAGGTTACATACACCGGGATCTTAAGCCGAGCAACTGTCTGTTGCAGCGGGATGGAGGACGAACCAGGGTGTTGATTTCTGACTTTGGTGAAGTGCAAGCTGCCGGAGCCCTCCGTGGTTCTACCGGTGCTACCGGCACCATCTCCTACTGTGCGCCAGAGGTACTCCAGCGAGGAGCTGACGGGTCGCTTGGGAACTTCACAACGAAAAGTGACATTTTCTCACTTGGGATGGTCGTCTTCTTCATGTGCTTTGGTCGATTGCCATACGTCAACGTAGACGATGAATCGGAAGAGAACGAGGACTTTGATCAACTTCGGTATGAGATCATTCAATGGACTGGATTCAACGAAGAAGCCCGCACCAGGCCCGATCTACCCGAGAAGCTTTACAGGTTCTTGAAGAGACTACTCTCAGTAAACCCGTCAGACAGACCGAGTACCGAAGAAATTCTGGCGAGCATCAAAGGTGGGGTATCGCATGGCGACGGTGAATGGTCGTTTGAGGAATATGACGACTACAGGCCTCGAGTCTCCAGTGTTGATTCTCCGGCGGCGAAGGTCTCCTCGCGCAAGCAGCAGCCTTCCTTCACAGCACGACCAGGGCTTGGCTCACCAGTCAGGCACAGATCCAGCAACGACGTGAATGCCGATCGGCAGGTCGATCATTCTCACGAACGAAGTCGAGCACTCAGTCCGTTGAAGTCAGCTACGAATGCAAGCCTGAGGGAAAACGAGACAGCCACGAAGGAATCTCCGCCATCGTTGCCAAATCCGCGCTTAATGCTGCCCCCGCCTCCGGAACGCCCGATCATCCACGGAATGAGAAGAGCTGTGGCGCATCCCAGCGCAGAAATCGCACGCAAGATCGCGCTCTTCTTTGCCAAGTTGCTGTCACTGTCGCTGCCGTGTAACCCATACGCTACGAAACAGTGGGTCCTGTATCCTCTTCTGGGACTGGCGGCGCTTGATCTGGGACTTACAGACATCACTTTGCAACAGTCTTTCACCTTGGTGGTCGTCCACGTGGCCGTCGTACTGCTTGCGTCCCAGCGTGGTAGTCTTTGCCAAATCAGTGGCAAGRGCGTGCTTTGGGATACCGTTTGATGAGCCGGCATCATGTTAGGAAGACGTGAGATGTTAGGGAGTGGCCAGAATTCGAGTCGACTGAAGCGCTTTTATCGCAGTAGCTGATGAAAGCTTTCGAGACCTCGGATATGAGGACACAAAAACGCCACCATTGCAAGATGCCACAGATCCCCCACCCTACCTATGCTGTCGCCTTCCAAACAGCTTATGTTGGCTGACAACCCCAGCCTCTTTACGATCGACCGCGTATTACGCACGACACGGATTGACCGGGAAAATATCCCGGAGACCTGCGGAAGGCGCTTCGGCTGGCCACCGAGCTTCCATGGAAACCGACCAACACGATGCTGCCCGTCCACCTGTCATTGCTGTTCATGAACAATCGAACAATCGAGCAAAGATACGACCATGGAAGATAACGAAGACATCATTTAGAATTCTCCTTCATCCATTATTCAAGATCTCCTCTACCAATATTTCTTACTGTCCAGTCGTGGATCGTCCAATGGCGTAAAACCAAGTGCCATCTTCAAAAAGGAAATTTCCAAAGCTGGTCTCGGGAAATTTGCACTCTTTTCTCGCACTCCTTCTCGTACACTGATTATAAATTAGCACGACCGTCATCAATTCTCAATCGTGATGAGTGTCATCTGCGCACCTCAAGTCGTAGGCGACATCATTCCTACCTCTCTTACCGACCCTGAACACGCTATTTTCACCATCTTCAACTCCTGCAAGTTCCGACTTCCTTGCGCTGGAGCGCACACAGTGGTTCAACTTCTCGCGCATTTTGAGGCTTAGGCACTGCATCTTACCCACACGCTTAGGGTCGAGGCCACTGTTATCGGGCCTAGAGGACTAGCAGTGTTCCCGGAACCCCGAAGCTCAGCAGCTGCATTGAGCGAGAAAGAGCGAGAACAGGCAATATCGGAGCTTGCGGTCGTTGTATCCCACTTGGACATCGTAGTCAAGCCATTGATTGGTGACGGGTCTACTTATATCAGACCGGAACGTATGTTCAGAAATCACCCTGGCCGTGGCTACACCATTGCCATCAGCACCTGCCATCTCGAGAGTATCGACGAAGCCTTCAAAAACGAAAATGTCATGGCACAGCAATACTGGATGTTTAGCCTCGCCCACAATACAATGGTAACTAGCCTTCTTGGCGGAAACTTTAATGGTGAAGTAAATGAAATAAAAACATGACGATTAAAACACCGTATAAGCTCGTGCCTCTCAGTTGATCACCACGTGTCTATATTTTGACGATATTTTCAGGATATCCTGCAGCTTATCTTTGTGGTCGTGATTCACGGTCACGCAGGCGAAATTAGGCTTCTGCTTACTGAGCGATCTTGTTCATCCTCCCTCGGGTAGCAGTGACTTCCAATCAACATCAAACTATATATCTCCAACCGAAAAACGAGGCCGCGAGGGTAGCAAGCCAGATCATAATGGCGTTTTTCCAAGAAATGCCATGGCACGAAGGGGTGAGGTCGCTTGAAGTCGCCATTGGCCGAAGGCATTACTGTAGCTGATGAGACGCCAAAACATAACAGGAGGAGAAGATGTCCCGAGCGATGGAAATCCCAACAATGGACAACCCAACAGTCCCAGCGCTGTCTCCGTGAGCATCTGCATAGTTCAGTAGGAATTCGATGTCTTTTCTGATCATTCATTCAGCCAGCTTTCCAATCATCTCCAGATCGCCCCGCTCATATCCATTGGAACTGTTGACAAACAAGGACGACCTTGGACGACACTGTGGGGAGGAGAGCGAGGAATGGCTCGACCTCTTGGCGGTGGGATTATCGGCATCAGAACTCCAATTACGGGTAAATTCGATCCTGTAGTTGAGGAGCTCGTAGGACAGGATCCATCGAATCAAGCAGTGAAAGAAGAGGGGAGCAGATCCATGGTCAGTGGCCTGACGATCGACTTGGTTTCGCGAAAGAGAGTCAAGATGTATGGTTTGTAACATCAAACATGACCGACTGATGCGACATCCTACTGACATCCGATCAAGGCCGTATGATGGCAGGAGTTCTTGGGATGAGAGACGATGAAGTCACTGGGCAGAGCGTGTCCATTGCAGAAATCCAACTTGTGTTGAAGATCGAACAGTCACTTGGAAATTGCCCGAAATACCTCAACAGCAAGGTCATTGAGCCTGCAGTATCTAGCCCGGAACTGATATCGGACTCGCCGCGATTACCCCCACCGGCACTGGAGCTCCTCGCCAAAGCAGATCTCTTCTTTGTCTCGAGCGCGCAGCATGACACAGACATGGACACAAATCACCGAGGAGGCCCTCCAGGCTTCCTCAGAGTCGATTCGAACGAAGAGGGGGGAGCAGTCGTGTACTGGCCGGAGTATAGTGGCAATCGACTGTATCAAACACTGGGAAATCTAATGATCAATCCACTGGCTGGAATCTGCGTTCCCGACTTTGACACCGGCGATATGCTGTATCTGACTGGAAAGACGGAAATCCTAGTTGGCCAAGACGCCGCCGCTGTCTTGCCGCGATCGAATCTATGTGTAAAGCTCACAACTACTGCCGCGCGATTCGTGACCCACGCATTGCCATTTCGTGGAAAGCCCGGAGAAAGTTCACCTTACAGTGAGTTCATCGATCTTCGATGTTTGGTAGGCCGAGCATGAGCATCCATCTCCAAATTTGCTCGCTCCATTACTTCTCTTCACCCCTGATCAATCGACACCACTAATCACCTCCTCGTCTCCAGACCCCACTGTCCGCTATCTCGCCTCTGAGAAGCTGTCAAAGCAGCCCCGAGACGAGAAGTTGCAGCAAGCCACACTTGTCAGTCAAACCGTTCTTACTCCAACAATATCCAGATTCCGCTTCAGTCTGGAGAACACGGCGATCTATACGCCTGGGCAATACGTAACTCTCGACTTTTCTAGACATCTCGACAATGGATACGAACATATGAACGACTACGATCCACAGAGCCTGAACGATGATTTCGTGCGGACGTTCACTGTTAGTAGCCTGCCAGGCGATCCTCCGAACCCAGTCCGTGATTTAAAGGACGATGAGTTTGAGATCACAGTGCGAAAAGTTGGTGTCGCGACAAATTTGTTGTTTCAGCATCGGATCAATGATAGGGTCCCCTTTGAGATTGGTGTCAAAGGGTTTGGCGGGGAATTCGAGGTGCAGCAGAGGGACGAGAAGGAGAGTATATGTTTCTTGGCTGCGGGTGTTGGCATCACGCCGATATTACCTTCGCTGTATTCAATGGATTTCCAGAGGCTGAAGTTGCTGTGGACAATCCGAGAGCAGGACGTCGGACTGGTGCTGGACGTTTTGGACAGGCATCCTGGACTTGGAGAGGTGACTGAGGTATTTCTCACTGGCATCGAGAAAGGACGTACAGAAATGGCCAAGAACGTCGAGGAGAGAGGTGCAAGGGTGAGTTTGAGACGATTGCAAAGAGAGGATGTTGAGGGACGGAAGGCTTCAAGATTTTACCTGTGTACAGCTCTTCCTCTGAGGAGGCAGCTTAGTGAGTGGCTCACGGGACAGGAGGTTGTCTTTGAGGATTTCAACTTTTAGGTCCAAAATGGATGGATTTTATGGCCAATGTCTCCTGGCGTCGAAGCGCTGCAAGATCGACCGTGCTGAGCGTGACCATATTCTGCGTAGCGAGTTGTGAACCTGAGGATCAGTTCACCCGACGCCAACGTGGCTCTCTGCGTGGTATCCGGATTTGATGCAGCTAACAGCAGACACCGTGGCAGGGCGCAAGTGCTGGAATCGATAGAAAATGCTCACAAGGTACTATGTCCTCACATACCCATGGGCGATACGTTCAGGTCAGGTTGAAGTACTTCACAGCACACTTCGCAACCAAAGATGTTCCAACCCTCTCAAAAAGACCTATCGTATTTCAATCTCATGCTTCTGGATCCTGTACAATACATCTTCCGCCGCAGTCTCCTCCCTCAATCACTCCCGTCAGCCTTATCGCCCTAGTGATCGGCCTGCTTTCCTTGCCTCGACAGGCGCAAAGTCTTGTCGGTGGTGAGCTTGCGGCCTATGGAGTATACGGCAGCGAAGATAGCGGCAGCCAGGACAACACCAAGGGGGATCAACTCTGGGGGGATCTTCTTGAGCGTTCGCAGACGCTGGGAAATGGTGTGTGCTGTATAGATGTTAGGTGGTGCTCATGTGAACAGAAAGGGAATTGGCGCACCGGCTTGCTCTTCYTTCTGTGAGAGATGTTAGCAATTTCTCATCCGCACGCTCAATGTCTGGGGGATTGGATTGCTCGTACAGGAACGACCATTCGCTTGGGGGTAGATTTGAAGCCCCTCGCCGGCTGCATGCGGAGCATAGGCACAGCTCGGGAGCGGAGCATTGAGGTTGGCGCGGACTGAGCGCGCAGCATGTTGGCGGCCAGAAAGCGGGTGGACTGCATGGCGACAGCTGGTGTAGGATGGAGGGTTGGAGAGATGGAGGAGGGTGTCGTCGACGGTGCTGTTGTGAGGGAACAGCACAAGGCGAGGTCTCAGAGCCGAACGCACGTGATTGGCTGAAGCTGATGACCTTCCACGACTTCATCACCACTCTCGCCATAACTTATAGCACCCACGCCCGCTTCCCCTCCCGCGCCAACCACCACACCCACTCTTCCAAACAACCAAACACCCGCCAAATCACCGCAATCATGTCCGACGATGAGGAGCGCGTAACCATGCCGTTCAAGTTTGTGACGGCCGGTCAGTGCCGCCGCCACCGCCGCCAATGCCGCACTCCTACTGACCTCCCTCCACAGGCTTTGACGCCCGCTTTCCAAACCAGAACCAGACCAAGCACTGCTGGCAAAACTACGTCGACTACCACAAGTGCATTCTGGCCAAGGGAGAGGACTTCAAGCCTTGCCGCCAGGTACGTTCGCTCCGAATACGCACGTGGATGTGAGGCGAGGACGAGCATTAACACGCTGCAGTTTTACCTCGCTTACCGATCGCTTTGCCCAATCGGCTGGACGACTAGATGGGACGACCAGCGGGAGAATGGTACTTTCCCTTCGAGGCTGGACCAGTAGATTGACTGGAGACGAGCATGGGGGCGAGGAACTATAYGGATGAAGGAGATTGGTACATGGAAGTGCGAGGATGAGGATGCGTCAGGAGCTTGCTGCAGCAGCTTTGCGGGAGAGGGCGTAGCTCTTGAATGCAAAGTTCGTGTACATATACGGCACCGAGGACTGTGAATCTATGGCAGAGATACAAGTGTGGCGTTTGGCGCACATCTCTTCCCCGTATCACCCAGGCTTCGCTCGCAAAAGCAATCACCCCGATGCTCATTTCGTACAGATCAGTACTCTCCTTGGACGGGCAAGAAAGTTGACAGTGGCGGCTTCTTACGGTCGTCGTGTAAATGGGTATTCCACAACTGACCAGAAGTAGTTCACTCCACTCGCAGAAGCACATATAACCGCAAGAAGACAGCACCTCATATCGACTTTGTACCGCACGAGAAGACTCCATTCTCCTATCATCGAGCTATCCTAGACAAGGCATGACGACATGACGATCCAAACAGTCGACCATCTCGTAGTCTGGATATACCGACGACGCTTCCTACCCGACCAACCACACAACATATCAACCTCGCCGCCGACTCCACGCTAACATCCTTCGACAAACACACGTTCCCCGACCACTTTACAAGTCTGTCTTGACGTTCGCGCCATTCTTGGCCACTGTAAGGGGGCCGTTCATAACCATCAGAGTCATGACCTCATACAGCGTATCAGCCGCTGCCATGGTCGTCAACTCGGCATTGGTATCGTAAGCTACAAAAAGTGGTCAGCTTCTCTCACTCTCGCATCAAAGAGTATCTCAACGCATAGGCACGTTGGCTTCTGCTCTAAAACTCACCAGGTGCGACCTCCACGATATCAGCAGCCACAATGTTGATACCCTTCAGTCCACGGACGATGGTGCGAAGCTCACGAGTAGACCACCCGCCAGTTTCAGGAGTTCCCGTCGCTGGCGCGAATGCTGGATCCAGCGTGTCGATGTCAATGGAGAGGTAGACCGGATTCTCGTGTCCAACGCGGTCATGGATCTTCTTGATGAWACCCTCGGTGCCAATGGTGTCAATCTCGCGAGCCTCAGAGATCTGGAAGCCGCAGTACCCATCATTCTCATAATCGGAAAGACCAGAGAGCGTCGTGCGGATGCCAGCGTGGATGTTGGTGTCGTTGCGGAGTAGGCCTTCCTCCGCTGCGTGGAAGAAATAGGTACCGTGGTTGATTGAGGCTTGCTTGCTCGGAGCTCCGCCGAAGACCTTTGGGCGCCAGGTGTCCAAGTGCGAGTCGAAATGGATGACGGTGATGGGGCCATACGCTCTGTTCATGCTCCTCAGCAGTGGGAGAGTGATGGTGTGATCTCCGCCTAAGGTTATCACTCGTGGCAGGGTCTTGCCATGCTTGGAGATGCCTGGCTCTTTTGCAGCAGTCTCTGGATCCCTCATCAGGATACTGTTGTGTCCTTCTTCGATCTGGTGGAGAGCCCAAGCATTGTCGTAAGATGTCACGGGAATGTCACCGCAATCGATAATCTTGGCCCTGTGAAGTATCAGCCAATCTACCAGAGCGTACCTTGCCGATGGAGGGCTTCTGTAGGAGCTCGGATGTTGGACCCATCCTTGGACGAAGCAGTCGACTTACCAATCGGCGAACGGGTTCGCAGCCAAAGGAACATTGTATCCACCACTGAAGCGCACCTTGCGTGAGCCTCATGTCATCATTTATTGTAAGCCAAATGCACGTACTAGAGATTGAGTCTGCGACTACCTTGTCGGATTCCTGCCAACAATGCACCGTCAGCTTGACACCTTCTTTGAGAAGCGGAGTCTGGGAGACGAACCCGATGGACCGAAACGAGCTCCTGGTCGGTACGAAGTGCCAGTGTCGAACGGAGCGCCTAAAACAAGATTAACATAAACCACTTATCGTCAAACGTCCCGAGACAAACCGATGAACGCAATGTCATATTTCTCATCCAGACTGGATAGGCAGGGCGAATAAGGCAAGCGGCCGAAGGTGCTGATGCCAGAGAAGACAGAATCGGCCTGGATTAAGAAAATTGAGCAATCAGCAAAATCACCACCCTTCGCTCGCCCTCGCCTACCTGAGTACCGCCATCTCCAGGCAGCGTGTTGTACCACAAGCTCTTATGAGGACCCGCAATGGGCTCCTGCTCGTGATCACCATGAGCCTGGACGGTTGCTGCGAGAGCAAAGACAGGGAGGAGGAGGGACTTCATCATTTTTTGATAGGTAGGTAGGTAGGTTGAGAAGGGGAAAAAAACCGTTCTTCGATTGAGAGGAAGAGGACGGGGACTTTCAATGCTTTTACCTTACTCTCTCACGAGCTCGCGTCCCCCATCGCGTCGGGAAACTAATTGCAACTTTTACGATGGACCATGCATGACCAGATGCAATAGCTTCCCCCTCCCCAGAGCTTTCGGCCAGGAACTTTTTCCCCAGCTCGCCAATGCATACGCACCTGCATAATCTTTTGCCGATTGGGAGAGATAGGCGAAGCTCTCTCTTCTGGGGGGGGGAAAGGGCTGAAGATCGGGATTTTTTGGGGCTGCTGCTCRTGATTACGTAGCTGGGGTTCTATGGTCTGGTCTGGGGTCCGGGTATGTATCTATGTATTATCGCTGCTTATCAATGATGATGAGAGGCACTTGTTCGAATTCAGCTCTTGATCACGATGCTGAGCGGGGGAACAAAAAAATACGATGTGTTGCGTTGTTAGAAGTTCCGGGGAGGAACCTGTGGCTGGGCGTTTTCAATTCGCCCCCTTTCACATGATGCGAAATTTTCTATCAACTCATCATCGCCAAAAAAGAACTACCTACCTCAAAAAAAGTCCCGCTCATGTGCCTGCCTACACATCCCTCCCCCCTCCCATCTCAACCCTCTCAGAAGAATCCATACGCAAAAACGCATTAGAAATCTGCTTCTCCCAATCACTAAATCCCACAATCAACCATTCCAACGACCCCACAATATACAAAGCAATACATTGTCCGACCCAAAGCCCCCCAAGACCCCAACCATGAAAAGCAAGGTAGATTCCTAGAGGTAATGCGCCGCAGTAATAACTCAGAATATTAACTGCTGCACCGACGTGTTGTCGTCCCATACCGCGTAGAGCACCGCCGCAAGAACCTGCGATATTTGTCAGTTGGGAAAGGGAGAATTTTCTCATGTTGATGAAGTTAGGTACGCACCGTTTAAGCCATCTGCGATTTGGAATAGTGCGACGTAGGGGAGGACTTTGGCTGTTAGTTTTATAACTGCTTCGTCGTCGTTGAACAGCCGCGCGAAATTCTCTTTTGTGGCCATTAGGATTGTGAGTACGACGGCGCCTAGGATCATGGATAACCATGCAGAAGTATTGGCGGCCAAAGCAGCTCCTTTGGCATTTTTGGCTCCTAGTAAATTGCCTATTCGGGCTGAAGTAGCGACTCCGACGCCGAAGGGAATGGTATTCATGACCTTGGTAGCCGTTAGCTTATTTATCTAGTTTCAAAGTTGGGGAATTGAATGAGCGAGAGAACTCACTTGATCCGCTGTCATGATAACACTTTGACTCGCGAGGGAAACAGTACCCAATTGTCCAGCAACAATCGCGACGATTTCAAAAGCCCACCATTCTGTTCCCACGTGTACAACACCCAGCAATGCGATTCGTGTAAAGGAGCCGATGTTATCGAAAGCTTTGCGATTGAAACCTCCCCAGCATTCGTAGCCGGATATGAAGCGTGTGTAGGCGAGTAGGAGGAGGAAGGAGAGCCAGTAGGAGATTCCTGTGGCGATGGGAGCTCCGAAGAGACCCCAGTTGAAAGTGTAGATGAAGAGGTAATTGAGTCCCGCGTTGAGTGGGGAGGTTATGAGGAGGATATATGTGCCGGGGCGCATGATACCTTGTCTGTTGTTGTGCGATTATTATCAGGAGGTGGTGCATATGTGTCTTTCAGGAGTGGAAGACTTACGCTTGCAGGTACTTTTTCATACATTCAAAGTAAATGTATCCCAGGCCACCAGGTATAAGCACCGTTAAGAATTTGGCGGAATCCYGAGCAATGTATTCTTCCTGTCCCAGGGCTCGGAAAACTGGCGCAGAGAATAGCCAGAGCACGGCGACGGGCACGTAGAAGACGGTAAGCACAAGGAATGCTCGCTGGAGGATGATACCGAGATCATGCTTATTCTTGCTTCCGGTAAAGGATGCAGATGCAAGTGTATCGATTGCTGTCGTGCCTCCCATGCCAATTAGCCATGCGGAAGCCATTGCAAACATGTAGCTGAATGCTGYGACTGCTAACGATTCTTGGCTGAGTCGTCCGACGATGAGGACTGAGATGGTTTGGAGACTGTTTTGAAGGGTATAGGCTAGGATGACTGGGATGGAGGCCTTGAAGAGTATCCAGAATTCTGATAGAATACGTTGGGCCTGTGTTCGATCATCGGTGTCATAGTCGTGACTGTCATCCACGGGCTTTGGCAGTAAGGAGGTGGTTTCGTTGGGAGCTTCTCCCGGATCTGAGAGTAATCTTTCATGGTTGTTGTTCTTGATGAAGCTGGGTAACCAGGACCATGTCTTGTATGTCGTTCTTTGATCGCTTGTCATGACTGTTAGGACGATGACTTTGAAATCATATATCGACTGTACGGCTTTGCTGAAGTACTCTATTCCGGACACGAGATACAAACCGTTCAACAAGATGATCTCGGGGTGTTGTGCATTGTTCTTTTTGGGGCAATCAACAGAAGCAGTGAAAACCAGACGCCGAGCAGTAGGCAATCAATTTGATCGAATATGGAGCCATTCTGTCATGCACCACGGAGCTCCACAATGGTCGTAAAATGTAGAAGGGAAAGCCATGGAGATGCGTCGAGCCACAGATAGTCACATCGACTGCCCACTTAACACAGCTTATCGATTTAGTCAGAGATTCCTTCAGACTTTGAAAGGACTTGGGGCTCGCTGACGATTCCAAGCTGCAGGAGCTTCAGCCGTGAGGCTTGAGGCTGATAGATGCTTATCCGGGCATAATTTAAACACGTAATGATCGAGAAAAACATGCAGCTTGAAGTTCCCCAGCGATGATGTGTTGGCGTCAGTTCCGATTTACGATGGCGGTGGAAGTCCTTTTTGGGCAGGTCAATACGTTTATCTGCCAAGCGCTGACTTTTTTTTTTTCTGACGGCCGCGATAATGCCGTATACTTTCTCCTGCTTGGGGGGGAAGTTATACGCACATCCCGCACCCTCACTGTCGGATCTTATTTCTTGTTGAATCGTGGCAGACTATCGTGTTCGTCGACCAAGTCCGATTGCCATGTCATGTGGTACGACGAGGTGGCTTTCACTTGCCCGCAGGTAAGACTAGGCCTATCGCAAGCCAGCTGAACCATGTGTTTCTGCGTCAGCGTGACGGTGGCCGTCTGACCGCCTTGGACGGAGCATGCGGCCTGCTCCAAAGGTACGATCAATTGCGTGATGTGGAAGGAACCAAGCATGTTGACGCGTGGAACTGCGTGAGACCTGCACTTCGACCGACCTTCTCAAACTTTGCGGCTCGGATTGGTCAAGAGCATTGATAAGCTGCAGCTCTGTAGACCTGACATTCGACTTCGCTGCGTCTAGACCTGAGGCCCGGCCCAGATCAGGTCCCTGCAGAGGTGCCCATTAAGTTTGAAATCGTGTTATCGCTCCATGTGTTTCTCACATGTCTTCTCCCTCGCAGATTTCCTTCTCCTGATCCAATCGAACAAAGAAGAGAAGAACTGCAAACAGTCCTGACAGGCCACCGATGCAATAAAAAGGCAAGGCGATCCACCCGCCTCCTAATGATAAGCCTTGAGAGAACAGGCCTRCGAGCAGAGGAGCGCCCGACATAGTACCCACAGTATCTACTATGCTGATGACGGTGTAGACGCGAGCGATATGATGTGCAGGGACCAGAGAGGTGAGAAGACTCCGCACTAGGCACACAGCTCCAACGCCAGAGGACGCAATCGTCAGGCTTATCGCAGCTGTTGGAATGTTGGGGGAGGCCGCTACAAGTATCCATCCTACAGCCAGTAATATCTGCGAGCCTCTTGCCAGATAGAGGTCGTTTGCCTGTCCAGAAAGACTATACTTGTTCGTGATCGCAATTGTGAGATATGGTAGAACGACTGAGAGGAGTACCACTGTCACTCCATTCCGGACGGTAACAAGAAGTGTTGCTTCAGAAAGCGTAAGATTGTAGCGCGTGGAGATGAATTGTAAGAGCAGCTTCGAGATCGATGCCAAGAGGTTGTGGAGGATGAAAGACGCGATCAGAGCCACGACTCGCCAGTCATCAGTCAGGAATGAGAGACCTGATTTCAGCCTCGTCTGCCAGTGGTGTTTATGCTGCATATCACCAGTTTCGGACGAGATCGTCTGGTCGTTGGGAGATTCTTGTCTTCCAACGGGTGGCGACCCTACATCGGCCTGGGGATAAGCGTGTTGGTAGTCCAGAGTTTCTGGTACAAAGAAGAAGGAAACGGTGGCCAGAAGATAGAGCATCGTTCCCAAAAAGCTCGGTATCCATGGACTTGTCTCCATTAGCCACGCCGCGAGCGGAGGCATGAATCTGCGGACAGCAGATTAGCACTCGGTCAATTCAAGGACAGATGAAAAGCGGACAAAGCTGCCGACAGATTGGTGGCTCCCAGTCTCAGGAAAGCTGCTGCCCGTTTTTCGGGAAGTGTCGTATCGGACACTATCACGCAGAGCATTGCAGAAATAACAGTAGTACCGCCACCAAAAAGACACAAGATCGTGTTGAAATAAATGGCGCTGACATCGAAGACTGAATCACGGATCAGTTCAGTATATGGATCTCGAGGTTTGGTGTTGCATACCTTGCCATTTCCACGCGACAAGCTGATTGGAATGGAAGTATCAGCGAAGTCCCTTCTAGTGCCTGCTTGTTTGCTCACCTGTACCCAGCCTGCTCTCAGTGTCACATGTAGCAGGTTCATGAAGACGATTGGCCACCTCCCGAATCTGGGACTGTCGGCGGCCCATCCAAAGGGTATGGCCAGTAGTAAGGCGGGAATTCCGTCAAGCAATTGCCTGTAACCATTGAGCTCCGCGAGCGTATGTTGAACAGCGGCCGTCTTGCACCAGTGTTCATCAACGCCTCCGATCGCTCCAGGACCCGCAACATCCCGGCCAAAGTTGATCTTGGTGGGATCAGATCGCTCGTAGTATCGATAGCATATCACAGACTCCAGGATTCGCGTTTCGGGCGACTCGCTCATCTGATCTGGAGACCTTGTTAGCCACAATCGAGGAGAGAGTGTAAATCTCATGAAAAACATACCGGCAAAGCTGACGAGGAGAACTACCAAAAGGATAATGGTCGATACCGAGCTCGATGACCGGATCCATGAGCGTTTGGGTCGCTTGCGATTGGAATCAGGGGCGAGCAGACGAGAGGTTTCGTTCGGCTCGTCGGAGGGAGCGGAAAGCACCGCTGTGACGGTGGCGCGTCGCTTGGGGGACATGAGGATAGAGGTCACGGCGAGAGCACAGGATCAGAAGCCATCGGGCATGAAATTGTTGATGTATGTTATTGCGAGACGTGTTCCATGTCCATCTATCTCGTTGCCTTGGAACGGGATCGGAGTTCGGAGAAGATGGTGTCTCATCCAAAGAAAGTCCAGTCCGAAAACAGAATCCCTGTCGTCTTGACGACGTATACCACCCTTATCAGTTAACCTTAAGGTAACCTTCCCTTTCTTCATCTCCTCATCACAAGTCAATGCATGAAATGTCCAACGATCGGTTCTCGCTGTAGCTTGGCGAGAATGGACAGCCTTTCAATTTACTGGCGCTGGGGTACTCGAGAGGACCTTGAGCAATCTTCGATGCAAAAAGATGCTGTAAGACCCATCTCATCTTCTTCCTCCCTCTTCCAGAAACTCGATTGCTGCTATGCGTCTCGCTTCTGGCTTGCTGGTCTGTGACTACAAGAAATCAAGCGCTGCTTCCAGCTTTGTATCGAATGTTTGCCATCAACCCACTGTAAATCATACAAGTAAGTGGCCGCCGATGGTCAGGACCACTCCCTCCAACCCTCATCACCACCATCTTCACTCGAACCAAATATGGACACCGACTCAGACCACAGCCAAGAGACAAGCCCAGAGTAATCACCTATTCCTCACCAGACAAGTACCCACTGACATAACAACAGAGTCTTCTTGGACAACATCCTCACCACAATCATCATCGGCGAAGATGAGGAACAATTCCATGTCCACAAGGCCCTTCTCTGCAGCAAATCCGGATACTTTGCAGCTGGCTACGGAACAAACATGAAAGAAGCCACATCTCACAAATTCCACATCACGGACGTCTCACCGCCAGCCTTCCGATCACTGGTAACCTGGCTCTACACAGGCAAAGTATTCCTGAAACCAGGTCAACAGCCAGCACTGCACAAAGTGCCCGAATTTCAAATCGAGCAAAGTGTTGTAGACGAGGAATTCCCCGAACCATGGGATGACCCAGAGTACGATGCCGTTTCAGAAACCCACCCAGAGAAGGACTACGAATACGACGACGATTCTTCAAGCGCCAGTTTTGCGTCCTCCGCATCGTCAGACCAAATCAACATCCCCGTCGAGCGTACGCTTTCACAAGAGCGAGAGGCGAAAATAGTCCATGACCTCTTCCCCAACGCAGACCCGAATGATCTCGACTCCTATCAAATGGAACATCTCATACGACAACAATCCGACTGGACGGAAGAAGCCAACTGGACAGAAGAAGCCGCTCCGTCCCTAGCCAAATGGCAATCCATCCTCGACGCACAGAAGAAGTGGAAGCAGCTCGCAAGGGACGAATCCACACAAGAAAACAGTCAAGAGGAAGACAAAGAAGAAGCTGTCGACAATTTCGATCGACTCCTGGACTTGTACATTGTAGCCGATCGATTCGACGTGCCTCTCCTGCGGCGTGACGCGCTCAATCACCTCGACGCTCAAATGACTGGATACCATATGATCTTGACGGGTCATGCACGGCCCAGCTATGCGTTTGTCATTAAAGCTTATGAGAATCTTCCAGAGGGCTGTGATTTGCGGTCGTGGTTGGTGAATGTTTTCGCTCAGGACTGGTCTCCTGTCGAAGATACTGGGGAGGAGAGACGAGCAGCACGGTGTGAGTTGCCGCGTGACTTTCTATTCGACCTTGCCTCTACGCTCGCGGAGCGTGGTTTGGCTCCGTAGTCACAGCTTCACTTTGCGTAACGTTACTTGCTTGGTATCTTGGAAATGGAGTAAAGTGGTCAAAATTGTACAGAGACGTTCTGTCCAAAGACTTATATCATTGATCCATCATAAATATCTCCTTCGTAAATGACTGCTCGGGTTTAGCGAACATCCTGTCATGTTGCCTTCTGTGGTAAGCAAGAGTTTCCATCATTAATATCCAATCCCACACGATATGTTGTTGTTGTAGTATTACAAAGACTTTCAACTGGGCGCCGTGTGTCGTAAAGAAAACTGTGTGATCGCTCCGATCCTTCACACATCAAATGATACCAGTCGGCAGCCGACGATTCGCCGCCGTGCATTAATATGCTTTTTGGTATCTTCAATCAAGAACAAGAGAACAGAAAAAGGAAATAGAGATGGAATAGATCGGCGCCGCCAGTGTCGTATCCAGAAATCAGCGAGTCCAGTCCGGTTGAGGCTCTTTTAGCTGGAAGCACTGGACGGGCTGCTGAACGCAACGGACTTCTTCGCCTTTTCCTTTTCAAGGAAATGTTCTGGGCCGTGATTCGCAAAAGTGAAAGTCTTCGGAGCGTTGTCGACGACGGGAGGTTTCCTCGAGCTCGCCGCGCCTCTAACATCCTGTGGTGGTGTATACTCATGTACGAAGAGTTCTCCGGCGCTTTGAGAAGGCTGCTTCTGTGCTTGAGAGGTGACGCCGCGCATGCCTCCTGATGTTCCGTCGGATGTTACRAAGCTGTAATGGCCGCCTTCAGGAGGAGAAATGGTGTTTCGCGAAGGAGCCTGGTATAGGTTTGCGGGCGGTCCGTGGTTCACGAATTGTAAGGGTTGCTGTTGTTGCATCTGTGGTGGGAATGCCATTCCCCCAACTTTGCTTTGGTCGTCAACCAGAGGGCCGGTTGTGAAATGCATGGGAATAATGGGATTGGTGGCATTCGGCGAGTGCTGAGGCGGCACAAATGACATGGCTGACATTKAATGCTCATTGAAAGACGGATTTTGTGGCGGAGTAGTCATGTACGCCTGCATCTTAAGTGGCTGCTGTGGTGGTGCCATGCTCTGGGAGTATTGCTGTGGAGCCATGAATGCGTTGTGAGGGAACGTCTGCTGCGACGCAGGTGCAGACTGAGGCGGCGTATTCTCAGTAATGACATTACTGCCAACCCGTGACTGGAATTGATGATGCGAATGCTGGAGTTGGTGATACATCGGTGTGTGTGGAGGGGAGGTGAACGTCGGCGCGAGTACAGGCACATTGTGTTCAAGATCAGTTTCACTGATGCTTGCTTGACGACTGATTGGGCCAGACGAAGACTGCCACGACGTGAGCGGCGCTCTACCCGTCTCGGCGAGGGACATCTCGCTGGGTGACAGAGGTGTGGGTGGCGCCAAGTGGTCTCCCAGGGAAGCCGACGAGACTTGCCTGGCAAGTCTGGGAGAGTTCATCGCATCAGCGAACGTAAAGTTCATAGGTGATCTCTGAGCAGAGCCTGTTCCAGACTTCGTGACGCGGCCATTTCCAATGCTAGAGCGAATACGTCGAAGTTGCTGCACCGGAGCGAGATTGTTCGACTGGTGACCCGGGGACGCAGGCTGGGCCGCACCGCTGTAGGACTGACTTCGCATGGCTGCAATGCCCAATGTAGCCGGGCGTGGCCTTTGACGCCGAGCAGCAATGCCACCCGTGGTGACAAGCGGGGGCGGAGGGCATTTGAACGCCGCAGATTGGGGTGCCTGTGGGGGTTGAATAGCGAATGAGCTCATTTGCTGTGCAAGAATTGATCCAGTCTGCGAGTCTCGTCGAAGGAAGTCGTCAACAGGCCAAGTCAATGGATTGTCCGCTTGCAATTGTTGCTGTTGCGAGTTCAGCTCATGGAAATCTGCTTCGCTAAATTGCTGTTGGAGTGTGCTCGGGTCGACCGGTATGGATGGTCCGGCCTGCCACTGCGACGAAAGGTCCTGGTGTGACATTTGCTGCATTTGTTGGAGGGCGTCTTCCTGGCTGGAAGGCATTGAAACAGAGGAGCTGCGACTGTCGGCCCATTCGAGAGATTCAGTAGATAGGTTTTGGTGATGCTGCATCATAACGGAGGGCGGGAATGTAGATTGTTCTGAACACGATGATGGGAGACTAGAGTCGTTGCTTGAAATTGGAGCACTCATTGGATGCGGAAAGGCGTAAGCATGCTGAGTCTTGAAGTTGTCCTGGTGCATTTCGGGGAACACCTGCTGGAGATCGGCATCACCTGGGCCATTGGACTGGAAGTCCGCGAAGTGGTTGTTTGACTGAGACAGAGCGAAGGCGTCGAACTGCTCTTGCGTGAGAGTCCTTCTGTTCATCTCTTGCGGACTGTCAAACATGTCCTGAGCCATCTGCTGTGAAATAGCTCCATCGCTGTACTGCTGCCCTGCAGGGGCGAACGGAAGTCCGTGAACAGGCTGCTGATCATGTGTCATAGGCGGTTGACCGACTCCAGATCCGTACGAGGTCGATAGACGATCGCTTTCCGCAAATTGCTGTATCATGGCCATGTAGTCACTAGAAGAGTGGCCCGGTGAGATATCGTAGTCGGAACCGAAGTTGGTGGAATTGCTAGTTTGTTGGTAAATGTTCAGACCTTGCGCCTTCTTTGCATCCTGCTTGGTTTTGGCGCGGCGATTTTGAAACCAGTTCTGTGCACGTATCAGGCATGTGTTGATGATAATCGTTCAGATTTCACCGGCAAGTACTTACATTGACCTTTTCCAGCGATACGTTCAGTGTCTCCGCAAAACTCTTCTTAGTGCTGGTGTTGGGTTTATGCTGTTTCTGGTAATGCGACTCGAGAATGTCATGCTGCTCCTTGGTAAGACGTGGCTTGATGTCGCAGGATATGCCATTCGCCAGGGAGGTGGAGTAGAAGCTGGGCATGGACGGATCATGCATAGACGGGTCTGACGGTGCYGTCGAGTAAGAATGTGCTTGATAATGTGGGTGCTGTGGGTGCTGTGTGTGTTGCATGTGTTGTGGTTGGTGCTGTGTGTGCTGTGTGTGGGGGTGCGCTTGCTGTTGCTGTGTGTATCGATCGCCAGTTGTATACAGCTCCGAGTGGTCATGGGCCGCGTACGGGTCGTTGGCGGAGGCGACGAAGGCCATGGCACCGCGGTGTTCCGACGTGCGGTGGTCTTGCGGCGGGTGGATGCAGCAGATCGGGGGGTTTCCGTATGAGGGGCTCAAGCGGCACGGGCAGTCGCGACTGCAGGCTCAGCAGGAGCGACCGACGTGTATTCAAAGCGACAGTGCTGGATGCGATGCGCGATCCTCGCGACCCCAGACGGCTCCGGCGCAGATCCAGGTCCAAGCCCAGGTCTAAGGCGAAATAGTGATGATGCTTGCACGTTCACGGGGCGGAGCGAGCGAGCGGTGGGGGGGAACGAATGAGCGTGGATGGGATAGAGATGGCGAATACCGTGGCGATGGTTAAACGAGAGGATGCTCGATGAGCAGGAGGACGGACGGACGGACAGACGGTGACAGTGAGAAGGAGCAGCAGCCGCGCGAACAAGCGAGCGTAACAGAGTAGGGATGTAGGGCCAGGATGTAGTTTAGGGTGCGAGCAATTGGATTCCCTGGGATTGAGAGGCGCGGTCCCGACCCGCTGTGCCCGTTCGCGAAGCGATTCACCTCCACCTTTTTTCTCTCAGCTCCCACCGTCTCGTCACACCACCAAAAATACATTAATCAAACCCGCGAGTCTGGATCGGTGTTGGCTTCATCGCCTCCGCAGACTCCATTTGCATTTCCTGTCTCTTGAGGAGACATGGCCCTTCGCAGTGCGCGCGTTGAACACCTTGCATTTGATCAAACATGCGAGTCGCCAACACCGCATAATTTGCATGGTAAACAACAACGGCTCCGGCGCCGCCCGTGAGTAATAAGGAGGTTCGCGGGCGCCGCTCGCCCAGAGATTCCCCTTGACGTTCTTTTCCCGTCGGATGATCAGCGCTCTAGTCCCGCAGACTATCAAAATTCTGGGGCTGCTTTATCAAACTTGGGAAAGTCTATGATGGAATGGGATCCATCTCTTCAGATTGAGCGTGAGTTGGTGCGGGACTGCCACGCTCATTGCGTAGTTGTCTGCGCTTGGGCCGGGGCTTGTAGCGTGAGTCGCCCAGCGACGAACGTCGCGTGCAGGATGAACGCATTGATGATAGATTAATCTCCGTTGCATGCATGCGTGGGATGTGGGGATTGCAAAGGAGAAATCGGGCTGGGCTGCCGGCAAGCTCTTGGGTACCTTGCGCACCGTCGTGGTTCATGATTCATCCAACCACCTGCGCATATGTCCACTCATCATACGGAGCAGGCCTTTGCAACCGTCGACCGTTTCCGTTGCCGGTGCTCTGTCGCTGTCGACTGGCCGTCAGCCACGCAACCACCCTTCAGCGTACAGCCTTCCGCCTCGGCCTGAAGCGGTCTCGGTGGAGACGGTGACACAACGTGCCTTGTTCCTGCGTCTGCAAAGATAGCAACGGCGGCGCTCGCTGGGAACGGTAGCATGACGAAAACAAACCCTTGTCCTGTGTGACCATCTTGATGGGAAAGTCGAGATGAGCAGCAAGATCGTGCGCGGCGTCAAGCCCCAAAGCACAAAGCACGCTGCACGTTGCACTACACGCTCGCCGCGACTCGGCAGCCTTCACACCGCACCTTCCCTTGCAATCACAACGACCCTGCCACACCGCAACGTCTGAACGTGTTTGGAAGGTCCGACGACTACGTGGATCCATTCCTATTGCGTCTTCCTTCCTCTTGGCTGCTTGGCTCGATCTGCGGTCGATTTGCTAAGCTGTCGGCCTCTAGAGGCTATGCTGTTCTGAACACTCTCAATATGCGAGTGTGATTATTCTTTCGAGGTATGTTGAATCGATCATCGGGCATTCGGCATTCAAAGTGGAAAGCTCCATCAGCCCTACATGTACCTTACAGACCAAAGCAAGCCCGTGTCGCAACGTGGTCCGTCTCATTGGCCACAAGCTACGTGCCGTACATGTATCTCACATACATGTAAACATGCCTATGAGCTTGCTTGCCTTGGCCATGTGTCTTACACATCCGTCCATCTGAGGCTTTGAAAGGCGTGCGTACATGTCAACACGTCTGACACGAGCACTGGCGTGTCATCACAACATCTCTACAGAGACATTCCAAACCCACCGCACCGAGACTCTGCATGATCAACTAATTCAAGATATGGATGATTCGAGAGAAAATCTGGATGCTGAGTTGGAAAAGATGAGCCTTTCTCAGGGTGAAGAGGTCAAGCACCAGGGAAGGCTTCACAAAATTTACGAGAAAACGATCAAGCCGGCCTTTCCGGAAGCCATCACGGATCTCAAGATTTTGAGTGGTGTTACCGCATTGGAGACTCGTGTGAAGCACATCATCAAAGATCCGCAGCTTTTCCCGGAGATTCTAGATGTCGCCAAAGTTCGTCGTGGTCTTGAGCTTGGCCCAGAGGTAATTGCAGTGGTGAGGCTGGATTGTTTTGCAGCTCATTTGATCATGATATGCAGGAAATGTTGTTCCGATCGAAACGAAGACTGCGCGTTCGAGACAGCTTTGCTAGGTATTTGGGAATTGATTCCAAGGATGTCCATCCAGATGATGTTCCCATTATATCTTTTGGAGGCAGTGGTGGAGGCTTTCGAGCCATGGTGAGATGCCCTGCTTCTTTGTCTTGTTTGTGAAGAGTCCATCTGGATGCTGACACACCTGCTGTAGATAGGTGTTCTCGGCTACTGCGAACAGATGAAGAAGGCCGGACTATGGGACTGTCTTACTTACGTGGCAGGTGTCTCTGGGTCATGCTGGTCTCTGGCTGCCTACTACAGCTTTGGACGTGCCAGTATGCAGAGTGTAATCGACCACTGCAGGAAACGATTCAGCCCTCACCACCCCTTGTCCGGTGATGCCATACGGATTATGCTGAGCGCACCCGGGGGTACCATGGCACTACTCGGGCCCCTCATTCAGAAAACTAGAAGTGGTCTCTCTATCGTTGCAATGGATCTGTATTCTGTGTTTACGACTGGGTGGATCTTTCTCGAAGGTAGTTCTGAGGATGCGGCTTATAAAGAACCAATTGGCCACCAGCATGCCTGGCATAGATTCTCGAGCTCGAGAAGATACACCGACGACGGGAGCGAGCCTTTACCTATCCTGACTGCTGTCCGCCATGAGAGGCCGTGGAAAGACTGGGTTGACAAGGAGCATCCATTCAAGGAAGTCCACGCTGCTGGTGAACACGCCGAACCAAATCCAGAAGCATGGTTTCAGTGGTTCGAAATGACGCCGTATGAGGTGGGTTGCGATGAGTTGGAAGCGTGGGTGCCAACTTGGGGATTTGGACGGCCATTCGAGGGGGGATTATCTACCATGCAGCTGCCTGAGCAGTCGCTCATGCTATTACTAGGACTAGCTACCAGTGCTCCGGCAGGGCCACTCACTTCCTATCTGTCCACCATCAGTCGAAATCTCCCGAGAGGATTCCTTGGGAATACTGTCCACAAACTCGCAAGCGGCATGAGTAGGCTCTGGGGCAAAGATGGCACCGAGGAGTTTGAAAATCATCATCCTTTACATGCTTGCAACGAGCACAACTTTCTGTACCACTACAGTCCTCTTGAACCTGGTCAAGCAAGAATTGGTCTGGAGAATTCGCCCCGCATCCACCTGATTGATTCCGGAATGGACAATAACTGTCCGACATATGTCCTTTTACATCCAAAGCGGAAAGTAGATGTCATCATCAACATGGATGCTTCCTCCGACGTTCAGAAGGATACGTTCCAAGACCGGGTGGACCAGATAGGAAGTCGTCGAGGTCTCAAGTTTACGWAGCGCGTAGATGGCGAGGGTCGCGCAGAGCATGTGAATCACCGAGCAAACGAGAAAGACGAAGATCGAGAGAGCAAACCAAACCAATTCAAAGGAAGATACGCTCAAATATATGACGGTATTTCTTGCGACCGCCCGTCCAGCGTGATCGATGCATACGGAAGGGAAGTCAAGAATCCACCAGCACCAATCTACGAACAGGACGCGGTAACGATGGTCTACATGCCTCTTCTCCCAAACGAACGAGCAGCACCAGGCTTTGATCCTTCCACTGCGAGCTTCTCTGGATCTTACAATCTGGTGTGGACGGAAGACCAAGTTTCATTTCTCGTTGAAGTGTGTGCCTCCAATTTCGAAGATGGCCAAGAAACCGTGAAAACTGCCCTTCGCGAGGCCTGGGAGAGGAAAAAGCACCGACGTGAGCGAGCATAGGGCTTGTTTCGCCTGAGAATGCCAGCGTTTGGTCTAACGGCCTGTCACGTTATGATGGTTGGGAATCCTGCGTTTTGGTAACTTTCAACGTTCTAATCCTCGGAATTTTGAACCGCCATTTCAACCAGGTTTAAGCATATTCCTAAAGAAGAATATGGTACAGTACCCTTCTACTGATTGTGTTGATACCTCGCATGTCGATTCGTGGAGTGATTCGTCGACTGTGTTCAGGCAAGCAATGAGTTGCTTACCCGAATACTAATCTTGCCAGTCTTGCCGTCGAACCGCGAGAGAGTCACGCTTTCCATATCCCGTACTATCCAGTCTGCACCAGCTTGCTTGAGCTTCTCAATGCTGTGTGTCGTTGCCAATGCGACCACGCGGTAGCCTGCAGCTTTGCCAGCCATTACACCAGCGGGAGCGTCTTCCAGCACCAGAATGTCACTGGTTTTTATGCCCAATCGCTCTGCTCCCAGACGGTAGCATGCGGGATCTGGTTTGCCTTGCTGAACTTCCTCGGCTGTGACCATGAAACGTGGGTGGGCCAGTTTCATGACGTCCAGCCATCCTGAGACCAATGGTCTCGTTCCAGAAGTGACGATAGCCCACGGAGCTCGCGCAGCTTCGAGTTGCTCGAGTAGTATCCTGCCTGTTGAGGCGTCAGTGAACTTCCTCGATCGATGATCAATGAGTAAACAGCCAATGTAGCGTCCATCTACAAGTACATGCGAGCTTCACCCGCAAGACTTCTCACTTACTGCCTGGAATCTCGATTGCGTCTTGGCCATAATTGACAGGAATAGCGCCCTCGGCTTTACAAATATATTCCCAATTCGCCAGATGTGGCGCCAGAATGGCAAGCACATCGATCGATCTTCGTCCATGTGAAGTTTCCAGAATTTCATCGCCTGCAACAACAACACGTCAGATGATCAGACATCACTCACATGCAATAATAATAATAACACCTTGAACGCTTACCAGGAACTCCAATCTCCCTTCCTATCTGATGCCAGTGCTTGACGATCGCCGGCGTGCTGTCTATGATCGTTCCATCCACTTTTCTTCTGTCAGCTTGGTAATTCCCCCGGAAACGATCGAAAGCTCAAGACATACTGTCGAAAAGCTGCTTCACTTTTAGCAACTGAATGAGTATTGGATCACATCCAGACATACCAGCGCGTCGAAATCATGCACTTCTGGCATTCCGCCAAAATTGTTATCCTCGTGGTGCGGCATTGTCGTTGAGTTAGCTGGAATATGCCAGGACTTGTGATTGTGATTGTTAGATGCCACGTAATGAACAGGACGAAAGGCCTTGGTGGCTTTGGGCTTCGATGTGTCGAAGCAAACGGTGTTGTTGTTGAGTGAGGTTTCTTGTCATCGAGATTTCGGAGGCCGACAAGCGGACCCTTTACTCTTTTGGGTATTGCGAAAATGTTGCGGAGCGACAAATCAGGAGATGGTCCGCTTCATTCCTCCAAGGGTGAATTGGACAAAGCCTATCACGTCGTCGTGTCATGTCTACGGACAGAGCCAWACGATACAGAGCATAGGAATGGGGACAAGGCGGCGGACGAGAGCTTCAACGAGTAATCAGCTGCTTCACAAAGCCAGCTCACCGCAGCAGCATTTCGATATTGTGATTATTTTTGCTTCCGCTTTCATTTCATCTACAACTTCTCTTGACCCATCCCCTACTGAAAGATAAGGTTGACTTCACCGGCACTTCTCGCAGCGAATCTCCGACAAGTGCCTTGTGAAAGAAGAGTGTTGCAAACCATCATCTTCCATCTTCGATGACGACAGCGAAATAGTTACACTGTGTGCCTTGAGCTCCGGTCGCTATGCAAATGAGCAGCAGCAGCAGCAGCAGCAGAATTCGAACCTTGCCCAGTCCACGCTTTGAAAGCTACCCATGCGCAGGGCAGCAAAAATAAAGAGCACAACGTCAATCAACGCACCATAACGCCTTCCCAGAACGACCGACCCCTCGATTCATGCTGGTCGTCAATCAAATAAAACTTTGTAGTCATGCTTTTTCAGAGAATATGCAGCCGGGAACGCCGAAGGGACAGAACCGTAAGCTTCGCATGCGTACTCAATCGCCTCCAAGGAACATACGCAGCGGCAGCTGAGAAAATCAGCATGACGAAGCGTTGAAATCGCTTCCAGCCTATTCGAGGCGAGCTCGTTTTGCGTAGTCGTGGTAAGCCGATCGATACCATATGCGAGACGAGATGTTGCGGTATTCGCAATTGATAGAATTGTGTCGCTTGTGACCAAAGGCCACTATGCCTCGAGGCTCTGTTTGATGCCATCATCAAGAATATCTGCCAGCTTCTTGCGGTTCTTGAGATTCAGAGCGCCGTTGCGCCAAGCCTGACGAAGTTGCTTGTGTGCCTGGCCATTCAGAACTGATGGCTCAGCTTTAACGAGGTCAACGTAGTCCTTGACGATGTGATCGCGGATGGGGTTACTGCTGGCCAGAGCGTTGGCGTAATACTGAACGAGGTTCTGCAACCCAACCGGACTGCGGCGTTGCTGAGCATCGTCCCCGGCGAAGTACTTGAACTCGCCGTACATCCTGTTGTTGAAGTTACGGATAAGAAAGTGAGACCAGAACTGGTAAAGGACGTCGAGGTCGTATGGACACGCTCCTGTGGCAGCTTGTTCACGCTGTTTCAGTGCCTTTACTCGCAGTTGAACGTAAGGCTCGAGTGCGGCGTCTTGTGGCAGGCTTTCCAGTGGCACGTCCTTGTCCTTTACCCACAGCAGCATCAGCTCATTGGTCGCGTCGGTCTTTCCCGAGGAGCGACCGAGGCTTGGGCTTGCATGGCGAGAGGGTGTTGCATGTGGTGAGTCACCATTCATGACAGTCTCTCCGTTGGCAATTGGATGGGTTTGGTCCTCGACTGACTTCTCCTTGTCCGTTCCTGCGTACACACTGCCAGTATCAATAGATCCGTTGGAAAACGTGCGAGAAGCGGCGTTGTGGTGCGGCTTCGCGCGTGGCTGATTCATCTTGACGACAACGGTGAGAGAGCTGATGTGTTCGTCTGCGAACACATCGGGCTCCATGGTCCTGTCGTCGATAGGAGCAGCAAACGAATGGCTTGTCGGGGATCCATTGACTGGGGACTTGGCGGCGCGACCGCGATTCTCCTCTCCGATGGTAAAGCCGCCATATGACGTGTCTAGAAATGGTGACATGGGCGAAAAGAGCGACACGCCGCCATTCATGGCAAAGCTCGAATCTTGAGATCCCCTGGGCGCTTGGAAACCAGCCGACGGACCCCGAAATGCTGGCGTTTGTTGTGCAGGCCAATATGGCAGCTGGACAGGCTCTGGACGGTGGAGTTCTTTAGGACCGCTCGTCTGGGCGCCTGCCTCTCGTTGGTCCATTGGAAGGACAAATTGTCCCCATCCCTCTCTCCGTCGAAGACGCTCATTGCCGTCCTCGCCGACGCGGATCTCGATGACCTCTGATCTGAGGCAGACAAACTTGATTAGGTCCTTGTCAACGGTGAGCTGCTTCAAACGGTTGAAGTTAGCAATGACGTCCAGGAAGACGAAACCTTGCGTGTCCATGTTCTTGCGCAAGAACATGTCTTTCAGCAAATTGTCAAGAGAGAAGTAGTACTCCAGTTGAGTGCTGACCATGTCTATGACATACTGAGGTTCCATCATTGGACTGAAAGGTGCCGATGACATCGMCATGGCACCAGGGTACTCATACATCCCAGGATAGTATGTCTGCACCGGTGGACCTTGCGGGCGGCTGTACATCTGTTCCATAGGAATTGAATGTGAGCGAGAGTTGCCGCCACGAGTCCAACCCCCACGTCCCGGCTGGGCGTAGGCATACGGATGGCCGCCACGTGTAGGCTGGAAGGAAGACGGAGATTGAGGCACGCCATATATCGCCGCGCCGTAGTCAGTGTGGCCGTTGGTGAATGATGCACTTGGCTGGTGCCCATTTGCAAACTCGCGCGTACCGCCTCTGCCACGGCCACCTCGGGTCTTCCCACGACCACCAGTGAACTCCTTGCCATTCGCTCCGAAACTCTCGTGGTTGGACCGAGATTCCTTCTTTTGTTCGAAAGATGTCTTTTTGGTGGATGCATCGCGTGGAGCCTCTGATACTTCGCGAACCTCGTGCGAGACATTGCGTAAGCTGGAATCCGAGTTCTTGGCGTCTTGCCCGTCTAGGTCTGGTTTCGAGGGCGACTTCGGTTGCCGCGATTCGAGACCGACAACAACGCCAGACTGCACTTCTGGCACGTTCCCATTGCCTTCGCGGGATGCACTTGTACCGGCAGGCTTAGCGGGCGGTGGCATCGCCTCGCGATCAACCGTGCTCGAGCGGCCATGGCCGGGGCTGGCGTGCTCGGCCTCACCCTGAGGGCCTGTAGTTCGTGCCACAGAACGCTCGCCGCCCTTTGCTCCACTCGGAGCTGCTCGTAGTCCACCACGGCCTCGTGTTGTTGTACTGCCCCGTCCACCCCGCTCTCCTGCCTGACCGCGTGGACGGTTCATCTCCTCAGTCTGCCACACGATAGTCGGCGTTACTGGCAATGGAGTCCACTTCGTCTTGTCACGAGACTTGCCGGCGGCGCTAGAATCTGCATCGGCCTCGTCAGACTCCTTCTCGGCGATCGCTACCTTGCGCTCCCTCTCCTGGGCGCTGTCGGGCGTCGGCCACGAAGTCTCGTCCTTCACTGGCGGCGGTACCGTGGATGACACGGTGGGCAGACTTTGTGCCTCGCGCTGAGCTGTACGGCTGGGTGTTGCATTGGGAGGCTCAGCATGAACGTTGTCCGCTGCAGATTTAGCGGGCTGGCGTACACTCGTGCGTGGCTCGTTGGCAGCACGCTTGGTCTGAAAGCCATTGGACTTTCTCGAGTCCGCTGTTTGAGATTCAGGCTCTCGCTGTGCACTCGCGGTGGAGTTGGCTTTCTTTCTCGGCTCGGCTTTGGGTCGTACATTTTCCTTGGACTGTAGCGTCGGTGCAGTAATTTTGGTTGCCTGCGATGTAGCGGGTTTCGCCTTGGTGGCATCTTCCATGCGCTTGGCCCAAATGTTAACTTGCGGGGGAGGAGCCTCATGCAAGACGATGGGCTTTTGCGCAGGCTGCGTCAAAGCGGGTTCCTTGGCCTCCTTGGCCTCCTTCTTCCCACGCTTACTTGAGCCGGTGCCCGTCGCTGGTGCCGTGCTGTTACTTTCCTCGTGGTGACCAGTGGTCTGACGCTCCTTGCGCTCCGCAATCCAAGCCGGCTCCGAATTTTGTGATTTAGTCTCCCAAGTCGTATCAGAGGGTGATGTTCCATTGGGCGCCGAGGAGTCATCAGTATGGGTCGTGCTGGATGTCGCGACCAGATCTGGCGAGGAAACGCCAGAAGACGCAATCTGGATCTTGCTTTCGGATTTGGTACGCTCAACGGCACTGTCCTTGACCGCTGGTGCCTTGTCGTGATCCTTCGTCTCTTTCGCCTCTTGTACTTCCTTCGGCTCCTTCTCCTCCAGGTCGGGTTTCCTCAACTCGACAGTCTTCTCTCCCTCTGTAGCCTCGACATCATCAGCCCAGTTGCTATTGGGCGTCAGCTCGGAGAATGTGCCGGGTGCGGGCGTCGCGGTGCCCGAAGCCGCCTTGCTCGAAGGTGTTTGTGAACTTGCGGCAGCGGCTCGCCCTTTGGCCGCCTGCGCGTAGGAAAAGCCGTTGGGGCTTTGAGTGGACGTAGCCATTGCGACGATTCAATGCTACCAAGTACGACGACGAGATGGCCAGTGGCTTTCTCAAGTCCCGCACTCGGGGTTGCCCAGCAGGGCGTGTTCCAAAAAATTCCCAGCAGCACTTGCCGCTCGCGCACTCCTCCGAGGGTAGTTGATGCAGACGGCTGACTAGGATGTGCTACCCACAGGCGGCACACAGGGTATCTGTACACTCGAGTTTTCTCTTGAATTGGGGTGATCCGTTCCAAGCCGGGCGAAGATCGCGCGAGTCTCGTGTCGAGTGCGCTGCCGGTGCGGGATTTAGCTGCAGGCGGCGGGTCAGCGGGGTGGTTGGAAGGACCGAGCAGCCGTGCGAGCAACGATGTGTCGCAGACGAGACGAATGTCGAAGTATGCGGGAGATGAAGAGCAGACGTACCAAGGCAGTTAAACTTTGTTGTCGCGGGCTGCTAGCTAGCACGCTGATCGAAAAAAAGATGGAGCAATTCCCGCTCGTTGGATTCGATTGATGTGAATGCGGCCCAAAGCAGTTGGCGGAAGTCTCGGTGAGGACACGCTCAATCGATGGCAACAATTACCAGGGAATTGCGGGTGGCGGAGAACGAAGCGTGGACCAGGAAGTCGGGTGGTGAGTGGGAAGAAATGAGCAAAGCCGGCAGGCGGAAGTTCAGATTTTCAAATCAGACCGCGGTGGACCGGATGGATCCTGCTGCGTGCTTGCCAATGATGGTGAGAGACGCTTTCCTCGGATGAACACGCTTCCACACTGCGCAGAAAAGACGGTGCACCCCACGGAAAACCTGTCTGATCTTCAAAGCGAGCGTATTTCGCGGTGCGTTGGTGAGAGCAAGTTCGTTTTCACTTTACTTTACGAGAAGACGCTAGCGGCAGAGAAGCTCCTCTCCTCCCGAAGATAAATGTAGCTCCACGCTTTCAGGTGACTCTACGGTACCTAGGTACTCTACGTCTTCCGTACACACTACGTCTCTTCCAAGCCTTCCGCCTTCGAATTGTATCACTGCGTCCAATGGATTTGTCAACCCTCACTGTCAGCAGATCGCAGACCGCAGGTGGAAAGCCATCCTCAATCATGTTCAACAGCTCCCAAATCGTCGTCATCAGCGCCATCATTGAGATGCACCAAATCTCTAAATCTCGACTTTAGTGATCACACAATCGCGCAAAGATCATGCTTTCGCTCATTCTCAACTGCCGTCGACTATGACCGCGACACGATCGGAAGCTCACATAGTCATTTCGGCACAGGTTTCATCAGACTTCCTACACGAAGTAAAGCAGAAGATGCATGGCCAGTCGAGCTATGCGAGCGCTTAGTCCGGGCGACGAGAGAATCTTTGCTTGGCTTGCGAAGAGCTTGTAGCTGCCAACGGCTTTGGTATACTCGGCAGTGCATATGTCCCAAGTCTTCTGCTTTGAATGCTCGTAAACTGTCTCGGCTATGTTGTCGCAGCGGCTTGCGGATTTGAGCGTGGTACACACAAGGCCCGACAAATTGAAGACCGCCGCCAACAACGACAACAGGAGTGAGAAGACGACATTCCCTGGTGAATTTGACTCTCCGCAAGGCGGCTTCATTTGTGAATTCAGGTTCCTGTTCGCGGGCGTTGTCATCTATTCAAAACAAGCAGAAGGCAAGCTTCATTTTCAACCTCCGTTGGGAGCATTGCGCAGGTTCAAGTTCGCGCGGATACATCATCTAAAGATCCACACGTGTCTGAGCTGCGGCTACCCCAAACAGACCAGATGCCCGGACCACTGCGACAGGACAACGCAGCAGTTCTCGCCTGTCACTTGCTGGACCAAATGGTCTGTAGCGATGGAGGAGCGTGCCGCAGGTTATTGACCACTGGGTGACGTGCATCACAAGGGAACCAGTCGTAGCGCACATCTTCACGGGTCACAGCAGTCCAGGTGATACGGAATGTATTCCTGGAACTTTTGGCATTGGAATAGACATTCTTGAAGCAGGGATCGCGTTGGTGCGTCGAAACAGAAACTGTCGGCGCATGTGGCATGAATGCGACTTCGAGTTGATCGGGGAGTCTGCACGGTGGCAAACAGCCATGGTCGCCAGGTTTGTTGTTCGTCAACTCGAACCACCATTCAATTCTTTCGCTTCGTTTTCTTGCTGCCTTTTGTAGCATCTGATCCCGTGACATTCCCGACCTGGCTGTCTTGGTCAAGAGCTTGCACATGAGCAGTGGGCGCTGCCAACTCATCACGTTCGTCTCTGCTTGCATTCTTCAGGTCCGCATCGCCAATCACCTCGACGGTTGTAGCAAGCCATTTCTGGAATGGCTGTGACACAAAGAAGCCGTCGGAAGTGAACCATGTTGTAAAAGGAGCCTTGATCTGCCATGTGCTTGGGGTAGAGCCCGGGTTGGTCACGGAGACCTCCAGGTAGTACGTCGGATCATGCTTCTTCGTCTTTGATGTGATCGATATCTTTTGGACCGTTCGTCAGATCATCTGTGCTGCCTGCATCTGAATAGTTCTTCAATATGAATCTTACCTTGTGACCATTCCTCTCGCCTTCAAACACCAGGCCCTTCTCCACGAAATACATCCAGTAGGTCAGGGCGCTGTTGAGTACAACATACACCGCGACGGCGACTGCTGTCCAGACTCGAGTCGCCTCCCATCCTAGTTTGTAATCTGCCGCGAATGTCGCGCCTGCAATGACAACTGCAACATATCCCAACGCTAATCGCACGTCGAGCTTGCTGTTGTCTTGCTTGAAGTTGAGTCCGCGTAGGTAGTTGCCCAGAGCATCGTCGGTCGTGTTCTTTAGATCGTTCAGCGAATATGGTGATATGCGGCCCTCAGACATGCTGGATGATCGGGGTTTCAATCAAGTTTTGAGGGGGATGGTGTAGGAAGGTGTTCAGAACGTGAGGCCTTGAATTGTCAAAGGTAAGGTACCTTAGCTAAAGGACAACTCGCTTCGGCAGAAGTTCCGAAACCCTATTGAAGCCTAGCCTGGGACTTCGTCTCATCCACGACCGTCGACCGGGGACTTCAATCCTGCCTGAAGACCTGTTCAGAAATCGAATCAAGTCTCTCGAAGTCCACTCGGAAATGGCCGCCCAAATGGAACAGCAGATCCATCGGGATCCTGCGCTTTTGTACGCCGTATCGCTGGACAGCAAACGAGACGTGAGCTAACGGACATGTATTAGCTACTGGATTCTGCTGCCCATTACCGTTGTCATRATTCTGACTGGTATTCTCCGCCACTACCTTTCTACACTACTTCAGACGATACCAAAGAAGCAGCCGCTCGCAAAAACGCGCCAACAACGCTCTCTCATGCACGCTCAGACTCTCCGCGCGAACTACCAGCAAATATCTAAATCGGCATTCGAGCGACGAAAGGAGGTGTTCATTGATGGTGTCAAGGATGGTAGATTCTTGGCTGATCCTGAGAATCGGGGAAAGCCCCCGGCGAACCCAATGACGGACCCTGCCATGATGGAGGGCATGATGGGCATGATGAAGGGCAATGTTGCGATGATGGTGCCACAGAGCTTGATTATGGGCTGGATCAACGCTTTCTTCTCCGGATATGTGATCAGTGAGTAATATATGCTGCCGCCATTGGGGATACACTCCTAATGTTGTCCGTAGTGAAACTGCCCTTTCCGCTTACGCCACAGTTCAAGCAAATGCTGCAAGCAGGTGTTGGTACCAGGGATCTGGACGTGCGGTGGGTTTCAAGTTTGAGCTGGTATTTCCTTACTTTGTTCGGCTTGCAACCAGTTTACAACTTCATCCTAGGGAGCAATAATGGTAAGAACTTCACCCAGCTGACTTGACTATTTACTGATTCTTTTAAAAAAGCCGCTGCCCAGGTGACCCAACAAATGGCACAGTCTCAAATGGGGGTCAATCCTATGGGAGGTGCCGAGGACCCAGAGAAGCCGTTCAAGGCGGAGATTGAGAACTTGGAGGTCATCGAACACACGTACATCCTGGAAGGTATAGAGGATAGATTACTCGCAAAGCTGGGCTCTGTATAATTACATATACTGAATGAAGAAGCTTCTCCTGGGTGTCATTTCAACAAAGGCTAGCTCTTCGATATTATATGCTTTTTGATGCCCGAGGCTCTCCTAGTTTGGGATGCACCCAAAAATCAGCACAGAAGTACGTGTATCGAGTACAGCTTTGAAGCATATACCTATGTACAGTACAGCAGTTATGCATCCGTGCGCGGATGATTATGTCATGCATAAATCGGCTCTGGAGGTAAACTTCGCGTACCTTACCTATGCATGCAACTAATCAGCCATCAACCATCGAACATTGGATACATCGGTATATTGCGTTCCAAGACCTCAAGTTGTCCAACATTGCAGTACCCGGGCTCTAGAACGAGACTACACGAACAAGTGTCCCAATTGACTGACCAAAGGCCCCTGTGGCCGTTCCTGAGTTGAGATGGCAGCATTTCGAACACGACTATGGCCTCGCTGCGGCTTTCCCAAAAATGCGGCAAGTCTCAACAACTTGCAAAGGCGCCACTACGCTTTAGAGGCCAATGATTTTGAAGGCATGCTCAAGCAAAAGTCCTTATGGGAGACATTCCCCGATCACATCCAAAAGCTCGCAGTCTTTGTATGCATGAATTTGAATACAACCCCTTCCTATACGCCGCATCGCTAACATATTATGTAGGGTACGTTTAAGGAAATGAATAGCCACGCAGGTTTGTCATAGTCACTGACTATACCCTTAGCTGAGCACGCCCGGGCCAACAATTACCAAATACCCCTGATATCGAAAGCAGCTGCAGGAGGACTCGACCAGAAGAAAGCCTACCACGTTGCAGCCGCCATTCGGCAGTTACGAGAAATGAATGGCGAGATTGCTGCTGGACGCAAAATTGGATTTACCAATAACGCATTACGGAAACAATACAGCATCGATGCCAGCAACTGGAGCTACGTCTATCGTAATACCGTAGTGGATATTCCGGCAGAAGGTCTCAAGGAAGGAAAGTCGGTGCTAGCGAACATCTCCCATCTTTCTCAATTAGAACCCAAGATCGAGCCTGAGATTATCTTTGGGTTGAAACAGCCTATCCAGTCGACCATGAACGATGTCGAAATGCTGGAATGTGTAGACTGGATAGCACATGGCTTCGAGATTGTGGCATCCATCTTTCCTGGCTGGAAGTTCACTGCGGCAGATACGACTGCGGCGTTCGCTCTGCATGGACTTCTGCTCGTAGGTCCCCCAATGCAGCTAGCAGGCCACTCGCAGAACTCGGGTGCTTTGCTCGAGAACCTTCCAAGTTTCAATGTTGAGCTGTATCGGAATGGGCAGATGGAAGATAGTGGGACGGGTAGCAATGTCCTGGGGAGCCCTCTGAACGCATTGAGACATCTGGCAGAGCTCCTTGAGAAAGACGACCACAATCAACCTCTTCAGGCAGGTGAGATCATCACTACTGGAACTCTGACGAAAGCGTCGAGTATCAAGAATGGCGATACGTGGAGTACTAAACTTCGTGGGATTGATCTGCCTGGACTCAATGTCACCTTCCGTGTATGAAGATGGACCTTATTGCCAGAATTGAACAGCTAGCGCGCCAGGCATTGGACGTTCGCGTACGTGGAGCTACCGAGGAGTTTAGACTCGCAGGGCGGTGAAGATATCGACAATCTTGGGCCATAATGTGGCCATGCTGCGAGGCTGGCTCATCCCAAGGCCTGTGCGTTCCACGATATCACGGCAGAGCCTCATTGATTTGAGGACAGACTATTTCCGAATTGAATGCCTGTCTGAGTGCCGAGCGTGTGCGTTGGACACACTCCATCGCGCTGTGGATAATGTAGTAGACCTGATACTCTGCTCTAGAGGGTCGATTGGAGCTGGAGTGTAATGTACAATATTCTACAACAGAGCACGCTTCTAACACTGCTCAGAGCTTCTCGCTATACTTCTCCATCCTCTCGACAAGATCCTCCAGGCCAACCTCTTCCCTCACACCGAGCCTACGACACTGTAGTTCAACCGCTCGGCGCTGCTTCCAGGCTTTACCTAAGATGACGATAAAGGGGTACCCAATCAAATCAGCATCATTTAGCTTCCAGCCCATAGGTCTCTCGCGGTCGTCAATGATGGCGTCCAAAGTCTGGGATGTTTGGTCGTACACAGCCTCTAGATCTTGTGCCGTTGTGCTCCCCGCACCAATGATGTTCACAACAAAAGGTGCAATAGACGCGGGCCAATTGAGACCCTTATCATCTGCCAGAAGAGATGCAACAGCGCCGATAAGGCGAGAGACTCCTATCCCATGGCAGCCCATTTGAATCTCGACTTCTGTGTTTTGTTCACTTTTGAAGGTCGCATCAAAAGGTTTGCTGTAGCGAGTCCCGAGGTGGAAAGTATGTCCGATCTCAACAGCCCGTGAAAACGAGAGTTCTTTTGCACCACAGCTTGGACAGGCATCATCGGGTCGAGGCTTAGTGAGGGAGAATGGCGCATCTTCAAGCTCAATCATCGCCGATGTTGACTTATAGCTTTTCAAAATAGATGCCCGCGGTATTCGGGGGTCATGTATCAGTCTCTTTGGTCTGTGGGTCTTGGACACGTTTTGTTCGTCGGAGTTCGCTTTCAGAAGGTGGGCGATCGACTTGCCACTAGTGTCTAGGTCCTTCACCAGCTCTTTCAATGCGTGAATATTGATTTCGTACGATCCTTGCGGGAGGAATACTTCTATCAACTCCTTGGTCCGGTCGCTGACCTGGGCAGTCTCGACTGATTCTGGAAATTGCGGCTGAGGCGCAATGCTGTGCTCCACAGGGCTGATCGTGCGCCCTACCCACGTCTGAAATGGAATGTTCGTTTCATCTGTAGGAGCAACTACACTTGCCGGACGCCACAGTTCCTCGTTCACTGTATATTTGCACGATCTGCAGCTGATGATGGAATCTTCGCCCTGATCCGTCGAGAAGTGGTACTCGTGGCTGTGAGACCCGCCCATGCTCCCCGAAGCAGCGTCTGCCACCAAATATGGTAGGTTCACGTCATCGAGGAAACCTCGGTATGCTTTTGAGACATCGGCATATGTCTCCATAGCCTTTTGTTCGGTGATATCAAACGTGTAMAGGTCTTTCATGACGAATTCACGTCCTCTCAATAGACCCTGTCGTGGCCGAGCTTCGTCGCGATACTTCCTGCTAACCTGATAGAGTCGCAAAGGGAGGTCTTTGTAGGACTGAACAGCATGCTTCACGATTGATGTAATCTCTTCTTCGTGGGTTGGCGAAAGAAGGAAACGACTTCCCTTTCGATCTTCAAGTCGGAAGAGTTCCGAGTCCTTGCCTTCGAGTCGACCAGATCGTTCCCAGAGAGCCTGAGATGAAAGGGAAGACAGTGATACTTTTGAAGCGCCAACACTCCGCATGTGTTTGTCAATTAAGCGTTCGATATTGTCCTGCACGCGGAGACCAAGTGGCAGAAGGTGAAAGACGCCGGCATGGGCCTGGCGAAGGAAACCAGCACGCACAAGCAGATCATACCCATCTTCCCGGTCATCTGCTGACGAAGACTTTGGCTTGTTTTGTGTCGGCGTCCAAAAGTTGCTCAATCTGTTGCGTCCGTCTGTCTGATGTGATGATTAGATGTGTGCGTTAAGAAAGAACATTGCAACTCACGTGTAGACCGCGTCGCTGCGGTCGAACGCCCCAGCGCCACAGCCTCTGCAGACCATCATGCGCGGGCATTCGGGATAAGAGAGCGTGATGTTGATGATATATCTTCGATTCAAACAAGGATTGGGACGTCGTGTGGTGGACGCGAGCGAAAGGTGGCCCGTGCGCGAGGTCTCGCCAAACTTTCCAGGCCTTCGAACTTTTTTTGGACCGTCCGGAGTCGAAGCTTTTCAATCAACATACAATCGTTACGATGAACGGAAAGCGCAAGGCATTCAGCGGTGATTCCCGGCCTCCGAAGAAGCAGAAGCCCGATGCGGCGCGAAAGGAGGAGAAGAAGGCGGCGCTTTTGTTCACTGCAAGACCARATTGGCATGCAGAACCTCTGCCCGCGCTCGCTGGTAAAGACGATGGACGGAATTTGAGCATGCCGCCGCCGCGGGTGGTTGAAGAACTGTTACAATATGCGATGGAGCTGCTGGAGGCGGAAAATGCGACATATGGCGCTTCACACATGACGGGCTCATCCTCGCATAAGTTCTTGTCGACCATTATGTCGTCTGGAACACTGGAGGACAAGGTCTCGGCGTTGACGCTGCTGGTACAAGAGTCGCCACTGCATACGATGAAGGCGTTTGATAACTTGCTTGGGTTGTCACGGAAGAAGAGTCGAAACCAAGCATTAATGGCCGTGGCCGCGCTCAAGGATTTGCTGGGACAGGGTGTTGTGCTGCCGGGGGATCGGAAACTGCGAGCATTCGGGAGACAGCCCGGTCTGATAAGTGCTATGCAAGGAAAGGCCGCGAGCTGGTCGTATGGTGAGCCACTTCCCGGTGGATTGGAGAAGATCCACATATTAGTCTGGGCTTTCGAGGACTGGCTAAAGAAGAAGTACTTTGAGCTGCTGGGAGTTCTGGAGACATGGTGCAACGACGAGATTGAATACTCGCGTAGTCGTGCCATCACCTACGTGTGGGAGCTGCTGAAGGACAAGCCGGAGCAAGAAGAGAATCTGCTACGCCTACTGGTCAACAAGTTGGGAGACACCGATCGCAAGATTGCCTCCCGCGCATCATACCTGCTGCTACAGCTAGAGGTTACGCATCCCGCCATGAAGCTGATTATTACCAACAGCGTTGAAGCAGACAGTCTCTTTCGCCCGGGTCAGAGCGACCACGCCAAGTACTATGCCATCATCACCCTCAACCAGACGATCCTCAGCCAAAAGGAGCAGGAACTGGCCAATCGACTTCTGGAAATCTACTTTGCCCTTTTCGTCCAACTTTTGAAGCCAAAGGAGGCCCCCGAGGCCCCGKTCAAGATGAATACCAAAGGTAAACCTCAGGGTGGTGGCGGTAAAGCTGGTAAAATGGCAGCAAAGAAGCGCAAGGCAGAGGAGCGGAGTGACGAATCTGTTGTTCAACTTCATGAGAAGATGGTTGCTCAGGTACTAGCGGGTGTCAACCGTGCATTCCCATTCGCGGACACCAACAGTGCTGCTTTCGACAAGCAGATGGACATGATTTTCCGGGTCGCCCATTCTGCCAACTTCAACACCAGCGTCCAAGCCCTCATGCTCATTCAACAGATCTCTTCAACCAAGCACTACGGCGCGGAAAGGTTTTACAAGACACTATACGAGTCACTATGGGATCCTCGACTCTTTACATCTAGCAAGCAAGTCATGTACCTCAATCTTCTGTACAAGAGCTTGAAGGCGGATCTCAACGCGAGAAGAGTGCAAGCATTTGTTAAGCGGTTACTCCAAGTCATCACCATGCACGAGCCGCCGTTTGTCTGTGGCGTGCTGTACCTGATCAGCGAGCTGGAAGCCACCTTCCCGAGTATCCGGAACATGTTGACTGAGCCGGAGGTAGATGACGAAGACGAAGAAGAGCATTTTGTGGACGTGCCGGAGGATGGTACGTCTGCTCCTCAAATTCAGACATCATCTTCAGAAAGGAAGTCGCTCTACGATCCGCGCAAGCGCGACCCAGAGCATTCGGGTGCAGAGCGGACGTGTCTATGGGAAATTCTCCCTCTCGTCCGTCACTTCCACCCATCTGTCTCCCYCTTCGCTGAGGCGGTCTACGGCAGCAAGGAGATGCCTCCTAAACCAGATCCAACACAGCACAACCTCATGCACTTTCTCGATCGATTCGTCTACCGCAAGCCACGCTCCAAGGAGGCTGTCACTCATGGTAGCTCCATCATGCAGCCACTTGCAGGGACTGCTGGCGCGGACATGCTCATCAGGCCTGGCGACTCAGGGATCAAGACTGYGCCACTCAATACGGAGGCCTTCTGGACGAAGAAGGTCGAAGACGTTGCTGCGGATGAGGTCTTCTTCCACAGCTATTTCAATGCATCAACTAACAAGAAACGGACGTCTGACAAGCCTGAGAAGAAGCAACGCGGTGATGATGAGGATAGTGAGGACGAGCAAGAGGATGAGATCTGGCAGGCGATCGCCAATTCCCGGCCTGACGTTGAAGGACCGGACTCGGATGACGATCTCAGCATGGCCGATCTGGAGAGCGCATACGATGACAGTGAGGAAGAGGCCGATGGCAGTGCCGATGACGAGTCAGAGGCTGGCATTGATCTCGGAGGGGGTGATGATGAGGAGGAGGATGTGGGAGCACAGTTTGAAGACATGGATGGAAGTGACATGGATGAGCTTCCTGAGCTGGACAGTGACGATGAAGATGCCATGTTCGGAGACGACGACGAAGTCGCTGTACCATTGGCAGACGATAAGGAGGACGGACCAGAAGAGGTCGATAAAACGGCACGGAACAAGAAGCAGCGCAATGAGAGAAAGAAACTCAAGCAGCTGCCGGTATTCGCTTCTGCGGACGATTACGCGAAATTGCTGGCGGGAGACGACGACGAAGACTATTAGCCGAGTAAATTGGACAGCGATTCGACTCAAGTCTGGCCATGTTGATATGAAAGTTGCCCTTAGGTACTGTACCGAGTCACTGAAAGTAGCCTCCAACCCCTGCTCTGAAGTTATTTCCCAAGTTTGATCCACTGCTATACGCCTAGCGATGTCACGTCCCCTTGGATGTCAAGATCAGTACACAACACGTGTGATTGTTTTACCACCGCTCCTAAGGGAATCAAGTAACTATCCACGGAAATGCTTCGAGCATAGGGGTGATGAAGCGAGTGCCAAGACTTTGAGATACCAGGTGAATGAAAGCTCGCGGATGCCTGCATGGAAGTTCTCGCTCGAATTCTTGCGAAGCGAGCCAATCATGGTCGGTCTCATCTAGCCGCCAATGAACATGCCAGGCCGACATTCCAGCAGGCGAAGTGTGTTTGCATTTGATATGCTGTACCGCCGGCATGAAGCCTGCGAGAGCCATTCTCATTCATGATTCCTGAGCTCAATTCTAGTTACTGCAACTTTCTTGTTCGCCGTGTATTCCTCATGATTCCGACAGCACATGCAGATAAATGTCAGCCCCTTCCATAATGCTCCTCGCTTATGCCCAACTTCAACAAGGGTATCTCAATTTACAGCTCCAGCTTCCACAATCCATCACCCAGATAGTGCCCGTTCTCAATCCCCGGACCCTTCTTCTTCTCCTTCATCTCCTTGGTGCCCATCTTCAGCACGCCGACCATGCACGCGTTCTCCTTGCCCTCTGCATCGACAACCACAACGTCCCCAGCCTCAATCTCTTTTCCTCCATTCGCATATTCTTCGCCATCATCGCCAGGTAGACGTCCGCCCGGTGATGTGAGTCCCGGCACCATCAGAGCGGCACCTGACAGCACAAAGCGGATGGCACCGCGATCTATCCGAATTCGGTTGAAGCACTGTGGGTACTTGTGCACGACTGTCAAGTGCGGGATGATGGGATCGTCCATGTGTTGCCAGAAGAGCGGCGTGCTCCCTAAGCAGTAGAGTGAAACGCGATCGGGGATCTTGACGAGGTCGATTTGCTCTTTCTTGGGCAGAATGTCGTCGATGTAGGGCTCAATGTTTGGGTAGGTTTCGATGACACGAGCTCTGATTGCTCGCTGGGCAGACGACTTGACCTTGGACTTCGCGCCGGGAGAGAAGTCTTTTTTGAACATGGTAGCGCGTTGTTGTGGTGAAAAAGATTGGAGATGTTGTTGTGAGAGGTTAAACTCGTGAACTCTCCTCGATATCTTCTGCCCTGCCCCACCAAATCGCGGGGTCGTCGTCGTCGGTCTGCCAAGGAACCCTGCTGATCAGTCGGGCGGGAATCAGGGCTACGTTTGACTTTTGGTGTACTTGTAATTATTCTAGACTCCCAACATCAACAGACGACTTTTGGAAGGAACATCCGAGTTGACGTCAAGCTATTTGTTAAGTCCTCCATCAACACACAACGTCAACATGGTACGGTATCCTTTGTTCCAAGCAAATAAGGACCAACTGACACGGTCGTAGGCTGCGCCTGCCGATAGCAAGAAGCGCCTGGCGCTCGCCATCGTCGACTACCTTCAGACCTCGCTCAAGGACGGCACACTACAGCCCGAAGACGCTGATTCGATCGAGATCGCCACCAACTGTATCGCCGAATGCTTCCATGTGGATCCCACGGACCAGGCCGCTGTGAAGGATGCGCTGGGCGGTCAGAACCTGCTGAGCATCTACGGAGTCTACGAGAAGCTGAAGGGCAAGAACACCACATCCACCCCGGCTGCACCTTCAGCTGAGGGGGCTGGTTCGTCTGCGCCGGCACCACAGGGAGCACCGACCGAGGAGAGTGAGAAGCTCAAGGGCTTGGGCAACGCCGCGATGCAGAAGAAGGACTACCAGACAGCGGCCGATCAGTACACAAAGGCACTGGAAGTGTGCCCTCTCAACCCCATCTACCTCTCCAACCGTGCTGCAGCCTTTTCCGCCATGCAGAAGCATGACCTGGCCAAGAACGACGCCGAGCTTGCCACTGCTACGGACCCCAAATACACCAAGGCTTGGTCTCGACTAGGACTGGCTCGCTTTGCGCTTGGTGACGCAAAGGGCTCAATGGAGGCCTACAAGGCGGGTATTGATGCCGAGGGCAACGGTGGCAGTGATGCGATGAAGAGAGGCTACGAGACGGCGAAGCGCAAGGTCGAAGAAGATGACGATATGCCCGACTTGGCGGACGACGATTCAGCACCTGCGACTCGCGGCCCAGGTGGAGCAGGTGGTATGCCAGATCTGAGTGGCTTGGCGTCTATGCTTGGTGGCGGAGGTGCCGGAGGCGGCGGCATGGTAAGGATATTAAAGACGATGGCTTGCGGACGTGGCCAGAACTTGGGTTCAAGCTACGTCCAAGGTCCCTTCGTTTCACCCCTTGTTAAAAGCATTGCTAACCCCATTTTGAACAGCCCGACCTTGGCTCCCTGATGCAGAATCCGATGATGCGACAGATGGCCCAGTCACTCATGTCAAACCCGGACATGATGAACAACCTCATGGGATCACTCGGTGGTGCCGGCCGCGGCGGTGGCGGTGGCGGCATGCCAGATCTTTCTGCGATTATGAACGACCCAAACATCGCCGAAATGTGAGTAGTTCCGTCCTCTCGTGAGAGCCAAGCACTGACAATGAACAGGGCACGTAACTTCATGGGCGGTGCAGGCGGTGCTGGTGGTGCAGGTGGTGCAGGCGCGGGACGTGGCGCCGGCGGAAACCAATGAGGCTCTTCAAGCATATTGCATACCAGTCACAAGAACGAAGAATTGAATGTTGTCACATACAAGATCCGGCGGCTGGCGCTCGATTGGCGGATCTCAGGAGCCTTGACCATGCAGCTAAAGCTGGACAGCCACGTTGGATCGGTCGTCTAGCACTGCCGGAATTTCTCCCGGTCCCTGGAGTGAACTTAGCACATTCAACTCATGATCCCGAGGATGAGTAGCACGTCAAAAGACTGCAACATTTGATTTTACACTCAATTCCTCCCATCTCTGTTGCGTCCATCTCGCCGGCAGGCAAAGGCCATCATGCTTTCGAGAAAGATCCTGTCCCCAATAACTCGACGGCGTCCCCCAGGCGATGGGCATCCCGCAATATAAACCAGCTTCTTGCTCCTACGGCGAAACCAAATATATAGTCCGGCAATCTCTCATTCGTCTAGGTACTTATTATCACCGGAAAAATGGACCGCTTATACACGTGTTGAAAAGAAAGCCCAGAGCTGTCAAGATGCGGATGGCAAGGCCTGAAGACAACTAGGGATGTCTTGTCTCTTCTCATATCGACAGCTCAAACATCAACAAGAACAGCGCTGAACTGTTCTCTCGATTCAATTGCCGGCCACTCTGCTAGTAGCAACAGTTCTAGCAGGCCTTGAATTAACGAGTTTGCAGAGAGCGAGGCCTCAAGAGACTATGGGCATGACTGAGGATGTCGTATCCCGATGCAAAATTCCCATATCGACGGCTCCGAGACTCTGAAAGCCTGTGGGTGTCATTTCTTCTCGAAACATCCAAGCCCAGTTCATTCACTCCATGGCTGTTGTTTAGCGCGCGAAAGCGGGTGAAGCCGCCCTTCCACCCGACCTCCCGCTTTTTGACCTATTGATGTTTATTTTTGCCGCGACAATGCGCGAAAAAAATCATACGTCTTTCATCACTCCGTTTCCACTCTGCTCTCTTCATTCCGCGACAGCACACAGCATCAGAGAGCAAGAGTCCACAACAGCTAACAGCAAGTAGGACTTGTTCTCCCCCGCCATCACCGATCAAGACCTCGCTCTACTTTCACAGGCAAGACTTGTCATCGCTCGTCACGAGCCAGCAGCAGCTCTCCGCGGCAGCGGTAGCTCTCCGCCACAGCACGATCACAAGCCTTCAAGTCCTCACTTCACTCCTCAGCGCCGGTCACTGAACCTCGTGCATCTTCCATTCACCTTCCATTCACCTTCCTTCCAGGCAGCTTCTTCTGGACCCAGCAGCAATGGCTGACTTGCGCGCCATTGTCAGTGAGGTGGAGGATGCCATGACATCCACTCTGCCAACAGCCCTTCCTCGCAGCAGCTACATCGCTCCCTCCGCTCTGCCCACCACCTCTTCATTCCAGTTCGGCGTGGCCACTTCGCCTCCATCGGACCCAAACATCATCAAATTCACACCCAAGCTTCGCGTTCCGTTCTTCAGAGGCGCTGTCAAAACTGTGTTCAGCGACGACATGTCCAGCGGTCCTCCTAACGAGCCCAACTTGTCTCCAGTCTCGACCGCTAAGCTCTCAACCCACATGGTCGTCGCTTTGCCTGTCATGGTCGCACTCAGCACCCCGGTCCCGGGCAACCCATTCGAGCTTCTTGCGAATGAGGTATGTATTCAACCGCCCCCGCTACAATTCACATGACTGACAATGCTCTCACTCCGCAGACGATCCACAACATCGCTATCTTGGTTGACAGCGATCAAGACCTCGTCCATTTCAGCCAGAGCTGCAAGCATGTGAACAGTCACATCGAAGAGAAGGTCAATTCCTTCTGGCGCGCGCGGTTCCTGTCCAAGTTCGAGAAGCCTCGTAACTACCAGGCGAAGAAGTGGGACAACCTGGAGTACAAGAGACAGTATCAACACCGTCGATCTGCGCTCAAGAACGGCGCTCTCTTCAAGAACGGCAAGACCGTGCCAGAGAAGGTGTGCTTGCAGGTTCTACGAGACCTCATCAACGGTATGCCCTCTCCTACATCGTCGAAGATGGCTTGACAACTGACGACACACAGACTCCTTCTCCCAGCAGAAGTTTTTTGAGAAGAAGTATCCTGAGATAGTTTACGAGGATGGTAACCTTGTCGCAATCGTGCGATTCTGCCAGAATGAGAACATCCTCCGATCTCTTCTCGATCCCCGCAACGCCCCAAAGCGCAGTTCCATTGGCAACAAGCACACCACCGATCCATTGCTGCAGACCATCCAGGCTGTTCTGTCTCCTCTTCTGCTGGCTGATATTGGCGCTGACGTGTCCGTCTTTCCCTCGAGTCAGATTTCGGCCTACACTCCAGCCATCACGCAGCCAATCTTCCAGGGCTGCAACGGTGGCTCCATCAATATGGAATGGACGATCCACCAGATCAACTTCTGGAAGTACCACTTCACCCGCGAAGCAGAGAGCACACTCTTCACCGACATCAGTGAGCTCGAAGGCGCAGACTTCCCGAAGCTGTGGAACTCCCAGCTATCTCAGACCGGTGATCCCGTCCTCGGCGAGAATTGGAAGCAAATCTCTGCCTTCCTGTCGCCCGATGAGATCTACACCATTCGCGGGGATGACCCTCCTGATGACATCCAGGATGAGTTCACCGGCGCCGACAGCGGTGGTGCGATCCAGGATCTCGTCATCAAGATGTCGCCTCACGACAACACCTCAGCAGGAAACACCGCCATGATCAAGCATATCCTCAATGCCCACCGCCCGTCGAAGCGTGCTAAGACTCGCTCCGACCCCAAGGATGATGCTCCAGATGCCAAGCCAAACACATTCCGCATCAAGCACCCGCGCGGCGCTGATGGTCAGTGGATCGCTGATGGTTGGATCGAGTCACTACCTTCGCAGAGTAGCATTTCTGGCTGGCAGCGCTTGTCGATGACGAAATTCTGGGTGGATACAAGCGGCGAGATCGATTATGAAACCATGTGGGCCTACGAGGGCGTCGTGCTTCCCGGTGGACGTCTCATTGTCGGCAGATGGTGGTCTCCTAACGAGAGCGCCAATACCGAGAAGCAGTACTCCGGTCCCTTCATCATGTGGAACACCGACTGATACCAATCCTCCACAAAGCTTGCAACGCACTCTTGGACAGACGAGCACGATCTTACTCTACAGCTCCAGTCCTCTCAGTCAGGACATCATCACCAACGATGTCACGAGCGCGATCTCTCGGCGCCGGCAATTGAGCACGGCGAAATCAGATCTCACAACGACTTGCACGATTCGTGATTACTTCACGATACCCCCAGAACAATTTGTTCTGAACTGGCTTTTGACTTTTTAACGACCTACTTGGCTTTCTGTACTCTACTTTCACATCACACCAGCACGGAAATCACTTTCTTTGAGCATGGCAAGGGCGCATAGGGGAATGAGAAATGAGAAATGGCTGTATGATAGTTTATTCAACGAGGTAGCTGAGCTGCTATGACTGAGGATTGAATGGATATCACTTTGCACCTGTTTCTTGTTTCAATTGACTTCCTATAGCCGTGTCTGATCTTGAGAGGTTTCACATGTCCAACGCGAGTATGATTAGGCTCTGCAGTTTGTCGCTGAGGGTAAGAGATCAAGGGCCGGTGAAACTGAAGATTGTCGCCTCTTCTTATGGTGAATCGACGACAACGCTCACGTACAGGTAGCTATGAGCATAAAAAGCAGCAGCCTTGCGAAGAGTCAAACAAGGAGGATCGAACGTCTTATGGAATAATGTCCCGTCTTCTTAATCGTGCTGTCGTTATTGCAGAAACTATGAATTTTGCCTGCTACAGGTAGGGCGGCAACCATCAATTTCACCGGCCCTCGGACGCATTGAGCAAGTTCTGATAAATTCCGTGTATCAAGCTAGCTCAACCCTTCAGTGGCGCACTCTCGTCGCTTGACGGGCAGTACATGCCATTCGGAATCAAGCAGAACCTCCCTCTTGTGGTAACTTTCCGCTCGGAAAATCGCTGCTGTGACTCCCTATCAGCGCGGTTTACTGTGAAGTGAGTTGCAAGGCAGCTGCGGATCGGGTCTCACATTCGTTGCAACAAGGAACCGTCAGGCTGTGCTGTTGCTGCCCTGTCAGAGCCGTCGCGGAAGTAGGCAGTGTAGCCGGAAGGTCCATCAGGCTTTCCATTGCACTGGATGTCATCTCCGGCCTTTGTAGGTCATGGCTTCAGGCATGTGACGTGTATCGTCACAATAAATTGCTGAACCACGGTAAATTGCTGAATTCATGATCCAGCATGGCCTCATTTCTTGCCTTTCCGCTTCTTGAAGACGACAGCTGGGGCAGCTTCCGAGGCAGATTCTGGTTTGGTATGACTAGGTTCCGACTGGCCTACATCTGGCACGGAGCTCAGAGGTTTTGGCGAGGATGCATCATCTTCTTGCTTGACAACACTATCATCACCTTCGGCCTTTACAGCCGGCTCCTTCTTCCTCACTACGCCACTTAAAAGCGCGTCGAGGTCGAAGTCATCATCAGCGGCATCTTTAACTGCAGGATATGTCTTGAAGTTGCTTCCCCATGCCTTGCGCTTAGGCTCACCTTCCTCGTCCTCGTTCTCGTCGTGCTCAAGCTTTCGCTTGGGCGCAGTCTTGCTTCCCTCTTCTGCATCCTGCTCCTCTTCTACTTCAGATGGCTCTCCTTTTGCCTCTGCGAGAATCTCTGCGAGGGAGCGACTGCCACTCACAACGCCAGCTTCGGATGGTTCCACTCGACGCTCCGAGACAACGTGRTAATTGCCCACACCAGTGACCTGCTTTTGCAACTCCTCGGGTAAAGCGACGCCCATCGCCGCCAGTTGCTCTGCGTGTGCCTTCCTCTGCTCTGCCGAGTTTACATTTGTAGGCGCTGGAGTCGCCCGCGACGTGCTTCCCACCGGCTTGGCTGCATCTCGTGCACCGCCTGGCTTATCGCTGAACAGTCCATTAAGTCTGGCGACTTCGTCCTTAGCACGCTGCTGATCACGCGTTTCCCGCTCTTTGTTTTTATGCAATTCACGCAGACTCCGGGAAATGTTGTTCTGGTGCCTCCCGCTCGCATCGTGGTTCTTCCGCTCTAGAGGCGAGTCGCGCACATACTGGCTGCAGAACTTGCACCAGTATGATGGCGTCGACTTCCAGTACTCTGACATCTGTTCTTCGAAACCTGGAGAGGTTGTTGGATGTGAGAAGTGACGTTGAAGCTCGAGGTGGAGGTGGGACAAGAATAGAATTTTAGAAATCCTGGGGATCGCTGGCCGCTTCGCGCGACGCGTTTGCGCTAAGCTTCGTTCAAAGCTACCTCCTCCTCTCTACACACCACCATAACATCCTGGACGAAGATTGCTTGACTGACTCCTTTGTATCTGCAGTGAATCCCCTAAATAACATGCTTCTGCGCCAACGATGCGCTACACCAGGCCCTCATGGCTAGTCCACGGCGGCGAGAAGAAGGACCACGAGGTCTATAGCTGCCACGTCTCGCCGGATGGATCACGCCTGGCTACAGCCGGCGGCGACGGACATGTGCGCATATGGTCAACCGACGCTATCCTCAACGCGTCTGATCCTTCATACACGAAGCCGAAGCAGCTTGCCTGGCTTTCCAACCACTCCGGCACGGTCCATTCGGTGCGCTTCAGCTCGAATGGAAAGTATCTGGCATCCGGAGCGGACGACAAGATAGTATGCGTCTACACGCTCGATCCAGGTCCACCGCAGCATTCGACCTTTGGCAGCAGCGAAGCACCGCCGGCCGAGAACTGGCGCATATTCAGGAGGCTGATTGGACACGACAACGACGTTCAAGATCTGGGGTGGAGTTGCGATAGTTCGATCCTGGTTTCAGTGGGGCTGGACAGCAAAGTGGTGGTTTGGTCCGGGAGCACATTTGAGAAGCTGAAGACGCTCGCGCAACACCAGTCGCATGTCAAGGGCATTACTTTTGATCCCGCCAACAAATATTTCGCGACCGCTAGCGATGATCGAACTATCAAGATCTACCGCTTTACATCTCCGCCGCCGAATGCGACGGCATATGATCAGACGAGCAATTTCACTCTGGAAACGACTGTGGCTGCTCCATTTACCACGTCACCACTCACGACTTACTTTCGTCGATGCTCATGGAGTCCGGAGGGTGCACACATTGCCGCGGCAAATGCTGTCAATGGACCCGTCAGTGCTGTAGCTATCGTCAGTCGAGGCACATGGGACAGCGAGATCAATCTCATAGGTCATGAGGGTCCTGTCGAGGTTTGCGCATTCTCACCGAGGCTTTTCTGCAGAGAACCACCGCCCCCGATCAGGGACTCAAAAGACTATGTGTCTCCCAGTGCTGTCACTGTGGTGGCATGTGCTGGACAGGACAAGACACTAAGCGTGTGGAACACGAGCTTTCCTCGACCTTTCCTCACCACTGCCGAGCTGAGTCACAAGGCGATAAGTGACCTGGCATGGGGACCGKACGGTGAGACTCTCTATGTTACGGCTCTGGATGGCATGATCTCTGCGCTGGTGTTTGAGAAAGGCGAATTGGGTTACCCAGCGCCTTCAGGGGACTACGACAAAGCACTGGCCAAGTATGGCGCTGGCAGGAGGGTGGGCATCGTCGAGAACACAGATGCACTACGATTAGAAGAAGGCAGCAAGGCTGGCGAGCTCAAAGACGTCGAGGGTCGGATGGGCGAGCTAATGGGTGATGGACACGCTCAGACCGGTGCACTTGTGAATGGCGATACTCCCATGAAGGATGTTGCAAGCGCTCCAGCTACCAACGGCGCGGCGGTCGAGCCCACTCCCGCACCTGTACCTCCTGTGGATCCTCAGGTCGAAAGGGTAGACAAGCTGAAGCAGCGAGTTACGATCACCAAGGACGGCAAAAAGCGAGTTGCGCCACTGCTGCTTTCATCCTCTAACCAAGGAGAAGCGAACTTGCCACGACCTCAGTTGCAGGCTGCAGTGCGGCAAGGCGCAGCGTCCGACGAGCCTACAAAAATTCTGGACCTCAGCAAGCCTTACGATGGGCTGCCAAAAGGCGGACTCGCAAGCCTGCTGATGGGCAACAAGCGCAAGTATGCAGAGATGGCTGACGGCGAGGGCGAAGAGAGACAGAATGAGAAGCGCGTTCTTGCAGCACAGCAGGCTGGTGCCACGCCTGTCGTGCACAATACAGACAACGGACTTGTGCCCGCGACATCCTCGACAGCGCCAGCAAGACCTGCCGAAACGCCAGATGCCTTGCGGCCTGCACTCATAAATCCCAGCACGACCGTGAGTCAAGTACGCCTCGCAGTACCATTGATTAGGACTGTGGTCCAACGACCACTCGACCCCAGCAAGGGCGGCGCAGATGCAGAGCAGCTGGCCAATGGTGGCGATGGCTCCGAGGGTGAATCTTCAGTGGTCTTCGAAGCGCGCAATGCATCTGGACCAAGTCGGACAGGGCGGTCGCAGGACAAAGAACCTACGCGAATAAGTTTGACAAAACGAGGCCAGGCGCTCTGGCAAGATTTCCTCCCACGCGCCGTACTACTGGTCACCGGGAATCGAAACTTTTGGGCAGCGTCGTGCGAGGATGGGTCGGTTCACGTCTGGACACCAGCTGGTCGCCGCCTGATGAACGCGTCGGTGCTGGAAGCGCAGCCCGTCATCTTAGACTGTCGAGGCTGGTGGATGCTGGCTGTAACCGCTATTGGACAGTGCTATGTTTGGAACATCAAGACTATGAGTGCTCCGCATCCTCCCATTCATATGGCACCAATACTTGACATGGCTACGCAAACTCAGCAAGGCCACCTCACCTCAGGTCCGAGTCTTATGTTCGCTCGGCTGAATAGTCGAGGCCGCATCGTTGTTGGCATGAGCAACGGCGATGGATTTGCATACAATCCCGCCATGTTCGTATGGCAACGACTCAGCGAGCCGTGGTGGGCAGTGGGATCACAGTATTGGAACACCACCGACACTAGCATCACGAACATAGCCACCGCCGCGAAAGCAGGCGCTGCCGCGAAAATGGATGATGGAACGACATTCCTCGACGARATTCACCCGGAAAACATCTCGGCGGGGATCATTCCTTTGCTGGAACGAWATACCACTTCGCAAGCTCTCCTCAAAGGACGTGCATATTTCCTGCAACGCCTTGTCAAGCAGCTCCTCTCCGCCGAAGGCTTTGAAGGGTTCGAGTCCTCTGTATCTGTGGCGCATCTTGAGAATCGACTGGCCGCAGCGCAGACACTGGGCTCCAAAGATGAGTTCCGCGTATACCTCGTCATGTACGCCAAGCGCATTGGGGCCGAGGGCCTGCGGGGAAAAGTGGATGAGCTGCTCAAGGGTTTGACGGGCAAGGTATTTGACGATGTAGATTCGAACGCAGGGGTTGAATGGAGCACGACAGWTGAGATTGTCGGATGGAAGAGAGTGGACCTGTTAAAGGAAGTTGTCACAGTCTTGGGCAAGCACAGGGACCTGCAGCGGCTCACTGTGCCCTATGCGAGATATCTGGGCGTCAATACGGACATGGCGATGGTCACAGACGGCTGAGAAGAATGCATGCCAATCGTCGTTTAGCGGATGAGCGCAAGGAAAGGACTCGGTGTAACATTATGTACAAAACTAATGAATGGTATGAATGGTGAGCCACCTCCGCGGCTGATWCTGGTTAAACGACCCCAGGCCTGACGAATTGCAAGGTTGCTGATTCTCCTTTTGTGAAATACCGATAATGCTCGGATCAGGTGGCTACAAGCACGAATAGAAGCAGCCCTGGGGAGAGTCAAATGTCTAAATAACTACAGCAGGTAACGTCTCCTCAATCGTGTTGTCGTTGTTGCAGAAAGCACAGCTCTTTGATTGCTCCAAGTACTTCGTAAGGCGGCAATGTTCAATTGCACGGCCCTTGTTCGGGGAAGTGCGGACTTTTGAGATAAAAATGTCAACGCGCGCTACACGTCCTCCCGCAAGACCAGCAACATCCCTAATGTCAGAGAAACCGGTCGCATCTACTGCAGAGAATGCGGGCAGTAGCATTGCTGGCAGTGCGCCCCAAAAGGCTGCACCAGCACAAAATCCGGCTTTCAAGATGATGGGTAATGATAGGAGAGGACAACAGCACGGATACCATCTCACTGACATGCATTGTCACAGGTCTACCCCGTCTGCGCATGCGTCTTCCATCCCGCAACTGGACCATATTTTGGACCCTCACAAGCTCGTTCGCGGGCGCCGTCACCTACGACAAATGGCAGACGAAGCGTATGCGCGAAAAATGGTGCCAGCTGGTTGCGCCCATCGCCGAGCAACCTCTCGACGCACATACTGCTCCACGCCGAGTAACAATTTATCTCGCAGCACCTCCTGGAGACGGCCTGCGTTGCGCACGCGAGCACTTCCACACATATGTAAAGCCCATACTTGTGGCCGCGGCCATGGATTGGGACGTGGTCGAGGGTCGCAAAGAGGGCGATGTCAGACACAAGACCGCCGAGAGGATACGGAAGCAACGACAGCGGAACGGTGAGGGCTCAACGGTCGAGGAGGAAGACGCACTCACCATCGAGGCGATTCGCGTGAAGAATGGCAGCCAAACGTATCCTGGCGTAGGTGGGGATATTGTGATTGGACGACACACGTGGAAGGAGTACATACGCGGCCTTCATGAGGGATATCTTGGACCTGCAGACTCGCCAAAGGAACCAGAGTCTGACACACCCGGTGAACCTCTTCCCTCGTCCCAGGCCTCAGCGCTACCATCCACCAATGATGCAGCCGCAACAACGGCGTCGGAGCTCGTTGCAGATTCACAGCCGTCTGCAAACGATCAAAACCCCGCGCAGTCAGTCGATCATTCCARATYTGAAGCCGCAAGTATGAGCGAGACCAAGGAAGGCGGAAGCGAAGAGCAGAAACAAGAGGAGGCAGATAAGCCCAAGTCCAAGCGCCGCTTCCCTCAGTCGCCCATTCTTCCAGAAAGTTATGCGACAGCCACCCTCTCAGCATCGACCCCTGAGATCATCGGCCCTAGCATGCCAGTGCGCATGCCCCACCTTCTAGGCATCAGGAATACACCTATCCGAATCTATCGATTTTTGACACGACGCAGACTAGCAGACGACATCGGACGTCAGGTCGCTACTGCTGTTTTGGCATCACATCGAGCGTACGGGACAGTATCGACCACGAACGAGGATAGCGCCGCAGGAGGGTCAGTGGAGGTTCCTGAACAGCAAGAAGTCCTTCGATTTGAGGAGAGAGATTGKTGGAAGACTGTCAGGCAGCCACGCCAGGAGCACGAGGAAAGCGTCTTCATCGAGCCCATGGCTTTCGATGAGCGCATCTTGGGTCGTATGCGTGCCTTTCAATTGACATCGGAGGATGAAGAGCAAGCCAAGTCGATTGTTCTGGGCCAGCGCAGAGCATCGAAGGATGATGAGAACTGAGGCCGTCGCGGCGAAACATCAATCTCCACCCTAAAGTTGATACTGGAACAGATCCGATCCTCCTCGGCGGCATTGCCATAATAGGCCAGCCGGAGACAAGCGGCTTMAGAAACGAAGTACAACACTCGTCAGGCCTCTTCTTGACTCACGAGAAGTCGGAGATACCACCCTCGCGTCGACTCTAGACGCTGCTCCGGCGAGGGCAGCGCTTCGGGTCGACTTGTACAAATACTTTTAGCATATTCTGTGTAGTAGCCTGTCATGGCGCAGATCTGCAGATCCCCCACAATTTCCGTCATGGTGCCTGATGGTTCGTGGTTCGCGAGCGGAGCCGCGCCTGTTTAAGGGTGCATGGCGATCAAATTCCGACGGTTCGGCAATGGTACAAGGCTGTTTGTTGACATGTGAAGGGTGCAAAGACTTGGCTTTGAAGAATCACCGAACAGGCTGMATGAGTAGGCTGAAGCATGTGAGTTAATCCCCACTTCGACGAGGACCAACACGAAAGCGAGGCAGAAGCGATCACTAAAGCGGCCTGGAGAGCGAGACATACGACTCTGATTTGTCGGTTCGTATACAGCACGGCTCGCTCTGAAATCCGTGCCCTCAGAGACTGGACCAACCCGGACATCGGGCATGGCCCTAGAACGGGACTCCACAACCTCACTGTCGCTTGTTGGTGTCTCGGACCCTATTACATTATTGAATGCGGGTGCACTATCCGTGGATTTGGTCATCGGGTGTACGGAGCTCAGCCGTCGGCTTATACTGCTTGTCCCATGGCCGCCCTGTTTGGTCCATTCGTAGACGTATAGCGCCATCTGCAMATCCGTTACCTGTGCGTTCGCACACTTTCACCTCACCTCAGCCATAAACGAGACCTCGCCATGCCCACTACGACCTCTACGGTCTTGATAGAGAGACCACGAGCTAGCTCCACCACGAGCATCTGCGTGCAGGACAAGCAGCTTGCACGAGCCGAGAGACGACCGGGGCACCAGCGGCGTTATGCCCCAAAGACTCGAACTGGATGCATAACATGCAAGTATGTTTCTCCGCTGCTGATAGTTTACCATGCACATACTCTCGCACAACCCAGCAGCTGTCTGCGTCTGCAGCTCATGCCACGGTGTGGTATTGTGGCGTGGCAAGGTCCACGCTGCCGGTGTGAAGATATGGACCGCAAGAGGCATATTGAATGAGCTCGCGTGCTGACCCGATCCCAAGGATCCGACGAGTAAAATGCGGCGAGGAAAAGCCGCACTGCAAACGTAAGACAATGTTGTCGACATGACTATACGTATCTTTCACTTGCTCAACTCACAATAGGATGCACTACCACAGGACGAAAATGTGATGGGTACACAACACCAGCCGAAACGAACAATGCAAGCAGGAGTCCGGAGTCGATTTCACCGGCCCTTACAAATGACATCTCGAGCGACGCCCTTGAACGTCGAACCTTTGATTTTTTCCGAGCGAAAACCGCTCCCTGCGTAGCGGGCTACTTTCATGATTCGCTGTGGGAACGAATTGTTCTGCAAATGAGCCACAGCGAGCCCGCCGTCAGACATGCCGTCAACGCTCTCGGGGCCCTACACGAGGAGAAGCATCTGCGAAAGGAAGCCGGTAATGGAGGGATTGACGTCAGTCTGGTAAAGACTGGGTTTCCAGTCCAGCAATACTCAAAGGCCTTGAAGGAGATGCAGACATTGCTTACCAGTAGTACCGTGTCTCTCGACGTCGTCTTAGTGTGTGCATTGGTTTGCATACACTTCGAAGCGTTACGCGAATCTTTTGTGCCAGCGCTGATGCATATCGAAAACGCCATCAAACTCCTCCACTCTAAGACTGGTGCCCTGGATGCGCGGAAAGTGAACCCCAGCCTGGTTCGAGCTGTTATGCGGGTGGATCTCCAGGGGACGATGTACCTCAATACGAGGATCCCTGGACTTTCTTTCTTTACAGCTGCTACCGATTCGATATTGCCACAGTCGTTCCACGACTTGACACAAGCTCGGGATCTCATCAACACCTGGACGTGCCGAGTTTTTCACTTCATCCGAACGATTGGCGACGAATACAAGCTTCGTAGCGTCGGAAACATCTCAATTGAACACATTGCACAAAGTCTAGAGTTGGAGGCAACATTTGTCGAACTGGATCGCCTCTTATTCGAATTCATGCACAAACCCAGTGTAAAGCTGTCTGCCCGAGAGCAGCATGGGCTTGGAATGTTACGCAGTCGCGTAAAAGTCAACCGCATCCAAGCGGCAACATGTCTGTACTCCGAACAGATGAGGCTGGATGCGTTTCTCCCGGAGTTTGACGAGATTGTCACCATTTGTTCCTACATTATGGGCAGTGACAATACCGACCAGCGTCTCTTCTCCATCGGCATGGACGAGGGTCTTGTGTTCCCAATGTACTTCATTGCCTTCCACTGCCGAGACGGCAGAATACGACACAAGGCCTTGGATCTGCTCAGAAAACTCCCCGCACAGGATGGGACCTGGCATGTGCTGACTACTCTCAAAACATCGGAAGTACTGGTCAACTTTGAGGAGGCATTGTGCGACAAGGACCTCGTATCATGTGAGGATATTCCCGAATGGCGAAGGGTTCACGCGGTGAACTTTGGCGCATGGGCAACAGAAGGAGGGCAGCCGAAAATTACCGTCTCTCTTCGGWCGAGGCCAAACGGCATGGATGGCGAATGGGTCGACGTTGAGGAATCGTTGACTTGGTCTGTACCAGGAGACACTTTCAGTGAGAACTTTGCGGTGCTTATGGCGGCTCAACAACACAAACTGCAGGAGCTTGATATCGACAGTCCTAAATCCAGTCCCCAGGCTTTTGGAGGATAAATTCTGGTTGAGTGTTTCGTGGCAACCTACATGAAACATTATGAGCTCTCCCCACGGCTGGATGCCAACGCTTGCGAAACGGAGCCTCTCCGCGAGAATGTTTGTCCTTGTGACTTATACGACAGCATTCCCTACGTACTGCGGCCCAAGACGGCACGAGGAACACATGCCTGCGTTCTATCACTGATGGGTTCTCAATTCATGCCAGGGCAGCACGAAAGATGTAGGGAGAGGCCCCGCCCCGTTCGCTATCCCAAGAGCAGATCGACGATCTACATGAAGGTACGAAGAAGCGAGAAGATTGGGAATGTAGGAGAAAGGCTCAGCCCATGCGGGTATCAGTCGAGCGTTGGATCCCAATCCGGGTCGGCGATGCAGAGCATTGGCGAACGGGCCGACTGACGGCTGGGAGCCGGGAATCAGAGGCGACAGTAGGAGGAAACAGGTATTGGCGCACGCCGTCCAGGAGAGAATGAACAGGAAGGAAACAGCTCGCAATGATCCAAGGCATTGCGAAAATTCGAAGCCGGAGCGCATCAGATTCATCAAAACACGAATGGACTGAGCCCTGAACACTGTATTCCTTCTCCACGTTTGTTAATTTGTTCAGTCGCCTGCCAACGACCGCCTACCGGTGGTGGTATTGCCTCTACTAACGTCCAACGCCTGGTATTCGTTTCGCATGTCAATGAAAGTGATCTTGCGCTCACTGCACCGCCTGGATTCGCGGCTGACCCTCGAACATGTCGTCGATCCCGTCCTGCTCCTCATCGACTTCTTCCTCCTCGCTTTCGATTTCTTCGTCTCCCTCGTCTTCGTCTTCAAAACCCGTCTCCAGCCCACGAGCCCTTAACCGATCCTTCATCTCCTCTCTGCGCTCCTCCTGCCATCGCATCAGTGCCGCGCTCGCATGTACACGAAAGCCGTATATGCGTGGCTCGTAGCGACGCTGTGTCTTTTGCGGTAGCAAAGTTGGGTAGACTTGGAAGAGGATGTTGTGAAAGCTCGTGCCAAAGTAAGCGCCATCTATTGAGTTGTGGCGTGATGACTTTGGGTTGTAGATGTCTTCGCACTTTGCACAGTACAACTTCACATGCGAGGTATTTGGGATGTCATGTTGTCCCATGGGTAGGAGATGTTGCGATTCGCAGATGACTCGCGGGCATTTGCCGAATACGCCTTGCTTGAACTTTTCCATCTACATCGCAAATGTCAGCAGCCGTCGAGGAGACCAAGGAAAACGCGGAAGAAAAACCATCTTTGCGAGACCGCGCGTGGTGACGACGTATCGGGCGTGGACCAGTCCGTAGAGATGCCTAGCGCTCTTCTCGATCTGTTCCCGCATGTCGTCGTCGACCTCCATGTCAAAGACATCGGTGACCAGATCGAGGGCATATTGGTAGTACTGCACTTCCGTATTGAGGCCTGTGAGATTGAAGCGGTCCGTAAGGTAGTCCTCGTCGATTTCACAGAAGTATTCGTTGCCACGGGAGGAAATGAACTATTACCATTGTTAGTCGTCGTTTCCCCAAAGATACTTTGGCAAAATCCACCATATCAGAGAAGCTCAGCCAGTCGCGCTCGGAACTAAATTCATCATCTTCTGGGCGAGAATTCAGGTGAAGCGTAGCCGCCATGAGGTGCAGTGGGATGTAAAGAGAGCTGTTGGTGGTGTTGATAACCGACAAGCAGCGCACTCGACTGCGCAAGAAAACACAAGCAACTTCCATGCCGAAAGCTCAGGAATTAAAGAGCATTCCAGTCACAACACCAAGGAAAAGACTCACCCAATCCCGCCAATAGCTCGTGTAGTCGCTGTCCGTGTCGCTTGCAAAGTCGTCMATGACTTCGGGAAAGGGCCGGAACCCAGTCAAGATGGTCGATTTGGGATACGATGAGCGTGTGTCAGATGTGATGTCTTCTCCAGCAAATATCAGAGAGAAGTGACAAGGTGGTCGACTGATGATATGTATGTAACTTTACAGTACCTGACTTGAATAGAGAGAGACGAGGACGCAAGGCTGGCTTGGCAACGCAACGCAGAGCAGGGGTCCGGTGTCCTCTCCCCACGAGGCAGCTCCCGTCTTCACGATTCCCGTCATTACTTTGCTGACGTCTTCTTCATCTGCCCGGCTCGTGGATGATCGCACTGGGACAATCCGGTCGGTGTTGAAAGGACGATGCACGGGATCCAATGCCGCCGCCAACAACGAATTCGTAATCCTGCYAGAGCATGTACTGGCCGACTGGCGCGCCGAATGTCTATGCCCTAACAAAGCAGACCATCCCGAAGTCAAGAGTTACGCGGTCAGAAGATGGACTGGATACTGACGTCGCTGCAAGTCCCGACGCTGCGACAAGCAGCAATGGCTCCCAGTCAAACGTGAACGGGATTCGAGCCAAATCGCGTGGAGAACCGGGAGGGCTGGATCACGAGCATACGAATGGGAACGGCATTGGAGGTGCGGGTGAGGATTCGAATTCTGTATTTGAGGATAATGAGATACTGGACGTCAAAGTCTCGCGTGGTGGCAGCGTTTTTGTCACCATCACACGCTCGTCTCTGACAATCTGGCAAACAAAGCCGACTGTCGCATTGGCTACTGTCGTGCGTTCACCGAGCTCCATCACGACCTACGGTCCGAATACTGCCTTGCTCCTGCGCCCAGACGCCTTGATCATTGTCCTGCAAACAGCACTTGGCTATCTGATCACATACTCCCTCTCTACGGATCCCACTGCGCGGGTGTATCAGACTGTGCTTCCCGAATCTGCCAAACACTCCCGGCGTCCAAGCGCAGAAGGCTACAGCAACTTCAGGAAGCCTAGCATTGCATCTGTCGGGGTGGTGCCAGGCGAGGGTGATGGCATTCGCGAAGTGAACATCCGCTTTCGGATGGTCATCCGAATCGATGCCGGGATTAGCAAGGCAGTTGCGCTGGATGATGAACTCATCGTTGCCACACAGAAGCCTCAGGCTTTGCAATGTATCAAGTGGGTAGCAGAAACCGGAACTTCCCAAACAAACACCGAGCTGATAAGCCGGATGCCGTGGGTGGGCAGGAAAGTAGGCGTGACGGAGATGCTGCATGACCGGCCAATGAACCTTACCACTTGGATCACGGATGACGGGCGAGCGTTTGCCGTACAGCGCCGTACGGGCAGTAATATTGACGCTGAAAACACCAGAGCTCTGTTCCACGGCTTCTGCTTCCGTGAGCCGGACAACGACGGAGAAGTTGCCATCAAAGTGGCGGTGAATGCAAGGTTCTCCCTGATCGCCATTGGATGCGTGAATGGGCAAATCGACGTGTATATCGTCAAGGACTACGTCGGCAACATTCCCCTTTCTCACAAAGTCGGACTGCACGTCGCGTCGACTACCACTGGAAGGCTGACCTGTCTTTTGTACTCTCCTGATGGATACTGTCTGTTTGCCGGCTACGAGAACGGATGGGCTCTCTGGACGGTCTATGGCAAGTCCTGCGGTAGTTCTTTCAGTGCGGACCGTGATCAATCTCAGCTAAACGATGAGAAATGGTTGCGCGGAGTCAAGAGCGCATTCTGGGGAGGCGGTGGCTGTGAGCTAGCACTGTTGCCACAGTCTGACAATCGTATTTGGATCCTAGACATTGCGCGAAACGCGACTGCTGGTTGTTTCTCGCCCGCAAACATTTCTCGGGGCTTGCTGCATTCTAGCAACAGCGTCATGATATACAAAGGACATGAGGTGGCAGATGTGACTTCCCTGCCATCCGATATGCCAATGTGGCAAACAGTCCAGGTCCCGCACCACTATCTCGTGCATCAATGGCCGATCAAAGCCGCGGTGGCATCGCCTGATGGGAAGTACATTGCAGTGGCAGGCCGTCGTGGCCTGGCACACTATAGTGTTTCGAGCGGTAGATGGCGTACATTTGATGATCCGCAAGCCGAACAAGAGTTTGCCGTACGCGGCGGCATGTGCTGGCACCAAAATGTCCTGATAGCAGCCGTGGAGGCCAACGGCCGCTACGAAGTCAGGCTTTATTCTCGCGAGAAGTCACTCGATTATGCGAACATACAACATACGGAGCAGCTTTCCGCCCCTGCAATTTCGACCACTGTATCTGGTGTCGACTCGCTGCTTGTGTACACATATGACAACACATTGCTACACTACATCATCGTCAGCGAAGCATCTTCGAGTAAGCTGGTACAGGTCGGGCAAATTGGCTTCCACGGAATCATCAGAGCGCCACCGCGCGTTCGATCAATAAGCTGGATATTGCCTGAGGATCAGCTGGAGCACGGTGATCCTTCCCAAGACGTTGCTACGGCGTCGGTCTTGTTCCTGGTTGAYGGCAAATTGGTACTTTTGCAACCGTCGACAAACGAGCTCGGAGAGCTCAAATACGACATGCGGGTGATTGCCCAAAACGTTGAGTACTACACGCTTCTTCGTGACAACCTGGACGTCGCTGCATCGCTGGGGAATAACGAGCCCAGCACGGCTAAAAGCATGAACAATCTGTCACTGAATGGCCATCTTGGTCATAGTCTGCGCGATTCTTTGTGGTACTTTGACGGCACAGGTTTCAACGTCTGGTCTGACATACAAGATGTCATGGCGTCCGCTCCAGCCGAGCTCGGTAGGGAACTTCCCTCTGCCGTTTCCATACCACTTGACTTTGCACCCTTGTCCGCGGTCGTTGGGAAAGGTATAATCTTGGGACTGGAAGCCGACCTTGTGCAGCGGAGAGATGTTAATTTCAGCTACTTTCGCCATGCCCCAAGAACGCAGCTCTTCCTTCCCCAGCTGCTTCGGTACCATCTCACAGAGTTCAACTCACCCGCGGCTCTGCACCTCTCCAATTCCTATCAGCATCTTCCATACTTTTCGCACGCATTGGAGGTGCTTCTGCACGTGGTTCTTGATACTGAGGTCGATAACCCACCATCTCCGCCAGAAACCGCGCTGTTGCCAACAGTGCTATCCTTCCTCTCCTCATTCAGCTCCTACCTGGATGTTGTGGTAAAGTGCACACGAAAGACGGAACTTCGAAGCTGKCAGACTCTGTTCACATATCTTCCACCTGTACTGGAGCTCTTTGAGCAATCTCTGGCGCAGGGCAAGTTACACACAGCAGCAGGTTATCTCCTCGTGTTGCACGCGTTCGAAGAAGACTCGTTCCAAATCAATGAGTTCGCACAACTCTTCCAGCGGGCGGGTAGAGAGCAAGACTGGGAGCTGTGCAAGGAGTTGGCTCGCTTCCTGGTCGGTATTGACTCCACTGGCGACATTTTGAGTTCTGCTCTGGTCGAAGCCGGACTAAGCAGCGCCTCTTCTTATGAGGCAGACGTATCGATGAGTGGCTCGGGTCGACAGGGCATTGACTACTTTTCCATGGAGCGGAATTGAGCTCGGCTAATGAGCTGATCTGCACACAGACATCGCGTTGCCTATATGAAAGCTATATACCAACTTGAAGATTACTGAAACCATTTGGCTAGCTGTTCGAGTCGATCGCCTTTTGCACGAGTGCTGAATCTAGGTATGCTCGCACCTGTGAATTGGTCAGTATGGTTCATGTCTCCGAAACTCAGCTGGGTCAGTATTACCTGCACGATCATCCCCGTTTCGTCAAACCGCATTACCCATGCATATCTCTGTGGGTAAGCCATACCTATAGAGCGAATTAGCAACCACGTGGCAGTCGTATGTATGTATGCTGCTGCCGGAGCTGACCATTCTTGCAGGTAGCATTCGCCTCAAGCTCTAACGTTGCCCACTCCTCCCCTTCACCTCCACCCACAACGTTGACGACATTCAGCTGTAACGGCGCAGCGAGCACCTTGTTAATGGGTCCAAGTGCCCCTTCTTTCCAATCGTCTGGTCAGGGTCAGTCAGTACGTCACAAGCAATGAATGTAGGTGTAGAGGAATGTACCCAGGCTTTTGAAGGAACCTGCTGCTGGGTGTGTGCCTTTGCTCGTCAGTTCCGCTCTGCATTCATATACTCCATGCACCAGACCAACCGAGAACATCCCAGGCTACATCCTTTGACACTCTATTGAAGAACGCAGATGGGTCTGAAGTACCCAACGAGGAGCAAAATGCCTTGATCTCAGATTTGGAGGGCGCCATGTGGACTTGATTGATGTTCTTCGTGCAAGAATCGGGGATGGTATGGGATGCGATCCTTGGATGAAGACACCTCCTCGCTCCACTTCACAGCGGCGGGGTTAGAGCAGGCTAAGCGGCACCAGTGAAATGAATGTACCTTATGATCATTGGTAGGTGTTTGGATCTACAGGCTGGGTACGGAGTAAAACTTCGATGGTAGGCTAGGTCGCTGTTGTCTGAAACTACCTACACATAGTGCCTGATAGATGAAGGAACTGACATGTATGAGCTGACGTTTGACCGCAGCTCTTCGTCCGGTTTTCATGGTTCGTGTCAATTCAACCGTTTAGTAGTCGTAATTCTTGTATTGCTATGGATTGCTCGATTGTTCTTGCCCATGTCATCAGCTTGCAACGAGGCCTCAAACTTGAGTCGCTCTGGGGAAAGGAAGTCGTATGTTTTCTACTCAGTAGGTCATTATGATGGATTMACGTATTCAATGCCATCGTCGTAGTCCTTGCTGGAGAAAATAAGGCCAACACCATCAAGTCATTACATGGAGTAACACTACGAAGGACATGACCCATGTCGCTGTCGCCAGCGCATCCTCGCCGTTACGACTAGGGTCAGGGTTGGGGTAGTGAGCATCCCATAAACGTCACCTCCAGTCCCAACCACCGACCTAAGCGAAACCAACATCACCAACGCGTCGCCCCGAATAATGCATTCGCGACGCACCACGTGGCGTGCGTACGAAGAATGCCACTGGACGCCAAACATGCGATAGCATCGAGTCTTGTCGCATTCATTGCCTGGGCGCTCCTCACGGACTGGATTCCCGCGCTCCGCTGGGTTCCCCACGCTTTTCTCGCCGGAGTGCTCGCTGCAATAGTTGGTACGCTGGGTGTTGTGGTAGCAACATCGCGTGGGACCATTGATGAAGAAGATTGGAATGTCAATGCGCCGCTTCGTTATGGCCCCATCGCGCCGGCCTTCATCGCGCGCGGCGCATGGGTGGAGCAAAAGGCGGCTTTGAAAGGTCGCGAGGAGTACCGTCGGCCTGCTATATTCCCCGGCGAGATACGCTTTTCCAAGGCGGTAGATGGCCTGCTAGACCTCGTACTGCGCGATTTTGTGACGAGTTGGTACGGACACATCAGTAAACGCTCGCTGTTTCAGAACGAGATTGATCGCTGCATACGCGCTGTGTTGCTGTCAATCACAGCACGGCTGACAGACCTGGACTTGGTGGAGCTGGGCATCTCCAGGGTGCTCCCCATCGTCACAGCCCATCTCAAGGACTTCTACGATGCAGAGAGAATGGTTAGAGGCAAAGGCTTGGAGAATAATGTCACTGAGAGTGACGAGCTGAACACGGCGATTGCAGGGAAGTACAGGACTGGCAAACTACATCCTGTAGCATCGCTGCACCATTCAGACACCGCTGCGTCAGTGAAAGAGCATCTGCGAAAGCTGGTCGAGAAGATTATGCCCGCTGTCCTTCCGTCGAACATGAAGTCGAGCCCGGCTGTATCCGTGCTGATACGTGAGATAGTCTCTCACGCGGTACTTGCCCCTGTTGTCACCATGCTTGCCGATCCAGACATGTGGAATCAGATGATCGTGAATATTGGCGGCGCGACACTGCACGATCGCAAGACCGTTCGTAAAGTTCGCGCGGCCCTGGATCAACATGCTCCCGCGTCCCCTCGAGGTCAGCGAAGCACTCAATTCCCGCGCTTGCGACCGTATGACAGCGAGAGGCAATTCGAGCGTTTCATTCGGGCCATCAGACAGGTATCTACACTTACCGATGCCCGGCGATTTCGAAGTGAGATTATGAGCCAGCTGAGACGAGATGCACGAGTCGACGCTCAAGATGCAGCATACCTACGCCGTCTGGAGACTGGTCGGCGCCTGATTGATCAGCGCRTCACCAGTCTTTCGGCAGAGGGGGCATCGACGGCACAAGCTAAACTGTCTCTCGATATAAATTCTCTAGGATCCAACGAGGAAGCTGCTGATCGAAAACGACAAGCATCGTTGAGAGAGGTCATTTACGATGCTGCTGGCCTCAGCTATTTCATGGAGTTCATGGACCGCCAAAACCTGATGAGATTGGTACAGTTTTATCTTGTTGTTGATGGATTTCGTGGTCCATTGGAAGGCGACTACGATGAACCCCCGCCAACCGTAGCCTCCGATCCTGATCGAATGGACATTGGGCAAATGTACACCGAATACCTAGCCAAACCGGAGCTACGGACTTCGGATAACCTGCTGCAACCTGTCAGACAATATCTCAAAGCCGGGACCAAAGCAAGCAGCACACAGTATGTTGCTGCGCGGCGTTCCGTGCTCCAAGCTCAAACGAAGGTATACAATATTATGAAGGAGACACACTACGACAACTTCAAGGACTCAGACCTCTACTACAAATGGCTGGCAATCGATGACAACCCGTCATTTGCTTCGTCCCAAACTCCGGAAGGAKACCTCTTATCGCCAGACAGCCCTCTGTCTCGTGAGTCGTCCCCAGGCCGGACTCGCAGACCACATCTTGGCGCGTCACAAAAAGCACCCGAGTTGCGTCGGGCGGTATTGTCGACATCAGATTTGATGACCACTGGCCGAACATCATCGACTAGCAGCCTCTTTTCAGACGCTCCTCGTCGTTCGCTCGATGACACCAACACCCGTGCCGCGTTGTTCGGTGACGATGTAGACGATGAAAGGCTTGAGCAGTCTGTTACAAGTATAAGAAGTTATGATTCCGATGGCGAAACAGCACAGAGAGCTCAAGATGAGGCAAAGGCCGTCAGAAATATGCAGCTCGCGCTTGACAACATTGTGGGCGACAAACAAGACCGAGACTCCTTGTTTTCGGAAACCTCGGCGAGGAAGTCTTTGGATGACGACCGCTCGTCATTAGGGGACGTCGCGCAGAAGCCAGCGTTGACGTCTTCGCACACCACGTCATATGCAGAAAAGAAGAGCATTGCATCGCTTGGTCTTGTTGGTGCACCATCCAGCCGAGGTGTCTTTGTGGACGACCTCTTCGGAGATGAGGCAGAAAAGTTCGCGGAAGACGACCGGGAAGACTCAGATGGCTCCGGCGCTGATGACCAAGTTCAGGAAGCTGCGCCAGGTGATCTCGGCTTGGCAGAAGCTATTGACGTCTTGAACACCGAAGTGGAAAGATTGACGGCACAGCGAAGCGTCCTTGACTCTCTCACGGCCAAAGCAGAGCTCACGAATAACACCGCCGAGCTGCGTATATTGCGAAAGTCTGAGCAGAGTTTACAACGCGAGAWAAAGCGCAAGGAGATGCAAAGACAGCAATACATCGTGCAGGAGAGCGACAACAGTCTGTACGGTCGAGCAGCCATCAKTATCAAATCTGTAATGGTCGGCCGAGAAGAGGACGGACATGAGTTTGCACTATATGTTATCGAAGTCAGGCGACAGGCTGGTAATCAGATTCCATCTKCTACATGGGCAGTCACGAGAAGATACAGCCAGTTCCACGAACTTCACAAGAGACTCAAGGCGCGGTTCCCCACGGTCAAAGAGCTTGACTTCCCACGACGCCAGACACTCTTCACACTTCAGAAGGACTTCTTGCAGAAGCGCCGCATGACCCTGGAGAGATATCTAAAATCTTTGTTGCTTGTGCCAGCAATCTGCCGGAGCCGCGAGTTGCGGGCATTCCTATCCCAGTCGGCGATAGCCTCCAACGGCAGCAACGGAACCCAAGTCGACGCGAAAGACTTTGTGACTCGAATCTACAATTCCGTCTCGGATGGAATGGAAGAGTTCCTCGGCAACATCCCTGTACTGGATCAACTGTCCGTCGCTGGTCAGAATCTCATTTCTGCAGCATCCGCTCAGATCAACGGTGGGCCGGCAATTGAAGCTCTTGAWCCAGCTGCCCAAGACCCAAGCACAGCGGCAGAAGCAGAAGCTGAGCTGCATGCATATGAAACCAAGGAGGTCGAGCCATTCGTCAAACCTATTTGTGACCTCTTCCTCGAGACATTCGAACTATCAAAAGGTAACAGCTGGCTGCGCGGTCGGACAGTTGTAGTTGTATTACATCAACTGTTGGGTGGAACGATTGAACGGAAGGTTCGTGAAACAGCACGAAACGCCCTACAAGACGAAGGGCTAGCCAAATACATTGACATGGTTCAAAACATCATGTGGCCRGATGGAAACATGCGCCCTGCGTCGATCCCTCGAACGTCTCAGGAGAAGGCCAGGACTCGAAAGGAAGCAGGACTCCTTCTTGGCGCGCTGATACCTGATATCGCTGGAAGTGTGGTGGGCAGGGCCAACGCGCAGGCGGCAAGTCGAAAGATTATTGCTATGCTGAACAACCCAAGGCTGAAGTAAGTGGTTTGCCTAACAAATCTTGGTAAGATCGAATGAAGCTGACCAAAGACGCAGCACGCATTTGGTGTTTTCTCTGATAGACGAGATCTTGGGACTCGTGTTTCCCGAAATTACAGACACGTAATACTAATGATGCCTCCGAATTTTCTGTGCTGTTCTTATCTGGGCCGTTATTTCTTTGTGCCTGTTTTCACAATTTGGACGATGTATGCCCCACAATCTTGTAGCATTTCCCGCCCTCGCCGAACATGGCTCGTAGATCTTTGACAATCTCTTTCGGTTGCTCCCAGGCCATGAAGTGACCGCCCTTCTCCTTGCGATCTTCGTCTACATCAAGGGCAAGTTAGTTATGCGCGACACTAGGCTGCTTCACGAGTCCTTGGGCACAAGACTGGCGAGCCCGCTCAACTTCTCGAGGAAAGAGAACAAGAAAGTAAATGTTGAGAGATGATGTTGCCGACACCATCTCAGGAGATTCACTTACAAGCAATTGGTCCGAGCGTTCGGGCCCAGGTAGACGGGACAACCGTGAGTTCCTTCGKACTGTGGCACAGACCCAGCTTGACCTTTGGAATCCACTGGAAAGGCATCAGCACACTCAAATCAGATTGAATGCTGGCTAGTCTGCGGGTGATCAACTGACCTGCTGGAGTCTTTCCCGGGAAATGCCATCAGCCGTGCAATGGACAGCCTATCACGGGGTGTCAATGCAAACTCTAGAATGCCAGAAAGAGGGGTTTGTCCCGACGATGCCATTGTTGGCCTAGAGAAGCGCTTACTTCATAGTAGATCCTCGCACTGGCTGCAGGTCCTGCTGTACTAAAGTAATAGATTGRGACCCACGTCAAGATCTCGTCGTCGGTCCATGAATAATCATCAGTCCAGTCATGTAGCTTTTCGGTGATCCACGCGAGTAGAGCCACTGGCGAGTCCTGCCACGCATAGCCGAGAGTCTGTGGCTTGGTGCTCTGAAGTGCTCGGTAGCCACTGCCTTCATTAACAAACCACTCCGACCTCTCAAAGCCCTTCTTATCCGCTTCGCTGTAGGGAGTCAAGGCATGCTGTAGTGCYAAGATTGGATGTTTTCCAAACGTCGGAGGACTGGCTCTGATCATGTTGATGTGCGATGCCAGACATCGCTGAGGGTATCGCAAGCCTATTGCTCTTGTGATGTACATGCCCCAATCCCCGCCTTGTGTCACGTATTTCTTGTAACCCAGCTGWGTCATGAGCTGATCGCAAGTCTCRGCGTATTGTGCCAGGCCAAATCCCTTCTTCGTGCATCCCTGAGACCATCCGAAGTTCGGGAGACTTGGTGYTACCACGTTGAAGGAAACCCCATTGTTGCTTTCACGCAGGTCATTCAGCATCTTGGTAACCTCAATGTAGCTTCCGGGCCATCCATGGACGAATAAAAGCGGAATGGCATCGGAATTCCCAGATGGTTGATGCAGATAGTGGATGTCTAGCTCGCCGAAGCCTTTGACCTTGATCGTTGTGTGATAGTTTGGAAGGTTATTCAACTCTACCTCGTGTTGTCGCCAGTCATATTGGGTCCGCCAATGCTTTACAAGGCGTTTGACGTCTGCAAGCGGAGTACCATAGTTCCTGAAAGCAGGATTAGTTGTGAAAGCTGAGCAGCGTGTCGTAGACGTTGTCTACCATTCCGCATCATCAACCTTGACCGCCAATGATCGTTAGCAAAGTTGTCTCTCAACACGGAACCTGTACACACATACTTCGTCTGGGAATTCAGCCTATCGAATATGACAATATTGGGTCAGCAACCATGRATCGAGGTTAAAGTTATGCCAACTTTCTCGACACGAACCTGAGCCAGCTTGATCTTCAACGAGACGAGCTTCTCGTCCGAAACCGCGATGCGATAGCTCGACATGATGAATGACGCTCAAGATGGTGCTTCTGGGAAAGTGACGATGACAGTCTTGCACCTTGTCGCCGTTGCACTGGAGGTAGAGCATGACAAAAGTGGAGTCAAAGGTACCTAGCGCTTGCTCGGCTAATCTATTAATTCCCGAGCCTAAACCCCGAAGAGGTCGTCTTAGCTCGACTTTTCTCAACTCCAAGTGAATCTGCACATCCCAAACCATCTCTAGTCTAATCTCAGCAAACCAGCACGATGTTATGTCTTCTCGTTGCTTTTGAAATCGGCCCGATGCAGCATCATCTGCTGCACACGGTGAACATTGGCCCAGCGCCCCATCGCGGCCAGAATTCACGCTACAAAGCCTATCGTACAGTAGCATTGTACCTCGGATGATGATCCCTTGTGTGGATGGCATGGCGCCGCAAGATGCCACACGTGTGCATCACCCATATGCAGTACCCTCACCTACCTACGTATGGTCTGCCACGAAGGGAAAAGGAGCGCAAGTTCTGCCGGGCAACATAAGCAAAATTGTTTGAACGAAACTGAGCAGATGGTACTCACCTTTCAACCCACATGCGGAAGTGAATGTCTCGCATCGCATCGCATCAGGTTCTCCACGCTCCATCCCTTGCTTCAACCACGTTTTGTGCACTCGCGAGCCAAAGGCTTAACTCAACTTCAACCCCGTCATGCACTGGGAAATCGACCCCTCTACTCACAATATGGCAATGATTTCGAAATGTGTGGCTGTACATTCCTCTACACTATCGACTGGAACGTTGGCTATGCTGCCGATATTGATCTTCCAGCTCACCCATTTCTTCCGCACCGACMGCCTCATATCGAGAAGCAGACGACGACTTGGGCGTGGGGAAGAGTGTCCGATTTCTCCATCTCCTGATAATCACAAATACTCCGGCGCTGAACACTACGCCAAACAGGAACATGACGAATGAGTAGCCCACGGGACGGCTCGCGGCGTAGTCATAAACGTCTGAACTCCACTCGTGGTTCTCTCCGCGCAGGTCTTGAAGCCAATATAGCTCCTCTGCAACTGCGGCGCTGATGTCTCCCGAGCCGGGCGCTACGGTTCGAATGATATCAGTCGTGMCGAGGACTTTGCCATGCTTGTCCAAAGCCTCGACAATCACATAGCTGGCGTAGCCGTCCCAGGCCAGAGCCGTTTCAAATCCGGTCCGCTTCTTCTCAAAGATGGGAATCTTAGGCTCGCCGGAGTCTGTTGTTTTGTACATATTCCACTGGTCGACCTCGGTCGCACCGTTCCACGATGCGTGTACGAGAGTTGTGGTGGAATTCCTGGCCTCGCTACCAAATGCCGCGGAGTGAGCTACCGGAGGTTCCAATGGGTGACCCTCAAAGGGAAACTTGTAAGCGCGGTATGTTCCCAACCAATTGGGGATAAGTGAGGCTTCCATTACCAGTCTACCGTCCTCGGTATGCTCACTTTGGACGGCCTGCTCGGACCATCCCATGAAAACGTTGCCGTTCTTTAACCTTTGGTAGTTTCCTCTCCGAGGAGCAAACGACCCGCTTCCATCAGGATGTTCAATCGCGGACACTATCAATGCGACCTTGGGCTGTGACCTGGTATCCAGCGCGAGCATGAGACCTCGAGAGTTTTCGTGGGTGGAAGACTGCTCGTCCTGTCCGTGGGCGTTGTCAAGGATGGAGATGAATTCATATGTGCCATCGAAGCCTTGGAATCTGACATTGTGCTGTCGCGAGAATCTCAGATCGCCCATCTCGAAGTCGCCTCCCCCATGACCATTCAGTCTCCATAATACACGTCCGTCATCTTTGGAGATCTTGTAGATTGTGTCGGTGTGTCTCGCGGACAAGTAGTAGTTTCCTTCATGATCCTTGTCTACGGAGTTGGTGTGTCTGGCAACAAGTCAGCATTGGGGATTAGTAGGATTCCAGTCTCGCACTCACATGAAGTCCCATCCCCAAGAATCGGAGCACCACCGCTTCACGCCTCCATCAAGGAAAGTGCTCTCCTCAAGGCCAATGTGGTCAAAGGAACTCCACTGAAACACCGGTTCCCAAGTGGTAGTGTCCAGCTCTTTGAAGCCGTTGAATAGCGCAGTGCAATTCTCATTCCACTCCACCGCCATCGTCTGCTCCTTGGTCGCCTGCCTTTTCCCCTCATCCATGACAATCGCGCGATTGCCGCCCTCAATAAAATTGAACTCATGCGAATTGAAGTCCACGCCCAGCGTGCCCAAGTCCACCTTCTCGCGAATGGTGTACGTGTTATCCATAATATACCCATCGCCGTCGCGATTCGCCAGAAACGTCATGAGACTCTCGCCGCGAACGTTGCTCATCTTAAAGTCCAAAACATCCCAATTACCAGTAATATCGACTCCACTCCAAACCAATTCGCCTGCGCCATCGTAGATATGCGGACCAATCCAGCCATGACCGGGTGATTTCTGGTCTATGCTCTCAAAAGGTGCCACGAACCAGTATCCGGGCGAGACGTGAGCTTYGTCCGTCACGTTGACTTTCCATCGCGGAGCTCGCAGTTCCGGTCGCGAGATGAATCTGAACAGACCCTCGTCGTCGTCGTGTTTGTCGGCCGTTGTCAATCGCGGCCAAAGTAAGAGGTGTGAGAAGATGGCAGGTGCTATCCAGCGAAGAAATGAGGGCATCGTATCCTGTTGTTTTTCGGGCTAATAAATGAATGACATGGAAAGAAAGCGTACGCTGGCCAGAAACGACTGCAGCGATGCGAACAAGTGAGTGTGTGAGAGATTAGGGTACGCAGCGGTATGCGGACCAGATCAGAAAGAAAGGGAAAAGAGTGGGAAAGGTCGATGTCGGTAGTATCAGGGGAGGAGGCAAGCTCTCTTGCATACAACGTAAGTTTCATGGTTCCGCTTCTACTGGCGCGGGCAAGACTCCCCGCCGCGCCGGACATCGGCAGCCTCTTTTCTGTTTTTACACGCTCGGCGCACCTCTCCTCTCAGCCTCTCAGGGGACTTCCACGCGTTGGAGATCGCCGGGCGCACTGGCGTCGGTTCGGCAGGCCGGCTAGATTTGCAACCCTGCCTTGGCAGACTTTCCCGTCCTTTGATCGACGCCACCATCCTCGTTTCTGGCCAATCAGGCCCACAGTCCATCACAATCCATCTACTCCTGGTTGATGCAGTCTCTGGGTGCGTCTTCACTTTCCACCCTTCGTCACGGCCTCGGACGCCTCACGGCGCACTTTGCCGCAAATGGGGTGATGTTGCAGACGACTGCGGTTACACATACCCAACGGCTCAACGGCATTCGTAAGAGCTGCCTTGGCGCTCGCGAGTCATCAAGAACACGAGACTTTTGCCGGAATAGCTCAATCTGGAGACGAGTACGACGATTACATCACGTCTTCACAGCTGGCGATTCCCGACACAGACGGGGAAGATGCATCTGCAAATGTGACAGGACTTGTCATCGCCAGCAATCAAAGGAAGGCAGATACTCCGACCTTTAATGTCGTGTACCTATGACCAGTACACTCAACTTACTCGTTCAGCGTCCGTCAAATATCACGGTTGAGAAACCTTGGGACGGAGTCGATGTAAAGTTGTCTTTCCCCTGGCTTCACCACTGCAATCTCTGCTTGCTGGATAGTGTATTCTATGATTCCAATTTGACTCCGACACAACACAAACTCTTCCCGATGATCAAGAGACACGGGGAGTCACTTTAACCCAGAGAGGTCGCTTCTCCCAAATCGTAAAAACCTTCTGGTCGTGCCATCCAACAGACTCCTCCGACAACTGGAAGTCGAAATGCAGAAGAACAGCGGCCAGAATAAGTCTCATTTCTGCAAAAGCGGAGATCGTCAGTCGTCATCCCAGACACGTCTTCGCCAGAAGTGCGACAAGTTCATCGCCACTTACCATGCCACGCCAAGTTCTTCCCTATACAGTTTCGGGGGCCGACGTGGAAAGGCTCGAAAGCATCGAGCCGATCGTCTCTGTACTTTGGATCGCCTAGCCAACGCTCGGGATGGAACTCATATGCATCCTTGAAGTTGGATTCGGATCTGTAGGTGCTCAAATGATGAACTCCGATCATAGTGTTGCCGGGAACCTAGAGTGAAGAGGTTAGAGCGTCAATCTTTGTAGCAGATGGTTCAAGAAGACAGGCGGCACCTCGCCTTTTAAACACCCAAAGTATCTCAAGGCGGTGTATGCGAGAACCTTTCGAGGCATATTGCAAGCCGACCAAGAGACCCGTAAGATGTGAATTGTTGGTACTGAGTGCCTTGGGGATGGCTTGCTTACCCACTCGCCGTCTATTGTGGCTCCTGCTGGAGGGGTTACCCTCGGCAATTTGGAAGGGACTGGAGGGTATATCCTCAAGCCTTCTTGAAGCACAGCTTGTAGGTACTTGAGATGCTGGATTGAATCAAGTGTGATGGCTTCGAAGTTTGCGTGCGTTTCGCGGACTTCCGTCGTGACCWTTTTCAAACAGGCGGGATTGCGAAGCAGATAGTAAAGGGTCCCCGAGAGAGCGGTGGCAGTCTGAAAAACAGTCGGTCAGCATTGGCTAGACACCAAAAGCCGTAATGTGTACGTACAGTTTCGGTGCCCGCAACCATGAAGAGCGCTGCATTGGCATGATGTTCGCCGAGAGTGAATCCTCCTGGGCCTTCGCTTTTTTCGAGGATTCTGGTCCACAGATCGTTGCGTTCACTGAATGGATCACATGTCAGAACAACTTCACATACAGATACAGATCGTCATAGCCAGTGTTGTTAAGTACTGGTAATGCTCACTGCTGGAAAAGCGAGGGTGCTTACGGAGTCTTTGCTAGCCTGCGGTCCACTATGCAGCATCATGTTAGTTGCCATACCATGGAATCTTTGGTGATAAGTACCYCGCTCTTTGGAATAATTCCAATGCTCTATACAGTAGTGAGTCAGCGATGGTCGAGACGCTCTCACTTCAATTATTCGTACCTGCGGCTGCGACCCTGAATTTTGGATTTTGCATGATGAACGCGTTGATAAACCACTTAGCAACGCCGCTCGTCCGCTTTAGAGCATGCATCTGGACGGCGTTCTTGATTCCCCCAAAGATGGTCTTGACCTATGAAGCGGAATAAGTAGCCATACGAAAGCAACGTGGAAGAGGGAACCTTACCYAGGGACTGTACTCTCCACTTTCGAGCATGTGCAAGTCTGTTGGAAGAATTAGAGCGGTGCGGCTTTGGAAGAATCGACGGCCACCGACCTTCGCCAAACGTCAAATCTGCCATGATGTCGAAAGTCGTGCAGTTGAAGAACTTCAGCATGTCGACCTCTTCTCCTGATTTCTCCAACATCTTTCCCTTGAGCTTTTCAACCCACCCCTTGAGCATTGGCTCAAGGTCCTAGTACATAGCAATCAGCAAAAGCACAGACAAATAAGYTCCGGGCAAGAACTTGTGCCACGCTTGCAGCCCATTCGATCCCGGAGGTTCTTACCTTCAGGGTTTTGTCTGCGAATGAGTGAGACAGAATCTTGCGCTGTCGGGAGTGATTCGCGTCGTCAGCAGTGACGATCGAGTGAACTCCGTTGAGTTGTGGGTCTAGAAGAATGAGCACGATTAGAACCACGTTGTACCACATCCCAAACCTCATGGCGCAGGCCAGAAACCTCGCTACTTACTGTAGAAATTCATGTCCTTGTCATTGTGAGGCTCTCCGGACTTTTTGAAACCGTAAACCTCTCGCCAAGTTCTAGCTCCGCCTGCGTAGGAAAGCTCTCGAGGGCCAATTCGAACAATGGGCCCGTACTGCGCATGCATTGCCGGCATCACGCTGGCCTCGTCTCCCGAAGCTATCGTCAAGAGTCTAGGAAACTTGCTGAAAGCGCTGAGCTTTGGTCCTGGAAACTAGGGAGCGTTGAGCAGTCAGTGACATATTGAAAGCCTCGTTGTTCAATCGCAGTGTACCTTTGATAGGGGCCCGAAGTATACATCGTATATCGAGTACACGATACTGTAGGCGAGGTACGAGACGGCTAACACAGCGAGAATTAGACGGGGGCTGCCACCCTCTGTGAGCTTCCAAGCTGCGGTAGCCAATGAGTCGAGCATGTTGTCGAGGGAGGTTGGGTACGTGATGATGCTGATGCTGATGATGAGGGTAATGTGGGAAGTATGGCGTGAGTAAAGAGCGAGGGTGACGAGGGTTTTATACGTCTCGTGGCCGACACGTGAGTAAGTGATGAAAGCACAGGGTGGCCGAGCTCATGCACCAAAGGTGATTGCACTTCGTAGTAGATAGTGTACGAATCAATACTGTGGATCCGACTCCATCGTCGAGCTGCCGTTCCGAGAGTGGAAGGATGTTGGGCACAGAGTTATGATGTGGTGCACAATGTATGTAAACTTGTTTCCATACGCCGCTCCACTGAATTTAGCAGGCGGCAGCCATACCACCTTTTCCCGTGGTGACTCCGACCTGTGGACGGACAGAATACGCCAAAGCACCAGCCGATTGGGCCACACTAGTGACAGAAGCCGCTTTGGCTTTGAAGCAGTGGAGCGTAGTGTTTCAAACCAGGTACGGAAGGTGCGTGTTGAGAGCGACGGGAAGTGGCGGTGATCTTGTGCTGAATGAAGCGGTCCAGTTTATTAGAACCGCCTAATAAAGTTGCTGGACTCTTCATGCATGTTGTGAGGCCCATTGATTTGGCAGGGAAAGGAGCTCAAGATGCTCATTGAGTGAATCGTACAGGAGGCAGTCCTCGCTCACGTTGTACTCGTGATGGCCATCCCGTAGACCGACTCTATCGTTGAGAAGAGTCACGCAGACGGCGTCTTCGCACGTCAAAGGACATCCCTCTTCTCTTCCCATCCGCCCTCTCCACCCACTCCATCGGCTGGAGAGACTGCGATGCAAGGATTATCGGTCCTCGCAATGTCTTCCGGCTTGCGCAGGCGCCGTACAACTTATGTGACGGATCAAGCAAGAGTGAGAACGGTGTGCATTATTTGCATAATCATAATCCTCATCCGCGGCCCGAGCGATGCTTCACCTTACATAAGGCCTCTTAGCTTACGGTCCGCCGCTTGCCGTCAAGCGGGAAGATCATCATCATCACCCTCACGAATCCTTGACGCCTGCAACATGATGCAAGACCGGAACTATTTTTGTGCGGTTTGTGCGCGGTAGCTCACATGTCAGGCAACAGCAACTCTGATATTTGGCTTGCGGGAGCATTTGCTGCATTCACGGTCGATCTCGTCGTCTATCCCCTGGATACAATGTTCGTCCGATACCCAAAAGAGGATGTTCTCGGGCTACGGAAGACCTCTGGGCACCTCGAATCCCAAGAAATGTTGCTGATATTGATTTCTTTCTTTGCTATAGAAAAACCCGGATACAAAGTCCCGAATATACCAAGCTCTACCGCAATGGCGCCAACACTGCCTTCAACCCGGCCATGTTCCGTGGATTGTATCAAGGCGTCGGCAGCGTCATTATCGCCACACTGCCAGCATCCGGGGCCTTCTTCTCCACGTATGAGGGTGTGAAAGCCACGCTGCACCGGCACAATGTCACTCTGGCCAGCGGGAACGCTATGGTGCCTACGCCTGTGATCCACGCGTTCGCCTCTGGCACTGCTGAACTGGTCTCATGTGCAATCCTCACTCCTGCTGAGGTGATTAAACAAAACGCCCAAATGGTCCMATCAGGGGCTCGTGTCAATGCTACAATGCAAACCTTGCAGCGTTTCCGGTCAAATCCACTCGCGTTGTGGCGTGGGTATGCAGCACTGGCAGGCCGCAATCTGCCGTAAGTAAATGTCTTTGGCTGAGACCTGGTCATGTGCTTACCATGTACTAGTTTCACGGCCATGCAATTTCCCATGTTTGAGCGTATCAAAGAGGGCATCAAAGAATATCGAGACGAGCGAGGTATGCGCACAAACTCTCTGTTCGAAAGTGCCTTAATCACTGCCTTCAGCGCAGGAGCAGGAGGCAGTGTAGCCGCTGTCATAACCACACCTATCGATGTGGTCAAAACTCGGATCATGCTGTCCGCTGCCGACGGCAGCAATAGCGAGTCTAAACCCAATGCTGGAGGAGGTGTGACGGCTACCAAAAAGTCGTTAGTAGATGCAACAGGCAAGACTGTGGCTGCTGCTAAGGAGAGCTTGGTCGAGACCGTGAAAAGTATCGCTTCACCGAAGCAGCAGACCAGCATGCAGATTGCTCGCGAGATCGTCCAGGAGCAAGGCATCAAAGGACTCTTCCGTGGAGGCGCGCTGAGAGGTGTTTGGACCATGATCGGCAGCGGCTTATACTTGGGAGTATATGAATCGGGGCGCATTTATCTCGCGCAGCGTCGTGGTAATGAGATCGATCCAGAAGATATTTGATGCCATTTGTAGCATCCATCGGCCTTCGGTCTGCAACTCATAGAGGCAAATAGCACAAAGACGAATGATTGTTTGGCAATCATCGCTGCAAGAGCAGCAAGACTATAACAGCTTACGCTGAATTGATCGGCATATAGTTACATAAAGCATGGTACTGCAGGCCAATGAAAAACATCGAAAAGATATCGAAATACCCATCTCGCGTTCTGGCCGCGTTCAAGGCGATGTTGCCTCGACCACATTCTTCATAACCGTTCTTGCAAGGTTGCTAGCTTCCAGCTCGCCTTGGAAAACTGCCCTCTCGATGTCAATCCTGCTCTCGATGTCAATCCTGTCTTGAGTTGGTCGATGTGTTGAATCCTAGTTGCTCCCCTCCAGAATCTCCTCGATATTGGCCAGTCCAATGCTAGGCCTTGGTTCCACCAAGCCAACGAGTTCATCTCCCATGACAAGCCGCTCCTCTTCCCTCTGTTCCTCCATTGTGCTCCTCTTCCGCCGTATTATCCGGCGCGGATGAAGTATGAGGGAGGTGCTCGAATGATTTCCAAAGTCAAAGTTGAAACCAGCAAAGGAGCCGCTCGAACTAGATGTGTGGGCCGAAAGTGGTGATGTGGAGAATTCAGAAGCCGGCCTTGATGATGGTGCTGAAGCTGAGGGGAGTGTGAAAGCCGTTCTCAGGCGACGGAGAGATCTTCTGGGGTGAAGAATGTTGGCAGCCATGGTGGATGATGGATCTTGATGTGGAGGGGTGATTTTGAGGATATAAGGTCCCGCCCTTGACTATCAAGTCTTTCGACCTATATCTAGTCTGATGGCCACCAAGGCGACTTGTCTTTCGAAAAGTACAATCCTCGGTTGAGCAGGGTGCGGAGTGTTTTGATATACCCTTCCGTTGCGTGGAGAAAGGCAAAGTGTGGAATGAACGCAGAACAGTAAGGTAGAGGCCGGCCACGACCTTTCTTAACAAACGTGATCCCACAAGAAGAGATGCACCTGTACCAGTTGAGAAGAAAAAGAGAGGTCGTCGTAGAACCACACAAACACACCGCTTTTGCCTCCTCGAGGCAATGGAAAGTCCCGAATGCTGCTGCTGCAAGGAAGGGAAGCATCATGCTTATTATCAATGTCACACAGATGGTACAGCATACCTTGACCCGGAAGCACGGCGTCAGCAGTTTGCGTATCACCAAAACAGAACGCGAATCTCCACAAGCCCTCCCTGGCGTCTTGCCGCAATGAAATCATTCCGGATGTTCGAAGGACACTCTCCCTGACACTCCCCCCCGGATGCTGGAGCCGCGACAGCAGTGCCAGCAATGTCACGCTGTCATATCAAGATTAAAATTCCAAGGGAGCCGACTTGGATTAGAGGTGATAAGCATTTGGCTTGGGGCTTGAACCCTGACGATGCATAATAATTTCAGGAGAAAAATCCTGGTCCACACTAGAGGTGAAGCGAATGATCGCCGCCAAGTGCAACTTTGGCGCCGTCTCATATTGAGTCGTGACGCGAGATGATTGTTTTACCGCTTGTCCATGTCATACCAAACTCATCACAGAAGGCAACTTGAAATTATTAGGATCTATTCATTCAAGGCATTAGGGTATCCTCAACTCGAGCCCTCTTTACATAATCAGTCTGCCGCAACGCCACCTTCATAACCCAGTGCGATGGTGCAGCACTCATCAAACCCTTGCTCATGCATCATCATTGTCACCAAACGCCGTCATTAACTCCATGGCCCGCGGTCCTGCTGTCGGATACATCATGGCGGCGGCCCACGGGCATCGCTCGACTTCCGCTGCGTAACACTCCGCCTCATGCTCTGACCCCAAGCAGAATCCTGAAACATGCCCAACATTTCTCCCTGCGAGACTGCCGAGTTCGCTCTGCTTCGTGCCGCTGCAGCGTCGCTGACTGATGGACCCGGACTACCAGGAGGCGAAGATCCCTCCATTGCTGCAGCAAAATGCCAGTCGGGCTGTATGCTGCTGCTGGAGACCGAAGGCCGATGGCGTGACGGCGAGAGGGAAAGATGAAACTCTTCTCTCACGGGAGACGAACCGGGCGTGTGTTGAATGGAGCTACTCCTGTTTCGAGCWGCAGAGCGTGCCGAACCGTCGCCTTGTCCGGAGCGACTACTGTTGGCATCCGTGGGCGAGCGGCCAATGCCAAGGGAGTCTGCGGTGTCAGCCGCATCGTAGTCGACTGGTGTGACGCTGACAGCAGGTATGTCAAACTTCTTCGCCTGCGTGACATCGTCGCCGCCTTCGTCCTGCACCAGAATTTCTGGTACGCCAAAGGACGGTATCGCAGTCATGCGAGCATCCTTCTTTGCCTCCATTGCACGTCTGAAGCGTCTGGCCCAGTACAATGTATCGAAAAAGCCGACGACGATGTTGCGATTCACGGCCTCCTCCACTCGCTGTAGCCTAGCCCGTCGTCTCAAAAATTCTTCCAGTTTCAAACTCTTGCTGTCATTGATGACTTTATAGTGCGCGAGAATCATGAGCAGTGCATTGAACGCAATGCCACGGTCCGGGTCTGCTGAGACGAGCACTTCTTCATAGAAGGTGTTCATTCGTGCTCGCCGTCGCCGAATCTCACTCACTGGCAGCTCTGAGAGGCGGAGATTTAGCTTGGCCAAATCTATGTCTGGATTGGACGTTTCGCCGTCCACGGGGAGTTTCGACGCTCTCCGTGGTTCAACCCGACAGTCATCAATCAGTGAAGTGATGGTGAAGTCTCCATCATAGATACGCATCTCAAAGATACCAGACAGTTCGCCCAGGAATCTTGGAAAAACGTCCTTCGAAATGTACCCCGTCCCGTTAGGATCGTACTCTGCCCAAGCTTGCTTGAAACGACGAATCTCCTCCCGGCTGATGATCGACAACCCGCTGCTTCTCTGGTACACATACGAGAAGCTTTCGTAGATCAACGAGATGAACAAGTTGACAAAAATGTACATGCTGATGATGTTCCAGGATACGAAGAGTGCATATGCCCATTGCTTGCTCCCACAATCTCCATCGTAGTAATGGTCCGAGGTCGTACAATACGGTGGCTCAATGTTCGCAAAGTCCATCATGATGGAGTTCCATTGCTCTCCCACACTCATACGGAAGAGTAGGATCAATGCCTTGGGAACTGTTCGGAAGTTGATGTTGTCCGTCTCTTCCGCACCGAAGCGTGTGAGGCCAAATGTTTGCGTGAAGGCAATGGCATATACTAAGAATAGCACGAACCAAGTCGCTAACAGATTTGCGATTGCACTAAAGCTCGCAGCTGCTGTCTTGAAAAGCTGATCCAGCTGATTGTTCCGGGGAATGAGCATCAACGCGAGCGACACCAGAAACAGCTTATGCGTCTGAGCGTACGAGTTGCTGCTCAGGTTTCCAAACACCATTATCGAGGTGGTAAACGTTGCCGAGACCATGATCAAAGCGTAGACGTCCCATGCACTTTTTCTGAACCGGGTCCACGAGAGACCAATGATGCGCACAAAAATGTTGGCAATGTAGAAGAGCACGAAGCAGAAGAAGATCATCAGGCGGGTCATGTACCAGGCCCATGGTTCCGGATACCACTCTAGACAGAGGAGGATTAAGTGCGCGATGAGAATGCCGGTGATCGTCCGCTGCCATCGACCATTCTTGGTGACGGCACGGCGATAGCACCACTCCTGCCAGCTCTGTCGTTTCTTCTGTCGATTTGGCCGCTTTGAGGGGGCAACCTGTCGTAGCAGCTTGCGTAGCTCCAGCCATGACCGCTGCTCTGATGTCAGGAAAGCCACGCCGGTCTGCTCCGTGTAGTTGCGCATGAAAACGGACACAAATAGGGTGAGCACGAAGACTGCACCGAGCAAATTGAAGACAACGAAGAAGATGGCGTTGGCTTGTTGTGAGAACCACGCTGGCTGCGTGAAGACGCCGGTGATCGATTGGGCGCTCCACATGAGGTCCACCCATCCTTCTTGGGAGACAACCTGGAACAAGATGAAGAGAGCATCGCCGAAAGTGTCGAAGTCGTAAGCGTAATTCTGGTAGCCAACTCTTCGTGGCGCCAGCACATTGAATCCAATTGGATTGAGAACGGCCTCTCCTACGCAGTCCGTGAGGTTGTGAACATCGTACTGTTGCCAGTCGTTGCACCAAGACATCTTTCCGGCGAAAAGGTTCAAGCCGTAGATGGCAAAGGGAATCAGCAAGCTGAGCGACACAAATGCCGCACTGAGAACTTTCCAGCCTCCGAGCACAATGACCGAGTGGAACGTATCACGAGCGCTGTCACTGACGTTCAGCAACCGCAGAGCTCTGAGCGCCTTGAAGGCACCGACAGCTCGTGAGCCACTGCCAGGATCGTAGAGAGCGGTCAGAATATTGACCCACAGAGTGACGAGCACAATACCGTCGATGAAGCCCCAGGAGCTGCGGAAATAAGCGTTGGGTGTCCAAAAGAAACCATCTGCAATGACTTTGATGGCAGCTTCGACTGTGAACAAGGCAGCGAATCCTATGTCTGTGTAAACGAACCAGTTAAACCGGTCGTCAATGAACGGATGTTTCTTGAAGTACTCCAGCTGGAAAAGAGGCGTGGYAACACAGGCCAGCAGCACCATGCCCACAATTGCAGCGTAGATGAACGCCGAAAACGTGTACCAAATGGTTGGGTTCGGCTGCACACCTTGAATGCGCGTCCCGCGACCCGGTCCGACGATTCGCTGGCATAATGCTCGGAGCTTGTTGTCTGGCTTGAACATGAACAGAGAGACATTGTACTTGGGGTACTTGCGGAGGTATTCCCGCTGTGATAACTTGCGCTGTTCAGCAGCAGTGACCACCTCCCTCGCCAAAGTTCGTGGATCGAGCTCCTCGTAGGGCTTTGTGAGTTGCAGCTTAGCATAGAATGGATTGGGTTCGCTGTTGAAGATGCGCTTGGTGATGCTGTCCTGAAGGCGCTGCGCCCAGCTAGCTGGCTGCTTGATCAAGTTGAGGGTGGACGATGATATCAATCCACCCGTCATGGTCCGTTTCACATCACCTCCCTGGACATCCTGCTCGTCGAGGAAGTCACGCACCACTGCATCTTTCAAGAGCATTTCAGTGGCCGCCGAGCCAAAGTCTAAGGGGTCTTGTCGTTTCAGTTTGCCGAATTTGAAGATGGTAGACAATGACAAGGTGCCGCCGGTGTTTGAGCTCATCTCCTTCCGCTGAAGGAACATTTTGACTTGCTGTAATCGCTTTTGGTCCTCCGAAACGTCGAAGTTTTCCTGGATGACAGCAATAAACATATTCAGCACGACAAAGTTTGCCAGAATGAACCAGATGATGAAGAATATGGCGCCAATCCAGGCCGTGTGATTATGTTTGCCGAATCTTGTTACACTGTACAGTACGTCGGTCCAGTTTTCCGACGACAAGACCTGATACATTCCCAGGAACGAATTGAAGATGGTCGCAAAGGTGACCTGGAGGTAATTACCTTCGTCATCGAACCGCGGCAGCTGACCTCRGAAAAGCTGAGTCGCGAATATGGACGCCAGGAATGTAAGCAGAAAAACGAATAAGATCAGATTCAGCACACCCGAGACGTGGCGGAGAACGAGAAGGATCAGATCGCGTGTGAGCTGGACGGCAAGAACCACACGGTAGATTCTCAGTATCTGGAAGACTGTAAGCCAGGCGTAGGCATCGCCTGAGTTCCGGATGGAGGGCAACTGAATGACAGCAGTGATGATGGCCAAGCCGAGATCGAACCAGTTTCGACGGTGGTAAATGAAGTCCCTCCAATCGGAAACGAATCGAAAGACAATCTCGAACAAGAGCAGTACGGTCGCAAGCATCTCCGTGTATTTGATCAAGTCGTGGGTAAAGCGACCCATCGTGTCAGTGCGAGTGCTCGCGACGACAAGATCAAACACTATCACGATGATCCAAAACCAATAGGTCTTCTGATACATTCTTTTCAATGCAGAGACGTGGGCATTGGAGTGGGCAGAGGTATGGTGCTCCCCTTTACTTTTCTCGTCGTCATCGTCGTCACCAGCCATGAAAGCGCTGCCCCTGCTCTCTTCTCGTATGACCTGGAACGAGGATGTAATGACCGCAATCAGCAGAGACATGAGCCAGAAGGTAAGGAAGATAATCCCAAAGGCAAAGAACAGCGCTGATGCCAGATAGTCGGAGTCAGTCAGGTAGTACATAATGTCTGTGAAAGTGTTTGAGGTCATGATGATGAAAACCAGTTCCGAGGATTGGAATATGTTGTCAAAGCTGAGGGTTCCGTTGTATGGGCTCATGCCCTCGACACAAAAGGATCCTGGCGGACATAGAAAGCCCTTGTGCATGTCGGTACCGTTCGATCCATCTGCCTTCAACCACGGCATGGCAATGTTGTCCGTAGTAAGCCACCCGCCGCAAAATTGAAAATTACCAGCCGGCTCTGGAGAGTTTTGGGTGTTGTTCTTAATGACTCCATCTTCAAAAAAGCCTGGGTAGTCGGCCATCGGGGGAACAGCCTGGGCYGAATCCAGTACACAGGTCCTCCGCAGACTTGATTTGAAGCTTTGCACGCCAATGATGGAGAACAGAAGCCAAAAGAACCCTATCAGAAATCCAACATTCAACAAGGTCGGCGCCGCCCGTTTCAGACTACGAAGAATGACGGAGGTACCGCTCGTGATACCCAACAGCCTCAGAATCCGCAGGCAGCTCATCATGCGGAAGACATATATCCGATATTGGTACTCCAGACCTGCAAAGCCCAAGATGAAACTGATCCAGAAAGACACAACCGCAACGAAATCTAGGCGATTGAAGGAGTGGCGGAGAAACGCCCGGTGCGCAAGACGCTTCTTCTGCGCTTGGCGTGAGCCTCCAGGGACGTCGTCAAAGTTTTGTATCGTAAAAGATCGAAGCAGCGAATCCGGTCCTGGCGCATGCGATCGTACAGGCTCGCCGCGGGTATTTCGTTTGGAGGGCTTCCGGTGCAGTGCAAAGAGCCCGTCGGCCTTCTTTTTCAATGCTTCTCTGATGCCAATGCTGCGATCTATGGTACTGTATTCGACGGGGTTGAAGACAAATCCAGAGACCACCACCTTGATCGCGATCTCAATGGTGTATACGATGAAAATGCCCAGCAGCACCCAGTCGGACCAGAGCGTACCCCAATTTGAAGGCCGTGGGTCATGTACAACATCATGCGCAGAATCGACAGCAAGAAGAACTGTCTGGACGACAATGAGAATGAGAATCAAAGGCTCCACGAATGGATGGACGAGAAACTCCAGGAGCCCACGTCGTACTCTACTTTGCGCCGAAAAGACGCCAAGAGACTTGCCTCTCAGGGGATTGCGCTCGATGGGAGGAAGCTGGGCGGGAATCTCTGGCTCGTAGATGACCGATGGCGCCTTTTCACTCGCCGAAGATCTTTGCGGTATTGTACCGTCCATGCTGGCGTTGCCATCACTCATCCGGATCTCAGATGACTTTCGCGGTACCTGTCGCTCCACGGGCTCCGACTCGTTGCTGAGATTAACAACACGCTGGGACATGTTGCGGAGCATAGTTCCAGTTCGCGATAGCGGCGACTCACTCGCCGAAAGAGTTAACCTTCGATGCGGAGATCTACTTGCATCTGAGCCAGTGGTCCGCGAGCCCAGCTCTACGCTTGCAAGATCATCACCCAGTCTTGAGCCGCTGCGAGAGCGACTGGGCGAGAATCGCACACTCAGACCGCTCAACCCCCCAAAACTCGAGCCCGACCTGTTATGTCTGTCGTGTCGCTGACCCGAAGTTGTATTTTGTGTTCTTGCTTCAGATGGATGTAAAGAATTCGGAGTGAGCGGCAGGGTGTCTTCCTCGTCCGCAACACCAGGAGACAGAAATGTCGGTCCATCGTCAAGTTGCACTGGCACCAGGTCGTCCATGCTATCGACGGGCCGTATAGTCAGCGGCGGCAGACTGTCCCGGGTGGCCCTCGACAGACGCTGGGAATGCTGTGGTCTCGACGGCGATCCATCTAATCCCATATCTTCAACGTCGTCCGTATCATCGGGCGAGCTGTGGCTCGCATTGAAGCTCAATCCCGCGAACCCAATTGCTGCCTGGAAGGCACCCCGATCCGCCACCGGCGATGTGGGCTGCTCGTCGTCCTCGTCGGGAATGCGTTCGTGCTGTCCGGAAGGCGATGTCACAAATGCTATAGGTGACATGTGCATGACATGCGAGGGCGGGCTGGGCGAGGCATCCCGATCGTGAATTGGCGCATAGGGCGCATTCCGGCGGCTGCTGGTCGTGTTTGATCGGCCAGCACGAAACAGTTCCCGGCCCCTGTCACTAAGAGTGCGCCGGTGTGATTCCTTGCGGGACAAGCTATGCGCGTCCAGATTTTGTAGAGGAATGGCTCTCTCGTCAGCAGATTGATTGCGGCGGTGTACAGGGTCGTCGGCCATTCCCAGATTTGCGTGGTCGCCAGCGCCAGCAACCGCTCGTCATTGGGACATGAGTTGGAATGTGTGTGGGGGGAAGGTATGGCGGGTGTTTCGAATGTTGAATGTACCGTTGAATGTTTATCGGCGAAGGGTCTCGGGGGAGAACGCTGGAAAGCTAGCGGGGCATCGAATAGGGCTGCTGGAGAGTGACACTCAGGGGAGCGCGTTGGATGGGCGGGTGTCTTAACGAGCGCTGTTGCGATGGAACCGTACCGTCTAGGTCGGCTGTTTATGTCCAGTAAACAAAAAATGTCAAGATAGCCCACGCGTACCTCTCCAGGACTAGGATTCCACGGAAGGTGTTGATCAGCTCGGCAGAGAAAGCTAAAGTATGCTAAATTAATCCGCGTGTCACCAAACTCTCCGCCCCCGCTTGCCCTCGCACTGGACCATCGTGAAGACCCTGCTTTTCTCAGCCCTGGAGACGGGACCTCACCACGGACGTGCCTGCCTAGAAGTATCTCGCTGAGGATTCGATCACCATAGGTAGACCCACAACCTATTGCGCCAACAAACAATATGGCTCTGGAAAGTGAGCGGAAGATCCTTGTGATCAATCCAAATACCACTCAAGCCATGACCGATGCCGTCAAACACCTCATATCCTCCCTACAATACAGCACAGTAGGACAATTCCCCGCAAGGAAACACTACCAATTCCAGGCCATTGACGACTAAACATCAGGACTTCGCAGACTTATGAATACTTCACCGCGCCCTCAGGCGTACCATCTATCAACAACGAAGACGATGCCGTGGTTTCTGCTTCGCATTGTCTCCCAGCCCTGGAAGACAAGCTCTCCAAGTACAATGCGTTCTTAGTATGCTGCTACTCTCATCATCCATTGGTTTCTCTCCTACGTTCTGCATTAAACGACCAGAATCTTCACGCGACCGTAACGGGGATTTTTGAGGCGTCGGTTGCGATAAGCTTGCAGAGTATCAACATCGATGAGAAATTTGGAATCGTAAGCACAGGGTCGCAGTGGGAGGGCATTCTGGGCGAGGCTGTGTCGGAGCTACTGGGTAGCAGTTCTAGCACGAGGTATGCGGGGACTGAGACGACAGGTTTGAATGCGAACGAGCTCCATTCTGCGCCCGAGGCTGAAGTGGCTCGTCGGATGAAGGAAGCTACCAAGAGGCTTCTCGACAAGAGAGCCGTGGCGATCTGCTTAGGCTGTGCCGGAATGGCGGGCATGAATCGTACTGTAAGAGAAGCATGCGTGGAGCAACTGGGAGAACAGGCTGGGCAGCGAGTGAAGATTGTAGATGGAGTTGTAGCGGGATCAATCTTCCTTGAAGGAGCACTGAGAGCAGGTTTGTAGGCACGCGGAATAAAGGCATTCAACTTCATGTCATGTTCACATCGTCCCCGATCTTTCCTCCGAAGAGTTGGTAGGCCAGGTGTCTCGCTCTACTCTACTCTATTGATGAATTTCTCGTGCCTTGCTCAAGCTTCGTTGTCAGAGAGGCTCTTTGAGAATCCGCACGCCCAGCAAGATGGTTTCTTCCAGGCTCCCACAAACATCGTACCATTCACTGATTGATGTTCTACACAACAGAGCTCCAACATGCTGTCAAATTATTTAATGGCAGTCCAACGCCTAATCTTTCGATGCCTGCATCTTCGATGGCAGTTTTGCGGGCGCAGGAACCGGTGCACCAGGCGGCTCCGGCCCGAGCGCTTGATTCCTGCGCAATGGGGGCTGCTCCTGAAGTGTCGTCGTCACCGGACCATTAAGAGCCGCAGGCGACATCTCCTGCAACTTCTTCACCGGAATGACGTTGCCAGACTGCTGGCCTGGACTTGGAGCTAGCGGCGTCGCTGGTGGGAAGATCTTCCGCTCGCCAAGTACATGCGCAGAGCTTGGCGGTGCGGGACTTTGATCATGCTTCTGTGGGATGGCGGTGCTGCTTACTGGCCATGGACCGCTCATACCATCCGCAGCCACCTCACTGGTGTGATTCGGCCCATCTCTACTGCCTGGACGCATCTGTGGGGTATGCGTTTGGTGATGACGACCGTTGGACGAAAGCGTTGGCAGATTCTGAGGCGTCTGCATGAGATGTGGAGAGGGTCGCGTTTGGTAGACGTGAGGTGGTGGGGAGGATTTCACAGGTGATTGTGGTGCTCTCTGCTGAGACATGTTTGCAGGAGGTGGTAGTACAGTCTTTGGGCTCGTCTGTAGTTGTCCAGACTGATGCTGCGGGCCTGCGTGTGCCTGCGCGTGCTGTGGCGGTGGCGAAGCGGAGACTGGCGTCGGTGCAGATTTGGTCGGGCTCTGGAAACCATTTAATAGCTGGCCGGCGCCTTGGCTCTGAGGTGGCGGTCCCTGCTGTTGACTCCAGACATGCTGTCCATGCGCGTGTCCGTGCTGGGGCTGCTGAAGATGCTGCTGTGCTGACTGCGACTGTGGATGTGGCTGCGGCGTGTGGTACTGCTGATGAGGAGCATAGGCCCCATGCGGTGGCTGCTGTGCATGTCCATTCGTTGGATAGTGCTGCGTAGCGTACTGCTGCTGCGGGTGATATACCGGATGGCCTGCTGAGGAAACCGCTCCTTGGTGAGCGTGCTGGTGTTGCTGTTGATGCTGTACCGGTGGATAGCCGGCGGGAATCGGAGGCGATGAATTTGTGTATGCAGATGGCCTTCGCTCAGGTGGAGGCAAGGGACTTCTTCGCCACGCCTCCTGGGGCGGCGCAGGATGCGGTGCAAAGTTGCCCACGGGCGGATAGCGATAACCGGGCGGACCCTGGGCCTGCCCTTGAGGTGACAGGCTGGGACCATTTGCGATTTGGCCGAACGTGCCGGAGCTTGGTCGCGGACCAGTAGAGGGACTTTGAGGATCAAGCTGTCGGTTGACGTGGGCGAGCAGACCATTGCTGTGCTGGCCAGTCGCAGTCACCGGCCGGCTCTTCGAAGACTCCGGACTACCACTGCCGTGGTTGACAAGCTTGAGTGGGGGAATCTTGGGCTTCTTCGCGTCTTCCTCTTTACGCTTGCATGTGTTGCACACAAATGTAAAACCCGGCTTTTCGGCTTGCTTGGGCGTAAAGCCGTTGCACATGCTATGTTGCCAGACATTGCACTTGTCGCAAGCCACGCTATGGCTGCCATCGTCGAGATTTTCGCCGTGTACTCCGCAGACGGAGCAGTCGAAGGTCCAATTGCCATCCTCTTCTTCCAGCTTTTCGAGCTCTTTCTTGTGCTGCTCCTTTTGCGTCAGGCGCTGTCGTTCTGAAATCCGCTTCGCGTCTGCAGCTGCATCGCCGTCCGCGCCCTGCGAAGTAGCACGCTCGGGATCGTCTTCCAGCCTGGCGAGCTCCTCTTCGTGTAGGATGCGCTTTGCCTCCCTTTCGCGGACTCGCTGCTCCCGCGTAAGTCTGCGCGATTCGTGGCCCTACTCACAATTAGCTTAGCGTACAAAGACCCAGGCAACAGGATGCCTCACCTCCTCAATGCGCAGCTGCCTGGCCTGCTCCTCCCGGGCCATTCTCAGGTCTGCCTGTTTCTTCTCCTCGGCTTCGCGCTCCTCTCGCTCTTGTGCCTCCTTCTCGGCTTTGCCTGCCAATCTGCTCGATCGTTTGGCCGTCGCTAACTTCTGTACGTTTTCAAGTTCCCGTAGCTTCTTCAGTTGCTTCTGTCGTATAGCTTCCGCACGTTTCTCGATGATTGGAAGCACGTCTTCTTCGAGGCGGGCGCGCAACAGCTTCTCGTTAGGGTCCCGTGATCGAAAGATGCTGGACAGGAACTCCTGATAGTCATCCAAGGTGATGGCAATCAACTCCCACGTCTTGCTAGTAAAGCCATAGCCCTCCTCCTCCGCCTCCTCTTCCACTGCAACTTTCGTTTCGTCAACATTGGTCATTACTGTGTCGTCGACAGCGTTCTCATCGACCTCGGGCTCTTCTTCTTGCTCTTCCTCCTCGCTTTGATCCACCTTTCGACGCTTGCTCGAGCGAGTGCCTCGACTCCTTGGTGGCTTAGGCTTCGCTTTAGCTTTGCTCTTCGGCTTCGCTTTTGGCTTTTGTATAGGCGTGAGTGGCGCAACGCGTTCATCCGATCGACGATACAGGCGGTTGTCGTCCAGTACAAAATAGGCACGGTCCTCTTTGTCCCAGCCCAGGGGCTCCATCCGCCATGAGAGATGGTCTTCGTCCTCAGGCATTAAACCGCGGATACGATCGGCGTTGCCAAACGTCCATGTGCTTAGCTGCTGCAAAACACGGATGCGCGTGTATATGTCGAGGCTGTTGAATGATAGAGGCTCCTCGTCTTCCCCAAAGGGATTGCGCCGTGGGGCCTTGGCGACGTATTGTCGGCGCGTGTACTCATCGAAGATCTGTGGGCTAACATCACCCAACGCCAGGTCAGCGCTCCGTCAAAAAGCAGGAAAGACATGAAATAGGAGACTTACGTGAGGCCGCGATGGGACGAAACATATTTGRGAAGCTGTAGGCCAATGCTGGCTAGTCGCTCTGACGGTTCGCTCTTCACGCACTCGGCTTCGAGGTCCTGTCATCAGACGATGGTCAGCTCCCATCTTTACGCGCCTCGAATGATGTCCAGGGCCAGAKTACGCGCCGGGACGCGTCTTGTTAATTTGTCTTCGCATACCTCGATATCCAAATCTTCGTCAATTTTGACCACGTGCCCAAACAGGAAGATGTACTGCATCAGACTTGCAAACTCCCACATGTTGCGCAGTCGAGTCAAGACGGCCTGCTCCTCGGCGGGGACGGCGGCGGTGGGCTCGAGCGAGGAATCCAGCTCGGCCACATCTGCGGTTCGTTTTCGTGGCATCGTGCCACTCTCGGCGGAGGAGCTCCGCGGATCTGGAAGGGATACGATTCGCGTATATTGACGAGGCGATTTGGTGTTGCGAGATGGCTAGATAGAACTAGTGTGCTGCGAAATAGTTTGGCGTTTGCAACACGACACTGGACGGTACGGTATGGCCAAGCGTTAGGTAAGGATGTAGGATGCGCTAGTCAGCATTTAAAGTTAGATCGGTAACCGTTCTGCCGGGCCCGCGAAATATTTCGCGACATCATCAATCGCCTCTGCAGCAGTGCAATTGCAAATCACCTATATTCTGTTCCTTTGGCATGGCTTCTAGCAGTCTCTCATCTCCAATCGGCGCGTCAGACAGCCGCATGTTGACTCCGCGTGTAGACCGCTACCACGTGGACGTGCCACAACAAGACGACGGACTACTTGATTCTCACGTCGACATACAGCAACACAATGATAATGACCATCGGCAGGAAGAAGACGAGCAGAGCGAGGCTGACTACCGCCATGTCAGAAATCTGCTATATACTTCACATTTCCTCTCCACTTGGAACTCGCGGCTCTTCGAATTTGGAGCCGTCTTATTTCTAGCAAACCTATTTCCAAACACACTACTACCAGTGTCGGCGTACGCCCTTGCTCGCGCTGCATCAGCGGCCGTTCTTTCACCAGTACTTGGCGGCTACATCGACACAGCGAACAGACTAAGTATAGTTCGGCTTTCAATAGGCAAGATCCATCGCGCAATGTCTGCTTAAAGCTAAGTTCATTCTGATGCTTCTTACAGTTGGTCAGCGAGTCGCTGTCTTCACTTCCTGCACATTACTGTTCTTCATKCTACAGTTTGAGAGCTTGCGCGAATCAAAGCCGCAATCGATTGCACTTCTTGCTACTTTGTCGGCGCTCGCGTGCGTCGAGAAGCTGTCTTCGATCTTGAATCAAATTTCCGTGGAAAGGGACTGGGTCGTTGTCGTGGCAGATGGCGATGAAGTACGACTGGGAGGTACGGTCAAAGGCGTTACGAGAACGAGAACATAACTGACATCTCCTTAGCCCTGAACTCACAGATGCGCAGAATCGACTTGTGGTGCAAGTTGATTGGCCCGCTCACGATTGCCTTCATTGACGGAGCTTCTCCTATGATCGCCATAATCGTAACAGGCAGTATGACCGCCGTTTCAGTCTTGGTGGAGTACTTCAGCATCGCACGAGTCTACAATGCTGTTCCGGCTTTGCAAGTAGAGAAACATCGACCATCACAACCCGCGGGAAGTAACAGCATCTGGAGTGCACTTCAATCATCGTTCTGTGGAACCATGCTTTACACCAGACATCGAGCGTTCCTTCCATCTCTAGCACTATCTTTCCTCTACCTTACAGTCTTGTCATTCGGTGGACAGCTGGTCACTTGGCTCTTGAATCTCGGAGTCACCTCTGGCACAATCGGTGTCCTTCGAGCTGTCTCTGCGATATTCGAACTGTCTGCAACATGGCTCGCTCCTCTGGTCATGAAGCGAATAGGGCCCGTTCGATCTGGAATATGGTTCCTGAATTGGGAGATTCTATGCGTTGCCATAGCCTGCGGTTTCTTCTGGGCAGACGAGTTGAGTCCAACTCTCGCTGCCATTGGAACCGTCTCTGCAGTCGTGGCCAGCAGGATCGGGCTATGGGGTTTCGACCTGAGCGCGCAGCTTATAATCCAAGATGAGGTAGACCCTGCTCTGCGCGGTACGTTCTCTTCGCAGGAATCCTCTCTGCAAAGTATCTTTGAGATGCTGGCTTTTGCATCGACGGTTGCTTTCTCAAAACCCGAAGACTTCAAATACCCAGCTACAATATCAGCGGGGGCTGTGATGGTGGCGGGTATATTGTACGCTGCCTTCGTCAGAGTCAGGCGAGGCCATTTGCTCCATTTCTCGAATTGTGTCGATYGAAACGGGCAAGACAAAGGGCACACGCATTGGTGGAGAATCAAGATCCCAGTGCCGACCAGAGCGCATGACAACACTGGCAATCACGAGGATGAGGCCTTGCTCTCTTCCGAGCAAGATAGCGAGCCGCGTACAGAACGTGAGCTCGATGGTCGATAGAGTATGCGGCTCTCATCATGTTCACGACGCAACGAAACTTTCCTCAAGAAATAACCTCTCACTATCAACAACCGTGAGATGATCTTCTTGGTTTGATTCTGTCGATAACGCCTTGCTACTTTGCTCTGTTGTTGAGCAAGACGCCTCTTACGTCCGATACGAAGTCGATCTCCTACAAACAAATCCAACACAATTCGGCGGGATTGGATGCGGTGGTATCACACTGAACTTTCACTTCATACTCGAACACGCAGGAGAAAGTCGATCAGAACATGCATTTCTCTTAGCTTAGCATCTTGTATGGCGGAGATATCTCGGTCCACGAAGCACAAAATCTGCTACCTTAGATCGGTTAAGAACTGCGGAGAACTCGCTTCGTCCGTAGTGTGCAGTGTCGTCATCTTCGGGGTCGGACGTATGCCCTCAAATGTACATGTACTCCAGCATTGAGCCGAGCAAAGAAAGGTGTTACGTTCAAAGCATACCTTACACGGCAGAAATCTTGTTTAATCAGACCTCGCTCCGAAATTTCTTCCCCTCCATCTCACGACTTGGATCATCTCTCTCACAACAACAAACAACACCGCAATCATGGTATCAACACGCCAATGGCAACTTGCTCACAAGCCTCGCGATCAACCACAACTCGATGGTCCTGAGCAGACCTTCAAGTTGGTGGAGAATGTACAGCTCCCAGAGCTCAAGGATGATGAGGTTCTCGTGAAGCTACTCTCACTTTCCAACGACCCTGCTCAAAGAGGATGGATCGATCCAGATATTGCTGAAGACAGACTCTATWTTCCTCCTGTTAAGCTTGGAGCACCAATGTCTGCTCGTGGACTAGCAGAGGTCGTTGAGTCAAAGTCCTCCAGCTACAAAAAGGGCGATACTGTGCTCGCGTCGACGGGATGGTCAGAGCTAGCAGTTGTGCCTGCCAAGATGTGCCAGCCTGCGAACGATCTTCCTGGTGGGATGAGCAAGACTCATTACTTGGGCGCTTTAGGAGGCACTGGTGAGTCGGATCACTTGATGAAGCATGTTCTGGTCAGCYGTTCTTCGCAGTCTGATCATGTCAAGCCTGACTTCTCCATCATCGGAAGGTCCCTAAAATACTATAGCTAACGATTGTACGATATGTAGGTTTGACTGCATACTTTGGTCTTACGGAAGTTGGCAAGGCAAAGGCCGAAGACAACGTTGTTGTCTCTGGAGCCGCGGGTGCGACAGGCTCAATGGCAGTCCAGATCGCGAAGAAAATCATCGGTAAGCAGATCGAAGAGCCTTTGCAAAGGGCCTTCCGTAACTGTAAACTAACATCTTGGTATTGTAGGCTGCAAGAAAGTTGTTGGAATTGCAGGAACAGACGCCAAATGCAAGTGGGTTGAGAGCATTGGAGCCGACAAGTGCCTCAACTATAAAAGCCCAACTTTTGCCGAAGATTTCAAGAAGGAATTCCCTGACAAGTCCAACTACGTCGATGTTTACTATGACAACGTTGGCGGCGAAATTCTCGACCTGGCACTCTCTCGTATGGCCATGAAGGGCCGCGTTATCGCTTGCGGATCCATCAGCAGCTACAACACTGCCTCGGAGCGCACCACTGGCCTCAAGAACTGGTTCGAGATTGTGATCATGCGCGTCACTGTTCAAGGTTTCATCGTACTTGACTACATGAAGGACTTCCCAAAGGCGATCGAGGTTTTCAAGAAGGCACTTGCAGAGGGCAAGCTGGACATCGGTGGCGGCGAGACTGTTGTCAAGACCAATTTCGAAGGCATCCCAAAGACCTGGCTGCAGCTCTTCAGTGGCAGCAACCAAGGCAAGCTCATCACCCAGATCTCGGAGTGAACGCGCAGATGAAAGCAAAGGGGAAAAGTATGCGATTTGAATAGCTGCTCCGGATATGAGAAACTGCTTACCCCATTCATCTACGGATTGATTTCCGCACGCTAGACTCCTTGTTCCAGCTCTTCCATGCCATATTCGCCCATGTCGATATTTCCATCCTTCTCGTCTTCCGGTTCGTCGTAGTTGCAGACCCCCTGACTCACCCAGATCGCCTTGCGAAGTACGCTTTGGTATTGGACAAAGTATCCGAAGTATCCCATACGGCAGCCCGTGTTTGGCTCCGAGCGTCGTTTTGCGCATAAAGTCCACTCTTCTGTAGCATCGTTATTCATGGCCGCAAACATCACCAGAATGGATACTACCTGCCGAGCACTCGCTCACCGTTGTGCACGCTATAGGTCTCGCTGCTATGGACTCGCAGCATACCTTTTGATGCCACATGCCCTGCGAACGTTAGCATTTTGGGAGTCCTGCGGTCGAAGTCAAGACAATCTTCAGTAGATACTCATGTCTGTGCCCAAGGCTATCTCTCTTCCCTCCGATCTTACTAAGCCTTTCCGATCGCTATCCGTGCTCGCGGTGATGGCCATGGTGACTGATCTTCGTTCAGGCGAAAAGAGCTGCGAATATAGTGGAACCGCGGCGAAATCGAAGGTAGGCTCAGTGATGTACTGGGCCGAAGGTGGCGTGAGGTGATTTCTCGTGCTTCGCATGGAATGAATCTGTGTGCGATCGATGCTGGCGACGTGATGGATAAAATTTAGTTTGTTCTAAAAGGTCAAGAGTTCGGGAAAATTCGCGTCACGCAAAAGCTCGTGGCCACGTTTCACCGAACAACGCTAGTGGAAAATGTGAGTGAATGAACGCCCGTATTCTAACAAATTGTAGATTGACGCCGCATACGCATTTGCGGCGCGATTAAACTGGATGAATCTAGTAAAGGATATTGTTAAAAGCTTCTTCGAGTTTAAGCATGTAAGATGCGGCTTGAATAACTATTGCAAAAGGCTTGGATGTCATTTTTCTGGATGGCAGAATTGCCCGTTTCACAGCTTGCAATTGATCACGCGGGTCTACTCGCCATGCCCCGATCCTATCTCGTGAATCGCAGAACCCAGACCTTACTCAGATAGATCCAATGCCCACAACGAGTGCGATCGTGTCAATTTAGAAAGAACATGTCAACCGGGGCGTGCTTTGCTGACCGTCTCATTCTGCAAGCAGACGTGAGGTCCGAAATATCAGCTGAAAACATTTCGCATGGTCGTCATGAGCCTGTGGATGCGTGATGAGTTCACGAGACTCTCCACAATATCTACATGCTGAGGGGACACGTGCTCCATGGTCTATCATCAGGCTCTTCTGTATATAGTCCACCCACAAACTTGTCCCAGCCATTCATCAAACAACTCACACGCACCGACACCAATCACTCACCACTCCAACCACCCACAAGCATGTCCGATACTTCCGACACAGACGGCATTGCCCGTATCGAATCCTTCAAGAATGCCCAGTAAGTCCACTGTGAACATTTCACCATCGCCATCGTCTAACAACAAAAGCCTCGCCATGGCGCCCGAATACTCCTTCGCCGCAGCTCTCTGGCCACCGGTCCACATCACCTCAGCGTCACGAAGCACGACGAGTGCCACCTTCTCTACAAGATTCAACCCAATCTTTGGAAACCATAGCAGAACCGCCGTCCATGGCGGCGCAATCGCCACACTCTTCGACTCTTTGACGGGATGTACGCTTGCGTTGGTTGCTGAGAAGGGATTCTGGGTAAGGAAGGACAATAATTGTAAGCTCAGTCATCTGAAGAAAACCAAGCTAACGAGAAGTGATAGGATGGAAAAGAAGTGACGCGGAACTTGCAGATCACTTACTTCCGCCCTGTGCCTGTGGGAGAGAGTGTGATTATCGAAACTGAGATTGTGAGTGCTGGAAAGCGGCTGGCGACTGTGAGAGGGTTGATGAAAAGTGAGAGAGACGGTGTGCTACTTGCGAGCTGCACGCATGACAAGTACTATCCTGGTGGAGAGAGATTGTGATTGTTTTTTTTTCCTGCCTACCTTTGCTGCGTGGTTTTGATGAGGTCGTCGGAGACATGACAGGCTTGCTTTTTCATTTGTGTTTTGCATTTGGTCGGAGCTTGTCGGTGTTGATCAGCAAAAGTTTTGAACTGGGAGCTTGTGCAAATTGCCTCTGTCCGGGCCTACCGATGTCCTTGAATTCCTTCGATACCTTTTATTTCTACACGATTCGAGTCGCGACGATCTCCTTCAGAATCCTCAGTTTTATTCTTTGGGGCTCTTCCAAGTGCTCCTTGACTCTGCCCCTGTGTACCCCTCGACAGTCCTCAACTCCGACCCAAGCGCCGTCCCTCTTCACGTCTCCCGTATCGACCATAACGGAATCTTCCTCTTACTGGGTGGATCCATTCATTATACCAGAGGCCGTCGAGCCGTTCTCAATGCGCGGTTTGGTGGTACATCAACGGAAGTTGACCTCGTTGAGGAAGATGAAGTCACAAAAGTCAGCAGTGAAAGGACAGAGCCCAGAATTGCATGTCCCGTATACCTTAATCATTGGGTCGTTTTGGGTATGAAATTGAGTTGAAATTTTTGATGAAGAATTGATTCGAAAAAGTGGGGCGTAAAGACAAGTGAATGAAATGTTATATAGAAATGCAAGCGAACAGCGAAAAGCTGCATGCACTTACACAGCCGAATGATAGACGAGTTCCCCCTCATCATCCAGTGCAGCTCGGGTGCTAGATTGTTCCTGAATCAGCTCTGACGCTATTTCAAAGGTACGCTGCAAGACTCCAGGGTGCTCGCCGAACCATTTGGTAAGATCGAACCACTTGGCGTCGATGATGTGATTCTCGTTTGCTTTGCCAGTAGTGCTTGCTATGGCAACGAAAGCAACCGGGCCGAGAGCATCTCCGAATGTAGCTTGGCTTTGTCGGAACGTGTATACCGTTTCAGGATGCATCCAAGCTTCGACATTGATGACTTGACCATTGAGCTCCTTTGCCGCGTCGATTGCCCGCACAAAACTCGTGTAGAAGTCCACCTCGGTGACGATGAGTTGTGTTCGATCGCTAGGATCAGCACCGAAGATGATGCGCGAACGAACTGGATCCTTCTTAGTCGCTTTCTTGTTGAAGATAGGCCAGTAAGTAAACAAGTCGGCCGCGGTGTCTTGCCATTCCCGGTCTTCGGCTTTCCGTGATTTGAGAAGGTTAAGAGCATGTCTCAGGAGACATTCAAGGACGTTTTGGTGCTCTCGAAACCAGATGGCTAGCTTCATTCCTTGGAAGTATTCTGCCTGTGCTTCGTCACTGTCAAGACCCGCTCGCGAGATGTCGTTATCAAGCACAGTTCCGCGTAATGTAGGCTCATCGAATTGCAGAGAAAAGCGCCTCTCGGAATGGCACCACTGGTCGACGATGTCTACTGCATGTCCACACTCCTCGAGCGCTCTTGTAAAGCAGACTCTAAAGTCGTCCACATTGAGACTCATTTGCTGAGAGTTATGACGAAGAAGCTGGTAAGACATTTGAGAACCATTCWCCTTGACATAGGATGCAGCCGGCTTCCGTACGCTAGCTGTATCTTTTTTCTTTATAAGCCAGGAGGAAAGCATACTGCCTGTGTTGTTAGCAATGAACAGGCTTGTATTGTAGGTGACCTACTACGTGAGCAGAATTTGATTAAACTCGAACGTCGATGTCGTAGGAGAGCAAAGGTGAGTTACGGTTCAGAAAACGTTCGCGAGGGGAGGTCGTATAAATATAATACTGAGAGGTTTGCTCAGTGTTGCGCACAATGGTGGACAAAAGCTTTGTCTCTCACTGCCGTGCCTTTGCCCTGACCTTTTTCGCTTTGTGTTCATATCCACGACAATGCCGTTATGGACGTGTAGTTTCTTGATTCAAGCATCAATGCCATGAGTGCAAAGAGAAAGAAGATCGGTTTCTGGACAGATATGAAGACCTTCGGAATGTTGAGACGTGAGATGAAAAGGTCGCGTGAAGTAGAGCATTGATGCCCCCGAACGCGTGACCGTTTTGAACAAATTCGTGCTTAACACCGCGATCACCTTGTGACGTGTGGTCAGTAAGAGCGCACTGCAATGATCTGCTCCTTAACAGCGATGTCACGCACGCTTTGCATTTGAATATCAACTTCGGCCTAACCCGATTTGGGAATTTTCAGTCTCCTCGGGGAACAGCTCATTGGAGAGACCACGATCTGTCCGTGACATTTACGGAACACTGTGACCTTCGGTGTTTGAGCGCTGATACCGGAAGGCACAATCAAGACTCTAGGGTGGATGAAAGCGCCTCAAGGAGGCAAGGAATGTTGTGACGTCTGCACATGTACAGAGAAAGATGTGCCTAGATACCTCAAGGAAGCACAATGTTGAAGTTGTGATGAGGTCGAAGGGCCAGGAGAGGTATGAGGTTGGAAGTGAATTCTCGGCCGGACTGCGGACAGCGGCCCGGCTGAGTAAGCAGCATGTGGTTCAAGTTCTGAACTTCCATTCCTCCATCCTATACAGAACATCATGGTGTGAAACAACTGGCATCAGTCGCGCCCACATTCAACACATTCTCCAAGCAGAGATGGCTCATCTGACCTCCAGATTGATGCTTTCCATGACGAGTAGACTTACACGATGCACTTATGCTTTCCGAACTCAGCCAATGTACCACGCATTGGCAGATTGCTACACGACACCAGATTGTTATCAGTCGTATCTATAGCTGTGAATCAGTTCCCGAACCTTGCTGGTCGAATATCAATAATGCGATGGAGACATCTGCCCCGGACAGTTCCAGATTCATGAAACAAGAATGAACCATGGATCCCTTGCCGCGGTCTCGAGTCAACACCTATTCATCTCGTTTCATCCAGAGAAACTCGGTAGATACCGCATCGATCGATCTAGTTCGAAGCGGGGGACTGTGTCTTCCTTGTCCATCGCCATGGAAAGCTAAGCATCTGCCCGTCACCTCAGGACTTCACTCCTAACTGTTGAGATCGTCGCATCACCACAGTCTCCAAGACAGTCCGGCTAGCCTTACGGATCACGAAATTCCCAGGCCAGATTGGCTCAGCCACCGGGAGACCTTTGGTCTTCACCAATGCCACAACTCGCTGGGGCATATTATCCTCACTTCCAAGACGACATTCMAGTGCGATCCTCTTGGCCTCTAAGGAGTTTTCCCCAGCATGGACCAGACGACGCCAACACCACACAGGCAGGATCGCAAGCTCCTGAACATTCGAAAGGATGGACCGAGCTTGAAGACAGCTCCTTGAGCTCTCAGCCCTCCTCTCGTGGTAATCAGCGCGAGAGCTCCCGGTTTTCTTCTCGTCAAGRTGCTCGCGCCAGCTATGAAATGTCATTTCATCCGTACGCTCGACCCAATAGAAGTTCATGGTCTCTGGGCTTGGATGCACTTGTCGAGCGGACCAGTCGGGCACTGAAAGATATACAAAGTCCCGAGGCCGCGATCCTTGGTTCTCGCGTGAGACCCTCACGCCAATGCAGTGCGCAGCCCGAGCTTGGCGATGATACGGAGGCCATACTAGTCGATAAATTGGACAAATACACTGCCAGATATCAGTGCCCACAATTGCAAAAGGAGCAGGCAGACTGGGAAAATTTCTACGATAATCCGCAAAATTGGCCTGCGCGGAAAAAGTGGAGGGTCGTTGCAATCGCAACCTGGCTTTCGTTCATTACGTGAGTGCTGATGCCTTCCTGTTACTGACATGCACTATAACTGACATCACATGGCTTTCCTCAGTTCATTGGCATCTTCCATTATCACGCCGTCGCTACCAGATATTGCTAGTGATCTACGAATCGAGTCCAACGCAGTTACAATACTGATTGTCAGCCTCTTCCTGCTTGGCACTGGAGTGGGTGGCATTCTATCGGTACCTCTGAGTGAGATGCATGGACGCCTACCGATTTACCAATTCTCAAATGTATGCTTCACGGCGCTCACGGTGTCCTGTGGCTTCGCCCCAAACTTTCCAGTCCTGATAGCACTTCGATTCTTGGCCGGGTCGCTGGGTACTGCGTGCTTGGTTATTGGAGGATGTACGTGCGCAGACATGTTCCTGCCTCAACAGAGAGCAACCGCAATTTCACTGTGGGCAGGTGGGATATTCCTTGGCTCATGCATTGGACCGGTCTTTGGAGGCTTGATTGTTGAAGCGAAGAACTGGCGGTGGATCTTCTACATTCTTGCCATGGCGGCTGGCGCGAGTATGATCGTGTGCGCCCTCTTCATGCCGGAAACGTCGGTCTTGGTCATCAGGCGGCGGAGAGGAGTGCCGGTCTTCCAACGGGAGAAGGAAACGCAGTCCCCACAACATCCCGCCAAGCACTCACTCCGCGACCTGACGTTACCGCTAAAGCTCCTTGCATTCTCCCCGATCGTCCTCCTCATGACCTTCCAGTAAGTTTGGATCGGTATACAACATTCGTGGCCTTATACTGATCAATCTGCAGTGCCGCCATTGCACACGCAATGCTATACTTACTCTTCACCTCGATTCCCTTCACCTTCAGCCCGCGCTACCAATTCTCCCCTCGCGATACGGGCTTGCTTTACCTCGCACCCGCGTTGGGGATGATGCTTGGTGCATTCGCCGCAGGCCAGCTGGGCGATCGCACCGTCAAGCGAATAAAGGCCCTCGGCGGTACCTATACACCAGAAAAACGACTCGACCCCATGATCATTATAACGGGAAGTTTGTCCATGATCGCCGGTCTTCTCCTCTACGGATGGAGTTTACACTACCACATACATTGGATTTCAGCGCTCGCGGGACTTTTCATGTTTGGCTTTGGTCTGGTCCTGACCGTGGCGTCCGCTCAGACATATGTCGTCGAGAGCCACCCAACCTACGAGGCTAACGTCAGCGCAGCCTTTTCACTCTTGAATGCCGTTCTGTCGGGCGCTCTTCCCGTCTGGGGAGTTGAGATCTTTTATTCCCTTGGGATGGGTTGGGGAAGCGTCCTTTTGGCTGGTTTAGTCGCCATTTCTTCTTTTGCATTCGTGGTGTGCCGAGTCAAAGGGCCTTATTTACGTCAACGATTCAAGATTGAATCACGAAGTGGTGGGTATGGCCATGTCTAGACAATACAACAAGTTGAACAAACTCTTTGCAGGTAGGATAAAATGTACAGTCGTGAGCATGGAACGCTGTGAGTCATTGGTGCTATCCTTCATTCATACTTTGGTGACGCGGTTTGACGTTGAGGTTCAAGGAGAGGCATTGCACCCGTCTGTCGTGTTGGCGATTTGGCCGCGAGCGGGGCTGAAGCTGGAATCAAACGTGATCAAGCAGTGATAGACTGGTGGACACAACCATTGACAGCTCTCGTAATGAGGAATTGAGAACCACGCTCGCGGCCGGCTAGCTATGACCGCGAAAGTGGCACGTCCTGCGGAAAGTCAAATCTGCCCTGGATCGACATCGCCATGAGTGCTGAGCCGTTGATTTGTTGCTGAAAGCTCGCATCTGTTATCGGAGTGGGTGACACTTCGATCCTTGGTTCAACCGTGTAACTCCCATTAACGGATGGAGGGAGAGGGAGAGGGGAGGAGAGGAAGTGAGGTGAAGTGAAGTCAAAGGGCCGAGGCCGCCCGCGAAAGCACAAGCGATATCGGTCGGCAAGACATGCCGAGATAGATCCATCGGACCTCAACGCAGCTGGAGCTCACAGATCAATCGCCGGGTCGCACATATCTAGTCCACCTACACGCGATCACGCCAATTCTCCGAACCTCCAGCTGCTGTTGATTCTCTGCCGAATCGACTTGCAGTCCACCGTCGCTGTTCCGCTCTCTCCGCCACACTCCCCCTCATCCTCCCACCAGAAATCCCTCAATCTCCGCCAACATGTCGACCGACGCGCCCCTCCCCTTTGTGTACCAGTTCGCAGCAGGCGCTGTGGCTGGTGTATCGGAGATCCTGGTCATGTACCCCCTCGATGTGGTCAAGACTCGCGTGCAGATTCAGGGCGCAAAACCAATTCCTGGCGTGGACCACTATTCAAGCATGGTCGATTGCTTCCGCAAGATTGTCAAGAATGAAGGGTATGAATGGCCACGATCGGGAGGGAGAGAAGAGGAGAAGAATTGCAATGTTGATTGATGGTCTTCCAGCTTCTCCCGCCTGTACCGTGGCATCACTGCTCCCATCCTCATGGAAGCACCGAAGCGTGCAACCAAATTCGCGGCAAACGATGAGTGGGGCAAGGTTTGGCGCAATGCCTTTGGCGTCACCAAGATGAACCAGTCGCTGTCTATCTTGACCGGTGCTTCCGCTGGTGCGACTGAGGCCTTTGTGGTTGTGCCATTTGAGCTGGTCAAGATTCGGTTGCAGGGTGAGTACCGTCTTGAATGGTGATATACAATGGCATGAGAAAAGTACTGATGACACGCTCAATCTCCAGACCGTGCTCAAGCAGCAAAGTACAACGGAATGATCGACTGTCTCACCAAGATCATCCGTCAAGAAGGTCCCTTGACCCTCTACCAAGGTCTGGAGTCTACCATGTGGCGTCACATTCTCTGGAACGCTGGATACTTTGGTTGTATTTTCCAAGTTCGTGCCCTCCTTCCCGCCAACCCCACCAAGGWCAAGAGCGTTCAGATGCGAAWCGACCTCCTCAGCGGTGCGATTGGAGGTACTGTCGGAACGATCCTCAACACCCCCATGGATGTCGTCAAGAGCCGGATACAGAACTCTCCCAAGGTGCCAGGCGGTGTGCCAAAGTATGGATGGGCGTGGCCAGCACTGGGAACTGTCATGAAGGAGGAGGGTTTCAGCGCGCTATACAAGGGTTTCTTGCCCAAGGTGTTGAGATTGGGACCTGGAGGCGGAATTCTGCTGGTAGTGTTCACTGGAGTCATGGACTTCTTTCGTAAGATGAGAGATGAGAAGGCAGGTTTGAAGGCGTGATAGATGACAGGAAAATGTATCAATTGGATGATGATACAGGGCTGGTTGAGTCGGTAAAACGTAGAGAGAGGAAGGATGTTACGTGGCTGGATACTTCGGCGCCTTTGTGTATATACATACTACGTGCGTCCATCCTAGATGCATTGCGGATGGGAAGGCGACAATGTATGAATTGGCAGAATATGCCTTGTCTAGCCGCTATCTCGGCATACACATGTTACGATTGGGCTTGGCAGCGCCATCTCCGCCCTCTATATGCGCGATCATTAGGAGACCGCTGCTCTGCTGCATCAAGGTATATCGTCTGGACTTGGTATGGCGCCTTTCTTGCCCGCTAGCGTCAGATTCCCGGCCAAGGAAGTCTCGGCTCCACTCTTGCAATGTGAACAGCAACCTAACGACGACGATAAGAAGAATTACCTTAAATATATGAGTCGAAAACATGACGGTCACTTCGTATGCCCTTTGGATCGCTGGCCAAGAAGCAGCGGGACAAGAAGAGCTGTAAGTAACATCCTGTGCCTCATCGCTACTTTGACTGACAACTCCAGGATCCCTATTGAGAACCCTGCTACGGGAGAAATATTTGCAACTTGTCATGCCGCCTCGGTCGAGGATGTTGAACGTACTGTACGTTAGAAGACATATCCAGGTCTCTGTCCGCAGATAGAAGACTCGACCCCCAACAGACACCATGAAAGATCTATTTAGAGGACCGATGATCGCTTTCTCATACGAGTATACTTACAAACACCTTCTTCCACGTATAGGTCCAGCAAGCAAATGCAGCATTCAAATCTGGAGTCTGGTCAAGGGCCGAGCGCAGTGTTCGCGCAGATGTTCTTGAAAAGATCGCCACGATCCTCGCCGAAAATCTCCCAAGTCTGATAGCCTTGGAAGTCCAACAGACTGGCCGTGTGATCAGAGAGATGGAGGCACAAGTTCCATCGCTGTTGAAATGGTTCAAGTACTATGCTGCCATTCTGCGGACTGAAGAACGAGCTGTGCTTCCCACCACTGGAAAACTACATAACTGGATCGTGGGTAGTTCCCGCCAAGGAAGAAGATACATACTACGGCTAACGTATGCGATCAGGACCGTAAACCCCTGGGCGTAGTCGCCCAAATCACACCTTTCAACCACCCACTTTTGATTGCGGTCAAGAAGATTGCTCCCGCCCTCGCAGCAGGCAACTCCGTCATCGTGAAGCCCTCAGAGCTAACACCCATCACTTCGCTCCTCTTAGGCAAGATCATGAAGCAAGCTGGACTTCCTGATGGCGTCTTCTCTGTGCTCCCGGGTTATGGCGCTGTCACGGGGAAAGCACTCGTCTCTCATCCTCTAATCAAGAAAGTCGATGTCACAGGCGGTACGCCTGCAGGTCGTGTAATAGGTGCCATCGCTGGTGCGAATCTCGCCAAATTCACCGCTGAGCTGGGCGGGAAAGCTCCTATCATCGTGACTCGAGAAGCCGATCTCGAGCTGGCTGTTAATGGAGTTGTGTTTGCTTCTTTCATTGCGAGTGGGCAGACTTGCGTCGCCGCCACGAGAATCATCGTTGAGAGTAGTATCATTGAAGAGTTCTCAAGGTTGCTCGTGCAAAAGGTTGCCTCGATCGAGCAAAGAATGGGATCACCGGAAAACAAGGAGTCTATGATGGGTTGTTTAATTTCCGCAAGGCAATTGGGAAATGTTGAGACCCTGGTGGATGATGCGGTTGCGAAAGGAGCAAAAGTTCTCACGGGTGGGAAGCGGATGTCAGGAATTTCCCAACTTGATGGATTTGAGTTTTCGAAGGGTCACTTTTATGCTCCTACTGTGCTGGCCGACGGACCCATGACGAAGATCGTCGACGCGAGGATATGGAAGGAGGAGGCTTTTGGGCCCGTCATTGTCGTGGTTCCCTTCGAGGGAGAAGATGAAGCGATACGCCTTGCCAATGACAGCGAATTTGGACTGGGAGCTGCAATTTGGTCGCAGAATCTCTCGCAAGCTTATCGACTTGCTGATGCTGTCGAATCCGGCATCTGCTGGGGTGAGTTGATACTTGAACACCWTCCTTGGTCATTACTGACAATTACAGTTAATACGCACCATCGAAACGATCCCAGTAGTCCATGGGGAGGTATTGGAAGCTCTGGCGTTGGGAGTGAGAACGGGATCGGTAAGTTGGTCTGTAAACATTACATCGTCGAGCCTTGCTGACCACTTGATCATAGATGCCTACCACGCCTACACAACAACGAAGAGTACCATAATCAACTACGCCTCAGCAGAAGAGGCACGCTTGAACGAGGACTGGTTCCGGGAGGGAGCCCGTGCAGTCCGTTATGGATGAAATAACTTGAAATAAAATGGAATCAAGAAGATGGCAATTAAGTCCTATGGAAACAACAAGAACGCCGGTAATCTATTGCACAATCTCTGAGATTTTTCCACGAGTCTTACACTTCCAAACTCCCACCACGCGCACTCCCTTCAACTCTTCTCTGAACATACAAGCGAACCCCCTTCAAAGCAGAGCATAAGCGCCAGCAGCAACGATGGCTAACATGCTCACACCAACACTGTTACCCATAGCCCCACCTCCATACTCCGCCGGGTCCATAGGAGTCTCGGGGTCAACATATCGGGTAGGTGCGGCGGAAGTATCGGGAGCTCCAACGCTTGTTCCGTTCTTCTTTGGTGTACAGTAAGCGGCGCTCGTTGCAGCGGGAGTGGTACTGTTGGAAATTGCCGTTGTGATGGGGTAAATTGGCAGAATCGAAATGGCGGCTGGGTCTGAAGAAGCGGGAGATCCAGTGCCGTAGATGATAGTAGAAGGTGGAGCGCTGGTTGCTGAGGTAGCGATGGTTGTTGGCGGAGCGCTGTAGGCTGGTGGTGGGGAGATTGATTGGGCAACGGCAGTGGCCAGGCAGGCTGCGAAGAGGGAGAAACGCATTCTTGCGGTGCGGTTGGTGGTGGGGACCTTTTTTGCGATGTGTCTGACTTTTCGAATTGTGGTTGATGATGTTGTTCGAAATTTGTGGAAACGGAAGAGGAGAAAGAGGGATCAATGCGAAGAGAACAAATGGTAGTTTGTTTTTGCATGCATGCGTTGCATTCCAATGTCTCTTCTGCATTCCTAAGCATTCGCAAAGGATGGGCATCCCTTGCTCGGGCGAGCGAGATCACCACCTCTGCTTACCCCCTCCCCTACACCCCACAACAAATCCCTCCCTCCCCTTCCCAATTCTCCCTCCGACTCCAGCTTTGCCCCTTCCTCTCTGCTTCTTCGTGGAAGTTACAGCTTTCTCCTACATGTCTCCTCCATTCGCTTGCGGTGGTTGAAACATAGCTGCATCCACTATGCACGCAGGTCCGAATCTGCGCGTCTTTGAGGAGGGATTGCTTTTGTCTTTGTAAAAGTCCCTGGCATTGTGCGTAGCCGCAACGGAGACTGTCGACATCCTCGAAGAGTGGTTTTAGGTGAAGATTCAACATCTCCAGGCGTGCAATTGCTCTGCTGTTGTGGTCGTCGTCGTGTGGTGTGGAGTCTGATGTTGTAAGCTGATTGGTTTTCCATTCCTGTGGCCATTGAGTTGAATCTGCTTGTGTTGTGGCGTTTGTGTGGTGGTCGGCAGTTGGTGGAAGTGTAGTATGCCAGGTCGGCTGATATTGATACATTGAAGCATCAATACGTTCTTCGCCATTGAACAGTCTCTCGAAACCCCGTTGTACTTGCTCGACATCGCCCGCGCCACTCATCCCCTGACCAGTACGTCTCCCGCAGAGTTTCAAAAAGTCAATCGGCAAACATCCCGCTTCAATCTTTCTCCGCTCCAATGCATGCAAGTMAGACTTTGTCGATTTTGCAGCAGAATTTCCAGAACTCCATCGCTCCGCAAATCCAGTACATAGCACCACCATGGCTACGACGGAATGGTTCTTCGAACTGCCCAGACGTGTCGTTGTTAATATCACGTTTGTGATTCCATTCACTTCACAAGGTTGCCGCCAACTCCAGCTTTCGCGCGCGCGGAAAATTGCAACAACGGAAGGGTTGTCTCAAGAAGGAAAGTGGACGCGGGGACGCTCCTCCAAAGGACCCAACAAACAACCGTTCCAATATAATGGCTTTCGGCAGGACAACCTCAGTCAGTAACAGAAAACAAAGTGTGAGAGAGATTGATTACGCAGAGACGAAAAAAAATTACGGAAGCGAAGTTGAAGATGTACATGTACCTTTCTGCTCCTCCTCTCAAGCAGCGGGGAAAAGTGTCCAGGATCAGCCATTGATCGCGTACAATCGTCAGCGAAGCTATCACTCCACCTGGAATCTTGCTCCGCTATAACTCCGCTGTCCCGAACCAGGATGCAGATAGAGCTGCGAAATCRACGACTTGTCTTTCATGTTCACCCTTGGACTTCGTTGTCTTACAATACGAATCAAGACGTAGATCGTCGGTATACCTCACATCATTCGAGCGTGCGTCTAAAGCCGGAGCTTCGCGGCTTCCTCTCAAAGCCTTCCAGAGACATGAGTCGCACATGATTGGAACAGCATGGTGATTGCAAGTTCGTKGCCATAGCAGAAGGCAATACACGGTGTGCACATCTGAGCTTTGCAGATCGGAACGCGCCATAGACATTCCCACGTGTAATCATCTATAATGCATTCCATCCCACTCATGCGTAAGTCATGCCCTGCCATGCATCATCATCAAAGACCACTTTTCACCTCCAACCCCTCTTCTATGAACATCTACTCGTCCTCAACGACGCTTCCCAACTCCATTTCACCTTCGTCCTCCTCAAAGGTGTCCTTTGGCACCTGGTACAACCGAATGGTTGGCTTGTTAGGATCCTTGAYAAGCACATACTTGCCGTCGCCGTCGCCATCCCTCCGGACCATGTCCACAAAGGTTCGCACAATGGCCCATCCGTTGTTAAGGTTGAGGTTCATCTGTGTCGCAAACTCCCTAGGTTTGTAACCCAAGACACCTAGAATAACGTGCTCGGTGGTAGATTTTGGTGTGGTACGAGAGACGAATCTGCACGTTGGGTCAGTACGATGTCATGAATGAAGGAAAAGCACAAACATACCCAAGCTTCATCAAGTCGGCCTTGGCCAGAATGCTCTGCGTTGTCCATCTCGCAAGCTTGCAGGAGTTGTTCTTCATTTCCGTCGCAACAACAGCACCACGCTGAGAAGCCAACTTGGTTCTCCAGTCGAGCGCACCACCCGAACCTTGAGCCTTGTTGTCGAACTCGTTGAGGGCCTTGATGGTGAGGTATTGATCCTCGCCACTGATGCTGTTCTTCACCACCGCGTCCAACTCGGTACGCACAATGAGGTGGAGTGGCTCGGCGTCGGCTTCGAGGGAAAGATCGAAGCGACGGTACTTGTAAGACTTGGACGCTGGAGGATCCGTCTCTTCCGCCGCGTTGTAAAAGGGGTGCTCGTTGGGCATATCGTGGCGAGAGGTTTCTGACTCGAGCACAACCTGCGTGGGGAAAACGTTGTTGATGTGAGTGGCCTCCTCCTTCAAAGCACCAGGCGAGTTGATCTGATCCTTGTTACCCTCGCTCAGCTCAAGAGGAGCATCGGCAGCGTTCTCGWTGACGGTAACCATGTCGAGGGAAGAGCCATCGCGCTTGTCAATGAAGATCTTGCCACCCTGCTTGACCATGATGATGTCCCACGAGTAGACAGATCGCGGAGCACACATGAGCATGGAAAGGATGTTGTCAGTGGCGAAAATAGTTGCCTCGTTACGGTCAGCCAGCTCCTGGATGACGGGATCCGACGATGTGGAAACGTTGTAGGCCGCACGGTCGAGCACTGTGAGCTTCTTGGAAGACTGTGGTGCTCCCGGCTGCTTGTCGTATGCGCGGTCGTAGTAGTAGAGGAAGCCATAGTCCTCCAGGTCCTCGCCCTCGCCAGTATCGAGATTGAGCTTGCCCAGACGGTTGAAGTCAATCTCTTCCAGCATGCGCCATGAGTCCTTGGGTTGCACTGATGCCTCACGGTTGCGCTGTGGCTTGTCCCAATCCTTCCATCCGAATCGTCCACCGCGTCGACCTCCTCCCCGTCCACCACGGTCGTTGAAGCCCTGCTGTCCGCCACGTCCACCGCCCACGCGCTGGAAGGTGCCACGTCCGCCGCGCTGGTTAGGCCCGCCGCGCTGACCACCACGACCACGTGTGAAGGTACCTCCTCGTCCACCAAATCCACGCGAGCGGGCTGATGTTTGCGATCGATCGACAAGGGAGAAGGAGCTCTCCTCGTTGGTGCCCTCGATAGCAAATGCCGTCTGCAGACCACCGGGGCCAGCGCCGTAGATCTGATCGCGATACCTCTGGTTGTACTGTTGTCTTCCGCCGCGTCCTTCCCGTTCCTTGCCCTCGCTGGTCCAGTCGGCCATGCGACCTAGCTTGTCGCCTTTGCTGAAGGGCGCATAGGGAACGCCATGGAGGGTAGTCTCGGTGGTGGTCGGTGGACCCCACGTGTCCGTCGACCCCAAAGAGTCGATGAGATCGAGAAGTGATGCCGGCGCCATGATGGGTGGTTATTAGAGGAGAGATCGTTGGAAGRTTCACCAAATTTCTTGCCCTCGAAAGTCGCGAAGTGGGGTTGGCGATCGCTGCCAAGGCCATCCTCATCACCCTCTCAGACTGTGTTCAGATTCGCGGTGTTTCCTTTCATCACAAGATCAATCTACGACAATGGTGATCAGTGGTTACATGTTATGATGCCATACCAGATATATACCCAGCTTGGTAAGGTGGATTGATTCTAACTTGCTCTAACTATAAACCAATGTTTCGCACATTCCACCAAGCTCGCAACCACTGAAAGCCGAAAGATCATCAAACAGAGGGGATGAAGATGCAGATGTTGCAATGGCATCTCCATCTGCAGTCTCAGGTATTGGCCTGGTGGCAATCCTGCTCATGACCCGCTCTCGACCTGGACCACGCCTTGTATTCCACTACCCAGAGGAACCAACTTCTAGTGTCGACTCGGATGACAGACACGACAATGCAGACTTATCCAGCGAGAGCTCCGATGACGAGGTCCGCATCTCTCGAACTCCTGTTCACGCTCGTACCGCCCGCTTTGCAGATATCAGCGAGCTAGTGCCCAGCCTGGGGAAGCTGGACCTTCGCTCGGGGAAGCCAACCACGGGAGGCGAGATTCTGACTGGGAAAGTGCTGGGCCATACCGTCGGAGATCTGGAGAAGATGCTCTCCCCGGGACGATGGTCAGACGGTAAGAGGTTTGAAATCTGCATGGATGGTTTCACTTTTCTTGGCCATCCCGTCTACGCGCCTGAGGACGGTAATTGGACCCCCAAGTCTGAAGTCAAAGACTCCAAACCAACGAGGGACGCTTCTCTTGGAGGAGGAGGAGGGTTCCTCGACGTAGAAAGCTTCCAAGCAAGTGGCAGCCCTTCACCCAAAATTCCCCATCACGGCCAAGGAAGGAAGGACTACGACTTCACGCATATGCCTGACTCCTTCGAGGACAAAAGTGCATCTCAACGCTTCGGAGCATCCATGGAAAGCTCTTCCACAAATTCAAATGCAGCAACCATTGAAAAAATGACAATGTTCCAAGTTGTACTCGTTCTATCGCCCGAGAAATCCGGAGATGCTGAGGCGCTTTACACGGACATCATCAAACCACTAAGCAAAGCGCTCCATCATTGCCAGAAACAGTCAAATTACCTCTCCACCGAAAGTCAAAAACTTCTTGCGATGAAGGCAAAGGCTAAACAGAAACCGCGCTTCACCCGTGAAGACGAGCAGAACCTATGGAGATCTATGCTGGAGGCTAGTGATCTGGCATGGTCTCTTGCAGAAATATACTCCAAAATTGCCGCGGGCGATGTTGCATCTTGTCGCCTCAACGGTCTAGATATGACATTATGCACTTCTCCGACAGCAACGCGAGATGAAGAACTGGACCCAGACTCCGCCTTGCTGCTGCTTGAACCACCTGAAACTCTACTCGCAGAGCTTGCCGGGAAACCCTCTGCAGCCCCGCTGACGCACTTTCTCCAATCCTACACTCCGACAAAGTCCTTTCTGAAGCTCTCCCAGACGATGTCCATGCCTCTACCTTCCCTACTGGCTCTTTCCCGCCATTTGATCTTCTACCGCAAAGCTATCGCCCTGTCAGCACCTCTACATTGGCGAAATATCTATGTCGTATCTCCCGACGCTCCAGTGTATGAGCTGGGAAAGTTCACAGACCAATATGCGAAATTGTTCCCTACACTACCGAGTCTGCCAAATATGTTAAAGGTGCTATCTGGAAGACCGATTAGATATGGAGTTCTAGTCCCGAGCAGAGATCATCGAGGAAAGTACTTGGAGATACTCGAGTGGTTGGTTCGCAAGGGATTTGTAGTACAAGCGATGAGGTACGGGTGGATTCAAGTTCCAAAGTCCATGCTTGAGAGGAGAGTCAGAGGTGGGAGCGGAAGTGAGATGGCGGTCTCTGAAGATGATGGGCTAAGTGTGAGTTCGGAACGGACGGCGATTGCGAACGGCGGGATACCAGCGAACCGGAGGTTGAGCGAGATCGTTTTGGAGAGGAGGCTATTGGGGCGGAAGAGGGGCAGTGATGCTACTGCTCAGGGAAGTGTGTTCTCGGATGTGGAGGAAGACCTTGGTGGGGAAAGAAAAGTTTTGGTGAAAGACCCAAGTGCAGAAGCCCACCTCTTGGAACATCTGCAAAGCACGTTTGAGGACCTGGAGAATCGGGATGTCTTAGCTGCCATCTTACCATTCTTTAATGGTGAACACGCTTTCGAGGAGATAGCGATTGGACTAGGGCTGAAGAGAAGTAGCGTCGAGAGAGTAATTGAAGGCTTGGAAGCCAAGGGGTGGGTGAAGTCTTTGAAGAGTATCTGAGACAGATCCTATGGAGTTTCGTCTCTCGCTTCACTTTCTCCGGGAGAGAACAATTGCTCGACTGCATTTTCATCACCCTCATAGCTCCGGCTCAGGCCAATCTCCTTCAGTCACGAGCGTCATCTTTCCAGTTGCTGTTTTGGATGTCGTTTTCTGCTGGGCGTCAGTCACTCTGATGCTTGGCAGGAAACTTAATGGACCGGGGAGAGGATCCTACTTTGAGCTCCTTATGAGCCGGACATTCTTGATCATAGAAATCGTGATCTTCTCTGCTCTTGAATACAGACTGGGAAGCAATGGTGAAGCCCTCACTCAGCGGAGAAGTTGTGTTGAGAACACGGCGGGCGACATTGGAGACAATGTACTTTTCGCCGTCCTGGGAGCTAGGTTAGCAGGGCTATCAGATATAGTCCGATGGTATCAACGCCCAAAAGAGCGGCTCTGGATGATACAGTACGAAATAACTTGCCTTGACAGCATTTTCCCTCAAGATCTCATACTCTTTCAGCACGGCTTCAATGTCCTCTTCTTTTGGAATCTTGAACATTGTCAATCTTTTGATGTGGCATGGTGCTGCTGTAAGAGAGAAACATCTTCTCGCTGGGCGCACAGCTTGAGTAGCGCTCCTCAGGCTGAGGCCGACCCTAGTTGATGCGAACATTTCGATATTGTCAATTGGAGAGATGCTGATCGATTGAGAAAATGGAGGTTGGTAGGTTGCTCGCGGAACATGTCGGACCCACTTGCCGCTTGCCGAGCGGGCATGCCGAAGGAAATTGTCCGTGCACTGGCGGTCGTTCGAAGCGAGGGAGAACATCACCTTGCTCTTCGACATTAACTATCGAACAGGAACACTTCATTTTCTGAGATTCATCTTCGGCATAATTATGACTGTATGTACGAGCTGTATTGCGGACGAAAGTATTTCCGAAGCTTGTCTGACAACATGGATGATGGAATGCATCAATCTCGCCGCTCTGCTTCGACGTCCTGGTCTAAAGCTTCAACAGAGCACTCTAATACTTGCTCTTATGGAGGCTGTCAGGTCCTTTACAATCATCGCTATTCCGTGACCTCAGCTGGAATTGCCGCAGGTCTGTTCGTTCGTGTTCCAGCGCTGCTTTCTTTGTGTTCTTTTCCGATACCGCTCCACAAAGGAAAGGTCACTCGGTGACGCTTTCAGCTGAATCTCTCACCTCTCTTTTTGCCGCTATGGCTGTCAGTCCTTCGGCTTTCAATTCCTTCTGCCCAACATAGATGCTCTCTTCAGCATGATTGTTCCGAATCTCAAGGGAGTSGCGCAAAGCCTCTGGCCTCACAACTATACAGAGATTTTGACCTCAACCTTGGAAATCTCGTCAACTCTATTCGCACGGAAGACTGGCATCTTTGGCCGAAGATCTCGTCATGCCGCAGTTTCAAATGATAAAGGCCCTAAACGCACCGTTCCAACAGCGATAACCGCGCGTGAGAGCGAACAGAGCCTGGCTCAGACCGTACAAACACCGACAGCAAATCGTGATGCTTCTTCGATTGCACCGGAGGTCACTCCAGCCCTCCCTGAACTCGAGGAGAGACAAGTACAAGCGACGAGAAGCGTTCCAACAAGAAGCGCCGGCAATGGCGTCACTACCATTGAGACCACTGCACTTATAGYTGTGGAGAGCAGCACTACCAGGACTTTCTTGACAGTAGCTTCGACCACCACTCCGACAGCAAGGTCAACAGCGAGTCCAACGGTAAATACATCGACAAGCATAACGGCAAGCTCGACAACAACCCGTACCGAATCCACCACATCAACATCCTCAACACCTTCCCCAACATCAACAGAAGCATCCTCGCCAAAAACTCCAGTTGGTGCCATAGCCGGCGGCGCAATAGGCGGTTTCGCAGCTCTCCTCTTCGCCCTCTTCCTTATAGCCTTCCTCGTCCGCCGCCACCGCAGAAAGATCGAAAAACGTCGCCTCGAAGAAGCAAACCCCTTCTTCCCCAAAAACTCGACCCCCCCTCCTCCCCATTATCAAGACCGTCCCGGCGGGCACAATCGCAGCGGTAGCACATCCCACGATATCTATGGCACAATGGGAGGTTCGTACTATCCCCAATATCACCACACCCGTCAAAGAAGCATCTACAGCAAAGAACTTCTTGACGGTGTTGAAGGCAGAGATTGGGTCTAAAAACTATGGAGGAGCAATTTTTTTGATTTTTCTTGTGTAGGTCCCACTTTTCCCTCCTCCCGTACGAAATTTCAACAAACTTCCCCTGAGAAGGGTCGACTGATTGATATGAACAGTCTTCAAGCCAATCCTGCTCCGGGGCTGAGAGCAGAGGGAGGACCGGGTTTGCCGCCTGCTGCGTTCTTGAGACCTGCGCAGATGTTGGATGGGAGACCTATTAATGAGATTGGAGGCGTTGRGAGGCCGAGGAGTGTTTGGGGAGCGAGGGGTAGTAAGTTTGGGGAGCATATCGCGGTGGAGATGGAGGATACGTCTTCAGTGAGTTGCCGAAGTTTGCCTACGATGGAACGAATGCTAATGTCTAATCGTGTAGTTCCGCAACAATGGCCCCGAGAAGACCATCGAGCGTGCATCCTCGTCTCTCAGCCAGGACTCTCCTATCTTAGGACGCAAAACAGCTTTCAGCAATTCCACATCACCATCTTCGTCTTTGGCTAATGAGGCAATAAGAAGACAGCATCTCATGTCTTGGAGCACTTATGCTTCGGATGGTGATGGCGAGGGAATGAGTGCTACTTTGAACTCAGCAAAGACGCCTCCATCTGCACGATCGAATGATTCACCAGTTAGCGAACAGTCGGGTGGACAGCTGCTGTCGAGTTCGACATATGCTGTTAGTCCACTACGCGAAAACAAGTTCTAACGAGATTCGTGGCTTGCGTTGGAGATCGTTCGGTACTGGTGTGTTGTAAATATCTCATACTAATGAGCGCCCTTCAGTGTTGATAGCAACAGTAGCACTTCAGCTTTTTTTATGGATGCTCTCCTCAACTCTCACTGCACCAACTCCTTTTCTGCAGCTTCACCTGCCTTTGTTCACTCCAGCCGGGTTTCAACACCAGCAGCATTCTACATCTGCACCATCTCTAGTCCAGATAATCTTTGACATACTTATTCAGAATATCCAGCGATAATCCACTCCCTCCACAAACAACCACCACAACCCGACTCTCAGGCCGCAAATCCGGGATAAACTCCTTCAACTTCCCCGTATACAGCACAGCCAGAGACACAGCGCAAGCAGGCTCCACTAGCATTCTCTCATCATTCGCAAAATCTCTACAAGCCGCTACAGTCTCTTTATCTGTAAGAACAGCGCAAGTGACACGTTCCTTATTCATCGCGTACTTGAACGCCTGCTTAGAGACGGTGCGTGCACCTAAAGTGGTCGCGATACTTGTGATTTTGGGTAGCGTTACCAGTTTCCCTTGTTGAATTGATTGAGAGAGAGCATCTGCTCCCACAGTCTCGACTGCGAGGACTCGAGTAGTTTTYGTCGTGGGATCCGACTTGTAGCGATCTAGACCCTTGATGATTCCGTTCAGAAGACCTCCGCCGCCGACACTGCAGATGATTGCATCTGGTAGCTCGAATTTATCGTTTCCTTCTTTTGATATGGTAGAGCCCACTTGAGATGGATAGTGTTGATCAACACTCGGTAGCTGCCGTACAATCTCATCGACCATGGTAGAATGTCCTTCCCAAATCTCTTTTGCATCAAATGGAGGAACATAAACTGCATGTTGGCCCTCACTGCGGGCTTTCGGTAGAAGCTGCTTGTTAAGATATTCATCCGCTTCATACCAAGAAGCTCCCGTCTGGATAACTTCCGTGGCACCCGCGTTCTTTAATTTGGAAATCATATAGTCTGAAGTCGAATCCGGAACAACAATCGTCGCTAGACAGCCAAAAGTCACGGCCGCAGAAACACATCCTAGACCAGCGTTCCCCCCGGAACTACAAAAGAAATGAGTCGTTGTGGTCTTTTCCTCGCCATTCTTGGTTGTCTTGTTATTTGAGAGATGTGCAGCAACAAACGCACTCATTCCTCGGCTTTTGAAAGATCCAGAGGGTTGCGTGTTCTCGAGCTTCAAGTATATGTTACTGCGTCTCGATTAGATGAAGATAGGTTGATGGGAAAGTYGATAAGTACCAGCCCGATCGACGTGACAAGCCTTGCGACCAGATCAAGGGCGTCTCAATCCATGGCTGTTTGAATGTCTCCGTCATGTTATTTCCAGGCGGTTTGCCAGTGTGATTAACCTTGGATGGACTGTACTCTGTCGTGCGAATGTAGCCAAGTGCAAGGCATGTTGCGTTCCGATGAGTGAACTGCGTTTGTCGAACAAGGCTGAGGTGCGGGTTCTTGTGCGCCTTTCATGGACCCTGCCTTTCAATACGCATCAAATTTTGAAGGGCTTCGACGCAAAACATTCTCTGTGCAGTGCTGTGAAACAAAGTCTGCCAGGTGGGATAATCAACCATCTCCATTTCTACACTAGTAGACTATACAAATTTACCTCCTTCATGTCATTCTCCGTAGACGTACAAGTAGGTTTTGTGAAAGAGAGTCCCCAAACTCCCGAGCAACATGCTCCGTAGCGCCATGCCTTTTATGCCTGCAAACAACTCGATGAAAACAATGGCTCTGCCTGCCGAGAATGCCCTGTTGTATGGCGCGCGGAGTAAGTTTAAGACCAAGGTGATGAAATGCTGAGGTATATCGCTAGTCGCCGATGACCCTTCTCCGGTAATCTGTCAGATCTGGACAGTGTTCTGTTGTCCTCGATGTAGTCATTTCTCGACATGGTGAGCAGATCTTAGCGCAATCCTATGACGCTCTGTGGAATAATAGTGTTAGTTCAGCTACGCATGGGTAGGTTTGGGATGAACTGACCATCTCCAACGTCCACACCCGTCGTATCCAGACCTTGAGTTTGCCTTCAACGCCCTCGACGCCTTCCAACTCGACACCTTCCCACCAACATCTTCGGGCTGGCTTTCTCCAAAACAATAACAGCTTCTGGGCCATTCCTACGGCATTGGCGGCTCCCGCAGTGTCGCCCTTGATGTCAGTTCGTAAGCGTGCCAAGGCAATTGAGCAAATGACGGCCTTTTGTGGCTCTGCTGCGCGGTGCCCCCAGATGTCTTCGTGGTTGAATCCGCTGCGGATGTGTTAGCATGATCAGCACTTTCCAAGTCAATCTCCAATAAGTGCTCACCCAGCTGTCAGCATCTCAATGAGATGCTGCTCCGTGGTGCCTGGCTCTTCGCTCTTCCGCAGGCCGGAAAAGATGCCATCCTGCTTCAACAGCGCTCTGCTGGCGGCCCGTTTGATGTTGATCATCTCCATTTGCTCGACGTCCTTTCGTGGAGGAATAGCATAAAAGTCCAAGTCCTCGCGGAGCACTATGATTCCGGCTCGGTCTTGAAGCATGTCACGCGCGTTGCCAGGCATGGGCTCGATCGGCATGGTGTTGGGTCCTTCGCCTTGGGCAGACTCGTCCGAGGATTGGGGGATCGTTTGTGCCACATGACGGAAGAATTCCAACATGTACTGGAGAGACAGCGGATCGTACTGTGAATAAGAGACCGTGTCAGATAAATATATTTCACGATTTTCAAGAGTGTTTCTCAAATTCCCCTCGTCCGCAACGAAACTGGCAGACGCCTGTGTGAGTGGGGGATTGGACTGGGTGGTTCTTACGTCGACTGGATAGACATCGCCGTCGTGATAACTGTTCATATGGCCATCCGGCAGCAAGCCGTTGGGGAATAGCGAGAGCAGAACGAACTCCGGGAGCGTCAAAAGTTCATCGCGGGAAAGAGTGAATCGTTGGCCGCTGCACGAATGTTAGAGCCTGGGTATGAGCACATCACTGCCGACGTGAACCAACCGCAATTCCAGGGTGATGTTCTCGTCCGAGCCTTGGGTAGCATCAGCAAAAGTCACGTGATCTACAATCTCGAGCAACATACCTCCTCCCAACGCTGTGTTGATGGGCGCTGGCCCTGTCTGCTGCACCTGCGTGAGGATGCTAGCCGCACCGCCTGCTGCTGCCATGACGTAGGTAAATCCGTCGAGCGGACTGGAACCCTCAGTATATGGAGGTGGTGGCTCTCCGTCGTCTAAGTCCTTGCTTGATTTTTTGGTGTCGCGTGGAAGCGCAGCTTTTGTTTCCGCGACAACGGTGGAGGGTGATCCCGGAGACTCGCGCTCTTCAAATGGCGGCGCAGGCGCGTCGGCAACTAAAGAGTCGGATGCGCAAGCTGTGGTGACGAGGGAGATGTATGGCTCCGCAGACGACGGCTGAGGGAAGTAGAGGGCAGGGAAGCCGTGGGAGTGGAAGTCGGGGGGACTTTCGGCCGTGGCAGTGGACGATTCGTCCAAGCGCACCTGCGATCGCGATGGTGGTGGTGTGTCACGGCGGAAGTGGGAATCGACGTCGGTCTTGCTGTGTTCCGAGTGGGCCCGCGTGGACGGGGTGGTGCGAATGGAGATGTCGTCCGAAGAATCCACGGTGAGGTTGGCCTGGGGCGGTAGGCGGTCAGTCGCGATCGAATGCAAGGAAGCGAGGCGGGCGCCTTCAGCGAGCCCTGCGAATGGGAAAGAGGTGGGGAGGCGCGGACCGTGGGCGGAGGACCTTAGGGGCAGGCGCGAGGGAGATGCGCTTGCTGTGTCGTGCAGTGGGTGTTTACTGGTCTCTTTCGTCGTAGTGAGGGTGTGTGAGGTCTAGCTCTCGATAGCGTCGAAGATCGACGCATCCAATTTACAGCTACGCGCCGCGCTACGATCGCCTGGGAGACATATCCTCTGGTCTTGTCCTGTCTTGTCTTGTCTTGTCATCAATAATGATACTGACAACAAGGTCACCTTTGCTTCACCACACACATACGCGCTACATGCATGTCCATGCGCAGGCACAGAGAGAAAAACGGGACACGTGCATTCATCGTGGAGTCAAGGTTCTGGCATGTTCATCAACAAATCTTAAGTTACAACTTCATCCCCTCCAAGCACGACCATCCATCATTCCTTGTTGAAGTCGATGACAATACGCCCCGCCACCTCGCCTCTACGCAGAGCTTGCACTGTATTGTCGAGAGATGTCAGAGATGCCTTGGCTAAAGAGGATATCACGACTTACCTGATTCATTGAATCTCGACACTCCCCTGACCTCTGCGATACCTTGAAGGAGTCCACGGCGTGCATACCTGCAGATGAAGTCAGCTTACAGTCATACTCCACCCTTCACTCGGTGATGTGTCATACTCAAGAGTGGCTGCAGTATCCTGCATGGTACCGACCAAAGTACCAATGATATGCAGGTTCTTGAAGCTGAAGAAGTTCGGGTCTGTACCGAGCGTGATTGTGCCCGCTGGCGGAAGAGCAATGGCCATGATTCGTCCACCAATGCGATCTCCGATATAGCTGATTGCATCTAGAAACGATTAGCTGGAGCATGGAGATCCGAGCTGCATCGACTTCGACATACCATTATACGCTTGGTATGCGGTAACAAGCACACCGTGTGCACCAACACCACCACAAACCTCCTTGACTCGAGCAGCAACATCAGAGTGCTCCTTGAACTGCATTCAAATCTGTCAGCCCCAATCTCGGCCGTGCAAGATCGTTCCAGGAATGCTCACGTCGATAAACTCCTCGGCCCCAAGCTTGATGCAAAGCGCCTTCTTCTGCTCGCCACTATCAATCACAATCGGCCTCATACCCATTGCCTTGGCCAACTGTACGCCCTGAATACCAACTCCCCCGCCACCTCCCGGGAAAACAACCCACTGTCCTGCTTTTAATCCACTATCGATGAGGGCACGATGCATGGTACTGGCCGAACACATGATTGGCCCAGCTACCTCATCTGGAACGCCATCTGGGATGCTATATGGTGACGTGAGCTCTATATATCTTGAAAGTAGGACCAAGAGATCTTACCGGCTAGTGTAGATCKCGGKRGWSG